CATTCGTTGGAAGTATGCTTTCTGTGAGATGGTAATGGCCTTGGTGGTAGGGTGTTGTCGAATCGTCATCCCCAGTAGCACCTCGGTTTTCACCTCGTTCGCCTCCCATCTCTTCCCCAGGTCCCTGATAGCTCGTTCTCTCCCTTCCGTCGTGGATGAACCGCCGCAGACATCGTCCCCGTAGGTACTCGTGATGGTATACTCGTCGCCCTGTCTTCTGTACCTGATACACGGATCAGCCCGCGACGCACTGTAGCCATCTTCGTTGTATCCGGCTGCCAACGTCTCCTGCCAGTCATGACTCCCCTGCATGGTCCCGTAGATAGACTTTTTCAGCTTGCATACCAAGTGGTCAGACCCAGGTTGAACAAAACCCTCGGGCTGCTTCATGTAGACATTGTGCGTTATTGGACTGTTGAGGAAGGCAGCTGTAAAGTCCACCTGGAAGATTGAGAGCCGGAGCGCCGCTGTAATCGCCAAGACGAGCCGTACAGATTCCATGCGTGCCACTCCTCCATACGTCTTATCGTAATCTTGTCCCTGGACTTGGGTATAGCCTTGTGCCACGTATCGTGCCTTACGCTTCAATAGGTTTCCCAGTGCATCGAATTTAATTGCGTAAGTCCATCTCCCGCCGGTCAGGTTGGCTTCAGGGGGCAGTTCTACCAGATCCCAGCAGTTTTTGTCTGTCAGTGTCTTGAACTCACGTTCCATTGGTTCCTTCCACAGCTCGGGCCGCTTCATCGCTTGTTTGTAGGACTGTGGAACCCAGAGATCTCCGGTTGTTGCGGCAAAGGTGTATGGGTTTTGAATTATCAAGGCCATAGGCGTGTCGACGTGTCCGGCCATGGACCATTCCTCTCCAGCCTGTTGAGCCGTGGCCTCGCGTTCGTGGTACTCACTACTCTCCAGGTATCTACGAGAGGGGATGTGTCCTCTGCCACTACGTCGCGCAGGTTCAACTGGCTGCGGTGGTGCTGGTGGCGCCAGAGCATCCGGTGGCGGTAAATCCATTTGGGTAACGGGGATGTCGTGTGTGTCCACTGTCTGATTCCTGTCACCGGTGATGTCGGTATTTTGGTCAGGGTTTGCCTCGTTACCCGGTGTCTCTGTCGTGGGATCCTCAAAAATCTCGTCCTCTTGCGTTTCCTCTATACCCTTTGGTTTTTGAGTCCGGTGTGGTATTCCCTCCTCGAAGGTTACATCGTGCGATTCCTCCACCTTCTTTGTTTCTGGAATCCATACCCTGTATCCCCTTCTGCCCATGTAGCCTAGTAGCTTGCCCTTAACTGCTTGTCTGCCGAGTTTACCATCTGTCCGTCTCCTTGGAAGCGTTGCCCAGCAATCACATCCGAATGGTCGTAAGTGGGACACGTCTTGTCTTCTCTGGGTCCATGCTTCAATGGGTACAACGTCTGGGTATCGCGAGGAGGGTACAAAGTTGTCTATGTAGATAAACGTGGATGAGGCTTCGCCCCAGAAGGAGTATGGGAGGTCTGCTTCCTCTAGTAGAGTGCGGGTGCCTTCCATTACAGTTCGAAATGACCGCTCAGCCACCCCGTTCGCTGCAGAGGAGTCGTGTGGCACCTTTTCTATGGTGATCCCATGTTCGGCGCAGTATTCATCCACCAGCCCGTTGTTAAGCTCACCGCCGCCGTCTATCCGGATGGTCCTCAGTACCTTCCCTGTCTGTTTTTCAGCCTTGACACGGAATTCGTGTAACGCCTTGACACCCGTTTCCTTCCTTTTGTTTGTCAGGTAGTGAGGGACTCTGAATGATGATTTGCCATCTGTGCAGAGCATGAGGTAGGTTGCTCCCCCGCGGCTTTGTGTTCTTGATGGGCCGAAGAGATCGATGTGTACTCGTTCGAGTACCTCCGATTCATGGGTAAGTATCTCGTCGAAGGGGCGCTTCGTTGCCTTCCCATATAAACAATCCTCACACATCCCGTGCACTTCCCGATTCGTGATGTGCAGTCCATCCACGAGGTTACGGTTGGACATCCGTAGTATCCGGCGTATCGCGACGTGTCCCAGCCTTCTGTGCCAGGTGAGGATGTTGGCAGGCCTGTCTCTAGCTCGGGAGTAGCTGACGGTGAGGTTCCCGGACTCTAGCACCTCAACTTCGTACATCTTGTTTCTACCGAACCCTTCCAGAATGGTATCCCCCTCCGGAGTTTTGACTGTCAGTATACCCAGCCCCCATTCGCCTCTCATGCCACGCCCGTCTAGCGTTGACAAGGAGATTAAGTTATGCCCGAACGATGGTGTGTGCTTTACTCCTGTCAGCCGGATTGTCCTTTCCTCATTTTGCCTCCGAGTCACAAACTGGACCGTTCCGACACCCAATATCTGAAACTGCCCTGCGTCCCCCGAGATTGCACTGCTTCCGCCTTGCCCTTGCACTTCGGTGTACTCTACAAAGTCCGAGCGTTGTACCCAACAATGCTCAGATGCTCCGGAATCAATAAACGTTCGTATTACGGGTGTAGGTGGTGAGTACAGAGATGTGCTTCCCTGGCAAGCTGTACATCCCTCCTTCTGTACGGTTGGGTAACTAGCTAAGTCGTACTCTACGTCCCTTTCCCTACTCTCCCGCTGACCTGTATTCCCTAGAACGGGATCGTTTTGTCTAGTCGCTGGGTCAGCGGTTGAATGGTACTTGTGTGTTGACGTAGACGTACTCGGCTTCCTACTCGCTTGTGCGGACATGACGTACGTTGCCATAGGTGATACTACTTCTGGTGGATCGTCTGGTGTTGCGGCGTTTGCACTTGTCCCCGCTTTTGTTTTGTTTACCTGGCCCTGTTTCGGCCATTGGCCTTCCATTCCCCCGCCCTTGCCCCAGCACTTCTTCGCGATGTGTCCGGGCTTGCCGCAGTTGTGACAAGTTATTACTGACCTGCTGGTGCTCCGGGGCTGGTTTCCCTGGGTCGAGTTGGGTGTTGTTGGGTTCGAGTGGGCCGCCATCAGCGCCTTGACTCGTTTGGTGTCCCGCTCCTCTTCTTTCCTCTCCTCCTCCTTCTCGTACCACAGGGTGTGTAGATACGTAAAAGCGTCTGCGCTCGTCGTCCCTGGTACGCTACGGACGTCTTGCCTCCATCCCGGTGGCATCGACGATATGATGATGCGCCGGAATTGTGCGTCGGTCGCTGTTCCTCCCAGGTCGTGCACCTTTTTAAGTAAGTTCCGCATCCTCTTTTCGTGCTCCTCCATTGTTGACTCTGGGTCGTATTTCTCTTGTCGGAGGTTTGTGTCCGCGAGGTGGATCCGTTGTTCATCCCTTTTCTCGAAACGTTTGATTAGCGCCTGCCAGATCTCAGATGCGTGTTTCGTCTCATCCACTCCCAGTCCGACTGGGTCAGTGATGTTTGAGACAATGGCTCCCGCAACTAGCCGGTCTCGAGAGTCCCATTCCTCTGGGAATGGTGTAGGGCTGAACAGAGGTGTGGTCTGCTGTGCTGCTGGGTATATTTGTCCGGGGTAACTGCTAGGTCTAGGTATCGTTCCATCTAGATATCCTGTCAGGCCTTTTGACTGTACTGCAAACATGATTTCGCGCTTGTATGGTCGCCAATTATCTTCACCGACGAGTTGCTTTTCGTCCGGGAGTCTGGGTATGTTCGGGCTGTTTCCGAACGACATCTTGTTTTATGATGATACTTTCGAATTGAGTTCTTTTACTGCTGATAGACGTTTTCGTATTTAATCAGAGTGCGAGTCTCATAATCTGTTAACGTAGGGTTAAGCTCAGTTGATATGAAAACAACTCTATATTATCTCGGTACCTGTTAACGTAGGGTTAAGCTAATGGGTACCGTCAGTAAGTATAGGTATCCTCATTGCTAGTGAGCTCACCTCAGTTGATATGAAAACAACTGAGGGAGCTCGTGTACATCCGTCTGCGTGACCTATCTACAGCTGTACAGTATATAGTAATCGTGATCAGCGTATACGAAGATCAGCGTAGTCGAATTAGGAACAAAGGTCAAAGCTGTATATCTGACGTACGGAGTACACCCCAACAATCTTCACCAAATCCTTACCTACTGAACTACACTACAAACATTCACTATCCCTTGGTCTAGTACCTCTTCCAGCTGTTACCTGACCACTCCATTCATCGGTGGGGGTGTGTTGGAAGGAACTTCCTTTTCTGGCCGATTCTTTCCGCTTCCACGTGACTTATACTATTTAGTTTGTAGCAACTTCCCCTCAGCTGTTTTGACCCTCATCGGATCGACACTGAGGCTTCATTTGTTCTTTGTATAGGATTGACCTCTAAGACATATATTTAGCAGGTACACAGAGACAGGGACCAGACCTATGTAAACTGTGTGTGTACAAGATATACCAAGCTGGGGGACTTTAGATGCTACAAGACTACTTATATAGGTAATAGGAAGGGAACAAAGGAACATTGGATTTGGGAAATGGACAGTCAATAGGTATAATAGGGGGGGGGGGGGGGGGGGGGGGGGGTCAAGATCTAATGGTGGAGGTGTTGTCTCCATGTCAGAAAGTGGGTGGTGCAGCATTGGGGTCCTTGGGAGGAGGTCCTGAAGGTCCTAGATCAACGGTGTTAGAAGGAAGAAAGGTCTAGAGCAGGTGAGGAGGTTTGGGGAGTTCAGGAATGGGGTTGGTGAAAGTAGGCAAGACATGACATTCATTGGATTGTGCACAAGCACTTATCCCAGCTGCAACTAGCTGCCCACTCATTCCTATTCCACCTAACAAACATTCCCCTAGAACCACCAGTTTCATCATAGTGTCTGGGTGGAACAGCCGTACTGCATCTGAGGAATGACAAATCTACTAACATAACAAAGTACAATTTGAGAATTTATGTCAGGGATCCTACATGTTCTTAGCCAAGCAAGCAAGCTATATAACATACTTGCTCCTTGGCATGTAACCTGTAGTATAATCTTCACACCTGGAAGTATCCTGATCTATGACTACTGATACTTTCGAACACTTTGATTTCAAGACCATGTTGATTAAATATCATCTTCCCAATTGTCGGGAACGTTCTCCTGCGAAGAAGAGTCATTTATTACAGCAACCGTATTGCCAGCTTCATCGCGAGTAGGATGTAATTCGGCGGAAGGCCTCGAAGGAACAGGGGTCCCAATTCGACTAGGAGTAGTAGACTTCGGGGTGATAGTGGATACCGGAGCCACAGCCAATGTCCATCCGCGCGCAGTTCCCGCCGGAGGTGCGGGACTAGGTGCCCTTGTATCGCTGATCTTGCTGCTAGTAAAGGGCGGGGTTGGGGGTCCCGCTCGAAGATTAACAAGTTTTCCAAGACTGGGGTTATTGGCATGCTTGGTGAATTTATTGGCTATGTAAGCCGAGAGAAGCGGATTCGGGATACGAGTGTCTAAACGACGAATAATCTGCACACTAGTGAAGAAGAAAATCAGATCATAATGTAACGTATTCCTAATTGAAGTCTTGCCTGCGATACGGGTCTTGATCAACCATTTGTGAATCTAATCTATATATTCCAGCCAGCTGGGTCAAAAATTGAGTTTCCCGTATCTGTGACAATCAACTCAGAAAGTATTCACCTTGTACACGAAGTTACGTTTCTCTGGGGGCGTATGGGGGAGCACTTGCTTAGTCCTATTTGATCTGACAAAGCTGAACGAAAGAGCTACTGTCATGTTAAACGATAAAATAAAAATAACCAGATGCTCACTCGGCCAAGGCCTCTTCGACAAGTATTAGGAACTTTGTATTCGCTCTGGCAAACGCCACAAGGTCATCACCATAAGTGACCTCTGCCAAAATCCCGCTCCCACCTGTTTTGATTCCCAACGCATCTGCCAGCCTTGCATTCCTCTTCTTCAACGCACACTCCGTGGTACATTTGATTGCCTCCCCCCGGGCCAAGTTGATAGAATTACTCCTCGACCTCCCACACACTACCGCCTGACGAATCCGTCCACACTCACAAGTGAGCTCGACTCGAGTCTGGCACGGTTCATCTTCATCACAACTTGAGGGTGCATGACATAAATTCGTACACGGGTGAATATCTGGAAGGCACAGCTTCCTCGCCTTCCCGCACATACTCGTACACGCCCCACATTCACCTGCATGGCACGGGCGATCACATTTGTGACCTCCGCAAGATAATGGTTTTCCGCAAACAAGGCCACAGGAGACCTTGTCGGAATTGAGAGAGCAACGCACATTTGGTAGTATTTTTTTACCGCAGGCGCAGGGTTTGTCAGTAAGATAGACACAGGGAGGGCATATAGAATCGGGAAAATGGCATGTGTGAGGCGTTTTGGGGTGTCCACAGGGTGGTGGAGGTAATGAACATGGATAAGTGCAATGGACCTTTGTGCCACAAGGTATCGGAGGTTGGAGGACTGTTCGTCCGCAGAAGCAGGTCAACTGCGAGGACATGATATGTATGAGTAGACGGAAAAACAACGTGATTGGCATATACACACCTCTTCAAAAGAACTTCTTAAACAAGGTTGACAAAGCCCTCTATGGTCTCGTTCTTCGCATCGATGGTTACCACAACTCAACATCCTAGGGCAAACAAGATCACACTCATGCAAACCATTAGGATCTGCATCAAATTGAGAGGACGGGGCTTTCATCTTCCCCTTTGCAAGTGAGGCAAGAGGACAACAAATGCGATTGCACTGATGCCTGCCACAAGCTCGCATAGCCATACACTGTCGATCGCAAAGAATCTCCTGTACCTTGAACAAACCCGAATCTTTTTCAAGGACACGCAACTCCCCACATTTGAGCGTTCTAGTGGTGCTACCGCAGCGACATGGTCTGATCACATCGATGGCGCAAGGCGGACATACTGCCGACGTATGGCATGTCGCTTGGCATAGATGTTCACAATCTGAGTGAGGTCTGAGACAAGTAGAAGCGCAGGTTGGGATTTCATCGGTACAACGTATGCGAGCGGGAAAGTCGCCTAATTGTGTGGAGGAAGTAGCAAGGGATCGTTTCCCACAAGGACAAGTGGTTATTCGGTCAGGAGACATCGGACAGTGTCCTGGCTGAGAATCAGAGGTCGGAGGATGGCAAGATCTTGCACACGAATGATTTCCACAGTCAAACAATTTTTCGCAAACGGATTGACAACCAAAACCCCTCCTTGGCTCTTGCATATGCTCGGTGGAACGGTCGTCACAGCCAACAGGGTCGAGCCATATGTCTCCTTCTCCGCACAACACCTGTTTCTGCTCCTTCCCGCACCAACAATGTAGAATATCCTGGAGTTCACAGGGTTGACAGGGACCAAGATGACAAAGTTGCTGGCAGTGGTGTTTACCGCAATCAAGTATCTTAGAGCATGATTGCCCACACGAGACTTGAGTAGATTCACCGCAGCGAACAGAAACAGTTTGTTTGCGTACGCATTCGCACGAGATGTCCATTATGATCTTGCATGGAGGACATGGTCCGGGATGACATGGCAAAGGACAAGGATGCGAGCAGGAGGTTCGAGGACGAGAGCATGAATTTCCGCATGAATGAGGTGTGGCCAGATGGCTACTTGGCGAGCGAGTTGAACCACAGAAACACCTGCACTAACATTGAGATCAAATCATAGACGCAAGGCATGGCACAACGTACACATAACCGTTGATAAGCTGATTCCTTCTTCCTTGACAGCCAGGACATCTCCATTCGCCGCCCTTGCCAAATTCTTCACGAGCCTCCCAAGCAGCCTTGACCTCCTTATAATTCTTCCCTGCCCATTCTCTGATACATTTCAAATGAAACGTCGTCCAACAATACTGCGACTGATGAGCAGCCTCAGCCTCCAGCATGGGGATGAGAGGAGAACAGCTCCAAGTAGGCTGTTGAGGATGGATCGGTGAAAAACATATGAGACAGTCCGGGTAAGGTCTTGTGCTAAGTTCTCGAATGAGGTTTGAGGTCAAGTCTCCGGCATCGGCTACATTGGGAATGATATGAATGTTATTCTTGCGGCGCCGTGGTGGAGGATGATCAGAGCCGTTGTTCGACACATCTGAAGTAAGTCCAGCGTTGAACTTGGTCTTTCCAAAACGACGGCTGCTAGATTGAGTGGGAAGCCTTGGTGGTGTATCAGGCAATTCAACGGTCTCCCCTTCTCTTGTTTCTCCTTTTTTGTCATCCCTATTACTACGAGAATGCTCAAAATTCGGCGCTGTTGGCGTTTTCAGCGTCTCAGCAATCTTTCGTTCCCCTTCCACTACCGCTTTCCCCAGCTTTTTGTTATCTCGGCGGCTTGTGGAAATCGGTTTCTTCGTGTCTCCATCTCGCCGCTGAATGGGAGGTTTCTGCGGTTTGCGAACACCTCTGTTCTGATCATCGGCATTATGATCAGGTTTATTCGGATTGTCGCGGGTGTTTGTTTCGTCTGGTTTTTTCCGGGTACGATGTTTCCGTGAGTATTGATTATCTCGTATGCCGGGTCCACTGCTATTGAAGGTTTGTTGGGTGCTGCTGGTTGCGGGGGTAGTTTCCATTCACTACGGGAAGTAACGAGGATGGTGGTGAAGTGCAAAGGGTGCAGGCCTTAGTAAGCCAAAGTATATAAGCGCTTCCGGTACCGTGTCAAGTCAAGAAAAGTCAAGCAAACAAAATGTATCATAACTGTTGAGTCGCGCGTTAAACGAAGATATCTAGAACGCAAGCTAGAGAAATTCCAGTGGTAAAAGTGAATCATAACAATAATCTAGTAAGTATTCGCTTCTACTCATTGGCCCGGGCATCTGCAAGGATCTGCAAGGATACTGTACGTAAAATACATGTCTGTGAACTCATCCCAAGCCTCCATCGGCCACATTCAAGGTAGGAATAATAACTGGACCACACGCATCCGATGTTGTCAATCACAATCGACAACAGACTCTGCGCTCTTGAATTTCTTCCTGGAGGGTGTCTGTGATTTCCCTCTAACGGGTTTTCGCTTCTTTTTTGATGGTATCAAGCCGTCTCTGCCATCGTTTCCCTCTTCATCTTCCTCAGAACGTTTTCTTTTTCCTCGTTTGGAAAGAGTTCGTCCTTCCTTCTCCCATCCTTCTTCATCTAGAACCTCGCCGTCCCCATCACCATTCAGGAACTGCTGTTCGTGCAGAGAAACACCGTTACTTTGGGCCTCATCTCCCTCCGTACCAACTTGCTTCACCTTCCGATTCCTATTACTTCTTCTTGGATTATTCAAAGTTTCCTCCGAAACCTGATTTTTATTGCCCTCTTTTTTCCGCCTGCGTTTCCCTTTCTTTTGCTCCTTTGCAGCATTTATCTTTTCTTGCTCGCGATTGGCGAACCAGTCCTTGGCCCATCCTTCAGGAAGAGAAAACCCTATCCCGGGATAACCAAAGTCGAGAGTGTATAGGTCAGAAGGAGATGCGCCATATGATGTGAAGGCGGTGGAGAGTTTGCTGGACGATGCATGTAGGGTCTGAATGCGATGACTTGAAAGTAAATGAGAGTTAGACGGGAGTGTAGACGAGTTGGAGGTTTGAGTATTTGATGATGCAACAGCAGAGGAAGAAAGCGGTAAAGTTGAAGTCGCTGGCACGTTCGAGCTGGTTGTTTCCGTATTGGCAGCTCTTTTGCTGGATGACGCGACAATTGTACGTGGGAGTGACGGTGACCCGTATATATCTTCCAGTCTTCTCTGAACGCGTTCTAGTACCCTTCTTGTTTACAAACAATGTTACGGAGGGGAAAAAATAAATGTGGAGAACTATGTAGTACAGGGGACGTACATACTTTGTTGAAAAACCCCCACTTGCCTGACTAGCAGCCTGAAGTTGTGCAGCTGCTAGAACCGATTGCCATCCGGCTGGTGCCAAACGATTGATCATGCTAACTGAGCGCTTCGGTATTATTGCAGCTAAGGAAGCGAGTATACTATCAAGATAGCGTGAAGAGGAAAGGGTCAAAGTGGAAATCAGTGAAGAGTTTGAGGAATTCGGGTCAGAGTCCACGTCTGAAGGAGACGAAGACGTATCACGCAAAAGAAATGCAGTGATATGTGCCACCTCGTCCTGGAGTGTCCATTCCGGATAGGGTACATCCTGTGCAAGGAGAGGCCATCTCGTCCAAGTTTCATGTGTAGATGGATTCGTCTTTGTTGACATGATATCCTCTGTAGCTAAAGATTGAGGCCATGAAGCCTGTTTCCGCTTCGTAGAACTTTTATTGGTCCTACAACTGGAGCCAGCCTCTACATCTGAAACAAGTTCTTCTTCGACGTCAGATCCTACATCCTTGAAATCCACATCCCCATCATTTATGCATTCGCTGTCGTCGTCGTCGTATATTTGGGCCTTTTCCTTGCCCTTATGGTTAAAGTACCTTGTGAGCTGGGAGGTGACATCCAGATTATCATTTGTTCGAAGAGAGCGAAGGAGTGATGAGTATTCAGTGAGCTCAGAATGCAGAGCCGCAGGTATTCGTTTGCGCTGAGATTTCTTGCGCGTGCTCATGAGAACTTGTCGCTGTCAGAAGAAAGAAATTGAGCGTGGGAAACGCAAGCCCGAGTACTTCTACGCGTCCATCTTACCCAAATACAACTCGATATAGTGACATTAACAAGAGCCAAAGGGTCTGAATATTTATCGTGCTCCTTCCTAGAAACGATTCTATCCATTGAACGTCCTCGTGATACGTGATGTCGTCCAGACCTGGCGGTCAAAAACTCGTTATCCGCTTCCCAGTTGCAAGCAAAGTAGAAGCTTCTCCCTCTCCTGCGCCGTCCGCAGAGGCTTCTGCATTGTCAGAACCCGAGGCTGAACCGATTGATGTAGATGGGAATGACGGCGACGGTGACAATGCCTCCGTCGACATTGATGAAGATCAAGAACCTGCTACATATGTGCCAACAAAACGCGGTCGTGGCCGACCGCGAGGAAGCCTAACACGAGGAGGCATGGGTAGAGCTGGATCTGGTACGCCGATACCTAGAGCTCGTGGACGGGGCAGAGGAAGAGGTCGCGGTAGGGGGAGAGGTCGAGGAGCAAGCTCTATTACCATTAAATTGCCGAAAAAAGACGACGGTGAAGAAGACGATGATAATGAAGGCGATGGCGCTGGTGATGAGACAGATGAGATGAATATAGACGCGGAGGAAGATAATTCAAAGAAAGCGCCAGTTGGAGGGGGTAAACCGTTCAGAAAAATACAGGGGCAAGTGTACATCATTGAAGGAGACGAGTTTGTCACGGACGATGATCCTAAGGGAGACGAAAAGATTGATAAATTTGGAAACCTCCTTGGCGGTGAGCTCGACATGCGTTCTAATTTTCAATTACCCTGACGACTAGCTACAGGAAGGCGATTCAAAGCAGCTACCTTTTTACTACCGAATCGTCACCCAGAACGGCAATATATGCTTGCCATCGATGCTGCTCGAACCTCAGGCTTCCGTGACTCTTTGTACTACTTCCGACGTAACCCGCTCACGTTCAAACTCAACGCCACCCAACCCGAAAAAGAATACCTCATCTCCGAAGGAAAACTGGGGCCGCACCTCAAAACGCGATCAGTCACTTTGGTTACCGCACGCAGTGCGTTCAAGTTGCACGGAAGCAAGATGCTCTTAGATGGACGATGGGTCACCGATGATTATTACGAAGACAAGGCACTCGCTGCTATAGCTGAACTTGGTGTCAAGCCGGGCGACTTGGTGGGCGACTTGGTGGACCCCAACGCGGAAGCTGAAAGTCGAGCAGAGAAGGCTTCCAGGACTCTTGGCAACGACCGAGATTATGGTGCCTCTGGTGGAGGTGGAGGATCAATGTACCGACCTGGAGGTCCGACAACAATCTTCGCCGGACACGGATTTGGTCCGTTCTATGAGCCTTTAAATCCTGTCAGGAAAGCGCTACTAAATCGAGATGGGGTCTCTGAAGAGAATTGGATGTGGATGATGGCGAGTAGAGTTAGGGAGGCTGATGATCGGTGGAGAAAGTGTCGCAGTGGTGCAATTAGCGGTGCAGGAGTGAAACCTGGCGCAGGAATCGGACCCGAGGCAAATGCGAATGTAGCAAACAGTACCTGGGATGTATCCCCGAATGTGGTTCCAGTGGATATTTCCACGACGACGAATCATAGCCGTAGTTTGAAGGGAAAGGAGCGAGCTGATCCTAATTCATCTATGGAGATCAAGGAAACAGCTGTTTCCGTCAAGAAGAAGCGGAAGGTAACGTTTGATCCAGAAACTGGTGGGGAAATGTTACCTCTTGGTGTTTATGAGCCTCATACTGGAGCCGTTTTCTGTGCGTCTAACTTGACTACTCTTCTCAGTTGATTTATGACTGATGCTTCTTTCTGCCTTTGACACGTAAAATCTAGTCCGGAGCGACACACAGCCGACCCAATCTCGCCTCGAGCAAGTTACTGTCAATCCCTTGCCGGATAACAAACAGCCAGATCGCGGCATATTAGGAGGTACCAAAACCGGTGCCAATGCCTGGGGGCTGGCATATGTGGATACCTATATGGATTTATCTTCGAAGGAGGAGCGAGAAAGGGTTTTGGCACGGAAAAGGGAGAGAATCTTGAAGGCGGTTGGTCTCCAGCATTTGGCAACGGTTGACAACGATATCATCAGAAGCTCAGCAACAAGTCGCGGGGTGAATATGACTGAGGAGGATATTCAACTGATGGATGTAACGTAGTACGTATGCCTGAGGTCCAAACCTTGAATGGCAATACCGCCTGGATAAGAAGCAATATGTCAATACGTTTGGACAAGCGTTCGAAGAACAGTGAAGTTTTTTCATGGTCTTCAAGTGAGTGCCTATTTTGATTTCTCTCATACAAGGTTGGTCTCATCAGACATTACCGCCAGAAAACTCGTTGAATTATGCTTCAATTGAATCATCGCAAATGTACAGATATATAATCCACCAAAGTTTATCTAGGCAAGATTCAGATAGAATCCGCCGAGGGATACAGGTAGACAGGATAGAATAGGAAACTAAATGACTCGAGTTTGACAGTCTTTCATCTGCGTGAAAGGATAATATTATTAGAACGAAGATCATATTCAAGAGAGCGGGAATCTTACTCCTTCGTATACGTATAGTTGGCTTTCAAAAGTCTCACCCGACCGTCGCATTCACGACGAACTTCCTGCACCTCCGCGCCTCTCCGCCGCAGACTTCGAACTTTTGGCTGAAGATTTCATCCATGAAGGAGGCCATGACGAACTCCCTGGCCCGCCGCGTGTCAATAGTGTTGGTTTGTCCTCAGTAGATTTCGTCCAAGAAGGAGGCCAAGAAGAGCTCCCAGGTCCGCCTCGACCCGAGAGAGTACGCTCGGTGACAGATCTTCCTACTCCGCCACGTGCAAGGAGAACAGGTTTGTCCTCTGATGATTTCATCCAGGAAGGAGGCCATGATGAACTGCCTGGACCTCCACGTCCTTCAATGATTGGCTCTCTACCAGGACCACAATCATGGAATCAGGCTGGGTGCAAGAGAATCCTTGTTGATTGGACTACGCACATTCCACCTTCCACAGGCAGTGGTGCAGCGAGTGCACCTGTAATCAAGAACACAACTAATGCTCCAAAAGAAAAATATTTCATGATGGGAGGGGCTTTGTGGAGGGAGTGGGAGAGGGAGGGAAACAGATAAGGAGTCAAACAGGTGAGGTTCCACCTGTGATAGTTGCAATTTAACTATAACACATTGAGAAAATCGAGATAAATGTGGCACCGTGAGATACGTATGTACACTGGCATCCGGATTTAACCTCGGTATAGTATTCACGGTGAATGTGGGATCAGAAAACTGGAGATCAAAGCATGGGATCCATTCAATGTCACACAAAAGTGCTTGTTGATCCCAGGCATATGGGAGCATATGGGCTGTTGAGATGAAGCTGAATAAGTTCACGTACTGCGATACACCAACCGCAATTTATACGCTGAAGTACTACTATAGGCGACATGGAGAAATCTTGAACTTGAAGTATGTATGTACTAATGTGACGCCTCTGTCAGGCTGCAGCTGCAACGGGTTGAGCCAGCATTCGCCCGCATCGGAGCACATGTTTTCGTAGTCTTTACTGCCTGATATATATATATTGTCAACACTAGACCAGCTGAATGTTCAACTGAGATCAGACGAGCAAAGATAGGATTCAAAATGAGTGTATTGAGAAGCCACCTCACCCAAAATTTTCATAGTACTTACTGGATATGTAAGTCCCCGAGCTAAACTCCAATGATGCAATCCGAATGAAAATAAGACTGAATGAACATACTTGACTATTTTTGATACAAAATATGATCGTTCACATGCGTTCATAATCTCGGACGTACTCTCAAAAGGTTCGGAGAGAAAAAAAGGACGTCAGAGGATCATCTGAAAAAGGATTGACCTGGAGATGTCCAAATCTCAGAACATCTGAAAGTCAATCAACTATAAACAGGATGGCTGCGACGAGAAATGAGATCAAATGAGACGCAGAATCGAGCGTTGCCAGACATAGAGCAAGATGGTGGAAAATGGCCTTCAAAGGAGCCTCATGAACAAGGCCATGGGATAAAAACATAGGTTGAGAAGCGTGGATTTTATTGGAAGAATACCTAACAACCATTTCATTCGCCCTATCAGCTGTGTGTGTTGTGAATTGCGTCTTGAGTCGCTGTTCCTTGTCCTGAGATGTCGGTATATTGTCGGTGGCGGAGAAGGTTCGAGGTAAATTCTCGTTGCCAGCGCTATGAGGCAGTATGAGGCACAGTGCCACAGTCCAACATAGATAAGTCAGCGTTTTCATAAAATGAAGTAGAGCGGATAGGCGCAAAGTTTATCAACCAGTCTAACTTAACCTATGTACAAAGAACGTTCCCGAGAATACGCCAATACAATTCTAAGCCAGGTTTAGATTTGAACTCTCGGTGGTGAGTATATGCACTCAGATACCTTGCGACGGAAGAGGAGGGGGGAGAAGGATATCAGAATGACACTCGGAATTAAGATTGACCATGAAAGAACGTCCCGAAACGTTGCACCTTGAATTTGCTATTCCTTTTTGACCACTGTCCGAGTCTCCCCAACTGTAGGTGACTCTAGGTAGCTGTGGACCTGTAATAACTTGGTGAGTAGTAGTATAAACTTTACTGCTCAACTTAAAGGCTAACTAATCAACAGTGTCAAGAAGTGTCAAGAGGTGAAGCTTTGAAGATTTAACTCAGACTAAGTTTTACGCGAACACGTGTTGTCAACTAAACAGACCGAGGCCGACTCTGAGTGAAAAACATTGAACAAGGCCACAAGATACGAGGTAGCTTGGAAATCTGTTATAAATATTGAAATTCAACCTCAGACTTCCTGTGCAGCGCCAGCGCCCTACAATGCAGTGCGTCCATCGGTTCTGGTGCGAATCAAGTCAGATCGAATCATTTCAAGTCATATCCTGACGCGACGACCAAAGCACTTAAGAACGAAGTTGCACGATGGACGATGGATCTCAAAAAGTCGGATATGGGTGTTTCCGACCTCTTCGAAACGTATTATTTCACCTACTACGATGAGCCTTACCTCGATTCGGATGATGAAGACGACCTGTTCAAGTTCACATCCATGCCAGATCGACCTTTGCAGGCTCTCCGTCTCATTAGGGACCATCTTCCTGAAGAAGTCATCCACTGGGAGGGTACCATTGCCTCTGGCCTACTTTTCCATTTGCGACTGCTAGATTTGCGTATTGAACAAGGTGGATACGCTTGTCGTCTTTCGCCGAGATTTACAGTGATAGGGAGGCCACCAGAACCAGGAATTTACACAGGGCTAGAGGCGGAACTGAAGAGGATTGAGAAGGAAGATGTTGGAGCTCAGCGTGCTCGTCGCCGTCCGCTTGATTCATTTCATTTTTCCACTTTAGTACTTCGGATGGTTGAAGCAGCTGCTGCATATCAAGCGCTTTCTGGCAAGGCCAATTCACCTCAGGATATCAATCTCGATAGCATTCCCAACACTGCTCAAGACTTCCTCGGTGTCACACCCACCCAGATATGCAAGGACATTCTTCCTGAATATCGCGTTGTCCACATTGAATCCATCATTCGCAAGGATTTGTCTCAACGGTTCTTGGATTTCCAGGATCGACTTCGTTCGAAATTGATGTTCCGACCGTTGAATGAACTTCGAAAGTTCGTTCCCCCAGACCAACGATATGTCAGAACCGATCATCCAGAAGATTATGTGGAGTATATCGTCAAACCTAAAGTCACATTCCACGGAACGCGTCCTGACCTCGTCCCATCTATCGTGCAATATGGTTTCTTGAAGCCCGGGTCCACTCATCCACGGACTGGTACTTCACTTCCTGTTCGTTGTGGAAGCACTTATGGTAGAGGTATCTACTCCTCGACCAACTCGGCATTTTCTCTCGCCTACTCTGGCACGCAATGTCAGGCAACAAAGCCCGGTGGCATTCCTGGCTTAAAGTTATTAGTATGTGCAACGATTATGGGACGTCATGCACAAATGACCCGAGGTGACAATTGGAGGGATCAAAGTAAACCCTACCCAGGATCAGATTCACACATTGCAAACAACGGGCAGGAATATATCGTGTTCGACAATGCTCAAATTCTTCCCTGTTACGTCGTACACTTAGATTGGGAAAGTAGCTCGGAGGCCAATGACTTCGTGTCAGAGCAGCTGGGACGGTCAGGGAAAAGGCCTCGAATAGACAACAACGATGTTTCATCTCCTGGAGATAGGCAGCGGTTGAAGGAGAATCGATTAGCGCAGGCGAGGAAGTTTTTTGCATATGGCTTTGGGCCAGTATCTGGATCGAGCATTGTAATCGAGGATATTGCAGATATCGAGGATGACGAAGAAGATTATGGGGAGTATCAAGCAGATCGTTTGGACGACGTGAAAAAGGTGGATATCTGGACGTATAAGCTCGCTGGAGAGGACGGATAAAGATGAGTATAGTTCACAGAGGAAGGCACATTACAGAAGGTCGCGAACGGTGAAAGATGAGAAATTTTTGGACTAAACTCTGTGTATGTCGTGTGTACCAATTTTCGATCTTATACCCACAACTGTATTTTCCACATATGGAAGGAACTCGAGAGTGTTACCAACCTCTCTTTATATTATACAATGACTTTCTGAAATTCGTTGAAGGCGACAGTAGTGTTCCGACAGCGACGTCCCCGTTAGAGTTTCAAATTTAATGCCCATTTAGTGTTAACACCTTCACCACCTAACTTCTTCACGATCCCATCTGCTTCCAACTTCTTCATATGCAAATTGATGCTATGGGATGCTGGAGTCCAGAGAGACTCGGGATATCCCTGATAGATCTTCGAAACAATTGTCCAAGTCGACCACCTTGCGCTTCCTGAACTTTCATTGACATCAGGAGAAGGCGGAGCTTTCTGAAGCACCTCAAGAATCTGAGCCTCTCGCTCCAACCTATGTTGAATGTAAGTATCAATCAACTTCGCGCCTTCCTTGACGACTGGCCCGTGACCGGGATATAGAACGTCGTAGGAGTAATACTTCTGATAATCCAACATTTTACGAAGACTGGAGATGTATAACCGGAGGTCCTCAAAGACAGCGGTTCCTTGTCCCAAAACTGTATCGGCAGTGTATAATGCACGATCTTCGGGTATGTAAAGGCATATTGAATCGCGAGTGTGACCAGGAGTGTGTAGAACACGAAGCAAGGTCGAAGAAGTCGTGAATTCCTGACCATCCTGAAGGTCATAAAACACTGAATCGGAGGCTGGGGTGAAAGACTTCGAGGGCAGTGAATTTATGATGGATGGAAGATTGCTTTGCTCTGGTAATTTGTTCGCGGGAAGTGGAAATTTGTGTAGTCGAGGAGGCGTAAAGGGCAGTCCTGTTTTCCGTTCGTCCCATAATCGACGTAGTAGCGCGAGAACAGAGGGAAGACCGCCGACATGATCTCTATGCCAGTGTGAAATGATAATGTCGGATACGTCAGGAATGTCAGAGTCCTCAGACGATAGTGGCACTTTGAGAGCTGACTCTAGGATGGGAACATATTCCTCCTTCCCTTCCCCAGTGTCCACCAAAACGTACGGCCTTTGTCGCCCGACGATATAGGTGTTCGTACCTTGGTGCAAGATTATTATGTTAATCACAAAAGAGCCTGTACTCACCTTGGAGAGTGAATTTCCCTGGATTCTGCGTGAATAGTTCGGTGAGTAATCCGATACGAGACAATCAGTTACTGAATACAGGAGCTTCCGGGGTCCTTACCTGTCCAAGAACTCTAACGACAATCGGACTAAGCTGATGTGATTGAGCATTAATGCTGAGCCCATGCTTCACGCACTCACCCTAGTTATCGAGCCTAGGATTTCCAACGTTTCCATCCTGTAGAGAGAGTAGAAACAAGAGGTGCTATTCGGTTTTTAGATACCCGAAATTGGAATGACGGGCGCTTAGTTTAATCCGCAAGCGCCGGCATCAAAGCTGGCAGTAAACAAACGACATCAACTCGCCGTCTCAACTTGACTTCGACGACCACCCCAGCCCAACCCAGATATCTCAGGAATGGCCGATGTTGATATGGACAACGGAGACAGCTTGAAGAGGAAGAGGTATGCCCGTATGTTTAATCCTTCATCAAGCCCTAATTTTTCTCGTGCAGGTCGGGTTCGACTTCCTCAATAGACGGAAATATCCCGCCTTCCAGCCGTCGCAGGTCGACATCACCTAGAATATCTAAGGTCGACTTTGCAAAAGTTAATGATGCTGATCCTGCCCGTCGTGCAGAGCGAGAACGACAGCTCGCGGCTCGTGTCGCTGCGATGGAACTCGAAAAGAGCAATAATACGAAGGAAAAGGCTCCGGATCAGGAATACGATGCAAAGGCAGAGTTTGCTAAATTGCTCAGTACACGCTCTGGTGGTGTATACATGCCTCCTGCACGCCTAAGAGCTCTACAGGAGGCCGCCGCTGGCGACAAAACTAGTCAAGAATTCCAACGACTTTCTTGGGACGCTCTACGGAAATCTATTACCGGTATCGTAAACAGGGTCAATATCAACAACATAAAGTTGATTGTTCCAGAACTATTTTCTGAAAATTTGATACGGGGACGTGGTCTGTTTTCCCGGAGCATCATGAAAGCCCAATCGTCGAGTTTGCCTTTTACACCGGTATTCGCCGCATTAGTTGCGATCATCAATACGAAACTTCCTCAGGTTGGCGAGCTTGTTCTGACTCGGCTTATCAGTCAGTTTCGGAAGGCGTTCAAACGGAATGACAAGGTATTTAATTGCGTATCTGAGCTTGCTGCCTTTCACTGACCTTTCATTCCCAGATTGTTTGCCATTCTACTACGACATTCATCGCCCACTTGGTCAACCAAGCAGTAGCACATGAAATCATCGCACTCCAGATCCTTGTCCTCCTACTTGAGCGTCCCACCGATGATTCCATAGAAATTGCTGTTGGTTTCATGCGCGAAGTTGGTGCTTTCCTAGCTGAAAATTCCCCGATAGCCAATGCCACTGTCTACGAGCGATTCCGTGCTGTTCTGAATGAGGGCTCCATCAGTCATCGTGTTCAATACATGATCGAAGTCCTCATGCAAGTCCGGAAGGACAAGTACAAAGACAACCCTATACTTCCAGAAGGCCTAGATTTAGTTGAGGAAGATGAGCAGATCACGCATCGAGTACAGCTCGAGGAAGAATTGCAAGTGCAGGAGGGACTGAGTATGTCATCCTTGCTTTTAGGAGTGGGCTTTCGCACTAACATAATACATCTCTTTGTTTAGACATCTTTAAAGTTGATCCTGACTTTCTACAAAATGAGGAAAAATATAAATCTATCAAAAACGAGATATTAGGAGAGGATTCAGATGAAGATTCAGGGTCGGAAGAAGTTTCCAGCGATGAGGAAGATTCTGAAGGTAATCATTCCTGAGATTTCGCGTCTTCACTTTACCAATCCTTCGATGCAGTGGAAGAAAAGGAAGGTATCGAAGACCAAACCGGGACCAACCTGGTCAATTTGCGTAGAACAATCTACCTGACCATCATGAATGCCCTAAATTATGAAGAAGCAGTACACAAACTTCTCAAGGTGCAACTTTCCGAGGGTGAAGAGGTCTGTGATGTTCCCTCTTTCCAACGTGCCACCAATCGCTGATTTTCTCTATCCAGATTGAGATGGTCAACATGATCATTGAGTGTTGTTCGCAGGAACGGTCATATTCCACTTTCTACGGTCTCATTGGGGAGCGATTTAGCAAACTCAACCGTGTATGGACAGAGTGTTTCGAAACCGCATTCAACAATTATTACACTACTATTCATCGTTATGAAACCAATCGCTTACGGAACATCGCGCGATTTTTTGGACATCTTTTCGCCTCAGATTCGATATCCTGGGTAGGCTTGGAGTGTATCAAGATCAATGAGGACGACACTACTTCGAGTAGTCGTATCTTTGTCAAGATCATGATGAACGAAATGATGGAGAGTATGGGGTTGAAGACGTTGTCAGAAAGGTTTAAAGATGATGAAGTGAAAAGAGCTTGCCAAGGCATGTTCCCTACGGATGTGCCCAAGAACACTCGATTTTCCATCAACTATTTTACCAGTATTGGGTTAGGTGTGGTCACAGAAGAGATGCGAGAATGGCTGAAGGTAGGCGACTTTATATACCAATATGCTCAAGACATTGATTGCCATCCTTATAGAACGCTCCCAAGTTGATCATGGAACAACGACGAGCGATGCTCGAGCAAGAGTCGTCGTCGGATTCTGATTCATCTTCCGACTCGTCTTCAGACTCAGACTCTTCAGATAGCTCTGATTCCGATTCCATAGATTCTAGGCGGCACCGACGACGTTCTTCAACTCCCCCTGTTCGTCGTCAGCCGTCTGCATCCCGTGAACCCAGAGATTCTCGTGGACCCCCGAGAGGACGAAGTATATCCCGTACACCACCTCCGTCGCGTGGTCGTCGACGAGACGATAGTCCTCCACGCTCACAGCGCAATAGTTCTATGCATATAAAGCGTGATGCCGGAGGTCGCTCCCCGCCTCCGTACGGGTCTAAAAGTCGTTATCACGATAGAGATGACACTTTTCTTTCTCGTCGACGCCCTTCCCCTACCTCTTCAAGGTCTCGCTCTCCCCCTCCTTATTCAAAGCCAAAATATTTTCGAGCTAGATCTGATTCTCGGTCTCGGTCTCCACCTCGCTCATCTCATATCAATGAAAGAAAACATCATTCGCGATCTCCTCGGAGAGACGATCGCAGTAAAAGAAACGACTATCCACCAGACAGGAAACATCGGGACCAGGAATCAGATAGACGACGCACGTCGCCTAGGCGGGAAACTCGTGAATACGAACGAAGAAGGTAGTCGAAGCTTTTGTTGGAGTTCAGGTGAACGTATCTTCGATCAGAATGTTGCTTTCATATGTGTAGGATTTTCGGTCTTGCTACAATGACATACACTGTTGTACACTTCAGTTGCCAAAGCGTTCTATGAGATCACCATTTTAATTCAAATGTCTTCGCCGCCGGTCTATCTTGAACGCCATAGCAACCGTTCATACTTTATAAAAATCTGCGGGGAATGGAAACTGAGATTCAAGTTTTTTTTCTTTTGCGACACCTCAAACTCTACTCCTTTACTATCATCTATTTATCACCATGTCAGACAGCCACGCAGAAGAAAATTTAAATTTTGCGGCTACGTGCGTGTTCTCTATAGTCCAGGTCGTTTGTTATCATCCGAAATTGAATGTACTGTTCTGTAGCCGACATGGCTGGACGCGGAACTTCACTATCACTCCAGAGAAAGTTGTTACCATGTCCTACGCCACACTAGAATCTGTTCTCGAGCTGAACACACTGAAAATTCGAGCAATGTCTTTGCGAATCTTCGCTGAGCATCCTCCCGCATCAAACAATTTCGTAAAAATCCGGCCATGGAAGGATGATGGCACATTGCAGTCCATCCTTATGAAGGCCTTTTTTGAAGAGCGTATGAAGGCTGGCGTTACGACTAATCTGGACATCCGCGATGGAAACATTCGTGAGAATGATATTGGCGACGGAGGCAAAGACGGATCTGGAGGTATTGGTGCTAAGGAATGGCTTAAGGCCCATGGATTGACGAAGCCCAAGAGCAATAACCCGAATCCGTCAGTGGCAGCAGAATCAGAGGAGCATGATGTAGGTGGTATACACCGTGTATGTACTTGAAACTGTCACCAACCTGTTTCTAGACCGAGCAAGCTGCAGCGGTCATCGGGGGAAACGGTTTCTTCTCCGCATTTGGATTTGGCAAAACATCTGTAGCACTAACGCCTCCAAAATCTGATGAGGATGTTTCTGAAGTTGACAATCATTCACTCAAAGCCTCTGAAAAGGGACTGAAGACTGAAGAAGACATCCTTCGCGAGGTTTGTTCATGATTGTTTGCGAGAAGAGAAACTCAATGCACAATATCCAAATGACAGCGAGGATGGGGCCCCCCTCTGATGCGTCGCTTGACAAACCGCAACCTGAAATCACGGAAATCGCAAGCTCCCATTGAAGAAAAAGATATCCAAGAAGAAGGCGACGGCGAAGAAATTGAAATCCCCGAAGCTGAAGAGGCGAATGGAGGAGCCCGGCCAGAAAAGAACGTGCGCACAGATTTTGACCCTTGCTTTGATCAACTGATATGAAAAATTTCATCCTTAGGCTCTTTGGCGCAAGCACAAAAATAATACCTTCCTTGGTAGCGGGAAGAAGGCCAAGAGTGGTGTGGAGATTATCAAGACTCCTTCAGATGCTCTTAAACCTGCATTGTCGGCCCCAGCATCGCCCTCGAAGACGACATGAACTTTCATCTTGTTCACGATCATTTGTCCTCCCTCTTTTGTTACGATCATGATATCCTTCTAATTGAATACTCTACCCCGATTACTGCACTTTATCTTATGTACCTCCGAGATTGGCTGTTGTATAGCTCTTCATGTTAAATCGACATGTGTTTCGACTTACGATTTTGTACATACTGAATGCGTGTCCTACTTCCTACTTATATTCAGAATGCTGGCTAGCTCATGATTGCCTCTAATTAAGTGTTCAGTTCCGAGCTAATACTGTGCCAGAATGCACATCTTGCAGCTTGTGCATCGGTGATCTCCTCCATTGCGACAGCCCCAGGATGAAGAAGGATACGCGGACCACCTGAGGTGGAATTTGTGACCGCCTTGGAGTTCGAGAGAAAACTCAACCAAAAGCTCCAATGAAAAAGGCGGGGGAGCTCACCGTCCAAGATGCTACATTAGTGGCAGTCGGTTCCTGGGCAGTGACGAAGGACGACCAATATTGTTGCATGGCCACAAACAGCGCAGCGTCATTCCCGGTGAACCCCGAAGCGGCATCGAAGAGTCCCGTCAGGTCGGCTCCATGGTCGGAACCTTGGTCTGGGTTGTCATAGCTAAAGAAAAAACGAGGAAAAAAGTCAATTCATGGCGTAAACATGAAAACTTCACTTCTCACTGATATTGGAACGAGGTGAATCCCTGCCTTGTGGCGGCGGCAGAAATCATCATTCCAGTGCAAATATATCTTGCCTCGCCGTACATCTGCTGGCCTTGAAGGCTTAACGAGTTGTTGTAGTCGGCCAAGGGATAAAGTTCCAGAGCAGTTGTGAATGTAGAGTTTGAGAGGGTGGGCCATTGTCCGGCCAAGAAGTTATAGACTGTTGTCTCCGTAGCGTTAGGTTCGGAGGTGTTGGCGGCTGGGTTGGGTAACTCGGCAGACCAATTTGCGCCCTCGTCCGTGTTGGATCTGAAGAGGCCACATTCAACCTTCAGGGTGCGAGGATTAGAATTGATGGACCTACCCAAACAAGACAGGAACTTGGGAAAATGCTCCACTGGCAAACGCTTCGACCGGTCTAGTTGCCAGGAAAGTACCATCAATGCAGGGGGCAAAAACAAACAATGTCGAGGTCCGGTTTTTCAACACCTGGGTACCCGCAGATGCTATAGTGTTCGCATCAGCCGCAATGAGGCAAGCCATAACGTCGGACGATGAAGAGCAACCCCTGTTGGATAGTATGGATTCAGAAAAACGTCAGTATACATGTCAATCAGAAGAAAGGTCGAAAAGTCTTACGCAAAACCAGCAAATAAGTCAAAGACGCCGTTGAGATAATCGCTGTCAAAGTCAGGCATGAAGCTCAATGATGAGCTATCGCCCATTGAGGCACGGAAAAGGCCCTCTTGATCGCCTCCATTTGCTATGAGCTGTGAATACAATGTAATGTTACATTCACGAAGAACGACAGTAAAAGAACATGGTCATACATGGAACATTGTAGCCCCAGCTCCAGCAGATTCTCCCCAGATCGTGACTTTTCTGAAGACATCAGGATCGTCAGTGCCCACGGCAGACCACCTAACCATCGGCACTTACGTAGGATCTCCGCCAAAGTTAGATATATATCTTTGAACCCACTGCAGACCGACACGCTACGAAGGAATGATGACAAAATAGTCAAAGACTCTTGAGGTCATTGCTGCATACCTGGTCCAGCATCCCAGCGTTCAGTGACCCATTCGCTGCTGCGAAAGTTGATCCGGCTAAGAATCCGAACTGCCCTAAACGATACTCGAAGGACACGAAAATCATTCCAGGCGAAGGCGCAGCTTGCATCAGCGGAATTGCGTTTGCTCGACTATTTCCAGCTTGGAATCCTCCTCCTACAAGAGTCCGGACATTGCGGAATGGCAGAAATCGGAAGAATCACAGTTATATTTTTGTATGTGAGAATGGAAGAATTCAAGAAGCCAATCAGACACGAAGGTAAGGAAAATGAACCAATATAGGAAAGGCAAGGAAAGGTAAAACACTAACCATGAAACCACACCATGACCGGTAGGTTCGAACTCAAGGTGGCATTAGAGGGAACGTACACCTATTTAGATCGGACTAAGGGTGAGCAGTGATGAGAGGTTCAAACGACAAACAACTCACGTTGGCGAATAAACAGTCTTCAGATGTACCTGATACCACGGTCGACTGAGGGACAGGTATGCACACATTACCAAACTACAACTCGTCAGGGGATGACATGGGGAATGAGCATTGCCAATACCCACAGTGCTAGCGTTGACCGTCCCAAGCTGCGTCGTAGGGGGGAATACAGGAGCTTTCCATCTCAAGTCACCAGTCGGAGGCTCAGCAAACCGGACTCCCTTGAATGAAGTGATACCTGTAGTTGAGTCTTCGACACCGACGAATGTTCCATCTAAGTAAATAGTGCAATACGATTAGCATCTCGGTCTTGATTTGGACACAGTTGAAGTGAAACGTACAGTCGAGCTCGATAGTAGCCTGTCCGGCAACCATTGGGATATACACGCTACACAGCGCGAGAAGAGTGTTGAAAGCGAGCATGATGAGGATTCTGTCGTTCGAACTCGTTTTTTTTGGATTCGCTTCCTTCTGTACTTATAGCCTGTGTCAGCTGGCTCCTGCAATGCGGAAGAATTGGCTGGTGATTTTTGAAAATAGATTTCCCAGTGCACGCGTGGGCGTTGAAAGACCTTGAAAGACTTTGAAATCAAAATCTCGTAAAAGAGTGTGTTTTTTTGTAGGTCGGAAAAAGGTTGGGAAATTACTGGAGTGTACGTATGTGGTAAAGGAATGACTGATGAGAGAAAGTGACAATGATCAACCTGAGGCTGTTGTGTTTCGTCCTTAGTCGATACAACGACTTGACGACGACCGTCGGAGGCATAAACACCCACATGGTGAATATGATGTCAAAGCAGTGAATCAGATCGGCGATTGCCGAAACGATTTGTGCACCGAGGTCGCATCAGGTTTGTCAGTAAAGTCAGTTGTTTGTCAGTTACTCTCACTAGTTCTCCTACATAACTTCCGAGGTTATTATTCTGCGGCCATGCGAAATACTTAAAGCCAGACTCAAAGTGCCAGGACTAACTCAATGTCTCAAATCACCCTATTCGGCGGCACAGGGCCTACCGGTAATGCACTTATTCGCGAAGCCCTACGTCGAGGCCATACCATCGTTGTCTTTGCTCGTAGTCCCGATAAACTTGACTCCGAATTGAGAGACTCAGCAAGGATAAGCGTCATTCAAGGTTCATTTTGTTTTTTTTTTACTTCACGTACTGAATAAGACCGAATATGAATCTCAAAGGTCGTTCAATCTAGGAACCTTGGACTCTTATCCTGCTATACAACGCTCCCTGCACAACTCCGCCGCTGTTTTCGTTCTCCTCACGCCTTCGGACGGTCTTCCTGGTTGGGCTGGTGGCTCTTCTTCACCACTGACAATGACTACTGGTTATCGCAACATCATCCGTGCTATGTCCGAACTTAGCGTGAAGCGACTTATAGGCATAGGAACCCCCTCGCATGTCGAACCTCAAGATGGATTTAACTTTGGTTTAAAATTAACTGTGCCTATGCTAAGGCTGTTAGCTCCAAAGGTGTTTGAGGATGTTGTAGAGACCGGAAAACTGTTGAAAGGTCTAGGAGATGATGAAAAGATTGATTGGACCTGGTTCCGAGTTTCCTTATTGTACGATGGACCTGCTCCCAGTGACAAAAAGTATCAGCTTGGTTTCACGGGACAAGGAGGAAGGTTTCTACTTCCCAGTCTTTTCAGGGAAGAGCTTGCGAAGGCCCTGCTAGACGAGATGGAGGATGGAAAGTGGGTGAGAGGAATGCCTTTCTGTTGGACTTGAGTTCCACGAGCTCTTCTACATACTTTGTTTTCGATGCATCGTATCTCCTCTGATGATTCTTGTCAAGATCAAAGGTCCTAGAAGAGTTAGATAGAATGCCTGAAATTATTATCAGTCATACCACAACCACACCATTGGCAGAGATTCAGAACGCCAATGCCCATTGCTAATGGAAACAAGAGCATTGGAGTCAGATTCATTAAAAAATAATGCACGCACTATTGAGCCACAAGCATGCTCAATACTATGTGTGAGGCATAATGATTCTAATGCACGCTACACGAAAGATTTTGTTGATAAGGTCAAAGCTGGACTTAGCTAGATGTGGCTGTGCTCGTAGAGTAACTCGGTGACTGAGTACATAAGCGCTTGATCAATGTTCTCGATGTCATGGATAAGTTCAAAACGCTAGAACCTCTCAAGTTATATTCTCCCCCAGCGAGTGCTTCTCCCATTCGAAAAGCCACAGTCGCACCCCAGTTTGTGGGCAAACTCCCGTCAGATCTCCACCTATTGATTCTCTCTTACCTCCCTGTACCGGACTTTCCTGCCTATGCTCGTTGCTCACATGCCACCGCCGCCTTAGCTGAAAGTGAAAAGTTATGGGAGACACGATGGAAATCACTGAAAATGGATAATAAAGGTCTGGGAGTTGTGCTGAACGATCTAGAAGAACATTCGAAGGGAAGAGCAGCAGAGTCACGAGCAGCGGCGCCTCCAACAATAACCGTAGATGATGAATTTGGAGATTTTGCCTCCGTGGATGTACCACCGGATGAGATGGGTGACTTTGTAGGAGCTTTTCAGAATCCAACAACCCCAATGTCGGCGTCGTTGTGGACGAACAACTTCAAATCGACTTCGACGTTTCGCGGACAGTACATTCGCGTTCATAATCTCCTCAAGCCCTTAACTAAAACCCTCCTATCACCTGCGCATATCATTCTTAACGACCTTGCTGCTGCAGTCACGCCTTCTCTACGATCAGAAGCCTCAACTCTGCGCTTGTTGTTCTTGTTCCTTTCGCAAAGCATCCAACCGGTACGGAAATGGCGCGAGTACAGAACTGCACTGCGAAGTGCAATGGATAGGTTTGATGCAAATCTGTTGGCGGCATTCGACAACGCAGACGAAAGAGGTGACGAAAACGGAATGCGGGAGGCAGCAGAGAGCAGCTGGCTCGTTTGGGACGGCGCAGACAGTGACTGGGAGATGGGAAAAGTTTGGGCAGAGAAACGGGAGATATTCTACGATCAACCCTGGGATCCGTTGGCCAATTTCACGTAAATTCATTCTTCATTCAGTCTCTGTTGGTATATGATAACTTACAAATCCTTTGCCTAGTAAAGACCGTCAACTTGCATTCGATGCTATGGATGACTTCATGACCATTGTCCTAAACGCCATAAGCGAACACGGTTCTCGCGCCGTTCGAGTATTCCCCGCTGAAGCTGGCGTCCTCATATCCTTTTCGGAACGCGTCGCTTCAGACGTAGTTGGAGAGTACATATCCACCGTTCTGACTCGTGCACGCGAGATATCCCTCGACATTTTTCTGAAAGCCACTGCAGCGAGCTTTAGGGAAGCTTGGAAGATGGTTGATACCATCATGTCTGCAGGTGGAACATCGACATCCCGGACTAAAGCAGAAGACGTTGTGTGAGAGCCGCTACTCTATTCCAAGGTCGCGGAGCTCACTCATATGTGTTATGCAGCTTCCGCATGTTTGAGCCAAACATGGACGAGTATCTTGATGAGGAAACCGAAGTTGTCAAGCCCACGTTCGAGGCTATATGTAAAGGTTGGGATCAACAAGCTTCGGAACGTCACAATAACTTGGGCGACGTTTCTGCTCGATTCCTCACTTCACATAATCCATCTCAGGTTAAACGGAACGTCCTTGCAAGTTTCACTAGTGTGCTCTTACTACCCGTGACTATCGTTCCCAGAACTGTAGGAGCTGTCGGCGGAGCATTGGTGAGCGGAGGAACAGCAGTTGGCGGAGCTGCCGCCCAAGGAATTGCCATGTTGAACCCACAAAGATGGGGCGGAGCCGGTGGAGGTGGATGGGGTATTTCAAACGTCCCAGAAGGTTACCAAAAACATAGAGGTCAAGGGAATGAAACGATGTTTGAGATTGGCTCAGACGAGGATGACGAAGACGAGCAAGAGGAAAAGGAGAAAGCTGAGGTGTTTGATGAAAAGCATGGTGGACTAAGCCTAGCGCCACCTCCCTCAGCTGCTCCACTGTCCGCTGGTACTCTACACACTGCATCTACCTCCCTAGACCAAATGGACCAAATGGATACTTTACTCTCCCTCGACGTCGCTCTAGAGCTCATTCACACCTCCCGCGAATCCCTCAAGCGATTAGAAACTTTTGCGGCATATCCTGATCGAATCGGTGATAGAGTCAGAGATACCATTGAGGAAGTGTTCATATTGATGCTGCAGGCATTGGGAGATGGTCATGTAAAGCGTGGGTTTTCAAGGTGTGTTCCTTTACACATTTATATCTTCTTAATCTCATACTTTCAAAGAGCAACAGCCCGAATGACGTCGTATAAACCTGCAGAACACGAAGAGACGACAAGCGTAGCACCCCTGCTACAATTCTTCGAGCTGGTCCATATCGGAGACACGATCCAAAGTATGGTGCAGGTGTACTTCGATAAAGAAATGGTGCCCCATCTCGTTTGTCGTGTATTGGCGTTTATTCTTATATGAATGAATTATATCTCCAGGCTCCTCACATCGATAAAACTGACTTTCTCAACTCTGTCGTGCGCGAAAAAAAGCGGTTCGAAAACTCCCTCGACGACTCTGTTGCGGGAGGACTTAATGCTGGCACCGAGGTCTTAATGAACCAAGTCGAACATATAATATTGAAGCTCACCGAACCTAGAGAGTATTACCCTCCGGAAAATGCCGCGTTGGATTTGAAACCGAGTAAGGGATGCACTGAAGCGATCAAGTGTTTGGAAATGCATTGTAAGCTGCTGAAGGGGAGCACGAGCAAAGAAGTGTTGGAGGTGTTCCATCAGGAGGTTGGGATCAGACTTATAGCGTGAGTGGGAGGGTACCTAACTTTTACCGTCGGGCCTCAACTGATATGTTGTACCGTCCTCCTCATAGAATCTTACAAAAGCATATCAAACGCCAAATCATATCCCTCACTGGCGGGTTTCAGGTCATCGCTGATCTCAATGCTTACCACGCCTTCATTAGTTCACTCAAGGTACCTTCAATAACCGCCGATTTCGCCCATCTGAAAATGCTAGGACATGTCTATGTTGTCGAGGATGCAAAGGATTTGGCTCAAATCGTGAGGGATGTGACGAGGTATGGAGGTGCATATAGGCCGGAGGTATATATCCTTTTCATAAATTACACGATAATGGGTGCTAATTCGTACTTGATGTCAGGATATATACGAATTTATCCAACGAAGATCAGATTGGAAAAAGATCGAAAAGACGGTAGATAAAACGATGTATAATTTGAGCTTCAAGGAGGATTGTATTGTTTGTTAAATGGATGATGGACCATTTTGAACTTTGAAAAACATTCAAGGTGAACCAAAATAATAGCGTAAATAAGAAGGGGGCGAGGTTCAGGGCCACTCGAAAAATAAGCCATTATGATACTATGGTAGTCCCACGTTGCCAAACCAGGTACGTGGTCGAGGCCCTGGTTGGATGACATCTCTTTTCCTACATGCTCAACAGGCACCTCGCGTCGACAAGATAGACTTCCTCACGTTACCGCGTGCGTTCCGGAAGCACCCTCGATGACTACGCTGGTATCAATTTCGCGAATTGTACGTTCACCGTATCTCTAGAGTATGAATGCCAGAATTCAGCCGACCAAAATAGGATGATTCAAGTATGCGAATTAGAGGTTCAGTCTAACGTCCAGTCTTACAGGCCGTGGGAATTCGAATGCGATTCACAGCTTTGACAACTAACACTGTATGTATCGCTGGTACTTATGTACGATTTACTATCTCACTTTTTTTGTGTCATAGATCCAGATTAGCCCAGGATTGGCCCCATATGGCTACCGAATGGTTACTGTTATTAAAAGAAATTGGTTGCCATCTCTCGATGCACAGCGACCTACAGCGACCTCTCAATCCAGTCTCAATCTAATCACTGTTGTCTTATTATAGAAACGCAGGGACAACTGAGATCGAATCATATGTATAGAATTTTACCAGTAATACTTGGCCAGGCGGCGGTCCATTGATTCACTTCATCAATCTGGCCTTGTTCTGGACAGAGCGCGAACCTTACCCTTTGGGATAAAGCGAGATCAGTAACCTCGACGATATGATACACTACCGCCCACATCCCCCATGCGCTGGCAGCCCACCATTTCCACTGTAGCAGACATGTTCGCCAATCCTCAGGCAGGAGTCTCATCGTCAACCATTTTTCGCTTGCAAAATCCTCTTCAAAGTGATTTCACTCAGACTCTTTCTGGTAAAGGGTACAGGCGGGCCAACCGACAAACAAGCTTGGGATCCTTGATGCTTAATCCTCCGTCGCCAACATCCATGCACCCTGCTAGTTCAGACCGTGATGCTGACTGGAGCGTATGGCAGAACGATTTGCGTACAGCATTTGGTGAAGACCAGTCCGTTTTGACAGAAGGTGCGATTTTCTTGAGGGCCTAAATAAGGACAACATTTAGTTGAACTAAGAATACCTGTAGTAGATGTCATTCAATCCGTCCCGCAGTCCTTCGGAAGCCGCGTTCCCAAACCTTTGCCATCAAATCATTCAGACACAAATACCCTCAAGCCTCCGAGTTTAGTGGAGGCGGAACGAAACCCGGAGAAAGAAAAATCTAGAATTGTTCGGCTGGCAAATCTCGTCGAGCAGGCACGCGAGCGCAGTCGATGTGTTAATGAACATAATAGAGTTGGTGCCTTCGTTGTTGGCGACCTTTCTATCACTAAGTCTGCGATGGTCGGCCGCAGCACCAGGAAGTCAAGTCCGAATTGTACTTCGGCAGCCGAATCCCCTTCTGAGTCTCTTTCAACTGCCATCGTCGTCATGGATATTGAATCAGATGTAGAAACCCCTTGGCATTTATCTAGACGCAGGTCGAGGACTCTATCCTCAGGCTCAGCCCAACATCTCATGCCTTCCGTTCGCTCTTCTTCTTCCTCTTCCGCTCAGTCTTCCCCGCTCTGCGTTACACCTGAACTCCCTGAGGTTCCATTACCCCTTCTTCCCCAATCTGTGCCCATTTATCATATGAGTGGTAAAAGAGACATATCTTCCGATAACATTCTAACTACCTCCACATCGGATGTGTATCCTTTGGAGTCGTCGGTTGCACATATGGCACTGCATCATAGTACACCTTCGATTGACACCGATTCATCGAGTATAAAGCATGTACACTGCGAATCTACTACAGCCCTACCTTCCACCTCCACATTGTTATCTTCGGATGCGAACGCATCTTGGCGCGCGGAGCATGGCCCCTCTTACCTTTCTCGTTCACAACGGCGTCTCGCACGCACTGTGATTAACCCGTCCTGTCATGATGTCCAAAACTACCTATATGAAGGGGGACAGACGGGTGTGGTCAGCGGAGGGGTCATGCTTGGGCCCCAAGTTCAGGGAAAGAAATCGGGGCAAAGATGTCCTGCTACTCCGAAGGGACGGGAACAGCATCAGCACCGAAAGACTAAAAAGGCGCAGGGAAAAAGACCGCCGAAACCAAAGAATGCACAATCTACATAGACGGTCAACGTGCGGGACGGGATCAGGATTTATTCTGGAAAGGTTACCATTTCGCCCATTCGAAAAATGCTCTAGCCTTTGTTCCAGCCTTTTTCGCAACCTCCAGATTGATCTCGCGATGCTTCTAGATTATCTCTTCGTTTTATTATTTTGTATTACTACATCTGCTGTCGTCGTTCCCTACACACTGTACAAGTTTGGCTTCTGATCTACACTACGCTGTCTCATTCCCTCCCTATCCTTCCATCTGTACTACCAAACCATATTTCCTACATTATTATTGCATATAGGCAAAAGGCTCGTTCAAGTATTAAATGCTTGCGGAGTAGTGTATAATCGTCGACTCAACATAGTTAGAAATGTCATCATCTGTAAATGACCTTCACTTATTTAATCTGACCTCTGAATTCCATACATGAAAGATGAACTGAGTTTACAAACGACAAACAGCAGTGCAAATCAGAGGTAGTCATCGAGAATAATTAAATCTTCGGAAGCTACATATAACATCCTTTACCCCCTCCGCCTTAGCCTAGTCCCTTTAATTCATAGTCCAAAAAACAATCTTCTCACAAGCATTTTTACCGCTCCTCCAGCAGAGTTCGGGTCATTACCTCCAGGAAGTGGAAGGTCCATACCGATCTTGTCTACCACATAATAACCGAAAAACAGCACCTTGAATACCAATGCTAGTGCGGCATGGAGAACACCGATCACAATAATAAGCAAGCGGGTAGCTTTTGCCTCGGCCTTTGAGACGAGAAGCGATGAGTACACAAGATATGCAGAGATACCAGAATACCAGAAAACTCACAGAAGCAAGGATAGGGTATATATTTCTGATAAGAAAATATCCCGAGGATGCAAAAGCCAGGAACACAAGAACCCAGCGGAGAAGAGGAACCGGTATTACACACAGAATCTACATGGAGGGTCCGCAATCGTCAAAACGTTAAGACAGAAGAGAGGGTAATACAACTTACAGAAACCGGAATCCACACAAAAAGTGCGTATCCCCATATTGCCACAGCATCCACTACACTCCACTCACCCACCCCCATATACCTCAGCGATATCCACAGTAATACCGGGAGACCTAACCCGTACGCGTACACGATACCCACTGCCTGGGATAACAGCCCAAAGTCATAATCATATTCTCCATCGGCTGAAGAAAGGTATGCGGAAATAGAAGCCGCGAGACTTGACGAAAGGAACAAAGTGAATATAAGAGTCGTGAGAGTCCAAAAAGGTCCGTAGAGATCTGGTGGGTTTAGGTGGGTAGAGAAGTAGTTGGTCGATGTTGGGAGAAGAGTTGAGTAACAGCGGCGAAGAACCTTCAGCGCATGTTAAATTGGGTTCGAATCTGAAGGGAAAATGCATACCTCTTTAGTGTCAACTTCGAAGTAAACCTGATAGTATTCGACTGTCCAGAATCCTCCGCCTGATTTTCGTGGATGAGGCTGGTCTGAAAGGTAACCTACACAAGAATTGTCACTTTTTAGATGAACATCAATATATTATACGCACCTCTGTCGACATTTGAGACACCAGCAGAGCCCGGCCTCGTATTTGATGCATTATCGCCCAGAAAAGCTGAAGAATTTCGTCAATAGAGCACCCTACGAGCCTTGATTATTTATCACATTTAAACTGTAGGCCCTCTGGGCCCTCTTCTAGGCGCTACTGGCGTCAGGATCATCGGAGAAATAGCATAAAATCACTAACTTCATCTGCTTCTACAGCCACGTATGCCATGAACGACGAGGAGAAAGCGCGTTTCCGGTACTCTCCGGACCGGGCTTTATTACTTTTCCCCAAACGCCAATGCCAGATTCGGACTTGCGATTAACTTTCTTACAACTTGTCCAACGCTATGACAATGCCACCATATCTCGACCCCCAACAGAGTTCAATTCACCTTCAGAGTTCGATGATGAAGTCCTCGTGCCTTTGTACCTTTCCTCTTCACCCTCTTCCAAAGATCATCAAATAGTGATTGGTCTCCTTCGACCAGTCATCATCGAACAGCTCAAGACAGAGAATGAACAGAGTCGACTTGCAAACAAACAGGAACTTTGGGATCTCGATATTGATACCGCGTCCTCAAAACCCCGCGTAAGCTTCGCTGGTTGGGTTGACACTCCATCAAAACGCACCACAGCGATGAAGGAGCTTTGCGAACGATGGAGGGACTCTGGTGTTTTCCCAGACGTTTGTGGACCAAAAAAATGGCGCGCAGAGCTGTATCCGGTTTACAAAGACCCATTCGGACCGCATGATCACCCCAAGGACGACTCAAATGAGTCTAATTTCGCATTTGACATGGAGCGCTCGGCGTGTGCACTGTTCGGTGTAGTCACTTACGGTGTGCATATGACTATATATCAAGAAATTGAGACGGATATGTCGAAAGAACTGAAAATTTGGGTTCCCACAAGAGCCAAAACGAAACCGACGTATGTCATTCGAAGACTCAGATAGACAGACTATTCTGAAGCCGATCTGCAGATGGCCTGGATACTTGGACAACACAGTTGCAGGTGGCATCCCTAGTGGAATGGGTGTGTTCGAATCCCTTGTCAAGGAATGTATGGAAGAGGCCAGTATTACTGCTGATGTGGTACGAAAATATACCCGATGCGTTGGCTCTATTAGCTATTTCTTCCGGTGCGTATCGTTTCTCTAAAGCAGAGCGATTATCAATGATTCTTCAAAGGACGTCTGCTGGATGGCTTCAACCTGAAATCGAGTGGGTCTACGTTCGCTTCACGATCATAACAGATCATGAGGCAGATAATCTAATTTCACTAGATATGTGTATGACATGCCCATACCTTCAGACACCGATCCTATCCAGTTTACACCGAAACCACTTGATGGAGAGGTGGAATGTTTTGAGGTACTAAATCATTTTTAGACATCGATTCAATTTTTGCCGAACATATGCATTTTTATTCTTCCTGTGATTGTTCTAGCTTCTTGATCAATCCACCGTCATGGATAAAATGCGCGCGGGCAAGTTTAAAGCAAACTGTGCATTGGGTAAGTGACGGTTGCTGCCGTTCCGTCGTGCCTTCCGAGCAGTGGCTAATTAATTTCCTTGAACCTTCCTCCTTGACCGTTTGCTTGGCTTCGACACAGTCCTCATCGATCTCTTTATCAGACTGGGATACATCACGCCTGATAACGAGCCAGAGTATATGAAGATTATTACCCGGCTTCATGGACGTTTTGAGTATGAAAAGTGGTAAACTAGGGTAAACTGGGTTGTTGAAGCGCAACAAGTCCAATGGAACAATGTACAGTATCACAACGTTATGCAGACCCAGAGAAGTACTTAGATAAATAAGAGTTAATTAGAAGTAAATATTTAAGTTTGGCAAGCGAAGAGAGGTCACGTAATCGCTCTGCATGTCAGCTTCCATTCCAATGATTCCATTCTTCATGTCCGCCCAGTGTCCGATTGACTTTATCTTTCAATGGATTGTTACTTAAAGAAGACAACTCCTTACGACGTGGTCCCAAGTTGTCTCCCACTCTCAAGCAAATGGCCATCCCCAAAATATTCAGCGATACATTCGTCTTCGCTTGGGACTTTCTCCTCACTCTCACTAACATCGTTACACCCAGCATCAAGGCTGGGCACGTCGTACCTGAGGGGCATGCCGGAGCAGGGGGCAAATGGCCAGAGTATGTGCCGCCTGGAGAAGATGATAGTCGGAGTGCGTGTCCTATGTTGAATGCTCTGGCAAATCACGGCGAGTCTTTTGAAAAGAATAGACTATTTTCCTCGCTTATAGTGCCCCCATCCTACTTTCAGGTATCTTGCCACACGATGGAAAGAATATATCTTTCAAGGCGATGAATGAGACTGTTCGCTCAACGTACAACTTTGCTCCCTCCTTTTGTTATTTTGTGCCGAATTACATTGCGGGGATTTTGAAGAAGGATTACTCAAAAGACACATTCGACCTGGCCGAGATTAGTCTGCACAACGGGATAGAACATGATGCTTCATTGACTCGTAAGTTCACATTCCTTATATTCTCTATTTGTTCACCCAATTTTATAATAAGGTCAGGATACCTTCCATCAACCTGACCAAGGGAAACCCCACGTTCCCTTCGTTGAAGAGCTCCTCCAATCAGCCTCTGGACAAGATTCAAAGAATAAAAACAGTACTGAGGATGTACTGCTAACCTCGGAAGACCTTGCGCGATACAGTGCCAAACGTCGGACGGAAGCAAAAGTGCACAACCCGGACTTCTCGTTGAGCGCATTTCATAAAGCTTTTGGAAGCTCCAAGTGGGTTGTTCATCGTACTTATTTTCTCCAATTCCTAACGACCAATATTCTCTAACAGCTCTGCAACCCTTCTTCGCATCTTCGGAGGCCGAGTCTCTGACCTGCGCCCGTTTCTCATCGAGGAGCGCATTCCGGAAGGATGGGAGCCTTCGGTTCGATCCCGTGTTGGACTTACCATGGCGGCATTCAACCTGACTGTGCTTCCTTTGGAAACCGCAACTGAAAGGTTCATGAAAGTACTCGCAAAGGATGTACAAAAGCCGACTGAAGTTGCGAATTACGGTGCGACAGGTATCACTGAGGCGAACACGTAGGGCGGCCCGGAGTACACTTAGCAGTCATCTTGAAGGCCTTCGTATTACTTACAATAAATCTATGCATTTATCACCTTGCTTGCAAACTATGTATACCCACTTGCGTTGTTAGTCTACAATTCATTTGCCACCGAGCAAAGCCTAGTATTTAGCGAATAAGCGCCCGTCTTATCAACGCGCCTATTAACGCGTCACCCTCTTCACCCACACCACATACTTCTTGTGTATCGTGGTTATAATGGTCACTGCAGACAATTTGAATCTGGACGTTCTCGAGTCGATATTCTTCTATCTTTCTGGCAATGACTTGTCCTCAGTTGCTCTCGTCAGCCGCTCCTTTTTCGCTGGTGTTATCCCAAGGTTGTATCGAAAAATAATGTTTCGTTTAAATCATGCGAAGAGGTATCCCCGGGTGAATATTCTACTCCACTCAACTCCAGGGAATGACCTCTTACGCTGTGCTCAGGTCATGTCACCCTTCAGTGCGATACTGGCTCATCCATCTCTTGCCACTCATACACGACATATAGGTATGGTGTTCTATGGAAATCGACAATGAAGACATTCATCTTTTCCTCAGACATCCGCACCATTCCGACATTGAAATCTCAGCTACATCCAGTCTTTCTCTCCGAGTGCACACGAGCGTTAGCTCTTTGCAATAATCTTCAATCATTTCAATGTACTGTGAATGCCGTACCACCTCTTTTGCCTTCTCTACAAGGCAAAGAACGACTACAGGACCTTCGAATATATGCAAACCTTACTACTCTTCAAAGTGAAAAGCTGGCCGAAATTGCAAATTTGACGAATCTTTGTTTGGATTTTGGGTCTTGGAATGTCCTCGACGTTCTTCCAAGATGGACTCCGAAATTCGCAAAAACACTCACATCTTTGTGCCTTTATGTGAGCACCACTCACGACTCGTTTTCGCCCGTTCCGAGCTTCTGCTCATCAAGATATAGATGGCAAACGAACTCAATGAAACCGTCCTAGACAAAGTGCTTCAGCAACTGCCTGAACTACAAGCTCTCCACATTGTCGGATGTGGCCAAGTTGACCATCTGGTTGTCCTCCGACTCGTGTCACGTACACCGCGTTTGGAAAGCTTGTCTTTGAGTACGACGGCAAGTACTTCACCGGTTGATAGTGCAAGTTCTGAATTGGGTTTACTCAGGAATCTCTCGCCCCGATTTCTCAGCCACCCCCTTCGCTCCAGCACCTAAAACATCTGGCGCTGGATACCCGATACTCAATGATGTCGTCCCCAGCGCCCCAGGTACTCTCGTCAATTCTAAATCATATTCAATCATCTGCACCTGCATTGCTGTCATTCATCATGCGTCTCCCCGAACTTAAAATCACTGTCGGCAACGAGTTCATCGAGGAACTCGTCAAACTACATGGGCACACACTGCGAACTCTTGCTTTCATCGATTGCGGGGTGAGCATGGAATCTATTGTAACAATCACCGAATCTTGCCCGAACATGGAACGTTTGGAACTGCCTATTCCGGTCAAGGACATGGTACATCATTCCATTGTTTCAAGGACCATGGAATTCAAAACAATTTTTTCAGTATGCTTTTGCGAAATCCCTGGACAAAGCCACCAACCTCCAAACGATCATTGACACCAACACACACTCTGCCCATGGACATGGCCCAAATGTTTCTTTGGTACGAGACAACGTGCGACATTTGATGATGCATGGTGCACAATTACGAAAGATTGTCAGTGGTAAACGGGTTTGGAAGGTACGTATATTCCAGTCTTAGGTCTCGGGTCGTTACTCGTGACCGTTGACCACTTTTGCAGAATACATTGGCAACTTCAATAGACTTGTCACTTGAACGACTGCCTGCCTATGCTTCGGGGACGCACTGGTTCATGCCTCGAGACATGTCTGATTTCGGGATGAACTAGGTATTTTTGGATGCCTTGCTTAGTCTATTTGTCGCAGTTGTTTTTCCTGTGCGGACTCGGCCTCAAAACTATCTCCCATTGGAACCCGCCAACCATCTGTTCTTACAACTAATGTACAAGGACAAATCTCCATAACAAGAGTCCGATGTTATACAGCAGTTTGTATTATACAACAACCAATTACTTGGTTTACATATGGCCCCCTGTCAGCTGAGTTGACCAGAAACACAAAGATCACAAGTCCAGAAAAACTGTTGTTCCGACTGCTAGCGTAGCTAAGCTCAGCATGGCGAGTAAGGGCTTGCGACCGTCGTCATTCTAGGGGCGTAGATTAGTGAGGTGCGATTTTTTTGACTGGATACAACGGAGCTACCTACTTTTTTTTCTGACCCTTGTACCTATAACGGGTCATGTTTGACGGTCCCTCATATGTGTGCACTGCTGCGTTTTTGATAGACAGTGGGATCGATGTCGAGTCCTGGAGCATGCTCGAGGTTTTATGGGAGGTTTGGTGACTGCGTGATTTGACTGTACGCGGCGGCTTAGTCGATAGCAGCGAGAATGAGGAGCGAGGATGAGCTGGACCCTCAAACATCAGTGGTGCTGGAAGTCCACCTGAAGATTGTCCTGCGTTCGAGGATCTAGTTGCCATCGTCGGTGTCGGCGGTGCAGTGGATGCTCGGTGAAGGAAGAAGAACTGATGCCCATCTGTGCTACCGAGCCTAGTAGGTGCGTCGAATATGTCTGCAATGCGGGGCAGGGGTAGGCACTCTACGTTCTCAATGCCCGAGGGTGAGAAAGCATGATATTGCGATGAGACCTTGGTCGGTGGTCTCTGACGAAGATTGTTCAACAAAGGACGTCTCGCAGCCATAATGCAAATGTGGTTTTTGGGGGTGCAGAGCACTCGTAGAGTGAAATTGCAGTATTTGGGAATTGATATCCTTTATATGGGCTGACAGGTGTGTATACATTTGTTGTTGCAGTATTTAGTATTTTTTCGCTCGTGATGATTTGCTCAGTTATACTTTTTGTACCCCCACCGAGCTATTCGCTGCTCAGGTATATAGACTGAGTCTAGTTCCGCCCCGCAGACCGTCAAAGTCAGATGTAAATCTGTCGACTGTAACGTTTCCGGTAATGGTCGGAGTTAAAGTGCCAGGGTATAGAGGTACTCTCGCGTTGTAAATTTCGCCATTCTGACCTGAAGTTTTTTTTTTCTATGGAATTGCAGGTCTAGTGACCTTCTTATAAATCCTCTTGCGTCTTTGCATGACCGGTATGACTTTCGCCATTCGTGCGCGGCAGACAGATCATTGAATTTGAGAATTGAATAATTGAGCTTAACATCTTCAAGGAGGTCGCTACCCGTTCTAAATGATGGTAAACGCTGAACTCTGTCATCACAAGTTAAAAATCCCATCGTCTCTTGGCTTAAAACATCAAACAACCTCATGATTGCGTGCAATATTCCGAATGAGAAGCAGAAATTTCTGGAATGTACTACATTGAACGTTCAGACAGAATAACCACGTTCGTTTTCATCTTCTCCACCTTCTCGGCGGATCTTAATGGTGTTCTTTCTGGGGAAAGCTCAGCATATACAAAGTAGGTTCGCTTTGACTGCAACGCAAACCCGCTTACTCTTCCATTTAGCCTTTCTAGCCTTGCCCTGTGCCTCTACATGAGTGAACAGTAACACCGATGTCCCGGGATGGGGTCAGTGATGCACTTGAATCTAAGTGCCTCTGGAACGTGCATTTTGCCGCTCATAGAGGTCCAGAATGTTGCCTGCGCATGCTAAAAATTAACCAATGTCACGTTGCGGGTAGGATTTTTGCGTGGAGCCACGACCTTGGTCTACCGTCTGATCTCGTTCATACCATGCGCAGAGCACGAGGACTCAAAAGCATATATATTACTGAGAGTCGGACGTTTTGAGTTCTGCTAAGCTTGATCCTTCGTCTTGATGCAATGTTCAACATTGCTAATCTCACCGAGAGCTCCTTCGACGAAAGTCGCTTTCTTCCTCAATTTGGATTTGACTCGGATGTCACGTTCGAGAGTATTTCAAGGTACCACCGGTACCTCTTCCGGATATATACGCCAAAGTCCCTTCCCGCTGTCGAGGACGACTCTATTTTCTTCGTAGGCGCGCGGTTCAACAATACATTTGCTCCGCAAACGCCAGTTATGTCGGAGATGTACTCATCGTCATGTGCTCCCCTCATCGAAACAGCAACCTACGAAGACTGTGTTCAGCATTTGAGTTGGGAAACACGTTCTAGTTCACCTTTTATTTCTGCGACATTTAATTTTGCCTGGGCTCTATGGGATGCAGTTCGTCGATTCAGAGCAGGTATGAAGCATGATGTGGAGATTGCAATAATAGATGCTGCGGCTCTTTCTGGAAAGGCCGTTACTACAATGCAGTTGTTACGAAGAAGTCCTTCTTCCGAGACAAGGTAAGCTTTTGTTGTCATACATCATACAAGTGCTTTCATTTATCATCATGATCTTCGTAGGAGGCATCCGCGGCACCGGAAATGGTGCCGCTTTGCACAAGAATCTCAATCAGTATTGATCCACGGTTCCATTCCCCGATCGGCGGTTCTTGCGTCTGTTCCATTGCGAATTGTTGTTCAAAACCTACCGTCATATTTTTTGCAAACTCCTTCGAGCTCGCGAAATATTCGTCCGCTAGTTGATCCCCCTTTTGGACGGATTCTTGCGTGGGACCCTATCGGCCAGAAGAATGCTAGTTTCCGGAGGTTCTGTCAAGAAATGAGGGATCGTTTTATAAGGATGCCGTATCACACTCGTGTTCGAGAGATCGCCATAGGATCGGTGCGATTGGCTATAACTTTGCTTGACCCTTGGTTTCATCGAACCGTTATGCACGGTGATATTCACTCGGCAGTCACAAGGATACGAGAACTTTCTGCATTGATTGCCCATTGGCCCGAGCAGCCAGGTTCCCGTGATTATACAGAGATGGCGAGCCTGATGAAAGCCTTGATTCTGTTGTTGGCGGAAGAAGTGCAAGACAGTAGCTCTCGCACACGACAAATCGCCACAGAAGAGGTTTTGCACCTTCAGAGAATTGTTGATGATCTTTTGGATGTTGTTCGTGGACACGAAGCTGCTGGCACCATCTCCCCCGGGTTCGCAAAGTCACGCTCTAACGAGTACCAGAAGATTTCGGACCTTAGTGTAATCGACTCTGAATCTGAATCCGGCTTGAATGTGGCGCAACTGACATGGAACTCTGAGGCAGAGAATCGCTCCATTTCCAAGCTTAGGATCATTATACCCCACTCAACTGCCAGCGAGACCTCTTCGTCTTCTCCATGCAGTTCTCCTTCATCCGCCGCTCCTCTGACTCCGAAATCAGACGCTTCATTTACATCGCCGTCATCGCTGAAAATGGGACCATTTCCTCATCCCCATCATGAACCCCCTTCTCCAAGTTTCTCAGCTTCTTCACCTCTCATTCCACCTCAATCGGAAATCTCATTGTCTTCACTTCCTTCACCACTAACGATATCTATACCTTTACTAGAAGTAAGGTCTCCAATGACGTCTCCGGGTTCGCCTTCAATTTATTATTCTGCATCGAAGTCTCCACAGTTCGAATATCCTGTGCAGAACGCAGATTTATCCAATGAATACTGCTCTGAAAATTTTACCTTGGATCCATTGCCCGCAAAGTACCCTGATGATGATGATGATAGTGATGATCTAGGTACCGACTCAGACGGCTCATCGTCTATCGCATTCCACGAAGTTGTCTCTTATGCAGTGACTGGGTTTCTCGTCGGGACGGTCATTACTCTTTGCCTTTTGTCATCTCAGAGACGGACCATGCTTTACGTGACATGATTTCCAGAGCTGGGACTCTTTTGAAAAATTTCCAAGTTTATATTTATACATCATCAGCCTTTGTAGGTTGTAATATTTATAGTAGATAGATAGATATAGTTAGATTGATAGATTGATACATGGCTCCGTCCACAGACGGGGTCTCACTAGGGAACAGTCGGGTCCAACCGCATCTACTACATAGTATACCTACAGCACCGGAATTTGTGAAGCTCGAAAATTTCGTCGGGAATACATAGTACGGTTGTTTCAAATATGTAGGACATTGTACAAATTTAGCACATTTAGTTTCGAATGGCGTAAATGAAGCCATCGTACGCCTTCTCCCCTACAGTAGCTATGGTCGTGGCATCTACATCCTTGTCGCCTTTCAAAGCATTCAACAATGATCTTACTCCTTCAATATTAGGGTCAGACTGCTCTGGGTCGGCAACGCGCCCAAAACGCACAACATTATCAACGATCTAGAAAAATATTCAGAAATAGGTCCGGTCAGCAGGCAGAAGATGAAGATAAGCCTGAGCTCGGCACTTACAATGACGCCGCCCTTCCTAATGAGCCGTTTCGCCTCGGTAAAGTATTTGACATTCGACGGCTTGTCTGCATCAATGAAAATGAAATCAAATTTCTTTTCTGAAGGGAGCTCGACCATGGACTCGTGTCCTGGGCCAACGATGATTTTGCATTTGGACGATAACCCAGCGTTGGATAAATTCTCTTCGGCGACCTGGAACAATGCGCGTAGTTGAAGTGCAAAATTAATTCTAGTTGTTTTTCAACACACCTTTGCGTGCTTGCTGCTAATCTCCAGCGTAATCAGCTCTCCATCCTCGGGGAGCGCACGTCCCAGCCATATAGTGGAGTAACTACAGTCGGGGGGTCTATGATTTTATGCCGCAGATTGGATAAAGGAGACCAACCCTCCAAGTGTTCCAACTTCCAGAATTCGTTTCGCTTGGATAGCCCTGGCGTGAAGTTGCAAAAATTTCCCTTGTGAAACGCTGACAGCAATCTCCGGTAGATCATTCGCAGCGCTATTCTTCAGGGCGGCGTCAAGTACAGAATCTTGTGGGATGAGGAAGGAGTTGTGATAGACATCGGACCGAGCCCAGTCTTCAATGGTCGTGGCCTTCGGCTTTTGTTTACCTGATGAAATTTGTTGGGCCATCACTGTATATGAGGTTGGGGAACAAAGTTGGGGATGATAAATCTAGTAAGTGAGATGAAAATGACTCGATGGCTATTTAAGCCTTCCGATATCTATTTGTGTGGAAAAGTATTCCGCGTTTGGTCGAGTCGATGATGAATCCCTGCGCTGAATCCTTCAGAATGTTAGGAGCACTGAGTAGTAGTAACAAGATAACAAGGAAAGAGTGATATTATCACTTGATCATCGATCTAAAAAGCGCAGCCGGGATATATTTTAGGTTCTTCCTCCAACTTGGAGCTTTCCCCCTTTCAAGCCAGTGGAAAACACTCTTCCTTCACCACTCTTGTTGCGCCAGAAGAACATAATAATGATTTAACTGAACGAGCTGCTTGGAGTGTTTCGTGAGGTTTTCGTGTGAGTTTTGGAAATGATATGATGCGATCAAACACGAAAAACGCGTGCCTCGGCCCTCCTCGGCCTCAACTTTGATGGATAATTTTCGTTCTCATCAAGCTCAACTCATTGCTACTGCCCTTGCTGCCTCGGCCGCAACTGCAGGACTTATTGCCTCATATAATGCCTATACACGTCGAGCGAAGAGAAAAGATTTAAATGACGAAGTTCTGAGATCTATACAGTCAAATGGATCCAACTTCAATATCCAGAAGCTCCAATTGTCAAATTCTGAAGATGGGCTTTCTTTTCCTCCGAAGTCTTTAGAAAGCTCTGGAAATATGTACAATGAAGAACTCATACGGGAGCAGCTGGCAAGGAATTATGCTTTCTTCGGAGAGGAAGGAATGAAGAAAGTTCGAGGCGGAGCAGTAGTTGTCGTTGGATGCGGAGGTGTTGGAAGTTGGGCTGCAGTTATGCTTGCTAGATCGTGCGTAGCTGAAATTATTTTAACTCGTCGGTTATCCTTTCTGACCAAAATTTATACAAAGTGGAGTGTCAAAAATTCGCCTCGTTGACTTTGACTATGTCACCCTCTCATCATTGAATCGGTAAAAATTACCCTCTACTCGCTGCCTTTTTAGAGGCCCTTGAAATTGACATGGATTCGTAGTCATGCTACTGCTTCGCCAGAAGATGTCGGCACACCAAAAGTTAGATGCATAGAGAGAACACTGAAGTCCGTGGCAAAGTGGATCGAGGTAGATGCCAGAGTTGAGATATGGCGTAAGGAGGAAGGAGGTGTACTGCTTGAGGGCGCAGATTGGGTTATAGGTCAGTCGCAAGTAGATTGTAGGATGAACAAATGTGACTGATTCGTTTGACTAAGATGCTATTGACAATATTCAAACAAAAGTCGACCTCTTGAAATACTGTACCGACAACAGTATCAAGGTAATCCGAACTTCACTTTGGGCTCGAGTACAATTTTCACACAGCAACATGCTAACAGGTGTTTGCATCCATGGGTGCTGGTGCCAAGTGTGACCCGACTCGCGTTCAAATTAGTGACATCTCATATACTATATACGATCCCCTTGCACGCTCTGTTCGTCGCCGCCTTCGTCTCCTTGGTGTATCGTCCGGCATTCCCGTCGTGTATTCAACAGAAGTTCCCAGTGAAGTTAAGCTACTTCCTTTAGATGAGGAAGAATTCAAAAAGGGTCCAGTCAAAGAATTGGGAGCATTCGACGATTTTCGCGTACGGATCTTACCTGTCCTAGGCCCATTACCATCCATTTTTGGCCTTCACATTGCAACCTACATTCTTTGTGAGCTGGCCGGAAAACCGATCGTGAATCCCCTTCCTATCAAAGCTCGGAGAAAACTCTACGAACGGCTCTGGAAGGATCTATTGCATCGAGAAGAGAAGTTGGTTGGTCATACATTGAAGTCAGTTACCTCTTCCCCTTCTACATCGCCAATGGTTTACAACTTTGCCTTCGTATAGCCGGATTCCACTTGACGAAGACGACATTGCATTGATATTCGAAGATATATATCGCGGAAGATCTGTCATACCTCCCCACGAAGTACCGACTAAGCCAGCGCTTGTCCGCTGGGATCTCACGCAACCTCTTACATTGAAGAACTGTGTCGTAATGGAGGAAAAGGACACGGTGAAGCATATCGAGGCCTGGTATGCATGGCTTGAGAAGACAAATGATGAAGATGCTCTGTTCTCACCCGCGGGCATATGGGGAAGTGAAGTGGAAGAGGTGGTTACGAAGAGAGCGAAGGAGATAGAGAGTGTGCAGGAATGGAGAGCGTAGCCTTAAAACTCCAGCTTGCAACTTTGCTTTCCGAATATGTATCTCACCTCAAATTGCATAGTGGGATTCCCCAGAGATCCCCGCAACCCGTATGGGTATACTAAAGTTACCTTCTTGTTCCACTCTGCATATGAATGCAAACGGTACCACGGTGGTACCATAAATACCCAGTTGATTCAAATCATTACATGGTGTGATATAGGGAGTGCTGCCCCGGACCCGGCGATCGTGTATAAATAAACTTTCTTCCCTCCTTCCAGAATTATAGTCCCTCCGAGGCTGATTTAGCCAAATCACGCATGAAAGCAGTCCATGCAGGATCTGAAGTCGAAGCATTGTCCATATCTAGATTCAAATTCCATAAAGGACTGGATGGATCTAACCTATGACTGTAGCTGCCAATATTATTCTCCTGGTCATTGAGAGTACCGGTACCAAAAGGAGGCCCAGACCCCATCAAGGACTCAAAAAACATATTATGATCCTCCCCACTTGGGATAGGAAAAGGACCTACGCTGGACCCTGTCCAGCTCGAACTTGTACTATTTGGAAATATTGACATCGTTGATGTAGTCAATGGCGTTGAGATAGCTGGACCAGCGGAGTTCTGTGCACCTTCTTTTGAAGCAAGGTAGTTTAAGAACCGATAATATAAATCCGCGATACTAGAATCGGACTCACGTCCTCTTGTACCAGTTTCACCTACACCAAGTTCCATGCCTGTGTTAGAACCAGATGCGGCGTTGAATTGCCCTGCGGAAAGAGCAAATATATCGGAATTGGTCCAAGGCAAACTTGTGTTCGAGTTCACGGTCGCGTTTGGATTTGTACCATTGTGATTGTATGAAAATGGTCCATCGGGAAGTAAAGGTGCTGGCGTAGGATGGGCAGTTTCACTAAGATACTCCATCAAAACCAATTGATTTTCAGATGCAGCAGCTTGGGAAGTGAAATGTTTCGGATGATGGTAACTCGATGCCGGTTGATCATGGCCGACAGGTCCAATATCCTCCAAGGTCATGTCCATGAGTAACCCTCGGCTTCCTGTCGTTCCGGCTCCAAACCCGACCCCCAATTTGAATCCGAAGTCAACATCTCCAAAGTCGGATAACAGGGAATCTGTCATATTGACGTCCATTGTTGTTGAAGATGATTGAGAAGGCATCTGCGATGGAAACGCTGTGGTCGAATTCATGGCGAGCATCAAGGACAGATCAATATTTGCGTCAAAATCCATCTGTGCGTCTATGGCATCATTCCATGAGTTATCCGAATGAAAAGAGGCAGGAGGGGGAGGAAAAGAGTTGGTGTTAACGTTGGTTTCCTCCCCTCCACTTCGAGAAGAGTAGGGAACTGACAGTTGTTGAGTGGGTGACGACGATGCTGACGTTGGGGACACATCAGGAGAACTGCCATTCAAGCTACTCGTGTTTTGAGTATCTTTAGTTTTCACCTTCTTCTTCTTACCCAGCCCGTTCAAAAGGCTCGTTTTACCTCCCCATATCGCTAGTTCATTGTCGTCGGTGCCGATCGGTGTCTTGGAGAACGAGGACGGGTCTAGCTCTCCTTGAGCATCTCCTACCACTTGTGAAGAGGTAGAAGTAGAAGAAGAGGTATCATTCGCTGCAGTTGTCTTGGATATAGAAGCGGAAACAGAGCCTTTGGCTCTTGTGAGATACTGAGTATATGCCCGGTCGGCGTTTTCTTTGAGTCTACGAAGAAGTGTCTAGAGAATGAAAATTGAGTATCACCAGAATCTTATTTTGAATAAGAAAAGCGCATAATCACATAAGCAATCCTATTCCTGTGGGACGAACTTGCGCACTTTTCGAACAGATTTAACGCCTGTCCCAAGTCATTCAATGCACTCTCGGCGATGCTAGAGTTCGGTGAGCGCTTGACGACAGTGCCGACAGTCATCTAGCAGGCAAGGTAAATCTAAGAGTTTACCAATGAATAATAATTGTGAACGATTTACCGCTGCACTGAATACGTGATATGTTAAGAACCAAACTCGCGGAACAACTGCAGGACAACGGTCATAGAAGTGAACTGCAGCCTTAATAATGACTGACGCCGCACGATACGCAGCTAGAAACGACAGCGCGAAAGGAGACATCAAAGGATTCGACGGGTGTGTAAGCATCGCGTGGGCAAAAAAGGAGCGATGTAGGTAGAGCATGGCTATGTGAATGGCGATGAAGACCGAAAGCGATATAATGCAAGGGGATGAGACTTACTGACAGTGCGATGTTGACTGGCGTAAAAGTCTCTCAACGCTAAATGGCTATCATGGTATATATCCGGACCGTCTTCGTATAAACTAACATACGGTTTAAATCCAGGTGGAAGAGACAATTCACGAATCTGTAATACATCATATTAATATGTAATCTCCTTGCAAAGAAATTTTCTCCCTCGCCTTACGATCTAAATCCATGATGGTGGAATATGTTGGCGATTTAGCTGTAAGAGTAGTGGATATGACAGGTGTGAAACCCTCTCTAGCAAAGGTGTATTTCATTCGCCAAACTATCGATTGAGCCGAGGATCAGATATTATTATGGAATTACTAGACGTATCGTAAACACTACTCACATCCCATCACCTCTCCCTCCGTATCGCTCAACGTTGCTTCTTCATCGGTGGGGAATTCACAATCAACAAAAGACAAATGAATCGAAGGAGGCCGTCCGAGCGCAACGCTCTACAAAGGAAGTTTAAGAAGAAGGATGAACAAGAAACGGTGCGAACGCACATGGCTGATATCCGATGTACACACTTCCCACCATAACGCCCGTCTTCTTTGTACCGTTACAGGGTCCATGTGCCATCGAGCTGGGTCGCGATCTACATCAGAGTTAACCAGAAGTCAGCACGAATTCAAACCAGCACGCACGCATTCCACTCCCCTGCGCCACCTTGGCAGCCAAACTCATTCCGCACCACGCGCTGTCTCTTGCATATTTCTTTCCAGACATACTACAATAGGTTGCCATAAGACCTAGCGCACGAACTGTATCATCTGCCGAAGATGGCGGCGCCGCGAATGTTGATGTCGAATTCTTTCCTGTTTTGGGGTAAGTCGCGTTCGAAGGGTGAATGTCATCTTCGAACGTAAGGTGGCGTTCTGGTAAGTGTACATTTTCCACGACAAGATGCTGGGTTCCCCGACTGCAAATGAGCGCTTTCCTTCCCAACTCAAACCACATTTGGCTCTCAGGGACATACTTTCTGACTGAGGCAGACAAGTCAAAGAAGGAGCCAAGAGCAAGAATGAAAAAGATTGCAGAAAGTAAATGTGGAGAAGGTAATTGGCGGCTGCTCAAACCTTCGAAGCTTGTTGTCATCGAAGTTTGTGTTTCAGATGGGTTTGAGCCTGTTGTTGGGGGGGTGTTACTGGTCATGGCTGAGGATGAGGGCGATGAAGGATAAAGTAGAGGGAAAACGGTGTTGAACAACTCGTCCTTTTTCATGGCTCGGAAGAACAATGAAGCATGGTCGAAGTAAGATTGAGCGAGGGTTTGTGTGCGGGAACGGGTAGGAAGATGCTGAAGAAGATCCGAGACTGTTAGGGGAGATTGAGATTGTGCGCCTTGGTCATAATCCACCGCAAGAGCGTAGACTTCCGATGGAAGAGCGTCCTTGTCATCTTCAGTGAAAGATAACGCATGGGCAGGGGATATCGTTTGAGAAACAATTGGGGGGAAAGTTGTTGTATCGAGTGAACTATCGGGCAGGTCAGATTCGCCTTGAGTATGGTCACGGTTTGAGCCTAATCTGGCGACTGATTCTTCATCAAAATCCACGTACTTCTCTCCTGCCTGAGCATATACTCTTTGAATGGAAGAAACTTGAGTAGTATTGGAGAAAGAGCCCTACCAAGATTAACGTTTCGCTGCCCGCTGATCGTCCGAAATACTTCATCTCCCCTTCCTCCCCCAATGTCAAAGTCCCAAATGCGTCCAAAGTTGTCGTATCGACAGAGCGATTGAGAGACGTTGCCCCAGCGGTTGTAGATTTTTTCCCCGGAGAGTCAAGAATAACGGGATCGTCCTCCGAATCTTTGACTTCGGAACCGAATTTGATCTTCAATAATTCGTCTTCAAGGAGAGGATGTCTTTCAGATGAGACACTTGCTTGGAATATGGCAAGCGCATCTTCGAGCGCACGGATACGGGAAGACATAAGGGAAATTTTAGAATGAAGCTGGTTGGTTGAGGCAAGTATAAACCGAGTACCAACACCAGCTTCGAGGGTTCCACAGGCTAGTCAATACGTATGGATAAAATATCAATCACTGCAATGCAAGAAATACACGAACGACATATGGACTCGCAGCCCCGCCGCCGACATGAGGAACAAGGCACTTGTAGGTATTCGAAATTAGCCCGAGTTGTGCGAAAACGGGAACTAACCTACATTTCTTGTCACAACGAAGCTTCAATCTCCTGCGTTGATATTCTGCATTCTGAGACGATGGCTAATGTATATACACACACCTGCATTCTGCACATGATAGCTCACCTAGTTGTGTATGAGTACCGTATCCAAATAATCTGCATTAGTGCTTACCCTTCAAGCGCTTCTGCTCAATATCCTTCAACTCTTCTGAGCTCAAATTCTTCTCCTTCCTCCGGGAAGGGGCTTTCGCAAAGCTGGCAGCTGTAGGCATCTACGCTACTCGTGGGTGAGAAGCAGTGGTCCATAGAGTCAGCTTTTAGTCACAGAACCGAACTCGCCGAGCAAAATCAAGAGAGGCATGCCCGGCCCTGAGTACCGAAATATTCTCTAACGCCAACATTAGCGCCAACGATGAAGCTTTCACCTTGCTTGCAAAGGCAAGAGGTGAGGGAGATTCAGATCGGGGGTACTTATGTTGCCATGCGAAAGGCCCTGACCAAGCCCAAGCCGAGCTGCACGGCATCTTATGACGGCTCGAGAGGCCATAAAACTTGTTCGAAATCTTCAAATACCTGTGTTCGTGTCACTTATTGATGATATCCAACTACTTAGGTATGGTCTGGAAGGTATATGTGAGCTTGAAGGGCATTTGAGACAGTTCTGCAAATAGACCCTGCCTGGACTCTCTATTCATTGGAGGGGGGGGGGGTCGTGAGAATCGTGTACCCGATCTGAATCTCCCTCACCTCTTGTGCAAAGGTCATTTCTTACTCGATATTATTAGCGCTGCGGAAATTTTACCCACGGTTTTGGCGCTTGTTTGTTCCGTCGTACCACATGCCTCGCTGTCTCTCTGTATGACCTAGCTACTGTTGTGTGCAGTGTGCTCAGGTAGGTTGGCTGGTATTCATGCCTGGGCACTAGCAGACCTCACCTGTGCCATGTACGACGACAACATGCACTTTCTCATCAAATACCAACTACGGCACTTTTTTGGGTGCTGTTATTACTCCGCCTCCTCTATGTATCTACCGCAAGTCCAGTGTATAACCTACCAAACGTGTGTGCGCCCGGCGGGTACAGGTCTGTCAGCAGGTATTCATGTCTGGGCGTTAGCCGACTATGTCTGTGCCAAGTACCTCCATCCACCTTCACTTCAAATAACAACTCCCGGTCTTCTACCGCCTCCTGAATGTCTTTACCACACAAGTCACTGACTGACTTTTGAACATATTGTTCTTAAATTTCTCACTTATGCGCAGGTTTTCTGCTTGTGTTTTGTCTCAGACTTCATGTGTGCCAATCCACCTTTACCCCTTACTTTGTGCCGCACCTGCGACGTGTTGTTCTTTATCACTCCCCTTTATTCTGTTTCACTGGCTTTCAGATACTTAACGTTGAACCTGTTCCACATTTATCCCCACCAATAATGTATGTATGCTCATTTGTCGTCGACCCCCCCGCTATCTCCTTTACCTCCAGTTCTGTATGACATCACATTGACAGACCTCAATGACGATCTCTGGTTGGATCTAACCACCTACCTCGGTCTATTGAACATCGCCTCATTATGTGCTGTCTCTAAAACTTTGGCAGCTACATGTATGCCTGTACTATACTGCTCAGTCAATGTCTCAGCCCTCGCAACACTTTCCAGCCTCAGACCGTTTGTGTCCCGGCTATGTATGTGGACAACATCCTGCTGCTTATGTCCGCAAAGTTGTCATTGGTTCCTCGCGCCGTGAAGTCCTCCCTTCCACGTTTCGGTTCAACTCGTTGTAGTCAGGCTGTGTTGTTTTAGAACAGCTTCGATAATATATGTAACTGTATCTTACTTACTTAAATGCGGAAAGGTGCGATTTGCACCTGATACCAGAACACCTCAAGCAAGGTTTGTGTCCCCGACGGGGGCAACTAGTGAAAAACTAGTATTCAAATCTGTAAGTCTGGGTATATGTATACGCTAATCTATCGTGATTCTTCCCTGCTCCAATCTGGACGTATGATATCGAGCCATCAATTTTCATGGTCTGGAAGATTAACCAACTCCACCGCTCTCCGACATATTTCATCCAGAGACCATCTATCCTTCCTACTGATCCCATGCTTTAGATCCAAAACATCCCCAATCTCATCACAAGCCTTCAAAATGCAATCTATATCGTCCTTTGTATGACTCGCACTGACACAAAACCTCACTCGTGAAGTGATCAGCGGCGTAGCTGGATAGGCCACGACGACCGTGATGATTGGTGTTTGGCGATCCTTCATCATTCGATGGAACATCATCATTTTTCCAGGATTGAAGATGAGAAGTGGAACGATGGGCGAACATGGATGCCCATACGTGATAAACCCGAGTTTATCAAGGCCGCGGTGGAGGTAATAGGAATTGAAAGAGAGACGACGGAGGCGTTCACGGCCTTCAAATCCAGAAGAAAGCGCGTAAGGAAGTGTAATCCATGCGGGGAGGAAGCCTTGAGGGACAGGACCGGGGTGGTGGTACTGTGTCTCTGGTGATGCAAGCTGAAGTGTGGAGCTAGACGAAGAAGAAGGTGCAAGAGATCCCATGGATGTACCTGCGGGGTTATCAACGCCCATGATGCTGGCCATACTAGCGACAATCTGAGTAAGCACTGGCGGAGCCATTGCCTCCGCATAAGGACCAGTGTAACTACGAATTCGTAGACGGTCAATGAGAGCTTTACTCCCAGCGATATATCCTCCAGCTGCACCAAAAGATTTCGTGAATGTGCCCATCAGAACGTCGATCTTCCGTGGATCAACGGCATAATAGTCCGCGATTCCCCGCCCGTGTAGACCGATACCGCCAATGGAATGCGCCTCATCAACAAAAAGGTAGAACTAGAACATTGTATGAGCATAATGAGTAGATGTGCGATGAAAGACAACAAACCTTGTATTTGTCTTTCAGGGCGAGGATAGTAGGTAAATCAATCATCGTGCCCTCCATACTGAAAATTCCTTCCACAATAACCAAGATTTTTTTCCAGGGGCGATGGGTTTTAGGCTGTCCCTGACTGATAGCCTCTCTCAACAGAGCCTCGAGAGCATTCGTGTCGTTGTGTTTGAACATACGAACTTGTGCGCCACTACTCCGCACACCGAACCGAATTGAGGCATGGTTAAATTCGTCGGAGATGACAAGACACCCTTTAGAGACTAAAGCTGGGATGTAGGTCGAATTAGTTGCGAATCCCATGGAGCTAACCAAAGCATCTTCCGTTCCAACGAATTTGGCTACCAGTGACTCGGTCATAGTATGCAGATCAGATGACCCACCCTCGAGCCTCGAGCCACAGGTACTGACACCATAAATTTTCATACCTTCCTCGACGGCATTAGCACATCCACCACGCGCCTGCGCGAAACCAAGATAGTTGTAAGAGGAAATATTGAGTGCGCGGGTTACTGTGTTTAATGAAGTCTGCGTGTGATTGAAGTCTTTCGAGTAACGGTCCAAAATCTGAATGGTGCGACCAGCTACGCCAGTGACGGGCTGAGAGAAACATTCTTCCATGCGTTTCTTGAGACGACGAGTGTAGAATGAGTCGAAATCTGAATTAAGAGGAGCGTATCCCTGTGGTGTTACTTCATCAGTAAGTACGAGTTGAAGATAACCAAAGACGTACATTGGAGGGCATGAGATGCTTGTACGACTTGGCGCGAAAACGTTTTCCAAGAAAGTCCCTCATGTGGCCGAGAACAATTAATATCAGATAACTAATATACGTCGAAAGAAGGACATAGTACGGTGGATCTCTGTCTTCAGGATGAAGGACTGGGGTATTAGGGATATGGGAAGAAAAGCGCCGATGCGCTTCATTGGAGCAGTGCCCAAATTCTGTATGAACCGTGGTATGGACCTGCTCCGAAGTCGGCGGTTCCACGGGAAACGCGAGACCATGGCTGTTCTCCACGTCTGCCTGTGTCAAAAGCGTGTCTGCCGTCGAGTTCGTGAACGAGGAGGATAACGACAGGGCCGGTGTCGACATCGGTGTTGGTGATGAGCTCTTATGCGCGTTTCTGGTCTTTGCATCTACTTGAGAAAGCGCAGAGAAATAAGAGGCAGCGGACGTCAGAGGCGACGGCGAAGTTCGTTTTTTGAATACAGACGACGGCGAGGTGCTTTTCGGCGCCATTGGGGAAGTTGGACGCGGAGAGCCCAGTAGCCGGTATTATGTGACAGAGTGGAGGAGGAAAACGATACCGCGATATGTATGAGGCCAGAAAATAAGCCCGAGCTACTTACAATTCGAATTTGATTTGACGCTCGTAATAGCGATTTGCTAATCATTACCTATATTACCGCTTATTACCGCCCAGGATGCGAGGGCGCACATAGGACCCCTGACAACCCACTAAGAGGCCTGATCCCAAAAACTCAAGTTTTACCCACATTTTTTGGGGGTCCAAAAGGTGGATTTTTACCCGGATTCTCCTCTGGCTTCATTCCAGACCCCATTCTTACCCGGTTTAGACCTCAGGGTATATCCAAAATTTGATTTTTCATCTTTTTTTGCTTATTTTTTGCCAGAAAGCTGCCAAATGTATTTTCTCTTTGTTTGTTTCTACTGCAGGTGGTTCTTTTTCCCTTGTTTTATCTATGCTGAAATTATGAACTCATCTAATGGATCATCATCCATATAGTTTCCCTTGAGCTCCAGATTCAACTACTACGATGTTCATGCAAAAACATGTATAAACAAGCTGTATAGTAATGTTTATGATACCTTACAATATAACGAAGTAGCGCCGGTGAACGGCAGGGCCCGCTACCAGTCAATGGGTGTCTGTGTGAGCACTAAGTACAAGATGGATTAAACGCTGATGCAGGATGAGTAGTGAGATCTGAGAGGTAGTGTTTGTAGAGGTCTGTACTACAATGGGACCACACCTTGATTGGTGATGGCCAATGTACTTGTATTGTAGATAGAAAAAGCGGCGCGCATGGGGCGCGCCGCATGTACTGTACCTCTATGTACAGTTACAACCGTCATGTGTGCGTCACGGTCCCCATCAAGGCGACGAGCCCCATTTCGACCGTGACATGGGCGACCGTTAATATTTTAGTCCATTATTCCGAGAGGCTTGGTTAGTGCTGTGGGCATATGATGATGAGGGGAATCTGTGGTCAGAGACAGGAAATTTCAGGTAGCAGTCTTGTAGGAACCAAATCTATTATTTTAGCAATTTTTTGATGTCACGGTCGGAACGAAGGCGACAGGCTTAACTTTTACCGTGACATCACGGTAAAAAGGCGACACGACGAGGCCTCCGTGACCGTGACCGTCGCAACTGTACATAGAGGTACAGTAGATGCATCTGCCCAACCCAGAGTCTCCAGCTGTCTCCAGCAGTAGTACTGCAGTAGTGTAATCAACTTGAAAAGTGAATGACCAAAAAAAACTGGGTCTACTAAACCCTTCAACCTCTACAGAGGTAGTGGGAATTATTCACTGGAAGTGATAGTTTTTACTGTAAGACGAAGGTTGTCAAGAGAGAAACACCCAGTTTTTGTCACCAGAAGATGATGGTTGTCGAGAGCGAGCACAAGAAGTGACTAATCAACTGACAGTAAAAAGATCGCTAAAAGGGGATATATTACTAAAAAATGATGACTAGGATGGATAATTTGGAAAAATTAGGGTCTACTAAACCCTTCAACCTCTAAAGAGGTAGCGGGAATGTTGTCAATATCGTGTAGTGGTGCCGAGTCAATTGATCTGTGCTCAGTGAGCACTATGTTCGAGTCTTGTAGGGGCCATTTTACCCAACTGTAGATGAGGCCTTTTTGAAAGGAGCCTTTTTACCCAATTTTAGCCCTAGGGCTCAGCATGAAAAATTGTGATTTTTACCCTCTTTTGGCTCATGGATTCTAAAAATTTTCTCCTATTCTTACCCGCACTTTGTACAGGCCTCTTAAGGCCTCTTAGTGGGTTGTCAGGGGTCCTGCGCACATCTGCAAAACCTGTATGTTCGGCTAAATAGCCGAAAGCAGCTCAGAGCACTTCCCAGCAGCAAAAGCACCCAGAGCAGGCTTTGATTTTTTGCTTTGGGTGCTTTCGTCGCTGGAGAGCGCTCTCCAGCCAGTATCCTTGCTATGGCGAGTATACAGGTTTTGCAGATGCATCGTGTACATAGGTGGTACTCAAGGGGCATGAGGGGGGCACTGTCGTTGTCGGGTTACGGGAATCGCACAATCATCTATCCCTAAAGGCTAACAAAGTCCTTCATATATTTAATTGAATATTAAATGTCCGTATGTAAAATCAAGCAAGCACTTTAGACTTTAGATCTCTTTAGATCTACCACCTACCACCTCAGCCTATGTACATCAGCGTACGAATCGTGGATCACGACAATCCCAAAGCTTTCCTCATCGCTTGATAGTTAGGTGATCCGACTCCGGTGACTGGATCCCAACCTGGAGGATACGATACACGTGAGAAAAGAATATCGACATTGTAGATAGGGAGGGGATAAACCACCGTACCTTCAAGAGCTGGGAAACCAGTTGTACCACATCCGGGATTGCTTCCTGTTGAGTGATCACAAATGAGCATATACGATGAACCTCGGAGTAATCAAAGCTCCCCAGCACACTCATCGAATCAAACCACGCACCATCCGTAATATCATTAAACGCCTCCATATGCGCATAAATCCACGGATTCATAAACCCCATCGGCGGCTTCCCCTTCCCCAACAACTCATCATTCAACAACGCCACGACCGCCGCGAAAATCGGAGACGACGCCGACGTCCCTGCCACCGGTGTCACCGCACCGCCCTGCACGATCTGGATCTTATCCCCCTGCGCGGAGACGTCGGGGAACCCGCGTCCGGAGCGGTTGAATCTGCCTTGGTACAAGTCGTCCCCGATGGCGGCGAGGTAGGATGCTACGGCGGGCTGTTGCCAGGACGGGGGGGTGAAGTAGTTGGAGAAACCCCCGGCGGAGAGGTCGGCGCCTTTTTCGGGGATGTTGGTGGTGGCGCCTACTAGGGTTGCGCTGTTGTTGAAGATGGTATGGTATGGTGGTTAGGGATATGTATGTGTTTTAAGAGGAGGGGGAGAGCTTACTATGGACAAGTCGGCCAGGCGGCCAAGAACGGTTCATCGTCACAATCTTCCCCGGGCGACGAGGCGACCCCACCGTCTCCGGTAGCATACAAAATCGTCACCCCACGTGCGGTGAGTTTCATGAACGCGTCGCACATCGCACTATCAATCCAAAGGCAAATCCAAAACACAAATTAGAATCCCTTGAACACCGGCCCGGGAACAAAGGAAAACACAACAAAGAAAGAAAACACAACAAAGAAAGAAACAAAAAAAAGAAAAAAGAAAACACTGTTGAACATACAAAGTCAACTCCCGCGACAACCCACTCTCATCCCCCGCGACTCCATAACTCGTCGTCAACACCAACGGCGGGTTCGTTTCCGCCAACAAATCATTCACGATATCAAGGAACCCCCCGTCGTCCCCATCGTGTGTGTCGTCACCCACGTCGACGAAAGTCGTTGGGATACCATTCGCGAGACCGACTGTGTATTGGATGTCCAAGTCCTGTATGGTACGTGAGTTACATACATAGTTACATATGTGTAAGCACGGATGACGGGGGAAAGACCGGGAAATGAATGAATGAATGAATGAAAGAGGGGAATGAGGGAATGAAAGAGGAACACTCACTGCTTCGATACCAGAATCCGAAAGCGTCTGGCTATTCGTGGCGTTGTCCAGGAGCTGCGTCGCGAATGTGTCGGAAGATAGATCTGGTCTGAAGAGTTTCAGGAAACTCGCTAAGTCGGCCTATACATATACATATACACAAAACACATCCATAAGCCCTCCCTCAACAGCCCTCAACCAAAGTACACCAGACCAGAAAACACTCACCTTATTAGCATCCTGTCCCGCAAAAGCCGACACTGCAATACATAGTAGTAATATTAGTATTCGTCAATCACAGCAGCCCAAGAAACCTGTATTCCAATAATACATAAGTAGCAGTATGTACTCACCTCCTATAGTACTATTACTCGTCTTAATAACCCCCGTCGGGAGACCATACAACGTCTGCAAACACGCTGGTGTCACCGTGTCGTTGCATTTCGAGAAACTTGCTGTGGAGGTGGGGAGGGCGGCACTCGAAGAAGAGGAAGAGGAAGAGGTTGAGGAAGAGGTTGAGGCTGACGATGCTTTGTTGTTGACAGCTGCTTGAGGTGTACTAGACTTGTGATGTCCACTAAGGGAAATGATCCTAGCCCCAGCCGAATGATAAAATCTGCCACAAAGGGTTCATCATCAGCGCTCCTCGTCAAACATATCGATATCCACAAACCCCCACTTACGACGTCGTCGGATGTATCGCCCTAATATGCTCCCTTACCTCCTCCGGAACACTATACTCCAACGTCCTCACCGACTGTTTCCCGCTCGCCGTGTGTTCGTACACGTTATACGTCGCGTTGAGCATGGAACCCGCGGTGCCGACTGACACGTTGAATGTGATCCAGTCCCCGGAGACGGTGGTGGATTCTGGGGTGATGTTGTTTGATGCGAGCCATGTGCGGACGGAGTAGAGGGCGTCACGGGAGGGGGCGGCGTAGTATTGGACCTGTAAGTGAGTAAGTGAGTAAATAGTAATAATAATAATCACCACAGAAATAAATAACGACACGTAGTACTCACATCTTCCCTACTCAACCACCTCCCATACCCCTCACCTTCCGGATCACTAGCCTTGTTCAACGCGTCCTCTAGGCCCGTGCGGTTCCCCATAGTGAGACTGATGCGCATTTGGATCATCGAGTTGAAATCCGCGATGGAGACGGGGGTGTAGCCTTTGGGCACGGCGGTGCGTCGGTCGTGGATGGACATGGCATTTGCACGGGGGTTGGGGTTCGGGTTGGGGGCACCGTGGGTGAGTGCGATAGAGAGGAGTGAGAGTACCAGTTGCAGTGTATAACTCCACGTTGTGCGTGAAGAAGAGACCATAGTGATATGGGGTGGTCTTCACGGGGGGGAGAGGGTACAAAGAATGGACTCGAGGGTAAGGGAAAGACAAAGGGACCCACTAATCACCTTATATACCAACACCCTCCTGCCCTGCACCATCTCTGCACCCCTAAGTTGTAACCAAAAAAAATGAATTATCTGCCGTCACCGCAAGTCACCCCCGAGGCGAAACACAGCGCCTGGAACAGCGCTCTAAACAACGCGTGTGCTCGAGCGATGATTTGCGGTGATGCAGTGCACTGTGCGATTTGTTCATTTACTGTGCATCTCAACATCCGATATCCCACACAGAAAGACGGATTGAGAACATACATATGGATAGAGGGATGGATGGATGGATGGATAGAGGGAAGGATGGTGAGTGAGATGAAGTAGAACGTTTTTGCTCAGAATCAAAGTGTTTCCTTGCTTGCACGAGTTTTTCGTCTCTACTGATAACCATCCGATCAGAGATTGTGCCGATGTTCTGGCACTGCCTGTAATGCCGGGACGCTGAGATCAGCAGTACATATCCGTCTTACAGAACACCTCTCTCTCCAGGACGACTGGAGAGTCGATAGTCCGACCGGGGACTGCTGTACTGTAATTTGGTTCACATTTCATTCAGGGTTGTTGATATCGTGTTGTATGCGAGCGCCTTTAGAAGCGGTTCGATGACAAGAAATGACGAATGTTGACTTAAGGTAGATGGGATAGTCGGGGGGCAAGGAATACAAATCAAACAAGCCAAAACATGCGTTTACAATAGCGGGCGGTCAAACAAACTTGATTACAGGAAGGGTTATTAAGGATACAACTAGTCCATAGTCCGCAACATAAGAAAGGAAACCGTAGAAACGTCGTCCTCTCATATACAACACGGAATAATAAAACAACATCCGCCGTCCTACAAGCATGTGAGCACACCAACAAACCAACCAACAAAAGTAGCTGCTCACCGGACAAGGTATACACCCACCTCTCAATCTCTGCACTTTTTCATTTCTCTCAACCAGTCCTCGTTGCTCCACCGACATGGACTGAGTCACTGCGGGCTGTGTCACAATAGGCGCAGCAGGTGAAATCGGGGAAGAAGCTTTTCTCGATAAATGCGCAGAGGGCGGGTAAGCTGGGGTGGTTGAAGACATGGTTTAGATTTAATGGTAGCTGAGAGAATGGGTAAAACACGGTTTAGATTTATAAGTGGATTTGTTGGAGTGGTGACGTCAAGAGTGGCGTAGAAGCGTCACAGACTACTGTGTACTACTACTACTAAGCATCACTTGGCTTCTCCAACGAGAGCTTCTACGATCTCCACCGCCCGCTTGAACTGCGCTTTCTGCTCGGGTGTGGGTTGGACGGTGCTTGAGCTATGCATACAGATTAGATTAGATATAGATATTTAGATATACATGCATCAAATACCCACCCCGGCTGCCCAGTAACACCCCCCATCCCCCCATTCATCCACTGCAAATCCTCACTCCCCCAAAAAATACTAGTGTCCAATCCATAGATATCCTCCGACCCACGCGGTTCCTCCGTCGGCAGCTCTTTCAATATCCCGTGAAGCTCGTCGATGAGCCCTTCCACCGACACAGAGCCCAACGCAGTCACCTCAACTGTACCCAACGCCAGTGTCTTGGGAGCGAAACTTTGGAGATCGGGCGTTCCGGAGGGACGCGAGGCTGAGGTGATGTTGAGCGTGTCCGAATCGACGGGGCGGGTGATGGTTGCGATGAAGGAGGGGGTGGGGGGAGCGAAGCCGCCGGTTATGCCTGTGAAATATCAGTGAGCACTATAGTTATAGGTAGATCGTTCTCAATACATACCTTTCTGCAATCGAAGAGAGTATTCACTGGGAGCCATGGTTAATCGTAATCAAAGTCGCTTGAACCTTATATACTGTACAACTCGGATCTAGTTAGGAGGCAATGCATCCTGATAAGCTGTTATCTATCACCGTCACCTCTCATACACACATCTACACACATCTACCACCACTCTAAATAAACAACTCCAATGTGGTGTAGTGGCCAACATTGCTGTCTTTCATAGAGCAGCCGCCAAAATGAATTTGCTCTGCACAGCAGCCCGGGGTTCGATTCCCCGCATTGGAATTTGTATGATACAATATATGTTTTTTTTGTTTTTTTCTTTTGTTTTTTTTTTTGTTTTTTTTCGTTTTTTCGTCCTTCCTGTGTAGGTAACCTGTACAGACTGAATTCAAAAATACATACACCTTCCTCAGGCTGTCACGCATTTCTTGCTTGGACTTATGGGCTTATGGACTCCCAGCTTCCAACTTCCGAGGGATCATCAGATCGAAGAAAACTTGCAATTGTCGGAAACTTGCAATTGTCGGGATCATGGAGCCCCCAACAATGTAACCATGTAACCATGTGTGAATTACGATAAGTAAGTACCCAGAAACATGAAGAATCTTCTTCTTCTTCCTTCTTCTTCTACATAACATAACATAACATGATAAAATTCATTTTTTTCCTGCGATACGGGACGGGACGGGACGACGGACGGACGACTTCTTGTGTACCATGTACATATACATATACTAGGGGTAGGGGTAGGCTAGGGGTAGGGAGGGGGGTCTGGGAATTTTTCTACCGCTCCTACATCCACATCTTCATCTTCATCTTCATCTATGGGACGACAAGGATTCCGTTCAATGGGAAAGTGATTGATTATTTGAGTTGAGCGAAGAGTTTGGGTGCGGCGCATTCTTCGGCGCAGTGCATCATGCTGAGTGGAAGAAGGAGGGAAGGAAGGAAGGAGGGAGGGAAGGAAGGAGGGAGGGAAGGGAGGAAGGAAGGAAGGAGGGAGGAAGGAAGAGGAGGAGGGAAAGGTAGTAGGAAGGAGGGCTGAGATGAGTACCGCGGGGAATATAAGATATTACGCAGGAGCGTGACGTACTGGACTGATGGATGGCGAGCGAAACGAGGGGGGGCGAAACGAGTTGCGTAGGATGGTGGCGAGTGCATGAACAAAAAAAACCGAGACGCGACATAAGCAGCATAAGGGAGGAGGAAGAAGAGGGGTCATCCAGAGAGGGTCAGAACAGCTAAACGAGAAATAAAAGAACAACAACACCGGGCACGTACACCTGTGAAATGCAACATAATCAGACCATGTTATTACGCAAGTACGAAAAAGTAGAAAGTAAGAGAAACTCTCGAAACAACTCGCGAACGGGGGACACGCGACGCGAGGTTTGCGATTGATTCAAACACGTTCACGAGCGAGGTTATGGTTCATCCTCATCAACCAACACAACACAAACACAACAAACACAACAAACACACACGTACATTTCTTCTACACAATCCTCTCCTTTGAACCCCTCACCAGCTTGGACTTTTTCTTGACAATGCTCGAAGTGCTTTAACAACGGTGCGCATTTAGCGGAATTTTGGCATTCGTCTCGGATAGCGGGGTGGGTCTGGTAAGGAAAAGTGAAACAGTGAAAAAGGTGGAAAGGTGGAAAGGTGAAAAGAAGGAAAGTTGGAAAGGTGAAAAGAAGGAAAGTTGGAAAGTGAAAGGTTAGTGTTAGTTGGAAGAAGAAAGATAAGAATGGGGGGTGAAATGATGAGTGAGGGTTGTTGGAGAAAAAGGCGTGGGATGGGGGTGGTGGTGTTAAATGTTAAGAACACACAATACATACATCTTCAGGTTCTTCTTCTTCTTCTTCCTCCTCTTTCTCCTCCTCTTTCTCCTCCTCCTTCCCCTCCTCCTCAGACTCTTTCACCTCGTCTACAGGCTTTTCCACGGCTGGAGCCTCAGCTTGGATAGTCGGAAGGAACGAGGAGAAGAAGGATGTTATTGAGCTCATCGTTTGCCACAGGGTGATGCAATGTAATGCTTTTTGTGCTTTTTGACGGAAATGGATTAATGCTAAAGTCGGGGCTAAAGTGGTTGAAATGAAATGAGAGATTCAGAGAAGCGGTGAATTTCGGAACGAGGGGCGTGGGATGTTTAGGGCGCTTATTGTTGGACAGAAATATCGTCACGACTCAAGGTACCCACGGTCCAAACATTGACAATGAGAACAGTTGAGCAAATGACACGGGACGCAAAAGCCATGGCAGTTCAAATGAACTGCCATTAAGGCATCACAGTTGGCATCCGGTCGTGACCGGTTATGTTGCAAGCGCAGCGGTCCGTTCGATCATGAACCTTGATAAATAACAGAAAACAACAATGTAAATTCCAAGCTGAATATATAAGCTATGTCCCAAAATTCTGCAAGTGGGTATGGGCACTCTCACTAAAGTTTTCGTGCGCTGACTCAGCGGGCGTCTACTCCAATCGCGTCCTAAATCGTCTCCGAAACTTTTTGAATTCGTTTGGTAGTGATAATTGACCTAAATGACTACTTTAAAGCACCAAACATTATTCTTAAGGGGTGTCCTAATCTATAATACTGCTACTTATAATAATCTTCCTCTGAATCATATCCATCTGAGTCAAAGTCATTCAAATCCTGCACAGTGACCTCGGGATCTTCCTCCTCTTCCCTTGGTCCTTCGGAAAGCACAATAGAGGCTCGAGCATCCACAAATTTCTCTATGCAAGAGTGAAGAAGTTTCAGTTTCTCAGTCCGATTGCCCCACTTACTCTCAACCGTAGTAATAGCTTCTTTGACACCATGAATCTTATGCCATTTCAGTTGCTTCGTGATTTCCGGTACAGTGAGATATCCACTCGATCCAACTGCCAATGAAGTGCGAAAATCAAGCTCGGTTACCGTCTGGATTGGTGAAATCGCGTCGATTTCGCGTGCAGCTTTCCTGTGTCTCTCCATCCGTTCCTGCTGCTTTTGTGTCTTGTCCTCCGCAACCTGCTGGCGATATTCCGCGAGCTGAATTCGCTGCTGGCGGCTAGACCCTGAAGCATCCTGAGTGCGTGTGATTTTTCGAAGCCATTGCCGCATTTCGGGACTAAGACTGTGAAGGAATTCAGCAGTCTGATTGAGTTTGAACATCTTTCGTGCGTTGTACTGAGCAAGAGAAATGGTTGGTGTAGCACGCGCAGCCTGTCGATACATCCCAAAATCAGCTTCATTCAGATCATTAGTCTTCTCCATCCAAGCACTCTCTATCTGCTCAGGTGTAGCATTGGCAAGAGCACCACCGGGAAGAAGTTCAGCACTGAAACGAACCCAAAGTATTCGGGCACTCTTAAGGAAGTGTATAAGAACATCCTTCGAATGAGGAAGATTGGGTGCATATTTTTGAGATGCGTAAAACGCTTCAGGTCGTTCCCAAGCGCGTCCATCAAGGGAACCCATCTCAGCTGACGCGTTTGGTCCAATCAGATATTCCGGATGTTTTATCAACGTGTCGATGTGGTCAATTACGCGTTGATGGAGAGGCCCGAGCTTGAGTACATTATCTTCGGTAGCATATGGACCTCTTATCTCGCGCATGTAGGGGACACTGATGGCAAGCCAGTAGAGAGTGATGGCAATGAATTCATGACGCGTCGGGATATCTTGGAGACCATCGAATACATTCTGTTCCATGTGGTTTAGCTTTCCAGATCCCTTGTTCTGCTTCACGTATGTGAGGAACTCAATGAATAGGTCCAAGTAAGTAATGATTACAGCACAAGCTTCTGCGTGGGACTGGAAACGCGTGTTCGATGTGTCTGGGAAGGATATATTGAAACCGAGCTTATGGTCAAAGAAGAATCGCAACATGTCCTGTTGTCCCCGTTTTCCATCCTTGTGTCGAAAAATCGCCCCCGCCAGACTGGCTACTTTGATAGCTCCTCGTTCCGAACGTTCAAGGGCTCGATCAGCCGCCTCGGTTCCTGTAGCTTTACTGATAGCGGCAGCATTATCACGATTTGGTAGGAGCTTTGGTGGATCGAGCTCTGGATGCTGCTTCCAAAACTCGTCTAAACCAATGCACCCACCCTTGAAGGCATTCATTTCCTTGTGCATGCAGCACCCAGCCCATAGAAAGAAGTCAACCTCAGCCTTCTCTGCTTCCGAAAGTTTTGCATATTCGGCTTCTCCCATGTCATGTATAATCTGGTTCCGCATAGCTTCAAGACAACGCGAACATTCTGTAGTAGTGAGTGCTTCCCAGGTAGCTGGTCCGCCAACCTGTTGTACAAGTGTTTGCGAGCCTTGGAAAATTAGGCATGCATATTCCAGGTCAGTGAGCCGTTTCATTGCTCGTTCTCCACGTACTTCACGGTCACATTTTTCTTTCCACCTCCTGAGCAGCTCGAAAAGTTTCCTCTGGTCTGCAGCATGGTCAGAGTGGAAGCCAGTGACAAGGTTCCAGAAGATACGGGCATCGTCCTCCGAACACATTCCACTCTCAAAGAGTAAGTGGAATATATCTTCGAAAGTCTCGATCCAACATCCTAACTGGGTTTCGCTAGTGTGGTTTATGGCCATCTTCAGCCCAAGGAAGAATTGGAGCTTCTGGTCAGCTTGGATAACTGTTGCGTGTTTGGTTTCGTAGGTTTCATTCTTGTGAGTGGTCCCATCGCTGGATATAGTGACCCCTTTTGAATGCAGTTTAGTGTCTATAGACGTATATAACACATATGAATATATATACCTTTGCTACTCGAGTCAAGTACTGCTTGTCCAATCTGCAATTTTGAGGCAACACCTCCCTCCTTCGTAATCCGACTCACTGTTCGCCTCGAAACCTCCCCTTCAATATCAATTCCGAACACAGCAGCGATCCGTTTGAAAACTCGCGTCACTTTGTTTGCTGGGACTTCCTCAATGGCTACAAGGTCGAGGGAGATATCACGAGTCTCATCGGTGACAATACCGTCCTGCTTCATGAAGTATTTTCGTTTCTTGTCCGCATTCACATTATATGTTTGCGCAACACGATTTATTGCTGTACCCAGGCGGTGTGGTATGCGGCCAATTTTTGCTTTTAGTGCATGTATTTTCTTCTGGTGCTCGCATAGTTTGTCCATTAGTGTGGCCTGTATCACATTGTGTGCCTCTGCCTCAAGTTTGCGTCGCTTCTTCTCCCTTTCCAAGTCATTCTTCAACGTATCCACTTCTTTCTCTGTTTCCTTGTCTTTCTCCTCATTTCTCTTCTTCTCTGCCTTTTTATTCCTCTCAACCTCTCTCTCCTTCTCCTTCTCCTCCTCCTTCATGCTATTTCTCTCCTCCCTCAATACTGTTGCTTTCCTTTTCCAGTACCCAGCCTTTTTTCGAAGATTTTCTGCATTTCTCTCTACCTCAGCCTTTTCAGCTTTTAGGACCTCAACATCATTCTCCTTGTTGTCATCTTCTTTGTCATTATCGGCTATGGTGGAAGGAGGAGGGTTCCCGGTGGATTTTCGTCGAGCAGCATTGGCAGCAGCTACTCGAGCCCTTCGATCCGCCTTCGAAACCTTTCGTTTACGCGCTGAGCCTAGCTCAGAAGCCTGGTCTAACTCGCGCTCTAGCTTCTGCATCAATACGCAAGTGAAAAGTACATCTTCGAAGAGTGTGGTGAGGTCAACGACGCGACTACAACGCGTCAAGTCTGTGCTTAATGGGCGCTTAGTTACTTTTATATTCATTTTTGAAATCCGCGGCCTTAATCGAATAAACCTAGATTCTGTCACAGCTGAGCTCCGAAAATGGCTGGAAATACCTTTTTCTAGCAAAACAACTCAGATGGTCAATTGTTTTTTTGCACTTGTATGGTTACTATCTCTTCTATCAGCTTCTAAGAGCATAAAAGCTTTCATGACACTTCAATGAATGATAAGTATTGTGTTTTTTTTCGACAGAATGAGTTGAATTAGAATTTTACACATTCCCTATCGCTAAAGTACACTGTCTGACCAAGTGGTCAGTCATGGAGAAAAGGAATGCTACCTTTGGCGAAGAGGTGGCTGTGCTGTGTCAAAGCAGGTTTAACGTGAGAACGGAAAACTTGGTAGGGGATTGCCCACACCCACTGCAAGTCATTTGTTTACTCCAACAATCCTCTTTATGTATGCAGTATAAGAAGACCATCATAAGGTTGAGGTTAGAATTGTTTTACAACTAAGCCACAAAACCAGTTTATACAGGCTGGTAGACATATCCCACATACATGAACATTATCTCACACTACATGCTTCAAATAATAGAGTTGATTGTAAGATGAACCTATCAAATTTAATTCATGATTTTTTCTGTTAGCTGAAATATTTGTAGAAGTTGTTTGTAAGGCATAATTTATCTGTTCAGGTATGCATATTTTTCTGTTACTCAGAGGTGGTTTGCTGACAATGTGCAAATGTTACATAAGCTGAGCAACTGTATAAACAGTTTTACACTTATCAACTATTTCTGCAATATTTTGAAAGGTCTCAAAGCAATGGCAAAATGTACATTATCTGTAAGTAGAGGCTGGTAAGCAACAATCTCATGCAATAAATGCACTTCTTGATGGACTATTTGAATACTTGCTCAGCTGGACAGCACTATCATTGACTCTAAAGTTATTATAGAGTCCTGGATTGGCAAAATTTCTAATTATTTGCAAAACATTTCTTTTTTTTCTGCATCTCCTTTTTTTAGTTTTGTTTGAAGCTAAAAACACCATTAATTTACTTAACTTACTAAGGCTGCTACAGTTAGACATCAATAAATAATGAAATTGCTGCACAACAAAATGTAATCATAGTATGTGACTCAATATATTCCATACAATGAATGAGTTTGGTGCAGCTGGAGTGCGCAGGTGAGTTTTTGTTCTTTTAGCACTCATGGATTCAATTCCTTATCTCATTATAATTAACAGTCCTTATTACTGATCCAAATGAAGCATGAACTGTTGTTATTACAACTGCATAATTATTAAGAGCACTTCTTATAACAAGTCATTTATATACTATCTATTACTTGTTATCAACAATCTTCTTTGTACAATATCATTGACTGGGGCCCAACAATGCTCTCTAGCAGCCAAAGTAAGGCGAGTAAAAATATTAGGTGCTTCAAGCTGCACTAGCCAACAATACAGGTCTTGGAGATGAAAAGTTGAAGTTCTTTGAAATGAAGAGATAATATTTATGATTTGTAAGAATATTACTTTACTAAATCACATAGGGAATGTGTACTTACATGCAATATTGAGAAAGAGTCAACAAAAATAAAAATATGGTGAAACACCACATGTCATGCCGAAGTCATGGCTGACGCTAATCCCTGCCAGTCCGTGACAGTCACTGGTCACAACTAGATGCCACAGTGGATGCCTTAATGGCAGTTCAAATGAACTGCCATGGCTTTTGCGTCCCGTGTGAGAACGGTGGTTTGCGGCAAGAGAGGAAGGAGGCTTCGTTGGATGGATAAAGGTGAAAATATCAAACAAAGGAAGAAATGATACATGCGTTTCCCGCTCCCCGTTTATTTTTCTGTTCTTCTTCCTCAACTTAGTTCTTTGCTACTGACCTCAATCAGTCTGACTCTTTACTTTGCTACTAGTCATAGCACTTATGTAGACTTATGTCAGTGACCTTTTCTGTCCCCTCGCCCGTTCTCACTATCCCTATTCTCAGAAAGAGAAGTATGTACCTCCTAGTACCTCGTGATGCAAATGTGAATGCGAATGCAGCAGTGCACCGTTCCAGGTCAAGGTAGAAGTGGCGGCTCTTCCGCATCTCTTTCCAAGGAAAGTTGACCAGGACGGGACACAAGTCTCGCAATGCCTTGGGCCTGAACGTTAACGGTCAGTTCTAGTCTGTACTGTAAAAAGACTTTCACATGGCCTGATAGTGATACCGGTACAGACCGGTACCCGTCTGCGGTGATCAAAAAATCCAGTGTTATTCGGATTTCAACCTATTCCAACCTTTAGTAGGAAAGGAAAGGAAAACCGACACGGTCCCATTGAGGAACAGCCGGGGTCCATGCTAACACATATTGCGCTAGATGTGTGACATGGATGTACATAACCAGTTTGTAGGTTTTTACAGAGTCCGCTCTTTTGCAGTCTTTTGCTCAAGATTATTTCTGAAGAGTCGGCACTTGTGACTCTCTCTCTATGTTCATTGCGGCTTTAAGTACCAGAAGGTTGCAGACTTTTCCGCATCGATAAGATCTGGTATGATATTCCAGGATGAACGTTGACGTTGAACCCTGATCTGATGAAGGTCTGTAAATTTGAATCTGATTGCAAATTTACACGAAATTACACGAAAATACACGAATATCAGCTTGGTTCAATAGCCGTCTATAGCGACATATATATGAAGAGGAAGGGGAAACGATTGGAACAATACGAGGGAGGAATGGAGGAAGGAATTATGAAGAAATAGAAACTAGGAACGAGCGTGCTAAGTATTTGCTGCGCGGGGTCGGCCCCGCGTCGGGTATGTCATTGATGCATTGATTGCGATCAAGATTATTAGCACTGGGGTATATAAGGGTATATAAAGGACGCCCCTCAGCGTAGAAGTCCTGAAATTTTTCACAACGCTGCAGGTTTAGTCGTTGAAATTCTTTCCTCTTTCTTACTGCCTCGCTGGACGACTCACCAAAAAGAAAAAAAAATTTCGAGTAGGTCAGCTTTTCGGTTGAACTCGAAATGATCCCAGCTGATATCAAAAAAATTAACCCAAGTCAACTTCACATTGTTCATTCGTCGCGGTCGCCAATGTATCTTCACGGAGTTTCTGTCTTTTTGGTTTTGGGAATTTTTGCCGCTACTTGTAGTGCTATTCCTTTGGTCCCCAATGTATGTATTGTTATTTTCTTCGGCAGACTCTAGTGGATGTTGAACAATCTGTTTGGATTTCCTGCAGGCCGACACGAACCTTACGGTAGATCCTCGGTCTGAAGCCGTAGGCATACGGGCACGGGGAGCTCCCAAACAGTTCAAGATTACCTACCCTACATCCCCAGGAAAACCTGCCAAGTTCGACAAATACACCGACGAATTAGCAAAACAGTATGTGACGACAATCATACATCAGCAACCCGCTTTGGAAAAATTGGGTGTTACCCTCCCACAGTCTGTCCGCTTCGAAAACCCAAACCACGAAGAATATCAACGCGAACTTGCAAAAGTTGTCGAGTTCACTTTCGAAAAGTACCCGTATGCCTCCTTGGATGGTATGTATAGTCATGAATACAGTGGGACGACGGCGTCCTTTGAAGTGGTCGATCCAACTCGTTGGCTGTCGAAGGTAGTCGCTAAAGGAACAGCTGGGGAAAGTGTGTTCAAGGGGGTCTATGGTGATTTGAAGAAATCGGACAAAGATGAGGATGTCTTTCGATATCAAGAGAAAAAGGTATTTATCTTCGAGTCGACTAACCTGACCTCAGTTTGCTAATCATCCCCCTTCCATCGTTATTCAGCTGGACCCGGTCCGGGCTGCGTCCTACTAAGTACCCAAAGAAAATATTGTGATCCTATATGAATACTGTAGCAGTATGAAGTGATTGTTGGACTTGAATTCCGAATTGGCATGTAAAAGATCTAAGTTCGAACTTTGGAAGAGGTATTAAAGAGCACGCGTGCCGTGTCTTATTCCACGTGGCCATGCGATAAATGAAATAAATCCTACTACTTCCCCATTTCACGTTAAATCATGGTCCTTGTCCTCGTCGTTGGCGATCTACACATTCCGCATCGAATACACGATCTCCCACACAAGTTCAAGAAACTACTGGCGCCTGGGAAAATATCCCAGGTCCTTTGTACAGGAAATGTTTGTGATAGAGAAACTATGGAATATCTGAGGTCAATAGTTGGAGGAGCGGAGATACAAGTTGTGAGAGGAGACTACGATGAGGTATGCTCTCTCAAGATAGCGCTTTACTTCACTCGAGCCACCCCAACTGCAGCTTCCAGGCCTCCCGTCATCGTTAACAGTGACACACTCGAACAACTCCCTACGAATTGGTTTAATACACGGCCATCAATCACTTCCTCTGGGCTCACTTGACGCTCTCTCTGCGATTGCGCGTCAAATGGATGTTGACTTTCTTGTTTCCGGCGCGACACACGCTGTACAGGCAGTCGAGTACGACGGAAGGTTCTTCTTGAACCCTGGGACGGCAACAGGTGCTTGGACAGGTGCTTGGAATAGCTCCAAACCGGGATTTGCCGTCTCATCTAACGAGGGAGTCAAGGCGGCAGGCCCTCATGGTGATCCTATACCAAGTTTCGCATTGTTGGATATACAAGGAACGGTCGTGGTGACATATGTGTATCAGTTCATAGATGGAGATGTTAAGGTGGAGAAGGTGGAATGGCGCAAGCCAGACGGATATGGCGTCGATGAACGTGTAGGAGGTATGTCTTCATTGACTCTAGATCCTTTCTTATGCTGTGACTTTTCTCTATCGATACTCAATACCTTTTTCTCAGCTAAAACACCGATAACACCCGGCGTTGGCTCGGTTATGCCTCAGAGTATACCAAGTCCGACACCTATGAGTCCGCAGAATGCCGGTTGGTGATTGCACGGTTGTACGGTACAGGGAAAACGACTTCAACAACTTGAAGTGTTACTTGGTGTGTAATCTGTAATAATATTTTTCATCCACACCATTTGGAATGAACTATATAATGTGTGCATTGGGAGTGTCCGAGAGGTGTGTGCCTAAGGGGTGTGAAGGACGCAGTATACTTGGAGGCCAATTTTTGTCGATCCCTACGAGCGGGATAAGTTGGTGATCAACGGCCCAAACTTGGCAAAGTTTTCTCAGACCATTGGGAAACGAAGACAATTCTATTCATTCATACTACGTCCTCTTTCATATGGGTCGTGGGAGGAACTTCCTCTCTCTAAATCGCATGGAAATGCAAGAGCCATTCTCGGTCAACTTCAACCTCAACCACTGTGGATTCTACATACATATGGTGGGTGAATACTTCCCCGCTCTAAACACGAGTAACGAGACCTGAAGTCTTTCTTTCATGATATGAATTTGGAGGACCTTGTATCTCATCCAGGCCTCAAGAAATTCTACGTATAGAACACGCTGAATGATTACAACGAGTTTTTATGCGATCACAACTGGTCCACGTTTTGTCTCCCGCAACACGCCCGTTTGAACCTCCAGATATTGGTGTGAATGGCCTAATTCGCAATTGTATCTTGGCATCGAACCTATAAGTGATACCCTGGTTCACATTTTTGGTTCTGAGCCTTTGTCTGAATTAGAACGCCCCTAGATTCCAAGTTGAATCAATACATGAGAGATTCAATCTACATCTGTCGAAGGATTGTGGGTATCAAACCGAATAAACAGGACTTGGGAATTATATACGGCGCCACGCTTTTAAGGTGGTTGCTATTCATGTGATCTTGTGCGAGCCCTTTCTTACTTTCGAGGAACCGAAATACTCGACGTTGAACGCTCTCAACAATCATGTCAGATCACGATATTGAGAAACGCTCCGATGACGGAAGAAAGGAAGGCGTTTTGTCTAGGGAAGGCTCCGAAAAAGAGGAGATCAATTTAACAACCTTCCACGAAAAGAGAGCAGGTCGTCTCGTCGTTTCACCCCAGTACGTCTTGGTTCTTTATCGTCAATAATTGGCTCTCTCAATCAGTCGTTTCGAACAGAGAAGCTCGCATCGAATTCGGAGAAGCCGTTGCCTCCAAATTGAAGCTCTCCAAGGATGGAACGAAGGTCCTTTGGCCACAACCCACTGACTCCCCGTACGACCCGCAAAACTGGAGCAACAGGCGTAAACATCTTCATTTGTTCATTATCACCCTGGCTGCAATCGTGCCAGATTTTGATTCCGGCATAGGTGTGTAGTCTAACCTTTTCCTCTATCAATCTTTGTCGGTGCTTTTTGTATTGGTGCCTCGCCCCATGATCGCGTTTTTTGATTTCAATCCCAACATTCCATGCAACAGGTATCGCTTCTATATTCCCACTTGCCACACAATTCAATACCACCACTGGAGTCATCAATAATATGACGTCTAAGTTAGTGTTCATTTCTCATGTGCACCCGTCGTGCAATGTAACTCATTCTGCGCCTCTCTTTCCGAATGTAGCTGGAGTATCTTCCTCCTTGGCTGGGGCGGAATATTCGCAGTCATACTGATACGTCGGTACGGTCGTCTACCAATTTTGTTTTGGTCGCAGGTCCGTGGAATACTGTCTTTGTATCAAAAAAAACTTATTGAACCATGATAGATTTTCGCTTTGGGGTTCCTCATCGGGTGTACATTCGCGCCGAATTTGAAGACATTCACGGGTAAGCATATATGCTTAACCCATCTTTCATTGTTCTAATTGTACTTATTTCAGCAATGCGCTGTCTCACCGCTGTTTTCGCGTGCGTTTACCAGACGTGATTTTATATGATTCTTAACGTCTCCCCGTAGAACTGCGCCACAGGTCACTGTAAGTCAAATTGCACCCGCCGACATCATAGATGCAATAACCTTTTGCAGGGTCTCTATGTGGTGACAGATCTATTCCCCTTCCACTTGCAAGCCCGGAAGGTCGGCTGTTGCTGCATTTTCGAATCACCTGCGCAAAGACTTACTCGGACATTTCCTAGCTAAACATTTGGACCATGGGCTTCATCATTAGCCCTTTCCTCTCTCCATTTGCTTTCGGTTTCTTGGTTGCTCGAACAACCTGGCGCTGGGCATATGGAATTGGGTGTATTTATGGTGCCATTGTATGCGTATTAATCATCTTGTTCATGCAAGAAACGTCAGTTACCTTGCCAGTTTCAACGTAATGGCGCCTTGGCTAAAGTGGTTTATCATAGCATGTACGACCGCACAATTTCTCCTATTCCTGAACCGGCTGCTCAAGGCGGCTTCCGATATCGTTTCGAGAGTCTCGTCGGCATCTCTGGGTACAAGATGGCCAAATATCGTGTATCTTGGCAAGACGCAATTCTGTCTCCATTCAAGGTAGTTTGGCGCCCGCATTTGTTAATCATTTTGATTTTCGAGGTAGCAAAATTCTCTACATTTAAGATTATCCTCTTGACATTTGGTACACAGGCCATGGTATTTGGATTCAGCATCGGTATCAATACTACAAATGCGGTGTTTCTAGGAAGTCCCCCGCCGTTAGGATATGGTTTCAGCCAATTCGCCATCGCAGGTGGTTATGGTACACCCATCGTATGTATTCGATAAGATCTAATGTCTTAAGAGAATTAACTTTGTACAGGTTGCAGTCCTCATTGGTGAACTCATTGGTCGATTCAATAACGATTTCATTATGAATGTAAGTATTAGGAGAAACAACGGAGTGTTCGAGGCTGAGAGTCGATTGTGGTATGTCCCATTACAACCACAAGGATGAGATCCTGTTTCATGGTTCCGATATAGGGCATGCTATCTGGCTATGCCTCTCTACATATGTGGCTTCGTTCTCCTAGGTGCATCGTTCCAGGATCACCTCAGCGTCGGAGCTCTCGTCATGGGATGGGGAATTTCGGAGCTCGCGGTTATGATTAATACTGTCGCAGTATGTGCGTATAACGTTTCGAGTTGACTCCTTTATGCATTCTAATTCTGACTTCTCGTAGACGCTTACTGTAACGATTGCTTCCCCAAACACCAGGTGGGTCGTGCTTCATGGTCCTTGATCGAGGCAATGAATAGTTTCTGGTGGTCTCTAGGGAGAAATCAGTGCATTGATAAACTTGGCAAGAACTCTTGGAGGTCGGTTGGTATTATGCCTTCCGATTGTATACATTTGACATGTGTGGCCAGGCTTTAGTGTAGCGTACTTCCAAGTGCCCTGGGCTTTGAAGCATGGGGCTTTACAAGTTTTTGGGGTTGAAGCAGCGTGAGTACAACTCATATCCCTCTCTATGATTCAATGCTGATTGTCTCGACTTTGATCAGCATCGTGATAGGTTTATTCTTCCTATCAGTACCTTTCATTCAGATTAAAGGACGGCGATTGCGGGTGAGCACCCTGTATTCCCAATCTTGTCTCTTCCTGATGCTCTCTGTCTCTAGGAAAAGTACTCATTGTAAATGATTACTGTTAATCAAACCGCCATGTTACACTGTACTATACTGTAAATTTTACTCTATGCGTTTGTCATTTCGCTTGCAGATGATTTGGTTGCTTTCATCTTCGACCTCAGACCCCTGGTTCAAACGTCAGCTGTCCTAAAGAATGGCCAATCTTATAGGAAACACATTTCGCCGGATGGTAATGAGATCATATTTAAATCTCTTTAGCGACACATGATATCCTCTTCTACGAAATTGGCCATGCAGATGCGGAAAGGGATAGAGGAACGAATGAGTATTGCGAGTGCTCGGACACCATGAGGTCATAAAACGCTGTGGTTCAGAGGTTCTTGCTTGTTCTTGAAAGAAGCCACGACTATCGGGCTTCATACTCAGCTATAAGAACGCTGTTGATTCCTACTGTAATATGCAGGCAGAACGTCGACCTTGAATCATGGCGGAAGGCAACAGCAAACCCGAAATTTCGTTTCGCGAATACGTGTCTGCTCATGGTCTTGAGGAGGTTCACAAACGACACGGTCGCATAGACCTTGTTCCCCTTCCTTCAGACCTTCCCGAAGATCCCCTTAACTGGTCTTCGCTGCGAAAAAACACTTTATTAACTCTGGTGGCCTTCCACGCTTGCCTCGGGCCATTCTCTGCGGCTTGTGCGAGTAAGTAACTTGCTTCTGGTGCCGCATCGAAGCCTTACAGCTCCTGTTTGTAGTCCCCTCATTTGAGGTTTGCCACCAACTCATTTCTCGCTTACGAAAAGGTTAAGTTTCCGCACAGCTGTTTGCCGTTGAATTTGAGGTGTCGTTGACAAAAGCGTCGTATATCACGGCAGTGCCCATTGTGTTCTTAGGTGCGGTGTCTCTATATCTGTGTGCCCGAGACTACTTAGTATGCTTAACACTCACCAGGCACCTTTCCATTTCTCTGGGCACCCATTAGTAGTCGAATTGGTTTGTAGTATTGTAACTCTGTCCTCCTTGTTTTGATGTCCTCTCAGGCCGTCGACCAGTCTATCTCGCCTCCATGTTGATTTCTGCTGCCATGCAACTAGCCTCTGCGTATTGCACCACCTTTGGAGCATTAGTGACCTGCCGGGTCCTGGTTGCGATCTTCATTTGTCCTCCGCAGAGTATCGGGGCGTCCACAGTCTCCGAAGTATTTTTTGTTCACGAGAAAGGGCAAAAGATGGGAGTGTGGGCATTAATGGTATCTCTAGGGCCAACAATTGCTCCACTTATCATGGGCCCACTCGTCTGTAAGTCGATTGATCAGTACTTCGTTCTTGATTTGACAATAAAATTTAATTGGTTGACTTGGTAGACCACACGGGACAATGGCAGTGGACATTCTATCTACTTGCTATGATGAACTTTGCGCACTTTATTTTGTACCTGTTCTTCTGCCCAGAAACATTATTTGACCGTCCCGTACGGTCAACCAATCCCAAATCCACAGCTACAAATATACAACAGCCAGCTAATGCAACTGGAAAGTGGTACTCACCATACACATCTTTTCACTTGCACAGTAGAGAGCCGTGGAGCAAACTGCCTCTGGATGTCGTCTCGCCTTTGCAATATATCATTAGGCCGAATATTTTGCTACCAAGCTTAGCAAACGCAATCACATTCACGTATACCAACGCAAGCGCAATACTTGGTATATCTGGATCACTGACTGAACGTATTTTTGCTAGGTGCTTCTCACCGTCCAAATACCTGCGCTTCTTGGGCAAAAATATCACCTCAATACTCAACAAATTGGAATGCAATTCATTGCGCCATTTCTTGGAGGGCTCTTGGGTGAGCCATTTGCAGGAATAGGGTCAGATAAATGGATGCAATATCGTGTCAAAAGGGCAAACGGAAAAAGAGAAGTGGAATGGAGACTTCCTTTTGCCATCCCTGGGTTTTTCATAGCAGTTCGTAGCCATTCTCGCCACATAGCAGTCCCTCATGGTACGTGTCCCGACAGATCCTTGGATTGATGGTTCTAGGAGTATGCCTTCAAAATACGCAGTCTGGGGTTTGGAATATCGCACCAGATATCGGGTCTGCCATTGCCCTGTTCGGACAACAGATTGTTACAAGTGAGTTCATTGATCATGCTGAGATTTTTCGGAAGCTCACCTTAATCCAGCCGTTTGCACAACTTATGCTATTGAATCCCAACCAGAACATACCGGCCAAGCTGCTCTTCTAGTAGCATTGATACGACAAACTTATGCCTTCACTGGTCCCTTTTACTTTACAGATCAGTTTGATGCTATGGGCATTGTGCGTGGTACGTATTCGACACAGTACTCATGTACTGCCATTACTGATACCTTGATTAGCATGTGGACTCCTTTCCGGACTCATTGCAATCGGGATGTCCTTTGTGCTTGCATGCATGGTATTTGGTAAATCATGGCGCAAGACGGAAACTAGGAACGAGGACGAAAGAACGCCTGATCGTAGATCGTAAGGAATCTCAGAGAAGAATTATGAGTAAATGTTTACCGTACCAAATATAAGTGATCATGAGTACTTACTATTGAAGACTTGTAAGCTCTCGCTGAACTTCAGCATTTGCGCACAAAGGATTATAATGGGACTGATATTGGAACCTGGACAATATATCCTAGTGTCCAGCCCCACTCATAGGTTGTTGGCCTCTGTCAATCTGTTCTGTTCAGGCGACTGATCATCGGCACTGGCTACACACTGTAACACAGGGCTACCCTAGGTTAAGTACCTCGTGATGATCATGAAGCCACCGTCCACGTTGCAAACACGTTCCACGCGATCACGTGCGGGTTTTATGTTAGTCTAAGTCTTGGCCGACAGTGAGTCTTAAGCTTCTCTATGTTCCAACCAAAGACACCCAGCAGACATCGTACTCGCTCGGACGTTGGCAAAACGCCTAAGACGCCTTTGACACCTTCTGTGTTGTCAGGCTTGGGTAACATTTCTTTGGGTGGTTCCCCTACGAAAAAGCGAACTGGAAAGACACATGCAAAGGCTTCTTCTAGCTCTGGTCCCTTCGATACCACAAACCCGTTCATACAACCATCTATCTCTCGCTCTCGGCCAAATTCTCGGCCTAGCTCTCGTCCAGCATCTCCGGTCAAGTTCACCACAGGTGCTATCCCCATTTCAGAAGACCTTAAAGGGCAGGCCGGTGGTGGACTCATTCGGAAAGGCGGCGTAGAGCTTAGTCGCCTCGACGTCGTCAGTAGGGACTATATTCCTCCAAAGCCAGAGCTCAAGCGTTCCAGATCTACCCCAGCCGCAGTGAGCAAACACCCTCTGAGATAGTCTGAGATTAATTGTACCATTCTCAATCATATGTATAGAACCGTGACACTAGGGATCGCTTCATCACCAGCCGCGATACAGAAAACGACGTCGCAGCCACTCTTGAACAGATGCATCTTAATCCTAAATCAGCCTCGCCTGGGCATACTGCTCGATTAGTAGCTGCGACTGGCGTCCCGCTTAACCGTCGTATCCTCGGCTACCACGAGCCGCCGCCTGCTGCCTCTTCCGACACCTCACTCGCTCAACAACGCGAGTTCGCGAAGCCCTTGTACGCCCGACCAGGAACCCTTCCTACTTCTACTGGATCATCGACTAATAAATCGCGCAGAATCCCCACACAGCCTGAGCGTGTTCTTGATGCACCTGGTATGGTTGATGATTTCTATCTCAATCTTATTAGTTGGTCGTGCCAGAACACAGTGGCAGTGGCCCTTGAGGCTTCAACGTATATTTGGCATGCAGACACAGGCTCCGTAAACCAGATCGGCGAGGCCCCGGAAGGCTCGTACGTTTCAAGCGTAGACTTCTCTAATGATGGAATGTTCCTCGGTATTGGGATCGGACAAGGTGATGTCGAACTGTGGGATGTCGAGACTGGACAAAAGCTGCGAACTATGAGTGGTCACCAGGCGCAGATTGCCACTCTATCGTGGAACCAGCACATTCTCACCTCGGGCTGTGGTGACGGTAGTATCTGGCACCACGACGTGCGAATTCCTCGACACAAGGTTATGGAATTGCTAGGTCACAGTGGAGAGATTTGTGGCTTGAAGTGGAGAAGTGATGGAGAGCTTTTGGCAAGTGGAGGCAATGACAATGTTGTGAACATTTGGGATGGAAGGTTGGGAGATGTCGGTGAGGGTGCAAGAGGTAGTGCCAAATGGACGAAGCGGAACCACACTGCTGCTGTCAAGGTATAACTTTCTTGCTTCCTGTTCCCTGTTCATCAGCACGTTCTAACAACTTAATTAGGGGCTTGCTTGGTGTCCCTGGCAAGCCAACCTCCTTGCATCCGGTGGCGGAACGAATGATGCTACCATCAACGTTTGGAACAGTACTACTGGCGCTCGTCTTCATACACAAAAGACTCCTTCTCAGATAACCTCGATTCTCTGGGCCCCACACAAGAAGGAAATTCTCACTACTCATGGATATCCCACCAACTCGATCATGCTACACGCATATCCGAGTATGGATCGTGTCGCCGAGATCCGTGACGCCCATGACTCGCGAGTTTTGTTCAGTTGCCTTGGGCCTGCGGGTGATGTCGTGTGCACTGGTGCAAGTGATGAAAATCTCAAGTTTTGGAGGATTTGGGATGTTGTCGGGGAGGGAAGTGGAAAAAAGAGGAAGGAGAATGAAGAAAGGAGGGTCAATTCGACTTCCTCTGGCCAGCTGTCTATTCGTTAACCATCGACTACTACGGCGAGTCTTGATTCGATCATCGCTACTTTTACATAGGCTTTTTTTTTCAAAGTTCAAGCTTTACATGTACACGTCATTTCTCGAAAGTATATTTATATAATGTGTGACATACGTACAGTAAGTTACCACCGTAGTTCGGGTCCCATGGCTTTCAGTTATTGGACCATAGCGGGTGCGTATTTAATTACCTTACCTTTCCATTCGTCGCAATCCAATTCGTGTATTTTGTTCAGCATATCTGCTCTGATCGGTCTTTTTTTTTTTAAAGAAAAAACGATTTTGCTGCCTTAGAAAATTCGTGTGATCGATTTGGCGCAGAATACTGCAACCTTCTACACTCTTCTACAGCTCAGCTAACAAAATAGAAAGCCTAACAAAATCTGCACACGGATTGCTAATTTTCAAGAATTGGAAGCCTCTGCCTATTACAGAAAGGACGCCAATCCTCACAGCTTTACAACATTCTGAACCTGATTCGTCTCTTCGATCTTGGTTTCTGCTGTTTTTCGCTTCACACCTTCGTACAGTACATAAGTACATAGCTTCCTTCCCAATTGCGAAATGGCAAACACAAAGAATCAGCGGTTCGTTTTCCCCAGCTCAGTCTAGTACATATATACATTCCAATTTCCAGTTTCTGGCTGCTACCGCGTTCCTACAAGTGGACTACAAGAGGTTAAAGCAGAAAACTTCAGGCTGGGATCACGAAACGCTCCAACTCAGTCCCAGGATTAACTCGTTCGTTCCGAGACGAACTTTCAGAAGCAAGGATCAAGATTTCGGCGTTACAAATTGACTCATTTACTCATTCAATATCCTACAGCGCCGCACGTATCGAAGAGCTGTAGCTGGCTCGAGTAGGTAATCGTGCTTCGATCTTACCAACTCCGGTGGATACTTAAAGGCTAACGGGTCTAGTATCCTTTCTCTCCTTTCTCAACAACATTCAAGTCTTTTATTGCTTGGCGTTTTGTCATTGCTTATCATTCTCATATCCATCCTTTTTTTTCGTGACATCCGTATAACCTATGCCAGCTATACCGACCTCTAGAACCATCTCTCGCAAATTGAAGAAAATTTTAAAAGCCTTCGCCTGGAGAGTCGCTACGAAACGCTGCCGGAGAATACAAAGCGCTTGCAGCAGCAGTAACAGTCGGACTGAGCCGATGTCGTCTCGACCCGAAGTTTACATTCCGGGTCATGTTTGGGACTCGCAGAATCCTAGTGAACGGTATGCTTCCGTTGGGGATCTATGTGCACATATAGGTGATCAACTTCCAATCCACCTTGTTAAATGGATTGCGAGGGATGTCCTTCGAGGATTAGCAAATTTACATGAGTCGAGGGGAAAGGCTCACGGTGGTATGCTTTTGAATTTCAACGATCTCGTCTATTTTGTGACGAATGACCTACATAGACCTCAGTCAGGACTGCATCCTGATATCCCCACAAGACATGAAAATGTTAATATCTCAGTTTTACTACGCTGATGCGCAATCCCAGCATACAATGCCTCAGTCTTCCGAAATGTCGCATACTGAAACGCACCCAATCCTTTTCAACATGGACACAGTGGTCGTTCCTGCCGCTCCTAGTTCCACACTCGCTTTCAAACCGATTGTGTTCAGACTATGTTATCCAGAGGTCGGTGAGTGCATAGTCTCTTCATGCTCTTTTTGACAATGGTCGTTCACCAAGATATCAGATAGACCTCGACATAATCCCTTCTGTGATAGTTTTGGTATGCGCCCTCCAGAAGCGCTTCTGGACGCTCCTCAAGGAATCAGCGCGGACATATGGACTCTAGCTTGTGTCGTATGTTGCTTTTGTGATTTTTGAAGACAATTGGTGCCCATAGTACTTTACTCATTCATAGCTATATGAACTCATCACTGGCGAAAGCTTGATCGATCCGTTCTTCCAAACTCTCGAGCTAGGCCTTACACCAGAAGAGTCGCACCTGATTCAAATCATCGAAATTTGTGGCGAATTTCCAAGAGACGTTACAAAATCGGGTGCGAATGGTTGCAAGTGGTTTCATGATGATGGTGCGTTAGGCAAAACAACTATGTACCTAAACGATCATAATCTTACCTTTAATTGTTATTTTCAATTTAAATTCAGGTACCATACGTCTCGAGACGACATACTATCCTGTCACACTAAAAGATATCCTTCACTCAAGGATCGAACCATCGGAAATTACGCATACTGCTGACCTACTAAGATCGATGCTGAGGCTGCGTCCACAGGAGCGTGCTAAAGCTGTGGACTTACTAAATCATCCTTGGTTTCATGATGTAGTAGATGAACGAGATTGAACGAGGGTATACGAATATGAGTTGACTCAGACCTGGTAAGAGAGGACAATTAAAGCTCAATCAAATAAGCACCGTGATGTATTCCCTCGAGATGAGGGACCCTAATTTCCTAAGATAGATGATTTTGATGTATCATGTATCTGTATGCACCACCCATAAATATTTTCCTCGTCCAAAAGCAGGGAAAATATCATTGTCGAGGCGGGTGTCCGGTCCGACTACTTAATTTCCACACAATGTCTTTTCAAGCATTTGAATCAGCGCTTTACCATCCTTTAGTACCTATCCCTTACTTCCAATGCGGATTTACCACCAGCACTTTATCAATTTCCTCCAACCCTTCTCTTGCTATTGTCGATCTGCTCGATAAATCTATCGGGGTCCACAAGATCTCCTCTCGCACAGCTCATCCATTGGTTTCGCCCCCGAATCCAATAGACCATGGTATAAATGATAGTGAATATGAGTCTAACTGTGTCTGCTTACCTCCGCCGCCAATTGCTTGGGAAGCATTCTATCCAAAAGGAAGTATCAATCCTTCTGCTGAAATACCTGGCGGGTTCGGATTCTACTTGTCCGGGCCGAAGGAGTTCTCAGACGGGTTGCTTAGCTCTTCAGATGGTACGGGAGCAGAAGAGATTCTTATGAGCTATCGTATGATGCTTCAGAGTGATTGGGAGTGGGCCAAAGGGGGTAAACTACCGGGAGTATTTGGCGGTATCGATAGCCTTGCGTATGGGTGTAGCGGAGGTCGGAAAAATAGCAGAGAGTCTTGCTTCGATGTTCGAATTATGTGGAGGTACTTTCGCAATTCCCCTCATTTGCTTGTCACTGAAGAACTTATCGCGGTTCAGATCCAAAGGCGCAGGAGAACTCTACATCTATCTACCATTGACCGCAGAAAACAAGAAACGTCTTCTAACTGTCCCGCCCCTCTCACTTGAAAATCCAGATTTTGGATTCTCGGTTGGTCGTGGAGCTTTTTTCATCCCGGTTGGACGATGGGTAAGTATCGCAATCCGAGTGAAGCTCAATGCCGTTGGGCTCGATGACGGTAAGTCTCGATTTTTTTTGTAAACTCCTCCCAATTTCCACTGGAACTATTCCCTGAGGTGTTGGTATGTAGGCGAAATCGAACTTTGGATCGACGGAGCATCGGTCATCTCTATCACTGGCTTGAGCTTCTCAAACTCTGAGAAGAGTAGACTCAAAGGAATGCACTTTCAGACATTTTTTGGGGGTAAGTCTGTCTGTTGATATCTTGCTACAGCTTTGCTTCAACATCTACTTCGATTTCAATAACTTGCGCTCTGTTTCTATTGGTTTCTACTAAACTTGCATATAGGTAATAAGCCTGATTGGGCCTCGCCCAAGGATCAACGAGCTTGGTTTGCGGATGTCACTGGGGTAATTGTTGGTTAGGATAAGCATAGGTTAGGTCAGGTTCTCTCAGGATTCTCTGCTAGTTCTGCAATTCGAAAAACCCAAACGAGTTCGTGAGTAAACTGCTATGTATCTGGAGGAAATCGAATAATATGCTTTCAGCTTTTCACCATCAACGAAGTAGAGAGTGTTGATTGCAGTAGCTTTTACTTACATACAATACCAGACCCCAGGATACGTGATATTCTCGCTTGCAAAAAAAAGGACTCCCCCGCAAGTGACAATCTGTAAACACTTCATGGTTATGTTACCATTATATATGTATCGTACGCGCAAGTGGATTCCGTCAATGTCTATCTACCACTGCCGTAGCTGCTATACCCTCTGGGATCCTGATAACCCGGGTAGTTCTGCTGTTGAGATTGAGGAGGGGGAGGTGGAAACCCTTGATAACCCTGATAAGATTGCTGCTGTTGGGTAGGGGGTGGCTGGTGTGGTGAGCCATACCCTCCATAGCCCTGCTGTTGTTGCGGTGGCGGAGCAGGGTGAGAAGGAGGAGACTGGTATCCTCCATATCCTTGATGGGAGGGAGGTGGCGGCGGCGGTGGCGAACTATACCTTCCGTAACTCCCTTGTCCGCTGTAACCCTGCTGTTGAGGGGCTTGAGGCCCTGGAGGAGGAGGAGGAAATTCATTGCCATATGTTTGTTGCCTCTGCGGCTGAGATGACGGCGGCAGCGCAGGAGGAGAGATAGAGTTTAACATATCCAAACTTGCGTACGGATCGAGAAGGGGCGGAGACGGTAATGAAGGTGGTGGAGGGAAATTCCCGTATTGTTGACGTTGTGGTTGCTGCTGAGGAGAAGCTGCGATAGCGGGGCTGGAAACATAGGACGAATAAGGCTGGGAGTACGGGGAGTACGGCGGTTGAGGAGGCGGTTGAGAAGAAGATGGTGGGATGTATGACTGTGTTTGATGTTGTTGATGGGGACTCTGAGATACCGGAGGAGTAGGCGTATTCCTCCATTGTGTTTGGTTGGGGGTCTGCTGAGAGGCATACGAAGAAGCATACAAAGACGGCGTGGGAGGTGGTGGTTTCGATATTTTCATTCCAGCCAGCGACGCGCTCAAATCATTGGAGTTATCTGGTGCTGAGCTCGGTGGAGGTGGCGGGAGAGGCGGAGGCCCGCTCCCTCGCTGACTGACTGACACAGCACCACCACTTGAAAGCCTCTTTTCCACCTCCAACTGTCTAACCAGCGCCTCCCTCTCCCTGGTCCGTCGCTCAACGAACTCCTTCACGGTCGACTCGAGTGTAGAGGCAAGTTGGGAGAGGTCGGTGTAGAATGTGAGACCTTTGCTGGTGAATATATAAGAGAATAAGTGGGTGTAGCGAGAACAGAAGAGCCACTCACGTAATCCCATCTCTCACTTCCATATACACATCCCTAGCTCTTCCGAATCGCACAAGAAGATCTTTCTTGCGCTTTTCTCGTTCTTCCCATTTTCGCGCTAAGCTTCCTATGAAGGAGGGAAGCGAACTAGGTCAAGATAAAGGTATATGAAGAATGATGATTGGGCTTACCTCCTCCGGTGCCTCCTCCACTGGTCCTATTGTAAGCTTTTCGCCCACCACTCATTTCACGCAACTTTTTCCAAAATGCCCCGATCTCGCTAAGTACGACCTCCTGCTGAGCGACGGCTTGACCGAGGCGTTGTTGATACGGTCTAAATTTCTCTAGTTCAGCTGCAAAGAGTGTCGGTTCAACTGCGGTATTTCGGCGATTTAGAAGAAGTAAGTGGGATACATCATCTGTTTGTATCTGGAAGGAATGATAGATCAGTTTGTAGACTGCGAATCGGGTAATATTCAACTCTTGAGCCCACCTTCTCCTTTAGATCCTTCAATACTTCCCCTCTTTCCCTAGAAATTTTACTCAACCTCCCAAATCTCTCATCGATCTCTGATACTAATTCGGCGATTACGGCTCGTTCATTAGCTTCTTCGTCGTTATTAACCCCTTCATCTATATCAAGTAAGCTTTGAGCAACATGCGTTCCTTGATCATTGACAACATCCATAGCGCGTCTGAACAACTCCTCCAACTCGCCTTCACCTCCCCAACCAAGCAACACCCCAACATCGGCTCTCACACCGTCCCAAAGCATCTCGACTTGCCTATCGCTTCCTTCGGCTTGGCCGGAATGATCCTGGAGTTCCTTCAACTCCCTCCTCATATCCCGTGTAAGAGACGCACTGGGCTCTTGAGTGAACTTAACCCCGTATTGCACGCGTAGTGTTTCAGTAGTATGGGATTCTTGGGAAAGGTTGGACGATATATGAGAAAGAGTTGACTGAACGTTGGATTTGCGTTGGGTCAATTGAGAGAGTAGTGAAGTGAGGGGGTCGCGGGATTCCAAGGATATGATTTCGTCGGTCCATTTCCGAGCATTTGGTGGAATTGCATCCACATCATCATCAATATCACCTACCGCTTCCTTTAAGATGGCCTTGAACTTGGCCACGCCCTCCTTAACGCCCATGGTCTCGATCGCACTTCTTACCTGACTCTCAGCCAGCTCCACTCTTTCCACTTCCCCTCTAACCAGTTTCGCCTTCTCCTCAGAATAGACCGATGCACTTTCATGCACACTCAGTGGTATTAATTTCAAGAAGATGTCCTGCCCGATGACCTTCTGCACTTCGGGCGCACCATACACTTCCTGTATTGATATCGGTGCAGCGACAGAGGCTACTGAAGTTGTTTCAATTTGGGGTAAGGAGTCGGGATTGGGTAGGACGGCATTGTAAATGAGATCATTCTCGTGTTGGGCGGTGGATTTGGCATTGGTACAGAGTGAGAGGTGGGCTTTAAGCCGATCTGAGAGAGTGGAGGCAGCGTCAGCGGGTAAGGTTGGCGAAACGCTTGGATTAAAGGAAGAAGCAAGGTATTGGGATTCTTTGGCAAGGGTTTCGGCGAGGGTCAGACGCGCGAGGGCGTCTCCGTGTTTGGAAAGGGCCCTATCAGCGAGGGAGCGGTGATATTGGGCAAGAGACGACAGATACTTTGCTTTTATCTGAGATATCACGATTAGTATTAGATTCCCTTTAATGATACATAACGTACTTGTATCAACATGACCCAATTCCTATCAAAGATCCCCTTGCCCATAAATTCTTTGACCTGTTCCGTGAGTGCAGTATACATGCCTGCCGTCTGAGCTGCGACTTTACTGACGAGCCCACTACCTTTCTTCTCTTCGGTGCATTTCTCCAGAAACACTTCGGTCGCTTGCGCCAATATCAAGGCGACGAGGAATTTTATCACTTCCCTGCTAAGATCCGTTGAAGGAGCATGAAGAAAATTGTCGTTGATATATGTCAACATCCCGGCGCAGGTACGGAAGTAGTAGAATGCCCGTTTAATTCCTTCTGGATCCGAGCGGCTTTGTGAAGCAGCAAGTGAGGAGTGAACAGAAGCAATTTGGAATAAGATTGAAGCCTTTTCGAATGCGATACTTGTCTGCGTAGTAAGTTTCGCTGTGAACGCGTCTTTCCAAGGGAAAGTCACTCGGATCTCCGCAAACCTCAGCTCCAAAAGCTCCAATTGACCAAAGTACTTGTAAAGCAAATCCCTAGCCGTGGAATCGCTGCCTGCTCCTCGAACAGCATCTTGTCGACAACGTTGTAGTGAAGCGCATTCCGATGAGTAATTGTCCGGACTTTCCCCATAAGATTGCGATATTAAATGACGGATTGGCGTGGTCCAGTCGACTTCCTCCGTAGATTTGAGAGGAATTGAGATCATCGGCGATTGGTTCGCCATTGTGGTAGAGAATGAAGCTATAGGAAAGTGACAAGTCACTGCGGTAACCGGTTGATGTCACCTTACATCTTTCCCATCATCCATCATGTCCTCCTCAAAACCTGTATCGAGTGAAGACATTCTAGGCCAAAAGGTACTCTACTCCTGAGCTCTCTCCTTACTATGACTATCCTCATTGTCATTATTTAGTACGACCGCTGTTGTACGTGGACAAGTTTATCCAATCTGGTTTTTGCCTCGCACTGACGGGAGTTTTCGGATGTCCATTCTTCTTACCGCTTCTGAACCCTGTTTCCATGGTCGGAACTCTTCATCCAATTTCTCATCCAACTTCTCGTATCATTGAACGAAACAAAACTCCCATTCGCTCATATATCCCTTAACTTGACAACTTCATAAACATTCAACTGTACCTCGGTCGACGGACATGTCTACGTTGATCGGGCCTTTGCTCAACAAACTCTTTACCTTTTCACCTTTCATCTGTCACCCCAAAACACGATTGGAACGTCTTACAACCCTCCATACGCCTGTTCTAACATACTCACATACGCGTACTTTCTGACACACTGCCGGCTGTTTCAACAGTGGCAGACTTCCTTGTAAAGACGTGCGTTTTACATCCCCCTCGCTCTTTTCATTGTTATATGTTGCTTCTCAAACCCTACTTTCTGCGAACGGCTAATTTAGCTGCTTCCTCATGTTCGTTCTCCTTTGCGTATCTTCATATTGACAAGCTGGTTTCAGAGGAGTGGGATTCAGCGTTGGGGTCGTCGCGTCTGTTATCCTGTTTAAACGTGAGTTTTTCTTCACTCTGAGATTCCTTCATCGCTCACCCAACTTACAACACTTCCTTTGATCCCGTTGTCATCAGGACGCACCTTTCCCATCGCTCTTTCAACCGGATTCGGCGCAGGCGCGGCCTACTCTGACTGTGATCGGTCATTTAATCCAGCCAGAATACCTGGAACAAGAATCATCCCTGCTGCGTCGTCTGCCTCGCCTGTGGTACCAGCTGAACCCGAGCATAAGCACCAGCTATAGAGAGGCCGATTCAGTGGTGGTAAAAATAGTGGGAGGATGAGAAGGGGAACAAAGAGAGCTCTGCGTCTAGGCAGGAGGAGTCACCACACGGATACTCTTAACAATTTTTAAGGAATACATTCGTTATGCCGCTGCCAAAGTCAAAACCAGATCATAGGTTTAGAGCAAGAACAATTTACCTTAACCCTCGTTGTGCGCTCATGATACTATGTCGTATTTCACTGTCAGTAGGTGATATATGAATCTACACTCATTCTTCTTCTGTAGCGTCTTCGTTGGATTTATTGCCTCCTGGTGTAGCATTTTGTGAACAGCTTGCGCGGCCACGCACCATTATTGGCTAGTCAGGATCCTTGTGTACCACTGTGATCGCGATGGTTACTCTACCTATAAACCTCAGGAGTACATCGTTAACGACGTTGTTTTTGGTTATTTAGAGACGTGCAAAATTCTGGATATTTCTCTGGCACGTTGATCTTAATGGGAGGATACAGTTGTCACGTTTGAAAAGAATTATGGTCCTCAATACTATTGCAACGACTGTTTACAAATCTATTTAGGGTCTGACTCGGGAGACTACCTCAATACAGAGGTTAGTCAAAAAGCTCATAATTAGGCGTCTCCGACTGAAACCGTAAGTGCACCTATGAGGTAATTCACAGTCGAGACAATCAGGTATTGATGTTATCGATGTTATGGATTTGTCAATGCATTATACATACTATCCTATCCTATCCTATCCTACCTACTACCAAAGCAGACAATGAAAACAGCACAAAATTCTCAAGTCATCCTTCGTCGAGCGACCGGAGGTGCAGGACTCACACTATTTCCAGCGGAAGGGAAATGCGAGTTATTACTGTTCGCACTCAATGCTGGTTGCCCATTAGTTTCTTGATGCGAAGAAGTCATCCCAACCATACGCTCTACAACAGCCTGCGCCTGATCCCAGTCCAGCGGCTCGTCCTCGTCCCCTCCTTCACCAGGCTCATTCCCTGCACCCAGTCCCCAACCACCTATACTCGCACGGGGAGCAGTAACTGTAGCTGTCGTTGAGCTACCCGTAGGCGTCCCAGGAGGTAAATCCGGACTCTTCAATGAATCCAAGAAAAAGTCTCTCTCCCTCTGCCTCTCGATTTCCGTAAACCCGAACATGCCGATATCCATACCCGTGTTATTTCTGGGGGTATCTAAGTCACCACCATTGAGGTACTCATCGCCACCCAAAGCTGGAGTGATGTTCAGACGCCCTCGAATGGTGAGCTTTTTATCTGCGACGCGACCTCGACGATCACCAGGTCCGCCTTCGCTCAGGAAGTTTGGCGCTCGTACACTATTTTCACCTATACCAACGCCGCTACTTATGCCCATGCGGTTGTTGATACCCGGATGATATTGCCGGGAGGAGACAGACGAACCGGGAATGGGACGCCCTCCACTTGGTCGATTGAAGGTCGATTGGTAGTGCAAGCGGGAAGCAGAGCGCACAACACGGAGAAGGTCTGCAATAGCGGCTTCGCCTGTGGATAAATTCGATGCATTCGAGCTGCCGCCTGCAATGCCTAACGAGAGCGTCTGAGGTCGCGGTCGGGACTGTGCAGAGAGTACTAGGAGCATCTGCTGCATACGCGGAGGTGTCTCTTGTAATGGCTCCTGATGTGAATTCTTGTTCAGGCTCATGTTCGAGGTGGCTGACAGCCGGGCATAGAGGCGAGACGAAAGAGGGAGAATGATTTTGTCGCGGAAGGAGCAAAGTGCTACTGTACGTACATCGATGTGATAGGAAGACATTCCGAGTGAAGATGATATAGATAATGACGGTTTGGACTGTTTGTTACCAGATGTTTGGCGGGAAGGTGAGCTTGGGCGTTTCGGTCCACGGTAGAGCGAGGATAAAAGGGGATCTATTTGGAGAGGAAGTAAAACGCCCTCCACGTACGTGAGGACTTGGTCCCAGAAAAAGCCCCAGAGCTCGACGACTCGTGAGATGAGTTTGTCGTCTTCGATACCGGATAGTTTCGCGTTCAACGTGACCATGCCGGAAGAGAGCAGCTCGGCGGTGTCGCTTTCCAGTGTCGACAGAGCTTTAGACGGTGTAGACGAAACTACAGATGATATGTGACGCCTGACAAGGTTATTCAGGTCTTCACTAGGTGATTTAAGATCAGGATAAGATGGATTGTTGACCGAACAACAACTCATCTCACATTGGTATCCTCAACGGCTCTCCATTGAACAATGGTAGTAGATTTACATGTAGAAAACCCCAGGGATCATTGGATGACGAGGATGATAATGAAGATGTCGATGCCTGAGGAATAGAAGGGTTAGGTAAAGAGGCCGAACTAGAAGGAACAGTGCCAAGTCGGTGCATTTCGCGAGTTACGAGCTTGGAGTCGTAAGTGCGACCATAAGCAGCCTATTAAATCAAAGAGAAGATACAAACTCGATATTGAATATAATGAGTGGGAAATTGGAAAAGATGCGGACCTTTGAGGGAGATGTGGTTGGGTGCATACTTAGCGAAGTCAATCTCGGCACACTTACGGCGCTACTAAGAATCTTTAACTCTCCTAGTTCAGATAATAATATTACATTGTTCTGCAAGACAACTGGTCTTACGAATATCAGTTCTAGTTGCAGGTAGTCTGAGAGCAGTCAACGTCTATTTAGTATTCAAACCCCCGACCTGCTATCCTTCTTTCGGCTTTTCTGTCTCCATCTTTGCTCGCTGAACGCCTGGCACGGCTGCAGAGTCTGACGGTCTGGAAAATCTTTTTTGAGCTTCACCGAGTACAAGACGTTTGTACAGCACATCTACGCAGGATGCCAATTATTGTCATGAGTAATTTAACAATCTGCAAAGAACCTTACATCCTGTGACCACAATCATCGGAAAGGTGGCGAGCATCAGCCTTACGCGTCGCTGTTGGAGCGTTAACAATGGTCTTGGAGGCACAGACATTGAAAGCCCGTGAACGCGAAGGCCGTCGAGAGACTCCGGCAAAGTGAGAGTCAGGAATCAGGGAATTCCCGCGGTAAACGCCTATAACTCTGTTCAGTACTCCGAAGTACCAGTTCGGTACAGGTCAATGATTGGACTCAAAAGCACACTCAATGTCAGGCATTCAGCATTTCTAATCTCTTACCACCTCTACTAACTTTTCCGTAAACAACAGGTCATAGACAACTCTGGCGCCCTTGTCGTAGAATGTGTTAACGTTCTCAAAAACAAAGTCAATAACCGCTGGGGTTCTGTAGGCGACGAAATCGTCTGCGTTGTTAGGAGTGCTCGACCCGTATCCGCTGCTGCTCAAGCCTCTTTGACCGCCGTCAAGGTTCGCCGAGGAGACGTCCGCCGTGCAGTAATTGTCCGCACGAAAAAGCCAGTACAGAGACCTGATGGGAGATACATTCGGTTTGATGATAATGCTGCAGTACTTTTGAATAATAAACGAGAAATGCTGGGAACAAGAATTGGGGGTGTTGTGAGTGCGGATCTAAAGTTGAAAGGATGGGGGAAGATTGCTGCTGTTGCACCCAAGGTATGGATTTCTTCTTCGACAGTCGCAACCGAGCTCGTCAATACTTTAATTTTCTTCCAGGCTATTTGATTCGCCCACAGTTCAACCTTGAAGTAGCTCGTGCATACATATATATGTGATAAACCTCCGCTAAAATTTTGTCACAAAACTGTGGTTGGGTTTGGGAGGACATAGGCCATAGGTATAATCCAAGATAGAGTCCGAGGATGTCTTTTGGATGAAGGGCTGGGTGAATCCGACTTACTTGGAGGACGCTTCCTCACAAAACTCGTGAAGAGATTATTGGAACCTTCCAATACTAAATACTGTACATACTTCAACTTTGCCTCCTCGATTGAGCAACTATTAAGCAACTTATGGTAACCAAAATGGTTATTCCAAGTATCAACGTGGGAGTTTCGAAATGTTGGCGCGACTTTGGTCGCATTCAGAAATTTGAACATGCTTCACAACCACTTTTATTGTTTTGATCATGTCTTCAATCCTCTCAGAGAGGCAGCAGGATGATCTGTAAATCCTCTTCTACTCAACCTTCTCCGCACAATCTAACTTATCTAGAGGCACAAGGCGATGCTGGATTATCTCCACACCAATGGCTTTCATAAGACATACGACCAGTTCAAGGGCGAACTGCCTACTGTAAACCAATAATTCACTTTCGAGTTCACCGTACTTTGACTCATTCTTTCAATGCTTATGCAGCTAGCCGACTTTCAACCCGATCCGTCTGCCAAGACGAGTGGGCTGCTCGCTAAAAAGTGGACAAGTGTGATCAGGATGCAGAAGAAGGTGCGCACGCGTTTTCGTCATTATCATTAAATCATTCAGTCGAAGCTAAATTTTCCTCATAATCTCTTCGATATTCTATATAGATAATGGAACTTGAAACTCGCCTTGCTCAAGCTTTAGAAGACAGCTCGCATATGGCAATACCAAACGGCACCAGTGGAAAGCAGTCCAACACCGATTGGCTACCTACAGCAAGTTCCGCCAAGCACACACTGACAGGTCATCGAGGGACTGTCAACGCCGCTGCTTTTCATCCGATATACTCAGTCGTGGCAACCGCAAGTGACGATTTTACGATCAAAGTCTGGGATTGGGATTCAGGAGAACTTGAGCGGACGTTGAAGAGCCACACGAAGAGAGTCTCGGACTGTCAGTTCAATTCTACTGGAACTACCCTTGGTGAGTGACTCTGTCGTTGTTTGCCCTATATTGAAGTTGAACGCCCAAATGCAATATTATAGTTACATGCGGGTATGATCTGTTCATCAAGCTATGGAATGTCGAGAACGATTATCAAAATTTCGCGACCTTAAGAGGGCATGAGCATTCGATCTCCACAGCTCGTTTCCTTCCCGGTGACGACAAGATCATTAGCTCAAGTCGGGACCACACTCTCAGGATATGGGATATCGCGTCGACGTTGGTATTCATAATGTTTGCATATATAATGTCCTTAATTCTCTTTTGTCATCAGTCACTGCATCAAAGTCATATCTCCTCATGATGCTTGGATACGGTGTGCCGTGCCGTCAGACGATGGAAGATTAGCAATCACAGCCTCTGGGGATCATGTATGTGTTACTTCCCGCTCACGTCAAGTAATTGCTCACCTAAAATCTTATCATTAACTCTAGACTTCAAAAGTTGTCGACCTCTCTTCAGGGGATGTGAAAGCCGAATTCCGAGGTCATGAAAACGACGTGGAGGCGGCAGAATTCTGTCCACCTCATGCCATAGCTGCTATTCGCGAACTGGTCGCGGTTAAGGTAAACACAGATCATGTTCTGCCGCTTTGTGTACAAGACCTGAATTCGCCAAATGAAACATATCTAGGCTCCTCAAGGCGCCCAGGCATTGGCTAATCAGGGGCCTGTGTTTGCAGTCACCGCATCCAGAGACAAGACAGTGAAGATTTGGGATGTTAATAGTGGACAATGTCTCCATACGTTGGTACGTTCGGCTTGCATTGTTCTTCTCTCTCTCCCTCATTCTCTTTCACATAGCATGGCCACGACGATTGGGTACACGCAATCGTTTTCCATCCCAATGGGCAATACATGCTCACTGCAGCCGATGATCATACCATCCGAATCTGGGATTTAAAAACCGGACGCTGCACTCGCAAAATCGAAGCTCATGTGCAGTTTGTTACGTCCATGTCTTGGGGGAGGCAAGTTGTCGGGACTGCGAGCCAAACTTTGGATAAAGATCCTAATGCCGGACCGAGGCTTGTCAATGTGATTGCTACCACTGGAAGTGACCAAGTGAGTGTAAAAATACGGTGCTTCGTTGCTTCAAGCTAATCTTTACCCTTTTTAATATCAAAGTCGGTGAAGATATGGGTACCTACACGATGAAATGTTATCATTATTGTTACGTTTTTCCTCTTTGTTTCGCAGAACCTTACATTCATACGTTCTTCTACTTACTTGAACTGGGGACGGGGGGACGTCCCCTCTAATAATAATATACCACATTCCTTTGAGCTGTTCGTTTTCCCTCCTCCGTTCATCGTGTGTATAGAGGATTGTACTCATTCACTCACTCATTTGATTCATATGACAAACCTTACCCATCCATCCTTAGACTCATTTTCTCGTCTCTTTCTTTCAATACACTGCCAGCATAACGAGTTTCATCGTGACCATCAGGGAAAAGCGACTTCTGCTGTCCAGTTGTGCACGTCCGACAACGAAGGACCAGGCCTTGGCGATCGTATTGTGTAGAGGGGGAAATCTAATCCTGCATCGGTTTGTGTCAGACGTCAGTGGAGTGCTAGTATGATTCAGCCTGAGGTAGCTTCAAGCCAGACATTGAACGTTCGTATGTGATTCTGCAGCGAAACAGAAAATTCCTGGTAACAAATGCAACTCCAATTGTGATTCTGAACAAGAAAGTCAAACAAGAAAGTCATCCACTGCCCGAGATCAATTGATTCTAGGGTTATGTACTTTCTGGAGAAATAGGGTTTGACAGCCCCAGGTTCCGATGCCATCAATCATTCAGCTCCTCTCAACTTCATAATCATTCGGTCTAGCCATTTTTCCCGTATGCATAAATAGGCGGAAAGCAGGAAGACGACTTGCACTCATGACCCAACTCTCTCAGTCTGACAATGACTAAAGTACAGCCAGTCAAGCGCACTTCATCCGGTGCAGGAACACGCGGGAAAGGGACGTACGCTTCGCGAGCATGCAGTGTTTGCAAGAGAAAGCACGACTATGTTTGCCCTCATAAATTGGATGTAGCTCATTAAAATTAATCAGAAAAATCAAATGCGATGAAGTCAGACCTTCTTGTGGATCTTGTGAAGCATCTGGACGACGTGAAGAGGTGTCTGTCTATCCGACCCTCGGAGTACCCTTCTGACCTTCCATATCCAGTGTGCTTGGACAGGAGAAAGCGCCCGAAAGCCCCGTACTGAAGCTCATTTTGAAGCTATGCGCAGACGAACTGATGCATTGGAACGTTACGCCAATATCCTCGAATCTATGCTCGAAAGATGCCAAAGAGAACATGGCGGTACATATCAGGATGGTCAGTCTTACTTGCAGTTTCGACCGAAGGATTACGGAGATGGGAAGATGGAATATGAAGAAATCGAAGGAGAATCTAGTTTAGATGGAGATGATATAACAGCAGAGATTTGTGTTTCCGCACAGAATCTCACAGTGAGTGAGCTTGCTTTTGAAATTCATCTTAAGGTGAACTTTTTATGTCAGCTGGACGAACGGGGTCTGGTGTTTTACGGGAATGCTGCACCTTTCCGCTTCGCGAATACATTTTGCACTTTGCCGAAACATGTTTCTATCATACCTGATGTAGAAATCAATCTCAGTGAACGATATATGCTCCTAGTTGACGGGGCGGACCCAACTCATTACGATCCTCTCTTTGACTGGTCGCGTTATCTGCCTTCACAAGTCCCTTTAACCCGACAGGAACATGACAGGCGAGTGATAATGACACTAGCTCCCTAGGTTCTTCGTCCTGAACAAATCACGATAGGGTCCTTGATCTTTTATTCAAGTTCTTTACCTCCTGGTGCATGCGGATAGTCCCTGTCCTTTTTCTACGCGACATGTACCGCTACCTCAGCGTACATCGCTCCCAAACTCCGCCCAAAACATCCCACTATTCTCCTATGCTCCATAATGCTCTTCTTGCTGTTGCTACCGGGTTTTCAGATGATCCTCAGATTCGCAACTTCGAAGCTAGAAATTTTTTCGCGGATGAAGCAAAACGGTTGATGGAATCGGAAGTCCAAAGGCCGAACGTCAGCGTTGTGCATGCACTTTCGATGCTCGGTAGTTTCCATTCTTCAAGCGGCGAGCAAGGTTTGGGCTATGTGTATTTCGGAATTGGGAGTCGAGTCAGTCAAGCTTGTAAGTCGTCGAAGTACATGCACAGTATTTGTCTGATCTACAATCATTATTGTAGTGGGCTTGAGTGTAGACTGTTCCGCCTGGGTCAAATCAGGCCTCATTACCACGCATGATATGTATGATCGAAATTGGGCGTACTGGACAACGTTTACTCAGGAAGTCTGTTGGTGTCTCTACGTTGGTCGAGACTTCAGTCTCTCGACAACATCTGAAGGAAACCCTATACCTGTGCCATATGTTGACGCAGAGTTCGATCAAATTTCTTGGGAACATCCTTCTGCGAACATAGCCCCCCAACCGAATTATCTTTCCACCACTTTTGCTGCTACTTGTGAACTCTTGAACATTGCAAGAAAAGTTATGGGCGTTGCGTAAGTTCTCCTTACATATTCAATCTATGTGTGACGAGCTCTAGCAATTAGAAATTCCCTCCATGTATCGAGTCATCGGCGGGAGGTCAAGGATGAACAAATCAGCGGTATTGAGTACGTTGTTGTTTTTGCTGGCAACCTACTCTACTTTTTAACCTCTTTCTTCCAGTCTTCAGCTGCATGCGTGGAAAGGGAAATTGCCTACCGAGATTGACATCACGCAAGCGAACAAGAATACTTCCACACCTCATAAGCTCATGCTGCACTTATCATTCTGGTGGACCTTTATTCTTTTACATCGGCCGTTTTTTCATCGTAGGAGGCGCCCGGACACGACCACAAGGGATATTGACCATGTCAAGGTAATTGCTCAATGTGTCTTGATGACCTTACTCTTGTTCTCAAGCTTTATATCCAGCTCTGCAGGCGTGCAGCCGATAACATTATGGACCTTCTTGGGATATACCGTTCCCTATATACACTTCGCTATGTCCCTGTAACTCCCGTTCAGATTGTTTTCGCCGCAGGAACCGTCTACATCCTGCTCGCAGTGCAAGCGACAAGAGGTCTTCGTGTAGCAAAAAAAGACTTGCAGATGTACGTCGGTCGAGCAGACCTGTGCGTACAATACTTGGCGGAGATCGGCAGAAGCTGGAAATGCGCTTCGGACATTGCTGATATTCTGAGGGGCTTGATTGCGATGCAATTAAGTCCTGTTCTTGAGAAAAAGACGACCGAGTCATCGAACGTGGAAAAGCAGTGCAGGAAGGTCGATGCGGAACCCGACCTGTCTACATCAACCTCCTCAATCGAGGGAGATAAGAAAGATATCTCGAGCTTGTCTGATACCTCCCCCTCTTCCGCTACAATGAATTTCACCCTTGATGGATTCACAAGTTCATATCCCGACGCAACCTTCTTTTCAGAATCAGCCTCACCTTCTATCTCACCATCATCTTCTTACCTAGCGTGGCTTTCATCTGCCACCTTTCCATCGAGCATGCCTCAGCCTGGTCCAAGTAATACTGCAAACTACGATCTTTCTAATTTATTACAAGAAGACGTTACGCACTCTTCGGTTTCCTCACCTCTATCCATTAATTCGTTCATCATGCATGGGTTCCCTGCACTTGACTCAACCTCAGCTCCCCCAATAACATCTATGGAAACAGCAGGCTTCCTCGCTATGTTGGGTGGGGAGTCTATATCGCACGGCCCGTGTATACCACCGTTCAGCTCTATGGAATATATCGAAATGGATAATGTCGATCATGGATATCTCTCAGATGCTGGTACTCTTGTGCACGCTGGATACGACGTTGGTTGCAACGTTTACGATTGTTGAAGGCGATCATGCAGACCAACTATGATCTCCAAGTTTCACGACGCTTGCAGTGGTAAAGACAAGTTTGAAAAGTGGGCATTACAGCAGAAATGTGATAACGATATGTGTCAAAAAACATCCAACCAAAGAAAATAATATACAAAAGACGAAAAAAAAATCGAAGCAAAAGTACCTTTGAAACATTCCACCCAGATACGTATAAGATAATGAGCATCTGCATTCCATTACATTAGAATGTCTTGTGAAAATCACGACCGTTTGAATAAGAAGAAATAACTTGAGTGATGGATATCGCAGGACGAAGGGTGCAAGATGGAAATGCGTGGGGGTAGGAAAAAGGTATGTGTGATCGACCGACCGACAATGGTTGAGGGAATTCATAATGAATAAAGAGGAGTATAGGTGCGGGAACAGTTCTTGTCGACCATCCAAAACGTGAGATATCAATAAATGTTATACGTGGCAATTGTAGCGTAGCTGGGAATGCAATAGGTTTTGTTAATTTCTTTTCGTATCATAGGTCGGATTCTAAGGTGGAGCACAGCAAGCATTTGGCTCATAAATATCGATGCAAAACGTCTTTCAAACCATTGATTGTGATTTTGGGATAGGCGCTGGTGATGATGGAGGGGTCGGACGACGTAGAACAGCATGAGGTGGATTCTGGACAGGAATGGAGGGCCGGCGAAATGTCTGGAATCATATACATAAGGTTCGCTCGGGATATACGATGGAACAATTGAGCACTCACATGGCGAGACATAATCATTTTCGCCATTGATATTGGTTCTTTCGACTGGTAAATTGTGGGCACTATGTGGCACGTTAATAATCACGACATTTGACTTTATGGAGCTAAGCCACAAACGGGTTTGGTTCAAGGAAGGTGCATTTCGCGTTGGTTGTGACGTTTGCTTTCCCAAAACAGCCCCGTTGAGTCCGACGCCTCTTCCAACAGCAGTTGATGGTGGAGGAACTGTGAGGCTGACAGGCCAAGTGACACCATCCCATGCAGTAAGAAGAGAGCTCCATGTCCGACGCTGCGCCTGAATGAGCTCTTTCTCCGATTTCTGAGCTATATTCGTGGAAAGTTTCGTTCTCGATTTTCGATGAAGGAAAAATTTAAATAAAACGGCAGCTGCTAGGACCGCTAGTCCGATAAAGGATAGCAGAAATAGTGAGCAGGTCGAAGATAAGTAGGAGTATTTCGTAGGGAATCCCAAAAAACTAGGGATTTCAACGGGAGAGCTGCAGGGAATTGGTAGATGCATTTTCGTCTGGAGGAGAGGAAGATCGAGAGCCCAGGCAAGTTAATGCTCTATAAGACAGCCGAAAAATAATAACTCGAGCTGCTGGGTATCGATGGACGAAGGGGCACTCTCGCACACGGGAAAAGCGGTGGTCAACGTTGCGTGGCAACTCCATTATATCAATATCTCAGGAGTACGTAATCATCAATTACATATTGAAAATGATTTCAACGATCAGACTCAGACGTCTGTTCCTCCCTTCAGCGCTTCAGCACAGTGAATGTTCCACACTGGTTCGACCTGTCGCACTATCGACATCTACTGATCTCCAGATATGACCACGCAAATTCCCCATTGTTGCTTTTTCGGCTGCTTCTAGAGCCAAATCTGAAAATGCCTGTGCGCTTGGAGGCGCTTGGCTTGCGGCCGTATACCTTGTTTCCCCTATGGAGGCTAAACGTGGGTGCCTTTTCACCTCCTACTAGATTGACGATTGACGACACTTCGCGCTCCGGCTGGACGAAAAGTATCTAGGATTCTCCGAGGAGACTCAGACTCAGCGTACATTCGGACTTTAGCTTCCGGTTCGATCAACCCCGCTCTGTTCCAGGGGGAGGTTGACCTGATTTCAGATAAACTGCTTTCTAGTCGGTTCACTCTGTATCAACAATGAAGCTTCAGGTCCTAGTGGTTGTAGCTTCGAGAGAAGAAACATCGACTCTTGGTATATTTCCGGTAAGGATTAGTCAAGGGCTTTTTTCGGACCAATATACACCATTATCCGTGTAAATGGGCCCTGGATTGTTTGAAAATATGTCATTGTGAATCCCCTGGAGCGGGCCGTGCGGATGTCCCTGTTCCTGCTATCTAAGTCTTTGGTCATTTGCATTAAATGTACCAATTCCATTCCAGCACTCAGGATACTGAGGCTTATGCTCGAGCCCAAAACTCGTTCCGAATATCTACCCAGGCACATGACTGTTTCTAAATGGGACTGCGTCGGTTCTTTCTCCCTCTCCTCCTCCAAAGAATATCCGATCGCGATGCTGCTCAAATAGCAGGCTAAAATGGGTCATTGTGGACATTGGGAGAAGGTTGTTGCGCTTCAAGTTAAAATTATGCAATGTACACTTCCACTACGGTTCGAAGTTTCAATTATCAATCTGGAGGCTTTGAAGAGGTGTGCAACGTAGTATTCATGATTTCATTTAGGTTGATACGTTGGTATAGGATCGTGGTCCGCAATCCCCTGAGCGCTAGCAGCGTTGTGCGCGCTCTTTGAATTGTTCATCATGGTGTTACAATTACCATCCCAATGTAAATACAACGACGCCTTTTGGAAACCAATGGGAAACCGACGAATATTGCTGGCATGGTATGCCACGGATTGCTTCTCGGGTTCGCATGCATTATATGAACTCGTATGTGCGTTTCTCATACAAATTTTGCCAATGAAGGCGATACTAGCCGTATCTTCCGGATCTGTGGCTAGATCCATATGCTTGGTTCGCTCTGTGAATTTTTGACTTCCTTAAGGCCCCTTTTACTAACCTTAAATCTCGAGGTTAGCACAACTAGCTTTACAATGGCTCAACAACAGAGAACGGTCTAGTGGATTGTTCAAGTAATTTGACTCCCAGTTTGAACCATTACTTGAGTATGTGTTGGTCCCGTCCTGTGTAGCTCTATATCACCAATCAGATTCAAAAATAGGGCCACTTCGAATGATTTCGCGATCTATAATCTGTCAGAGATTTATTTCAATTTATACCTGCAACTCTTCATTGATCATTAGTTGCAGATGCGGTAGCCCATAGTGATCAACAACCTTTGCCGGCTTGATAAAAGAGACTGCATTCATGATTCCTCGTCACAAAACCGTTGCCTTTCCTCTCTTTCTACCATTTCGTTCTTCTGTTTGGCGCCGGTCGCATTTTCTTGACTCTTGGTTGGTGAATCCCTGCCCATTCCAACCGCCTTATATCTGCTCTTCCGGTCTGGGACCTTCAACCGTGGCAGCCTGAGTCGCTACCTTGGCTCTTCCTCTTTTGTTCGTCTGGTTCGAAATCTAGTGTTGGAGAAGTTGCGAGTCATTGGAAGGGAAATTTCAAACATAAACCGCCAGATTGGAGCGAGTTTGAAAATCGGCTAGTGCTAGTCTACGTCTACGATAGGCTAAACTCGAATTTTCGGAGCGCATTCGAGAGGTTTCAACGCAAAAACGTTACTATGGACCACGCAAGCGGTGGAATTAACGACACTGGCATTTCGCCTGACGAATTTTCCGCCTTAACGTACGCCATCCGTGTCTCATTCTTCTTTTCACATTTATTGACTACTGTGTTCTAGGGATGTTCCAGTCGTGAGAAAATTCATTGTCACGCCGAAAGATTTACCATGAACGGTCAATATGCAGTTTCTGGGTTATATTCTCAGCTACTTTCTGAGTGGGATATTGCTTGTTCAACTCTGTACGTCGTGGCGGCTCACAACAGCCAAACAAGCATTGATCATTTTGACTGCCTCAGTCTTATACTACCTCTCATTTCACCGAACGGATCCTCGTCAGATAATAATTACAGGCAAGTATCGTGAATCCATGATTTTGTTAACCACAATAATCAACGCCTTACCTTATGCAGTATTTGCTGTTTTTTTCGTCGAATTCTTATCAACCGTATTTGCTACCATGATTGTTATCATGGCTCTCATTGTAGACGGCTTCATTTCCTACTCTATCTTCCTGTGGGGCTTCAAAATTGTGGCTCTCTTGTCCGGGCTAGGTAAGTTTTACTTAGTGCTATCATCCAGATTGTACAGACGTCGTAATCAACCCACATTTTTGGCTGATTTAAAGCTGCTTTCATGGTTCATGCATTTTATTGCTGGCGTATCCGCATCTTGGGCGGTCACTGGGGAATAATTGTGGTTGTAATAATCATTTCAACCTACCAATGCGTGATGGTGTCTATATCTGGATTTGGTGTAGGTTTTATAGCCAATTTTCTCCTCGTTGACTATGTCGATTCGATGTTGACATTACCAATCAGGTGCTTGAAAACGGGATCGGAATTCTTGGAGCAGGTACTGAGACGATAACGGACCCAAAATTACTATTCATCAATGTTGTAAGTCTCACGATTTCTTAACAGCACATCTCAAACTCATCGTTACATGGCGGGCCTATAGTCCTGGTTAGCTGGTACTTCCATTTGCGACATCATCATTGCAACTACTATCCTTCATTTGGTGCGCCTTATTATTTGTTGTGAACTCAACGGTTTACATTGGCATTTTGCGCAATAGCAACACATGATAATAAAGAAGCATTGCACAACAGATCAGTTGATGGGAAGAGTCGAAAGAGTAATGAGCATCGCAATTGACAGTGGGATGATAACTGCAATCGGGGCAGCCATGGAGTTGTTGTTCTTTCTAGTGTGGAGAAATAGTCTCATACATTTTATCTTGTGAGTCTCTACTCTCCTATGAATCAGACCATCCGTGATGATTCATTTGATGATTCATTTGATAGGTTTTTCACCCTTCCAAAGCTGCAAGTCATCGAAGTACATCGTTCTCGACCACGCAACTTACTTAGTTTAAATCAGGTATGCAAACTGTCTCCTGGCGACCCTCAATGCTCGCCTTGCCGTTCCCGGGCGTGGGTTTCGAGAAAGTGCCATGTACCGTGCCAGGGAAAGCCTTGCCATCGACGACGCTTTTTTCGACAAGCTCCCCACTCACTCCCAAGAAGCGTATACGAATTTTGTATCTGGAATCGACGCCAAAATTCAGGCCGCAAATAATGGCGGCCCAACCTTAGACATCAAGCGGCGTTCGATGTCAACCTTAGCTTCCTCTTTGAATTCGGAAACATATTGCGTTCATCTGGAAGCTCCCACCAGACGCAACTCGATATTGGATTTGAGAAGCACCCATGTTCATCACGACCACGGCAACCCGCTGTTGGAACCAGCTCGAGACCATGCTCAGACTACGGCAGAATTCTCTGAAATAGCGCCAGCTTCGACACTACTGTTAGTGAGTGGTGGTTTCTCACTCCTGAGAGCTACATTGGAACTTGACGGATGTTTGAGCCCACAACGGTGACAGAAAATACTAGTCCAGGCCAGATATTGACAGATCCTCCTAATAACACGAGCAGAAGGCATACGATAATGAATTTGCATTCAACTACGCCAGCGGTCAGTGGTAGGGATATACACGTCCAGGGTGAGTTGGAGGCACCGGGGACGCGGCTGGTGCATTCCAAGAGTAATCCAAACTTATCGGCCACAAACAATGACCATGCCCCATCGGTGAATTTCTACATATTTCAATGATTGGATGCTGACTTCATTTCCAAAAGAAACTTGCAGACAAACAAAGCTTCAGTATAGTTTCTGATGAATCACATATGAAGAGCATTGATAGTGCAGAAAGTGAAGAGACCAAGTTTCTGCTGAAAAGAATATCGATAGAACCTTTTTATGGACCATTTCCATCCAGACTGGAGCCCTTGCGTCGACCAGAGGCTGCGCTCCGGTTTGAATTTTAGTCCATTTTCTAATATCTACATATTCTTGGAATCCTGCTGTTTCTACAATTTGAATCGTACCTAATCGTACAGTGTACAATGAGTATGATTTCAATTTGTTTTTTTGAGAAATTTGAACGTAGTCGGGTAACGTGATCAGAGCCGTACCCACGCCGTCCCACGGAAGCTTTTGGTTCTCGTAACTTTCTCAACGATACCCATTGCCCAGGCCTCGGCAGCGTCGAGTCGAACAACACTCAGATTGCACGATTCGACTTAAGGATACCCGACATTTCTCTAATAATTTCCATCATTTCTGGTCCAGATTACTTTGGATCTACTCAACTTGCACCTCTTTGTTGTTATGAACTTGCTTTCCGCGATATTTGAAGGCTAGCTAACTTGTAACGCTACCTATATTTTCATCTATTCACTCAACGTATCTGTTACTTTAGCAAAAGTATAATGGCCTCTAGAACAATAGTGAAATTATCGACTCCCGCTGCACCACGCGCTCCGTCGCTGCAAGAAGCTATCGATCTATCTACCGAGTCATGGCAGGAAGACTTGGCTCGGCTGTTCAGAAATGCAAAGGAATCTTTTGCAGATGTAGTGTGGGAGGTTGGTGGGGGAGGAGTAGGTATCAGTGAGGTTGTAGAGGAAGTTTGGGGACACAAAGGTGTGTTCAACTAATAGTAATGATACAAATGTCACTGATGTTGTTCAATGAAGCAATTGTCTACGCAAGAGCGCCGCCGTCATTTCAATCGCGATATTTTCAATTTCGGCCCAACCTGGCCACCTCACCTTCACCATCACAGTCACCGATACCGGGCTCCTCTGCGTTATCACTCACCTTAAGTTTTGAGCAGGAACGTTTACTTCAAGTTTCTCAGTTGTCCCGGTCACCCTCACCCTCCATTCGAAACTCGCCAGTACCGTCAACGATGACCACCAAAGACGGTGTCGTCGTTACTCGTTTACACACAACCATTACCCCTGCGCTGTTCAGCAATGAGCTCGAGTATTTGTACACTGGTCAAGGATTTGGGGAAGCATTTGAATTCTTGTTTGACTCTACTGGTGATGCATCCCTTGGCGGCGGAGAGGCAGAAGCGCAGGAAATTCGACTTGATAAGCTTAGAAAGGACCTGGTGTTCATGTGGCGATCCAGGTTGTACAGCGATGTCAAGATTTCGCTGATGGTGAATCCGACAGATAATTTCTCTACCAGCTCAAGTGGAAACAAGGAGCACGAAAATACAACTGCAGTATTCAGTACACACCGTTTCATCCTGGTTTCACGGTCCGCGTACTTTCGGAGTCTGCTGCTACCAAATCCACTGAAATCTTTGACATTGGCATCTTCATTATCTTCAACCCCATCACCTCAAACCCTCACTTTACCTTCACCGCCATTTACCCCTGCCTCTCTTCATTTCACCCTCGGATACCTTTATACTGGTACTCTGGCATTCTCTCACCGTACCTACGACCTTACAACTGCGCTGCATATATACCTCTCATCCCTGCCCGCACATCTTCACCTCCCGCGTCTCCTAGACGAGATTCGGGGCAGAATCGTCATGGAGCTTTGCCACGGGCTTTTCCATGCCTTTCTAGAGTTTCCCGAGTACGAGGCGCTGATAAAGGGTAGATGGGGAGGAAACACTGGCGGATGTCGATGCAGACAGTGTGCCCGCCGAGCTCCACGTGTCCTAGAATTTGCTGTTCGTCCGGAAGTCAATGATCCATACCTCGATCGTGGGGCACGTCGTGCCCTGGTAGGATTATTGGGAGACGGCTGGGTGACGTCTGAGTGGGCCGGGCTACCGGCACGCTTGAGGGAAAGCGTTTTGAAAGGAGTCAAGAAGCGGATGATACCTCCTACGGATGAAAAATCGAAAGGTGTCAACGTGAACGTTTGGAGTATGCTTTTCGCTGTGGAAAGCGCTCTCGGAGTAGGAGGCAAACTAGCCAAAGCTGTCAAAGCAGCGGAGAAGATGATGAACACAGACGATGTGGATGAGATTCGTAGGAATTCAAACCCAAATTGGCATGAGACAGTGCGCATGGACCTCCTGCATGCGCGCGAAGCGATAGACGAATGTCTGGCAGATCGTGTCACAGAATGCTTCACACCACCTCCATCAGTCACCACCGGCATGGAGGAAGAAGAAGACTTCCCACCCTCGGAATGGCACGACATTCTTCTACGTGCTTCACCCTTCTATCAACCTCCTTCGTGGCCGGATAGACAGGGGCATCGTAAACTGGCCTCAATTGTCTCTTCCTTAGCACCATCCACACTCACCCCAACACTGACACCCTCAAATGCCTCGGAAGTTTCTGTCCCTGTCCCTCTCTCCTTCGCAAATCACAAGTCAATGGGACCTTCACCGTCCACTGCATATGAAGACGCTAATCGCGTGTCTGCCATCTTGGCTTCCCTTCTCCGAGGGCTCAAACCTTCTAACGCACCTCTTGTTTATCAAACCCTATTATCCAACATCCTCCTGCTCCCTGCCTCCCATGACCCAAACATCTCTCAAAGTTCTGGCAATCAATACCAGTCGATATACGACACCGATGACATGTTTGGCGGAAACAATGCGTTACTATTACCGCCGACGTCACATGTGAGGATACAGGTTGAGGAAGCGAGGATCGAGGTTTTGAGGTGGATCAGAGACAAAGGGAGGTGGAGAGAAGTCCGTGAAGCGGGTGGGTTTGTTGGAATCGATGGGAAGCAGGGCGCTTCAATGGAGGGATGGGCTTTGCAAGAGATCGCCGATTGTAAGTTTGTGTTATTGATTGAATGACTCATTTTTAAAAATTAATTATTTTAGACATTCAAGTTCCTCTTGACGATCTTCTTTTGCCCCCCGCCAACCACACCTCCACCCCTTCTCGAGACCGCCTCAAACCACGCTCCGATACCGACAGTGTCTCTATTCATTCGACTAACTCTCTCACACCCTCGATGCGAGTGTCGATCTTGTCACGGAATTTACCTCAAAAAAGCAGCGGGCTCAAATCTAGTGCAAGTTCGGTTCGAAGTGTCAGCACCGTTGGAAGTACGAATACGATCGGAAGAAGGAGAGTTGCAACGGCCGGGAAAGCGACATCAAGCATAGGAGGAGACAGGCCAGATTCCAAATTGACACCGCATTCTACCCCCGATGTCAGCATATCTGAGCATCCTGAGGCGGATGAAGAAGGAACACTCAACGAAGCAGAGGAACAAGATGGTGATGATGAAGATGTCAGCATGAAATCATCAACACCTCCACGTTCTCGATCCCCTTCACCATCTGTTTCCTCTTCGCTAGTTAAGAAGTTAGGAAACCTTAAGAGCACACCGTCGTCACCGGTTGGCACAGGCAGAAGGCTTGCGTCGAACACATCCCTTGCATCATCCCGTTCTAGTGTGAGAAGCACAAGGACTGTATCTAGTACCACAAGCTCCGTGTCACCTCGTGCAGCAGCGGCTGCTAAACAAGCTGCCTCCCAACCCCGACCGAGATCAGCTGCTTCGACGCGCTCGACATTCTCTACCCGGTCTACAGTTTCCACGGCTTCAAAATCATCGAAGGTATCGACGTCTACAGTTCGCAGGCAAACGAAATCAGGTGGACTTCAGGTCCCCCCAGTGCCGATGCCAAGGCCCATTAGTGCAAGTACGAGTGGTACTTCCACCGCCTCGGGGACCTCAGGGACAAGTGGGACAAGTGACTTCCACACCGCCCCTACTTCTGGGAGTGTCGTCGGTACGCCTAGGCAACGTCAACGAACAGTCAGTGCTACTTCCGCCGGCAGTGTACGCAGCGCACGTAGTACGAGAAGCACGGCGACGAATGCCACCGCAGGCACCACGACTGGCCGGACCACCGGCAAAGTACCTTCAACCAGAAGGCCGCCATCTGTTACATCTATTGCCACTTCGGTCAAAAGTAACAAAGGAACATCTCCGGCCGATAAAGCGCGTGCTCAAGCTAAGGCTACTCTTGTCGCTGCTGGATCAGGGGCAGGAACGGCGTCGTCCAAAGGCAAGACCCTATCGAAGAAAGGTTCGAGTGATACGATCAAAGGCGAACGCGCTTCCGGTTCCAAATCAAAATATCCCTCCAACAAAAAAACTGCTTCCATTCCACCATTGCCTCGTAGTTCTGTTTCAGGATCAATTCCCTCAACAGTACCGGATCCCGGTCCATCTTCTCCGCCCGATGACGAAACCTCACCCTATCCTACTCACCTTGGAGCAACCCTCTCTATTGGCATCCCCTGCATCGTTTCATCTAAACGCAAACGCTTTCGCGCGTTTGCAAGATATATTGGTGAGGTTGAGGGTGAGCTAGGACCATGGGTTGGTGTAGAGGTGCCTGTAAACGATGATAGAGGAAGGGATAAAGACGTCGTGATGGGTAACACGGAGGATTCAAGGCAGTGGAATGACGGTACCTGGCGGGGTGTACGTTATTTCGATATAACGAAGGGACCTAGTAATGGTGGTAGTGGTGGCACGGCAGAGGAGTGGGGTGATAATATGGATGATCGCGCAAGCTCAAGACGGCGGCCTGGGCGGGGAGTTGATGGTACCCCTTCTTCATACATATATTCCAAAGGAATGAAACGCCGTGTGGACCAATGGAGCGGGGATTCTACGTCGAGATATGGCACGGCTTCATCCAAGAGGATGCGCATGGGTATGATGGCGAGAAGTGCCAGTCCTTCTATGAGTGACAATGGCCAAGGGGGTTATGGTGGAGTGGAAAGCAGGGGTTTGTTTGTTAGACCGCAACAAGTGTTGTATGTTGTGGATGCCATTGATGGTGGGGATCTCTAGCATTTTGGTTTATAGGAGAGGTTATGTGTGCGTCGCGCGAGAACGTAGCTTTTTCGCAGTGAATTTTCATACACTTTGTCACTCTTGCCACATTCCTTGTTCTGTTTTTTTTACTATGCTGTCGTCTTCGCTGCCTCCTTTTGTCACCTTTCATTGCCATAATATTTTCGATACCAATGGGACCTATGACCAGCTACCAAACACTCATTCCCAACGTTCTTTATCTTTCTTAGACCTGGTATTTTTCGCTTGCTAAACATTTTCTCGGTGTATCATTTCTCTCAAACTGACATTGCTTAAGGACCGTAGTAATGTAGGAATTACCGTAATGAACCTCATCCGCCTTGCGTCAACGTTCATGATCAGTTTATACGCATAACAATTTCCGAGATTTCTGATAGCACGTATTATTCCTTGAAAGGAGAGGACAGCATGTTTAAAATTACAGTTCATCTCAATGACACTGGATAAGTCGCTCCATCACTCTGTTGAGCCAGGTCCGATTTCCAGGTCTTCATGTCGTTGTACAGGTCCCAAAAAGCGAAGCGGCGTTACCGGCAAGGACAACGTTCTGACATTCGTACGTCGTTTTTCCGTCAGACCCCCTGCGGTAACAAATCAGTATAGTGGTCGTGTAGAAAGTGAAGGAAAACCGACGATAGGTCAAAGCCATTGACATTTATATCGGTGCATCGACTACCAGGAGAACAATCTAGCGAGGCAACTTGAGAACCTGAGCCTGTACCAGAGATGCTAAGATCCAGGAAAAAGATCAAATATTGCAAAGACGAATCCAAACGAACGTAAGTACTTGTTGAAAAATATATCCTGAATAAAGACATTGGAAGGAAATTCTTCGCAATCATCTGCTGACGTTTCGTAGCACTGTTCAGTGTAAAAATTGAACATAACTTCATTAAACAAAATCGTAGACTGACCTGATCGATGACAACTGGACTATCCACATTACTGACCACAAAGTTTTGGAAGGTAATATTTTGTACTGTCCCGCTTCCAACGTCATCACCAGCAAACGCTTTGATCCTAGCGCCATTTTCTGCATTTGCCATTTGTATGTTTCTGAACGAAGTATGTTTGTTATATCAGGGTCTATAGACAATGCGAATTACTTCTTTGCACTTACATGGCAGTAACGTTTTGAACAATGTCGAAAACGCCAGAAAATTGACCCAGAGACCTGTGAAGATATCAATAAAAAAGATTTTATAGTTATCATCAGCGATAGAACACACCCAACTGAGATTCCACTGGAGTACGGAAAGTAGATATTCAGTAGCTAATAAACAATGCAGGATTATCTCACTGAGAGCCATTGCAATTAAGGTCCGAAACAAGGATGTTCGTCGAGTCTGACTAGTGAATCAGTGAAACGTCATAACAGAGAATGGTGCTATATTCACTCGGCTTGAATGAAACGCAGTCGTCGCCGTTGTTTATGACAGAATTTTTTATGGTCACCATGTCGCTGCGGTAGATGTCCCAACCGTCCGTATTAGAAATAAAATTGTCGGACGTAGACTTTGCGGTGATAGTGATGTTATTAAAGGTCACATTTTGGCATTCGTTTACCTTGAATGTGCGGACAGATCAGACACAATTAGGAACTATTAATAGAACATGTTCTGAGAACATACGAGGTTGAACCACTCAGGGCTGTTTACCATCTGAATATTTTCGACCAAAACGTTGGTGGCTTCGTTCAACGTTAAAATGATGGGGCGGAGTAACGACGAATTGGAAGCACTGAGCTCAGATAGTTCAGAATAATGGACGGGACAAGCTCAAGACTCACTCACAAGGCATCATACCAAGCCTGGGCAACGTCGACAAGTCACGCGTTAGAGGTCGATTTTTCTGGTCGGACACTTAATGACTGCTTACTTGGCCTGCTCCATCAAGAGTTCCTCCGCCGCTCAACACAATATTTTCACCACCCAAGAGCCAAAAAGTTATCTGGTCTTGGAATGTAATGGGAAAGCCGTTCTGTGAATCGAGGATGAGTGACGGAATATCACTAAAGTGGTGCACAAAGCCAGCCATACTCCAGACCAATAATCAATATCAGGATTGAATCTTATTGTTCCTTGGAGATCCTAATGGGCACCAAGACAAGGTCAGCCTCACAGCTTGCAGAATATGGGTGAAACTGACAATATCAAGGTTCGACATCCCGGTCATGTCCAGACGGGTCTCTATGTTGAGCGTGGTCCCGGCCGGAATGATCACCGTGTCACAGCTTGCAGCAGCAGCAAGGAATTGGGGCGCGTCGTCACCCGAAGAGGCAGTCAATTCACAAGAAGCCTCTGTAACTCGTTTGAATTTCAGCACGTTTGCTTCCAATACCGCCGAATACACCAAGACGGAAAGTAACGCGATATGCGAACGCATTTTCAGACTCTTTTTTTGGAGGGGGAGAGAAGAAGACGAGCGGAACGCTACGCAGTCTACGATGCTCCCTATTTATTCTTGGGGATGATTTGAGGCGGACCGCTGACATTGTGGTTCGAGCAAGTAATTCCGAAAATGATGAGCATCATCATGACCTCGGACCGTTTTTCATTTGTTGTGGCGAGCCGTTCCCTGTACAATACCCTGAACAGTACCCATGACTCGTTATCCAGTGATGAGGCGGCCTATAAAGGGCAGGTAGCACTAGGATCAAAGAGACAGCGCGATGAAATCATAGACTCGGAACGGTCACATGTAGCGTTCTCTCACAAATAGTTCGAAGTGACTACGTACATAGCTTGTAGCTTGTATACAAAAATGAAATAAGAGGATATCCTTTCCAGCACAACAAAACGATTCTGAAGCGGCATAGCCATTTTTATACATTTGGATAGAGGCCCGCATCTCTCCTGACCTTAGTCATAGCTGACGACGACAAGGAACATGAGGACAGCCTGTTATCGAGAGAGTGTAGTGTAAAAACTCACCTGCGATGATGGCGCTTCCGACACCACTTCCATCCTCAGCATGAACGGTTTTTATGTTACTAGGAAACGAGATGTGCATTAGGATCAGTACATGACCGTAGCATCAAAAGCACTTACTTCCCCTTTTCTCCGAAAACATCGATGAGACCTTCGTGTACTCGATCGGCAAATCCTGGATATTTCTGTTGCATATTTCTGTTAGCGGGGGAATACAGGGTGCAAGCTTTCAACGCACGTTATACAGCGACCCATCAGCACCAACCAGGCAGCCTTCGTCAAGATAGCCCATTTTTCCAACAATTGCCGCGATACCGCAGGCACTCAAACGGGCAGCTCTTCTTCCAATGAGCATTGCCAAAGCACGGAAGAATTGTCGTTCTGCAAGTGTGGTCTCAACAGCAAAGAAGTGCGTGAAAATGCCAATAATCATTAATAATTCATCTGTTGGGTCACTGCGAGGCAAAATGTTGAGAGAAAGCAGAGGGGGTACAAATTATACACTGACCTTTCCATTAGTGACAAAAAAGCGGTCTCAAAGACATATGGCGTCTCGAGTTTGTAAGTCTCCTGCCCAAGAAAGAGAACACCTTCATCAATCAGCTCACAAATCACCAGGCGAAGAATTTCTCCGAGATATCGTCCAGATATCAATTTCTATGAGGTCATTATTAGACAACAGGAATAGAAATATTATATAACGTATGCACACCTCGAATGCCTGTTCGCCTGGCTTATTTGATGTTTCATCGACAATGGTATCGTATTTTGTTCTTGGAAGATGTTCATGCTCGAACGAGTCGAATGCACCCTACCATCGCTCAACGCAAGATTTGATATTAGTCAGGAAGGTACGCTCACCCATTCGCAATTGATCGCCATTTGATCTTTCTCGCTGATACCGAGGTCATTTATCTTCTCGATGTTTTTGACGTCTTCCATGTACGCTGCATTACACCCAGTGCCAAAGATAACGGCAATCTTGGTTTTGGGGTTCACGTAGTGGGACGCGATGAGAGTTCCGGTAGTGTCGTTGATGAGTGCAGTCATTTGAACCGGAAGTTCCTAGGCGAGCGATGTTGAGATATTGATATAAACAACTGTAGCACAGCGACACACATATTTCTCGATCGACTGACGGAACATCTCCGCAACGTCCCGACCTTCTGTGTTCTTTACGCCGAATCCTTTGGTCCAACGAATTAGTTCACCGTGGTCAATTCGCGTTTGATAACAGGGATAGGAAAACTACAAGGAGAGTGTCGGATCAGTTAATGTCTGTATAGACACAATTGTTGCACACGCACTGTGAATCCGAGCGGCAATAACTCGCCGGGCTTTAGGAGTGAATTCCCATCTTCATCCGTGAAGTTTGTGTCAATGAATGTTTTGAGACACTCCGCACAGAAATCGAAAAGCTTGGTGCCTTCATCTTGCTTCTGCTCTTCGGTAAGTCGGTACTTGGTTTGGGTCATTTCAAATTTCCCTTCCCCTTGGAGGGTGACGAGACAAACTCGGAGATTGGTGCCACCTGTGAACTGAATGTTGGTCAAGATACCTTAACATGAGCGAATTGTGAACGAACCGAGATCCAATGCGAGAAAATCACCGGATTCTTGACCAGTGGGCCAGCCGAATACGAACGTCGGAATCATGGGCTGAGTTTATCGTATCATTAAATCGCATAAAGTAAGAGATTTGATACTTACCACAACCTGTTTTGGTTTTTGTAAGCCAAGTTCTAAGCTGTCCTTGAATGCTTCGACAATCATTCGCATTCTCTGAGGCGTTAAGGTAAATCTTTATCTGTAGTGAGTAGCTGATCGTATTGCAGACCATACGATAAGACGAACAAGCTCTCATATTTACGCAAATGATCTGCCATCGTCCTGGAAATGAGCCAGATGAATACAAAGAAGCCATTGAGCTGGGACAACTAGGCCTACTTCTTGGTGGCATGAGGGAGGTCCTCCTCCTCATGTGTTCTGGTGTGAATGGCCATTGTTTGGCCAGTGGGCAGCGTTATGCTGCCGCTCCCGCGACGAGATGCAACCATATTGTACGTCGATGATTGTGATAAGGAAAGTCTGGATGATGGCGCTAGGTCAAAGCTGGTCCAAGACGTCACGGCTAGAATTCAATTCAGGATCATCACTTCTCACCGCCACTTACAATTTATTCCATTTTTCATCATCGCCCTATAATACGATCTTTGACGATGAGCGTAATCACATTCATTGCAAAGGCTATAATTCTACTCTGGACCAACGATCTCGCGGAAAGCAACATATAAATAGAGCACCAAGACTTTAGAAGGTCTCCTCACAGCTGCCTCCTCCCTAAACCATGTCGCACTCAAATTCAAACAGCTTCACTATACGCTGTGAACTTGCAAATCATACTGTCTGGAAAGCTTTGAGCTCAAGGGCAATTCCCCGAACTTCCTCGGTCGTCATCCTGCCAACACTCAAAGGACTTTCAGAGCAATTGAGCGTACCGGAAATTCTTCCATCAGGAGTCTCATCCGGTTCAAGAGCAGACTTAAAGACAGCCGACCAGCAAGCTATGGTGGAAAGAGATTTGATTGATGCTTTGTGTAAAATGAAGGAATTGAAGCATTTCACATGGAGACATGATGCTGGGCCTGTTCTTCATGAGGAGCTGTGGTCGACATTGAAGGACTTGGGGGTTTCCTCTCTAAGATTTATCGACCGCAAAGCCTGTGACTTTGTCGGAGACTCAGGATACTATCGTTCTATTTTCGAATCTCCTACGGCACGTACTATTATCCCAAATCCACTTCCCTTACTAGACTGAAAGCATTGTTTAGTTCTGGACTTTCGCCAAGCTCACGTCCCTAGAACTGGAGACCAGTTTTCTGGCAGGACTTGATGCTGAAGATGACATGAAGTACATGCCTTCGTTGATTAAATTGCTCGAAAATAACGCCGAAACTTTGGAGGTGCAGTTACTCTCTCAAACCTATACGTAAATCCTATGTCTCACAATCTGTTACAGGCATTCAATCTCTCTTTTCGCGACCCAGATGCGCTAGTCGATGTCACTTCGATACTGTCCCAGGTCACTTTCACACGTCTTCGCGAAATTACTTTCCGAAGAGCTTCCTGCACGCCCCAATCACTGTCCAAATTCCTTTCTGCCCATCCGTCCATCGTCAGCCTGTCATTGTCACCGATGATGGCAGGGCGCCGCTGGGAGCAGTTGTCAGTTTCAGCAGACTCTTTACCAAATCTCATGCACCTCAATTGCTCTCCATTTCACGCTGGAAAGATCCTGGATGGCTCAGAATCATCTCCGCGCCCGCTGTTCTGTTTAACCGGCATTGATGTCCGGCAAACTATCAAACTATCCGACTACTTTGATGTTGATAAACAGGATGCATACGCTGATGACGAGGAAATCGCGGAAATAGACACGTACGAAGCAGAACAACTAATCACAGCCCCGTGGAAGGATGAGCTTTTCTCCAAGCTCAAATCTTCTAAACAAATCACACATGTGGCACTGAACGAGACCGATGGACCAAAGGATCTAGAGGTCCTGGCGGAACTGATGCCCCAAATACGGTGGATTGACGTTAGTACTAAGCGGAAGGATGCAGCATCTAAGGTTCGTTCGTACAAGAATTTGACTACAAAATGCTGACTATGTAGAATGCTCAGGAATCTTGGTTCAAGTATCTCTCCAAATTGACTGAGCTTCGTACATTGCACATGCGAGGGACTGGCCTGTATTTGAATTACTTACCTGGACAAGAAAAACTCGGTACTGAAATCGAGAACGACATTCGCGCCTTGGCACAAAGTTGTCCTAAAATTGTAGCATATGAAGACTACGACGATTCGGTCATTATTACTCGTGAGGGGAAGCTGTCGTTACAAGTCGAGCCAAGAGTGGTGCCCAAAGATCGGTTGAAGGATGGATTTCTGTGGCCATCGGAAAGTTTTGTTAGGGCCACATCTAGGAAAAATGCAGGACCAAATCAGCCAGGGCCTGCAGTTGCAGATGTTGGGTATACTTGAAATGAACTCAGATTGATGTACTATGTACATACTGTACCTCTCGCATGAAAAAATGTGTAAGGACTTTTCGTGTATTCCTGAGGCTACATGCGCCACGCGTCACGCACACCCCAGTGTCGGACCCTGTTCAGAACCATATTGTAATTGCATCAAATCTCTATAAACCTTTTCCCTTGGCCATGGCTTCAGTATTCAAGATTGTTCCAACTACGCAACAATATGATTGGGGCAAAGTCGGTTCAAAATCTATAGTGGCTCAACTCGCCGCATCTTCCGATGTCAATCCGGATTTCGCATTCGACGAAAGCAAACCGTATGCGGAGGTAAGAATTGCAATACTCCCGCTGGAAGTGTAACAATGGGTGAAGTAACAGCTCTGGATGGGCACCCATCCTACTTCTCCGTCGCATCTACCCTCGCCGTCAAGTTCTACTCTATCAGCCCATCTCAAGTCGCACCCTTCTCTTATCGGAAATTTCGTTGCAGAGAAGTTTCCTAACGCCAAAGAGGGAAATCTTCCCTTCTTGTTCAAGGTGCGTTTCAGGTGTTTAATCCACGATCGCCGAAAGTTACAATATGCTACATCTAGGTTCTTTCTATCGAAAAAGCACTCAGTATCCAGACCCATCCCGACAAGAGGACCGCAGAAACTCTACACGCGCAGCTTCCTCATATATACAAAGGTCCGTACGGGCTTTCTACAAGATCTGAAAGCTGAACAATGCGCATGCAGACGATAACCATAAGCCCGAGCTAGCCATTGCCCTAACACCATTCCGTGCCTTATGCGGCTTCCAACCTCTTTCAGCTATTGCTAAACATCTCTTCATCACACCTGAGCTATCTGCTCTCGTTCCAAAGACAATAACTGAAAACTTCCTCTCAATTTCTTCCGGATCCGATTCCAGTAGCCCTGAAGCTAAAGCTGCTTTGAAGGACCTCTTCTCTGCTCTAATGACCGCAGAACAGACCTTGGTCAGGGGTCAACTCGATGCCTTGGTTCATCGATATCGATCCCCTACGCCGGAGGACGGCGGTATAGAGGAGCTTGTGCTGAGGTTGAATAGCCAATTTCCTGGCGATATTGGCGTGTTTTGCGCGTTCATCCTCAATTACATCACACTCTTGCCAGGAGAAGCCATTTTTCTAGGAGCAGGAGAACCTCACGCTTATGTCTCTGGAGGTAAGCCTCGCATACATGTACTGCGGCGATCTGTTGAACGATCCTCTCCGCAGACATCATCGAGTGTATGGCCAATTCGGATAATGTTATTCGTGCGGGATTAACACCAAAACTGAGGGATATTCCCAATCTTGTCGCGGGGCTGACTTATGTACCTGCAGAAGCCGCAAGGCATCGTGTTCAACCTTCAGCTTTCCCTCCTTCTGCCACCTCTTCCGCATCGACGCTATACGATCCTCCGATCCCGGAATTTTCCGTCGTGGGAGTGAAGGTCCAAAATCAGCTCAAGGAGAGCCATCCGCCTTTGAAAGGCCCAAGTCTGACGGTGGTCACAGAGGGCAAGGGTGTGGTGTCATGGAACAAAGGGCAGGATACCTTGCAGATTGGGAAAGGCGATGTATTTTTTGTTGGTGCAGAAACGGGTATTCAATACGAAGGACAGGATCTGGTGCTCTATCGGGCTTTTGTGGAAGCCTAACAAGAACTGTTCATTCTCATTGGACGATGATTCCTTCTGATTTGTGTCATCGACTGTATAAATAACTGGAATAGATATGTCAATATGTACAATGAGCAGGTGAAATTTGAATCGATTCAAGAGCTAGAACGTGGGCAGTCGAACTACAGAAATAGATGATCAATGGCTTTAAGGCTACTGCGTATCTTCAGCCCTCCAGGAAGTAAATTGCACGACAATGGTCATGCACACCGTCGCGCTAATTCCTCATGTTTCCAGTGGAATAGTACTTTAACGGTCTTTGCTCTACTATATCCTGAGCCTAAACAACCTTTATTAATTTTCACATCCCGTTCACAATGTTTTCCGATATAGGCTCGCCGACTCCCAGCTTCGGTTTAAACCGTGCCTTTGCGAGTCGTACAGCCAGTCCAAAATCATTTCATTTCTCGAGCGTGGTGGGTGCCCCGACTTTGGTTCTGCCATTGGAGCCACCCTCAAACCTTGAGCGAAATCGCAAGTCGGCGGACAATACAGCTTCACCATTGCCTTCCTTCAACAACCCGAGGACGACGGAATTCGAGTCGCTGAGTGGCGGATATTATTTTGACCATCCAATGCCAATTGTAACATTTCTGGTGCGCGTTTCCCTCTGGCTTGGGTGGTTGCAAGAAATTATAACTTAAAGTATGAAGGTTCACGGCCGTCTTTACAAAGTTCATCGTTATTTCCTTGAACGTGATTCTTTGTTCCTCCGCGGCGCATTGTCGACGGTACAGGGAACTCAGAGTCAGCCAATCGAGCTACATGGAGTCTCAAATCAAGAATTTGAAAGCCTCCTGGATTTCTTCTATGATGGGTGAGTAAACTGAAATAGGCAGTGAAAAATAATGAAAGTAAAATAACGACTGCCTCCGTAGAATGTATCGAAGCAGTGCTGATGCAGTCCCAGTCTCCGAATGGATTAACTTGCTTGCAGCCGCCTCTGCGCTCAAATTCAACAGAGCCAGAGAGCACGCGATTGCCGCGATCAGTGACGTCTCTCAGCGTCCAAACGCAATTGATATGATCGTCATGGCAGAAAAATATGGGATTACCAAGTGGCTACGCCCAGCATACATCTCATTTTGCAAGCGAACAGAGCCTCTGCAGCTGAATGAAGCAGAGAGGATCGGGTTGGACAAGGTGGTGAAATTGATCCAGGCTCGAGAAGAATTCTTGAGGGAAGGCCTTGGTGTCAATGGATTGCGCGCTGTTTCGCCACTGCCTAGTCCTTATCCGTGGCCGCCCAGTAACAGGGTCCAAGGTTTAACCCAACGTACACCAACACCAACACAAACTGTTGACGAGGCGGCAAGAATAGTCGACAGAATTTTCTTTTCTGACATTAATTGATGTGGTTTCGCGAAGTGGTGTCTAACTTATTCTGGCAGTAGATAGCAGTAAGTAGTTACAGGAAGCAGGCCAACTTTCTATACCTTATGACACCATTCTATAATCCGTAGTCCTACTCGTTCAACTAGTTTCGCATAATCTATATTCTGTTCAGGAATGAATAGACCACAGTGAGCCGCTACTTCATCATCGACGCCACCAATCACAACTTGCTCCCAATGATCACCGCCTCCGAGTATTGCTCCAAGACCTGTCGGAAGGACGACAAAGTGTCGCTCTCCCTTAGCCTTGTCCTTGGTGGCGGCCTTAGCATGTGTATCACGTTCTTTCTGTGCTACTTTCTGATTCTTTTGGATCTCCTTCATTTCCTTCTTTCGTTCCTTTTGCTGCATTCTAAGCTCTTTCTCTGCGGCTTTCACATAAGCTTTGTTTTCTGACTTTGTTTTCGGACCTAGCACTACAGGCGCTTCAGGGACGATATCAGGTAATATGCTATTGCCAGACGATGGTGACGGCTCTATAAATGATTGGAATGAGCCCAAGGGATTTTCGGATGGGTTCGCAATTCCAGCCCCAATCAGTGCCTCGTCGTTATTATCCAACAACTGTTGACGGTCACTTTCCGTACCCGCGCTATGGGAAGCATCGTTGCTTGACCTTGGAGCCGTCATCGTCCAATAGTTGACCCAGAAGAGGCTCCTTGATGAAACCAAGTTCGTATACCTATCCTTCAATCCGCTGGGGTCGAACATGCATGAACCGAATTGGAAATGTTCCACAACCCAACGTTTTCCAGCGGAGAATGGCTCATTTGAATGTTTTCGAGCCCAGCGGACAAGGGGATCATCGGAGTGCGAAGAGACGAATTTCATTGTACGGTTGATTAAAGAATCCGATTTATTATGGGATGTGCCGGTAGCTGAGGTCGGCAAGGATAATTGTGAAGGTGATGGCGACGGAGAGTATTCTGTCTAGAATATATGAGGCCGGTGGATTTCACGGTTGGAAGAGCACACGAACCATCCTGTTTCTCTGAGTCATCCCAGTTCTCCGTTTCTTTAGTACGGTCTACAATTCGTACATTCGGGCTGGGATTGAGTTCCGCCTCTGTTTTCATCTTACCTTCGGTCTTCTTGGGTACAAGAGAGGCGATTCCGGTGATGACAACGTGTGGATGCATCCCGAGATATGGACAGTCGAAGGCAATCAACCCCACGATGCGTTTATGAACATTGGAAGGGTCTGTGGCCGCTTCGGCAGCGAGAAGTCCACCCATAGAGTGTGCAAGGAGTATTATTGGACCAGGAGGCTGCGTTCGAAGCCTAAAAGCTAAGAAATCATACCGGATGAGCGTTATAAAATGTCTCTACCATTCAATGAAACTCTTGGTGGCAGAGGATATGGGTTTGACGCTCTTGTATGTCGGGTATAGGCTTGATTGGACTTTAAGGTTGAGATGTGTAGGTATGTGATCTGTTAGATATTGCTGAAGGTGAGTAGGAAACGCCTAGGAATATCTGTTTAGGCCGGGAGATCAATAGCATCCTTTTGAAGCTTGCCTGGAAAGTCGTTTCATCGCCTAAATTGACATGACTATCGTGGCGCGTGATGACCTAGAGTGTATAGTACCTCTGAATCCATGTATGTATACAAGATGTACAAGTCGTTGAGACATGTATAGTTACTGCAATAAGATGAAGAGTGGCCTGAGAATTTAACTTCAAGAATCAACAAGAGAAAATCGACGGGATGCAATCTTAGTCAGCTTCTCTCCATCGTCCATTGTACCACCACATCTTCTCGTTCCCTCTCCCCCAGTTCCTCACGTCTTCCTCCTATTCTACTTTCAGAGTCTCAAGTCATGGTACAAAGATCTTACTGCTCTATCTAATACGCCATCTTCAACCTAACCGTACCAGGCATCTCTCCAATTCTGCTCAGAATGCAATAACCTTCTGTATCCCAAGGCTGATCCACACCGACGTATAATGGTGTTTGCTTGTCGTATATGTCAATATGAAGAAGCAAGCGAAAACAAATGTGTGTACAGGAACGATCTTCTGACTGTCACAAAGTAAGAGTGTTATCTATGGTGGGCTGACCAGTCCTAATGTCATTCCAAGAGAACAAGTCGGAGTAACGACAGACCTTGGCTCCGATCCAACCCTGGTATTCCTCTTTCAACTGACCGAGAAGCTTGCTCTAAGTCGATTCTAGGCACATTCCAACGTTGAATGTCCGCGGTGCGGGAATGAGGAGTGAGCTTCTGTTTCTGGTATTACTTCGGTCTAATTTTGTTATCAGTGCGGTCCTATTCCAAGATCAATCGAAGCGAAAAGAAACGAGGATGATTCTCTTTTTCGTGTGTTCAAAATGCAATCACAATTTCACGGATCCCACTGTACAATCTGATACTAGGGAGAATGAGGAGGAGGGGTAGTGTGGTCATACGATCCATCTTCTCGAACTCTGTAGTTCGTCTCTTGGCTGTCAGGAACAATGTCATCGATTAACATCCATTGGAGCTTACTATGTGTGATCCGTCCTCTCAAACATATTTTCCTTAGCAGCCTCGGACATCGATGCTCCCCAGAAATAAGGCTGAGAGGTAAGCAATGAAAATGGCTGTTCTTCGTTCTTCACTTAAAAAACCTACCCGCTTGCAACTAACCTTAATGCTAGTATCCAGGTGCCGACAATGCAACTTGATACCTCGTTTCCTTGTATCGGACTGCTGCCTGGCACTAAACATAGGACCTGATCCCAATCGATGCCTTGAATGTCTCGTCCCATTCTTCGAAAGTCTTGCAATGTCATATGTGGAAATCCAACGGCCAAGGTACGAACAGGTACGAGTATGGTACGAAGTTGTGGCGCCAGCATGGCATTGGGGAGATTGACAAGAACTCATCCACAGGAACCACCATAGAACCACTACGTATGTTCAGCCGCAACGAGTTTGCTGCATTCAACCTGCTGAACCTCACACCGTGTGGCGTAGATAGACATAAGTAGACATCCCTCGGTTCCACTGGCGCAAGACTCAAGAGTAAAAAAATGATGCAGAAAAATCAGGACCCCAATGGAAGTGTTAAGCAGTTATCAAACAAAATCAAGTATGTACGTTTCTTCACATCTCGAAAATTGCGTGTTTCAGCTCCCGGCACACGTTCTAGAAAATACGTATGTATGTTATGAAAGGCCCAGAGGTTTTGTAACGAGTTTCGAAAATTTCTTCTTGTATTTTTAGACATGCACGTATGCAGTTGCAATATCCCCTGGACTTACCTTTCTGGACTTGTTCTATCCGATGATTGTGTTAGAGACAGGAAGCAAGGACGAAGCATAATCAAGAATTCTGTTATTCTGGTTCGCCTGTTTTTGGGGGTGCGATCTTTTATCTTCTTTTATTCGGCGTTTCTGCCCGCTGCCGTCATTGATTGAATCAAACTTCCTTATGTATTGTACATTAAAACCTATTCAAACTTACGAGCTTCAATCTTTGTTTTTTCAAGCCGTCGTAAATGCCGTTGAAAGCGAGTAATCTGAAGCCCCATTCCTTTCACGCGTTGTATAGTATTTGGTAGGTGCATTACCGCCCAGTTGTGTCTCTATTTTTCTCAAGGCTTCTTCCAATGTCCATTTTGCAGATTGTCTTCCAAGAATTTCCCAACAACTTTGGACTCCGACTTCGAATAACGGAGGTGCTGTAATGGACCCCAGACACTTCTCAATGACAGTGACATTCTGCCGTGATTGAATCGGAATCACCTTCGTGCAGATTGACAGTTGTTGAATTTTTCGAGCGGCTACAATGGAGGTTTGTATAAATATCTCTGTTATAGCGTGAAGCAAGCATTCGAATCCCCCACCACCGAATCCTTGCAGTCGCCTCATAGACATGAAGTTCACCACTGTTCTCGCTTTTGTGTTTGTGTTCGTTGCCGCTTCTGTCTCCGCGACGCCTTTCCGGGAAACTAACGGAGAGCGTATGGCTCGTGGTCTTCCTCCTCTTCCTCCTCAGAAGCGAAGTGGTACTCCCGTATACGGTGCGTTTTGGGAGGGCCGTTTCCATGTTAACCCATGACCAATATGTCGTATAGCTGCCAAACGGACGGGTCCCTCGAGCTCTCCTGGACAATGCACCACTGGACCTGTTCAGTGCTGCAATTCTGTCGGGACCGCCGATGACAGTGTGATTGGGTTAATCCTCGGATTGCTAGGAATTGTGCTTGGTGATGGCGTGCTTGCTGGTGTAGGATGCAGTCCTATCACTGTTATCGGTGCCTCCTCCAGCTCTTGGTTTGTTTTGTCTCTCTTGTTTAACTTCAACTATTGACCGGACTACAGCTCTGCTCAAACTGTATGTTGTGAGGATAACAGCAGCAGCTTGATTTCCATTGGCTGTATCCCTAGTGAGTTTTTTCTTCTTTCGCATGCAACGAAATCTTACCAGTCTTTTTAGTTACTCTTTGAGCTACTTAGATCATATTTGTTCATTCTATTGAACACTGCTATACTGACCCACGTCTTTTCTTTTTGTCTGTCTGTGCTTGCTTTGGTCCTGTCGTTCATTTCAGGTACCACGTATTTTAGTAAATCTTGTCGTTATTGGGGACGCTCGAAAAGTAATAGAATTGTTTTTTTGTGACTGCGATATGGCCCCACCCACTCCTTTCTCTTCAGTCCGTTTGAGTCGAATTCATATGATATTGCCTATCATTGTACTGCGCACCTAGTTTCTGGCACGCAAACCCAATAATACATGAAAATTTTCTTTGAAACATGGCAAACTTTGTACCATCTGACTGACTGATCTTATTGTGACCAGATGGCAGAAACAAAAAATTGCAGCAGAGGTACTGACCTTGCATAATTCGGTGGAAGTTGGAATTTATGTCTAGTCCTGTACGGACTGCGCATATGATTTCCAGCTTGAGAGTTGAGCACTTGATGTCGTACTAGCAGTGTCATACTTCCACTCAATATCTCGCTACTATGGGCATGCATCCCCGAATTCTACAAAAACAAGAGGATTCAGTGAAAAGTCTGCTTTTATGTCAGTTGCCATCATATATTAAGGCTTCGAGAGGAGTTGGGAGGTCGTTGCTACGTGAGGCAAGCAGGGTCCAGAACACTGAAAAGAACAAACCATCTCATTTTCACGGAATTTACGCAAAGGCAGTAAGCTGAGTAAGCTGGTACTGAGTGTGTACCCCAGTCACTGTTCGGTTCTAAGGTCAACGATGGTGACACCTAAGTGCATGGATAACATCAGGGTCAAGTTGAGGTCCACTGCATAAATAGATTGCTCTTTTCGAACTATCTGGTATTTATCTGATATTTGAACGAATGGGAATGCACTGCAAATGCCAGTAGACATTGCATTTACCATAGAGTGACCAGTTCACGTAGTTCTCGAAGATGGGGCATTCATCATATTGTGCAGTGGTGGCATATACGCGTACATGGGAGATCATATTCCAACGCAAAACAAAACCTTCCTAGAACTGACGACAAAGCTGAGAAACAGTTACGGCAAATATGGAATGAAAATAGCATACCCGAAGAGCGGTAAAGAACCACCTGTTCTTTCCAGCAGTATATCTCTCCTCCAACTGCTTTTTGATGGCCTTCTTCGAGTCTTCGCGCTGAGAAGGCTCTTTGAAGGTTTCGGCTGAGACTAAGCCCTTCAAGGACTCGAGCTCCAGTTGATAACGTGTTGGGAAGAGGTGCGAGTAGTTGATCACCTATGCCGACAAGGGTTATTAGGGTTGCACGAAGAGGATTAGGAGCAAAGTCGATAACACACCTTAATGAAAGGTTTCACTTTTGACCTTGTCGCGAGCTTCTTCTGACCCATACGACGTGTGACTTTGCGAGGGTATCTCTCGATACCGGCGACGATTGCGTGCGGGTATGGTCGATCTTTTGTTCCTTCATCAAGCTGCTTTATCACGACAACCTTCTTGCCCGCCTGCCTGCCTTGTAGTACGATTGCGACCTTCCCTGGCTTGTAGACTGCATGGAATGTCAGTGCTCTGTCCACGAATGTCAACAGCACGACCTATTCACCTTTGACCATTTTGCTTGAGTTATCGACGGGGCAGGGCGCGAAATTGTCAAGGCGTCGAAAAGATGCTGACAAATTCTGGGTGGCTGCTAGTTATGTGACGGTGGGAGTAAGATAAGATAAGATGATATGAAATGATATGTCGATAGTGTCAAATGTACAGTAGACTGTATAGTCCAGAGATATACAGAGCATAACAGTATATAATGAAAATCAGAGGTAACTACGAGCCCACATCCCCTACCCTGGTTAAAGCTACCCGTCGTTTCTTTTTCGGACGCTCCGGAGCATGACCCACATCCCGGCTTTCGTTTGAGTCACTGACCGCCTCTTCCCTCTCCCTCTTTAGCGGGTCGCCGGGTTGTTGCTGTCGCGGGAACGTGAAAGAGGTGAGCAGCTCAGAATCTTGGCTGCTTGAAGGAGTAAGAGAAGGACCGCTTCCACTAGGTCGTTTTGATTGTGAAGGCGCAGGCGACGGAGGAAGCATCGGAGGTAAACCGACGTTTCCAAAAACTGGTGTAGCGGAGGGTGTTCCAGCCCTTGAACTTGCAGATGGTGCATGGATATGTAACGACCCAGGAGTAATAGGAACTGAGTGTTGATGAGCGATAGACTGAAGTTGCAAAGCTTGCTGCTGTGTCTGATATGCAGGAAAGATTTCGTCGAATATTACGAGAGTACAGTATCCATCTCGAGAAGATAGTATGAGTGTTTGGCCATCAGGGGACCTGGTCAAAGTAATCAGTTTCATGGATATTCTAACAGCCGAGTAAACACGCACCAACTTGCATCTGTGAATTCATCATAATGAAGTTTGCTCAACATACATACAGGTGTCGACTGTTGAGTATCATATATGACCACTGCGTCCATAGTTACTACCGCAAATAGCATCCTATATGGAAGAGCAAAAATCGATCCGGTAGAGCTGGAAAGATTCGTTGCAGTCAATATGGGAGTTTGTAAACCATAAGGGATCGGAGTGCTAGGTTTCGATGCCGCCGGAGTAGGAGGCCGGACAGAAGCATCTCCCAGTGCAGGTTGAGGGGTCGGTGACACAATCTGCGTAGAAGAAGCCCGTTCTTTCTGATTATTCGACAAAACGGTAATTCCCATTCCACGATCAGAGAACGATGAAGACGGAAGAGCGCCGACGACATCCACATTCATTTCGTTCAGTTCATTCCCTATAACACCCGTCTTAGGAGCGCTTTCATTCCCGGTTGTTTCATCACGTCCGGAGAGACCATCTCTCAAATCGACCAAGATAGGACTGAACCTGACTGCAACGCTGGCCTTCTTGTGCCCCGGGAGTGTGGCGATGGGAGGACGTGCAAAATTGGCACGGGTATAGATGTAAACGCAAGATGAGGAATTTGACTTGTCGGCCGAAATTCCGGGACCGGAAGGTTCCTCCGACCTTTTCGTTCTACCTCGTGCAGGGGTGCTACCTTCTTCTGAAGAGGGTGTGGGCAGAATTACCACTTCTGGGTCCTCGAATTGGCCTGCAGGTGTTACTAGTAGAGCTCCGTCTGGGCTGAAAGACAGCCTGCGGAAGAAATTAGTAAAGCTTTCGTCGCCATAAAGACCGATGTTTTTCCATTGCTCAGTGCTCCTCCAGGGACTAGAGCTCCTGTGAGAGTAGTTTGGTAGGGCAGTCCGAATTGCAGGTAGGGCAGGCATGGGACTGGGTGATCTTCCGAAGCGGGAGGTTACGGAAAAAGCAGGAGATGCCGGGCCTCCACCAGCGGTAGAGGCCCCACTAAAGGATGACCGCCTAGAAGAGGTTTGCTTTTCTTTTTCTATAGGAGTAGCTGGAGGCGGGAACATGTTAGAAGAGAAAGTACTAGTGGAGATTGGAGGAAGAGCAGGAGTTGCAGAAGATAGGGCTACAGAGGATGCTCGAACGGGCGTACTTGCAACGCTCGTCGATGGCGTCAGGGGTAGATTTAATGAGAGTGGTGTCGGGTCTTTGAACTCTTTTGAATCCTTGTTACCCTCTGCAATCGCGGAGGACGAGGTAGAAAATAAGATAGATTCTTCAAAAACGCTTTCCGCATCGCTAGTGGCACTCTCTCTTCTGGAGATTCTGGGACGACTACTTTCTCGGCCACTTTCAGCGTGGCTGGTGTTGCTCACGTTGCTTTGAGTTCGGCCGTGTTTCCTGCGCGAATGACTTCGCCCTTGACGTACATGCGAGCCCGTGTGCATGTTCATATGACTATTCTTCCCAACCGCATGCACTTCGAGCCCACCAGCCTGGTTGTTGTGAATAACCCTGTGGACGTGCATGGCTCGGTCGCTTGACTGAGTGGCAATGAACTCGTTCAAAGGGTCCCATGAAACGCCTTGGACAAAATGTGTGTGATCAGCTATTTCGTGTATGCATTTGCCTGGAATAGACGTTAACTTGAGTCAATGGAAATAGATCGCCGACCCACCATCTATAGCTTGAAAAACGCGAGCTGCGTTATCAGTGCTTCCAGCAATTATATACTCTCCGGTGGGACTCCATGCGAGGTCATAAACTTGCATGGTCGTGCACCTAACGTTCCCCTCATGAGGTCGCTCAAAGAGCAATCTACAAATTTGTCATACCTGACCATCACTCTAACTTTCCAAAATTCCTTCTCATTAAGCAACTCTTCCGGAGTAAGGTCGCTGCCGTAAGTGGCGGCTTGAGGTGTAGATGATTGTGCCCAAATTATGATCATCCCGTCTAAAACAAAATGAGTACCAGTTAGGAGGACAGCATCAGGGGACCGACCGTCGCCAGCAGATGCAATCAATTCTCCTGGACGATATCAGTAAACGTCGTGATATGAGTTCAGAACAGGTTCCCTACCGTTTGGACTCCACCTTACGACATTTACAGCAGCAGAATGTCTACTCAGGGTTGCGAGATACTCAACACGAGGGGGCCTGGGTGCAGTCTGGGATGTCGAACTTGAGGATTCGGAGGTTGTGGCAGGGCGTATGTTAGGATAAACCATCCAAATCTGAAATAACTTATAGGTTCTTCTGCGGGGAAAAACGGTGAATAACGACACGTACCCTGACATGATTATCCTCGCCGCCAGTTGCCAATTTGTACGATTGCCCTGTCCACCTTTCAGTCCATTCCTGAATAGATATGTCGGAAGATCCTGGAGCCGGCGGACGCGCCTTTTTAAAGGACGGAACTGGCTGAAAATCACACGACGCGATAGGTTTAGATTCGTGCCAACGAATCTCAAGAGTTCTATATCGCATATTAAATGACTAGAGACCTAAGACGTCAGGAGTAAAAACGCATAATGAGTTATCGTCACTAGAACTGAACACGATTGAATCGTACTGTGTGAGCTGCCTTCGGATTCAACGACAAAACGACGCGACAAAAAGGCGCGTAGTTGTGTATGAGGTATTGTGCTAGCCTCGAAAGGTCGATTACGGTCGCAAAGAGCAGATCACAAAGTAGAGCGTGGAGAAGGTAAACCCAGATATTCAGAAGAGTAGTGGCTTGGTCGAAGTCCAAAAGTTACCAGAGATGATTGCACGTAGAGAGAAGTTGAGTCCCAACCTAAGAATCACAGTTGTTACTGTACAGTATTTAGCTTTTGAGGTTTATTGTTCGCTTGTTTAATAATCAGGCGCTTGCCTTAGCGCGCGCTCCGGATTTTAATGCGAGGACCACAAAATTATCAATACTAATTCATATATATTACTTGCAACTTGAAAGTTGCTAGAGCGAACCGTTCAAAATATCATTCTTGGACCCCAGATAGAATACCGGTATCTCATCCAATGGTGCATCGACAGTAACCAGCTTTCCTCCAGTCCCAAAATTCTTTTCCGTCCACCTACAGAGTATTTTCAGATACAAGCTATAGAATCAAGAAGCGACGTTCACCAGTGGGTCCAAGTGAGTCCCTGGCTTTGGGCTGAATCTGAGAGGATAGGAAGGTAAACTTGTTTTGACGTAACACCAAGCTCTCCAACAGGTGCGACGAGAATACGAGGCCCTTGATGAATACATAGAGTCAAAGGGCAGAGAATTTATCGAGAAGGCCAAGCCTTACCCATCATGAACTGGTGTACGATCGTCGGGTCGTTGGCTTGCGTTCCATTTGCAACAAAAGGATCTGACAACGAAAAGTCATAATAGAGAGGCCTCATGATTGTCTTTCCAGTTCGTTGTAGCATTTCAAAAAGCATTTTGACGTATGGTTTAAGCTGATACCTCAATGCGATATACTACCGGAGCAACACATTCAACTACGTCCAGATCTCAATGTGTTGGGAGAATAAGAATTCATACACACCTTTTTGATTATCACAAAGTTCGCTTCACCGTATGACCAGGGCTATAGCGGTAGTCTAAAAAAGGGAAAGAATTAAATGGATGCGGACACACTTCATTTGGGCATGTATTGGCGAATGACTGTCGAGGATCAGGAAGAAGGCTACAAGAGCGATCTCTGAAATGAGCAAACATTTAGTCAGCTACATATCAGTATGATCTGCACTTTGGGCTTACCCATGTACTCGCATCTTAGAGGGGCAGGTAATGAGCAGAACTTGTGATACCTCTACCCGAGGTTGACTCACATATGGTAAAAAGACCCCCATACTCAGCCATCGAACAAACAACTCACGGCCCTATTCGAAAGATATTCAGCAAGTATTCGCTGCGCATTACTACCACTTTTCTCACTTCATCTGTGTCCACGTTTAAACCCTCGAACCCTCCTATATCCAAAGTCCATGACGAAATCCCTGACGCCGCTACCGAAACTCCAACCGTGATTTGTTGCAACAGCACATCAAACCGTGACTCGGTGTCTCCGCTCCAGAGATACGAGCAAAACCGTTGTCCGCCGACAAAAGTACTTCGCGTCAGGGACATATGATCGCATTGAGTGCTGATGTCTTTTCCAGTAAGGTTGGCGAAACCCTCGTTGATAGCTTGTTGGTGGAACCAGGGATACATTTTGCCCGCACCTTCTTGTGTCCCAATAAAGTATTGACTGAAGGCACGAGCGTAAGGAATTTGGGCAATTGCTTGCCCGTCTCAATGTAGAAGCAGGATTCAGACTGCCGGAAAGCTTGTAATTGCCAGGAGTGATACTCACTGTTTTCGAAAGCTTCACCCAAAGTACCTCCTTTAACCCATCTGCGATGAGAAATTTGTTCGCACTCCTGAATCACTGTAGCACTTACCGTCAGCTTGATCTATCCAGAAGTTATGGATCCCGGCGGAGTAATAACTATCGTTTAATCGCTTCCCTTGACAAAAGTAAAGGTTCCAAGTCAGGACCTGATTCAAAGGTATCCAGTCAAAGATCAAAGTCCTCACATAGAAATTCTCTGGCGGCAGGGTTTGTAGAATCAACTACGTTCATTATAATGAGGCTCATCATCAAATTTGAAAGCTAAATCAACTCACTCAAACGGGTATATACTCCCGCAAAGGAATCCGAAATTCCCGTTCCATCTCTAGTCGTTGCTAGCAGCCCTTGCTCCTGCGTAGGAAGGTAGTTCACAGAAAGGTCCTCCATACTCGGCCATAAAGAGACCATCATCTCCGCTCCCGTCAATTCTTTCACTGTTGCTGCCATTCCTGCGGGGTCGGGCCAGAAGTCCGGATTGAACGACCTAAGTAGTAATTCAGATTTCCAACAGGAGGTAGTCGCATGGTAAAAATAAAGACTCGCCAGTCTCCTTGGAACTTCCATGCAAAGAAATCTGCCAGGTAGAAAATATATATATATAAATAACGTAAATAGATGAACAGTGAACAGCCGAGATACGCACCAACAACGATCAAGGATACATTCACTTGTTCATCGTGGAATCGTTGAGCCAAGTCTAGGATCTGTGTTTGATTGAAGTATCGCAGTTTGGATTGTTGATAGCCCAAGATGAAGTCGGGAGGAGTAGGTTGACGACCTTTACCGTGGGTTATGGATGAGTATTTGTCCTGCTTTCTATAAATGAGAATTCTTATTCACCGGTCACAGCAGTAAATTGCTCTTGCAAGGCGTCGTAATCTCCAGGAGATGCCGCAGTGATGTAGTAGTCCACAGCAGTAGCTTCGCTAGCTACATGGCGCGTTCGAAACGTTCCAAATTCTGGAGTCAGATGCTGTTAGTTGCTGATAGAGCACGCGGATGGACGTAGACACTAGCCGATTCTTCCCTCACTGGGCATGTTGAAGTATTGTAGGTAGCCCTATAGGACATTATGTAAGGTATCACCACGACTGTTACTGTTAGAATATAAGACCGACCTTGTTTGACATATACACGGGCAGAGTTACATGAGAGTTGAAGTTGATGAGGTCGACAACCTGACCTTTCTTGTTGACACTATGGTCGAGACAACACGCTTGTTGGCCGGCACCGTAGAATTGTTCATTAGGATCAGAGGCAAAATCAAATTGAGATTGGAAACTGGAAGAACGGAAGTCCTGAGTATAAAATCTGGGAGCTATCGCCTTGGTGTCGGTATACTCTTTCGTGAGCAAGGTGGTAGACCCGTTTGGTTCAACGCGAAAGAATGAGATAATACCCAGGTTAATAGAGACGACAATGTTTCCGTTACGAATGGTCGCGTTGCCTTGGTACGAAATAGTTATATCGTGATTCAGGCCGTTATTACCGCCGGGACCTTCAAGGGGTGGATCAAGAAGAGCAGACCACTCATTTCCAGTGGGATCCCGCATAATGCTTGCTCGTACACGCATTCCGTGGTTTCCAAAAGGCTGTTTAGGACTATCTCAACTTTCCGCGGACTTGGGAAAGTGCAGTGATGTTACCTGGATATACACGCGTTCATATCCATTCTGAAGCTTGATACCAGTGGAATTGGGTTGAAAGTATTCGGATGCACCTGGGGTAGTGGCAGATGCGATGACTAGAGCAGCGGTGGCTGCAGCAGGTCGACTGGGCCATTTGAAGAGCATGCTTGCGAAAGAAGCCAGAATGTCTTGCATCTGCTCCAGTTTTATAAGTATCGCAGAGGTCGAAGGAAGAGAAGCCGAAGTCACAGTGCATATTAGACCGCATGATCTTTACCAGAAGTGGGCCTCATGATCTTTCTTCTCGCGTACGATTTGTGGAGACTCCTATGATAATGCACAGAGTTCTCCAGGACGCAGACATTAATTATCACAATCAATGTCAGTTTGATCTGCTTCTCCGCCTGTATCCGCTATGGAGGCTATCGAAGGACTGAAACCGAGCTCGTGGATGTAAAGTACGGGGTAAAGTATGTAGCTCTGGTACCGTACCCGATCATTTGACGCGCTGATGAAATGGTAAACTTGGGGACCCAGTGGAAGATAGAGGAAGTAGACAAATACTAGGGAAGCGTCAATATTCAGAAGATAGTTCCAAATATCTTTTGGCGTACGACGAAGTGAGCTCAAGTAACCTGCACCCATCAGAGTTATGCACCGCATAACCTCTGGTAATCTCCTTCCCGACTGTCTAATGCGGGGTAAGATGAAGAAGGATATCATTCGTTTACAATCATATAGTATGTAGTACATCGTGAATTTGAAAGTCGAAAATGTGATTTGAAGTGAAATATTGAAAAGAGAGAGACGCGGTTGATACGTGAGAACATCCTACACGCGTTTCTATCCCAGACTCGCAAGGCGGTATCTAGTCCCATTCTGTACATCAGGACATGAATTGAAATAATTTTCTCTCGTGAAGATGTCTCTTTTTGGTACTTCTGCCACTCCTGCTTCGGGGACCAGCCTCTTTGGTGCTGTTAACAGCAATCCAGGCGCTACCACAAATCCACCTGCTGGAGGGAGCATTTTTGGGGGCTTCGGAGCTCAGAGCACGAATAATAACGCGAACCCGCAGCAATCTACACCATCTTTATTCGGAAGCTCAACCAACACCAATAGCGTCGCCCAACAGCCATCGGGAAACCCATTATTTGGTGGTTCCAATACAAACACAGGAACTGGATCAAGTATCTTTGGGAACAATGCTGCGGGGAATAGTTTGTTTGGGAAGCCAGCTACAACGACCAATACTGGATCCAGCATATTTGGTGGTCAAACTAGTGTGTACTGCAACTTTTCCCTTCTCAAGCGATTATTGATGGCTAAACAGATGCCCCCGCTGCAACTGGTGGAAATTCTCTGTTTGGGCCTGGTACTGCCCAACCTGCCCAACCCGCTGGCTCCAGCGGGAGTAGCTTCTTTGCTACACCGCCTGGAGGTCAACAGCAACAAAACCCAAATCAACCGAAACCTGGGCTGTTTGGCAACACTAACACTAACACTAACCCTCTGTTTGGCGGTGCCTCCACTACAAATACCAATACGAGTGGCTCGATATTTGGAAGTGGTTCCACCTCCAATCCCCTCTTCGGAGGATCTTCGACAGGACAACAATCCGGGACTGGAACGGGATCTCTATTTGGGAGCGCAAATGCTGCTCCCGTAAATGCTACCTCAGGTAGCATGTTAGGCGGAAACAGTACATTAGGTGTAAGTACCCTAGGCGCCAGTGCTCTAGGCAAACCGTTGGGTGGGTTGGTCTCAAGTACCGTGGGTTCGCATAATCAAAGTGCGGATGCTCAGGTTCAATTTGCTCGATTGCAAGAGAAGATCGAAGGAATTGTCGGAGCTTGGGATGCGCGCAATCCTGCGACCTGCAGATTCCAGGTACGTACTCTTATTTGCGTAGGATCCTTTGACGCTAACATTGAGCCAGCATTACTTTTACAACATAGTCGAGCCATCGCAAGTCAATCTTTATGGACGCCCTCCAAACGCCGTCAATGAAGCTCTTTGGCAGAAAGCTGTTCGTGAAAATCCTGATCCTTCCTGGTACATTCTACACTCTAATATCTCATCTTTAAAGCTTTACTAACTTGCTATATCAGTTTAGTACCTGTTCTCGCAATCGGATTCGACGATCTCCGAGGACGAGTCGATGCCCAAGTTTCACAATCTGCCGCTCATAAGGAGAAACTCCTCGAGCTTCAACAAAAGCTACGCACACTATCGACAAATCATTCAACATTAACTGTACCCAGATTGCAGCGCTATTCTGCTCTCCAAACACAAATGACGCACCGTCTGCTAAGGCTAGTCCAACATCTACACCTGCTGATTCCCAGTGTACGGAGTTCTGCAATCAACGAAAATGAAGAAGCGCTGAGGGGCGTGCTCGAAGAGGTTGTTGCGGACGTTGGTGTTGGGGCATCTAACGCAGGCTTACGCTCAAATGGTGAGGGGTTTGGGAAAGGTCGGCTAAAGAGCAAGTTGGGGGAACTGTGGGCTGTTGTCGGAGCGCTCAAGGCCAGAGAACAAAGCTTAAATGCGACTTTTGGAGGAAGTAGTGAATGGAGGGTTGTTGACGAAGAAGGACTGGCTAGAATTGCGCAGGTTAATATTCTCTTGACTTTGATTGTCGACTCCGTTGTTGACCCACCATTATAGATACTTGCGGAACAGCAAGCTGGTCTAGCACATCTCACAAAAATACTACACAAGGATCTCAAAGACCTTGCCATCATTATGGGTACCGCGGAGGGTGCTGGAGAAGATATCGGTCCTGATGATGTGCTTGGATCGTCTTTTGGCAGTCGTGACAACTCCATGCAAAGTAGTACTTTGCGAATGAGCGCCTTTCGATGATGTTAACCATTTTAGTAATACTTGCATGTCCTTGTCTATACTTCCTTGATTTCGCAATGTGTAAACCATTGAAGCGCGTAACTCGTGTTTTTCCGTGACCCGGAGTCGAAGCATCTGTTTTTACATGACATTGACATGTTGAACTTGCTCGTTGGTGCGATTGTGGGAATACTCGCCTTGCTGTACGCATACCGTACCACGATACTCCCAGAGCGAAGCATCCACGACAGACATGGTCAAATAGCAGTGCGTAATATCTTATCTTCCTGATTAAGACAAAACCTTATGTCAACCAGCAGATTGTGAACCTTCTAGACTTCAATGTGATTGGGACGGATGGACACTTTCGCGACGTTCTCCATGATCGACATTTCAATCCGACAAACCACACTGTTCCCTTCTTTCAAGTTTTCGAAGATGAATTCTTGGACGTGATAGGCCCAAATCCTTCACTTAACGTTATCAGCTCCGATCCTTCTTTCGCTTTCGCTCATGAAGCACCGGTCTGGGTACCGGACACGGACGAGATTTTCTTTTGCAGCAACGCTGGAGGAGACCTTGGACGTAGCGATATCAACCATAATAATCAGGTCGGAAAAGTTTCATTGAAAGAGGTTGCACTAGCTATGGCGGAAGGTCCAACAGATGTGAATGTCACACATTATAAGGTATACATCCACACCTTGCTATATCTCCTGGAGCATGACTCGACCTCTCATTCACGTAGATTAATCTTCCAGAGAGTGTCCAAATGACGAATGGTGGTACTGGACTGTATAAAGGGCAAATCCTTTTGACGAATGAAGGTCGAGGTCATCGGCCTGCTAACCTGGTTCTCGTCAATCCCCATCCACCTCACAACGTCACTGTCTTACTTGACCACTTCTATGGACGACAATTCAACTCCCTGAATGATGTCAAAGTACATTCTTCGGGGAACATATTTTTCACAGATGTTCCGTATGTCTATGCATATTCCATTTATCCGGATAACGCTCATGTACTCTTCCCGCAAGCTATGGATATTATCAACATTTCAAGACGGAGCCACAACTCCCAAATCAAATATACTCCTTCAATCCTCGTACTGGGGCCATTCGCGTCGTGGCTGATCAGTTAAATAAACCTAATGGGCTTGCATTTTCCAGAGACCACAAAACCGTATATGTGTCAGTCTTGATGATCGAAATATTGACTGTCACTGTTTTCTGATATTCTGCAGAGCCGATACTGGTTCCCTTATCGGAAAATTTGGTCGTAATCTCACGTTGCCTGCAACAATGTAGGTAGTTTTCTATGTTTAGGAATCTTCGCTCATTGATTCACTCGGATTAGTCAAAAATACGACGTTGATCCAAAGACACTCGAATTCAAAAACAAGAGAGTGTTTGCGTACGCTGATTCGGGAGCAGCAGATGGTTTGGGCGTCGATGAGTTTGGAAATGTGTATGGTGTGTGCTCGTTGACTCGCTGTGTTATTGCTGAGGAAGTTAACCTTTCGTGAATAGGTGCTTGCTTCGATGGCATTAATGTACTAGGTTCCAGTATTTTTCACCAGCTTTTCACTAACACTGTTGTGAATAGGTCTGGAATCCGTCCGGGACATTGATTGGCAAATTCTTCCTTGGTACCAAATCCGCAAACTTTGCCTTTGCTGGCAAAGGTCGTTTGGCGATCCTTGCTGAAACCAAAATTTACTTGGCACACATCAATGCGGGTGGAATGTCTTTAATGCATAAGGATTGAAATATGATAGTTATGTACCTAAGTAGTCTCTGAAATAAAACATGTATTCAGATTACAACGCTGGCGGAAGAAGAAACGTTCATTGCAATGAATTTTCATCTCCATTTAGATCACTGACATTTGAAGACAGATGGGTAGATTGTGTACATGCTAAGTACAGTTTACAACGTATTGCGGGGTATTTGACAGTCTCGTTGAAGGCATTATTATATGTACTACAATACATTTGCCTATCATTTGGGTCAATGGAAGTTTGGAAAGATCATCTGAATGTTACATACATATAAGTCAAAAGGACGATATCGATAGGCATTAACGGCGTCGTGTCATGGTAAAGCATCCTTCATACCCTGGTACTGAGGGTGGACTCAATGTATCGCGCCACCGTCCAGCTAGATTCGAATTGTGATTTCCAACGAGATATCCACGGTAAAGCCACTTTCCCCTATCGCCGTTGATCTATTCAAGTTCATCCAAGGACATTTGTCAAAAGGTAGCAACCATTTGTAAGGGAGGAAACGTACATAGTCTTTAGAGAGACTGATCAACCCGTCGCAAGGACGGACTCGGCCGATTAATCTGAACTCCCCCCAAGAGGAATGCCCCTTCAATTATATGGTCAGTAAAAATGGTAGTCATATGACGGCATTAGTGCAAGTTCACCTCGCCTGTAATGATGATGTCCAAAACGCGGGTCTCTGTATCTTTCGCCGCCTTCACTTCATTTGAAGACTTTGTCTTGGCTTGAGATCCAGCACGTTGATACAACAAAGGCTGTCTTCCTGATCCAGATGCAGTGATCGTAAGGCCTTCCGTTGTTTCCTCGATTTGTGTTTCCAGAGGGAAGTACGCATGCAGGGCGTTGCCAGATGCTACCGGTTGAATGTTGTCCGTTTCGTTACCAGATCGAAGGGGACAGGGGTCAGAAGAAGATGATGATAGAAGATGATGCTCCCGAAGTTTCCACGTTTGTTTGTGCTGCGCTACGAGTGTGTTTTGCAGGAAGTGAGGCGGGGCCCCAGACAATAATGCCGCGTAAGAGGTGAATTCGGTGTACTACAAAACCGGGTAGTCTCTTCAGAACGGGCATAAAATGATACCAAGACCAGAGTATATTTCACCGTAAATATCCCTTCCCATACACCATCAAGACTGTAAGATAGCAGTCAGTCGTGTGACGTTGGCTAAGATAAGACTTGTCCAACGAACCTTCCTGGCCTGAAAGCATCTAACAGTTCCTTGTCCGCCGGGAGCTTCTGAGTTCCTAAATTGGTTGACCTGCCCCATTCACATTCCCATTCATTTCCGATAGTGTTTAGTAGCAGTGCTTGAGGCGGCGATGCTTGTGAAGGCACCAGAGGCATCGAGTGGTCCGTCCGCTCGTGGAGGTGGCTCTGAAGGGAGATGAAAGATAGTATAGCGGGTACTGAGAGTGCAGGTGCCCTCAGACCAAATTTTGAGTCGTAAACCGTGAGCGGCGCCCCACGAGCAGTAGAGGAAGGACGGAATTCGGTCCATGAAGGTGTCACAAGGGGATACTAGCACAAGAGTTATCAGGCAATTACAACCAAGCCTCGAGGGACGTACCCAATGTGTACCTAGAGCATAGACTTTGAGGATGCTCAAGGCTCTACGCGTATAAGGATCCTCCCTCTTGTACTGTTCTGTAAGTGCAAGATGTCAAGGTAAGCTTTGTAGTATATACTTGACCAGCATACCTGGCTTGAGAAGAAACCAATATAACCACATCGCTAGACATGTAATCTCGGAGTGATCAGGCCACAGCCCTCGCTGGATAGCTTGCCATGAGCCAGACGCTCCGTGTTCATCAAGCCAAAACTCCTTGAGCCATTCATCTATGTGAGCATATTCCCGAAGTTGCCGTTCGTTATACCCTTCATTCTCAACTACCATGAGATAGATCTGAACGAGGAATTCTTGTAAATTTTCGTCCTGAGTGGATGTATTCACGCGTGAGCCTTGTCGATCTCGAATACGGTTCAGCAATATGCATTTCCTCTTGAGTTCCAGAGCGAGCGCGGACGTCGAGAACGAATTCACTCCTAACCTTCGGGACACTGGCGATACGTCGAATTTCGATTCGTATATTTTAGCATATACATATGGATTCGAGAAGAACGAAAGACATGAATGGGTCCAACGATTGGTCTTGATCAAAGATACGAGTCCAGCTGGAGGCCCTAGAAATGTTTCGGTAGAGGCGAAAAGTGCAATTTCTGAGAGGATCTCCTGAGGTATACTGTTCAACGAAACCGGAGTCGTGTGTGACATTCTCGCTGTGCTGGTTGTGGGTGAGTTTTGAGGACTTTATTATAAGGGACGATAAGAACTAAATAGGTAACGTTTTAAATGTGTTTTTGGTTGCCGGTAGTTGCCGGTCCGAGATTCGAAGTTGATGAGATGTCAAAACTCTCATACTGCCCCACTGTCAAAGTCCCCATACTCCCCTATCATACCGCCATAAGTTAGCTGTTAAGTACATACACCTAGTACAAACACACACGTCTTCTCCGCCTGAGCACAAGAAATTTGATTACTTTCACTAAGGCAGCTACCTACTGCAAATCCCTGAACATTTCACAAGCTTGTCAATGTCATAATACACGACGGGATGCATATTAGGACATCTATCTGTGTATTACTAGCCATAAGGGAATAATGTAAGTGTATGCAGAGTATATGACCAGCTTTGTCCTTCTAAACTTGAACTCTGAAACTATGCATTTTCAATCTGTTTCCATATTCTTCCCGTCGCTCCCTGGACGAAACGATACAAAATATCGCACGCGCTGGTAGGTGACTCTGCCATTCATACGGCGGAATACACACTCCTCGAGCCTGACATCGTATACCGTCGAAATATGTACAACCAGTAACGACGCCGCGTATACACTGACCAACGCATATCCCTGGTATACCCTATAAGAACCTATATGTACCAGGCGAAACATATCAGACTCGGAGTAGGCTTATCCCGGCTAAAACGACATAACAACACGGCCTGACACGACTAATACTAATTGTCGTTAGCTGGGACCTGCTGGGACTTGGCCAGCCTGAGGACTGGACTGAAAGACTGCCTCAGGTGAATGTGAAAGAGCAATCAAATGAACAAATCAAATGTGAAGGTTGCATTAATATTGTTGCAACAAGGGTCGTCGTGAAAACGTGTCAACGGTGATACTTATGTACGTTCATTGTTCAAGCTCAAGCATGGTCAAGCCTGCCAGAAAAACAGCCAGCTCTCATCAGGGTCTCAAGACTATCCAATTGGGGCCATACTAGTCCCAACAGTCAACTCCCTGTAAGTACTCTGCTCCTTGAAAGAAATAAATCAGTGTAGAGATACGGCAACAGAACGGCTAATGAGTTTTTCTCCTTACAATCCCATATTATTATGTATACGGCAGCTTTCAAGGTAAGAAAACGCGGAAAGGGTTTACGAGCTCAATCTTTAATATGAAGCTCTGCTATATTGGAACTTCCATAGCAAGAAAAGACGCCGGTTTGCTCTTTGACTTGCCAGAAACTAGTTCCGGGACCAGGATTTATGATAAGTGAAGAACGTAGCAAGAACGCCCACTTACATATGTATCACCTGCAACTGTAAATCTCTTTAAAATCTTGACAACCAAGGTTCGGGCTCAGATCGATTCCTAGCGAATTCAATCAAGATCAAACACAGATGTTTAAGCCTATTCAAAATCACGGGCACGTACGGTGTCATCGTTCGAACTAAAGTGCAACAAAAAAGGCAGTAAGCAGTACGACCTGAGTACGACTAACGGTTTGTTTTTGTGCGCGTGCCTCATACCAGATCCAGGTCCAAGAGCTTCAGGTTCAACCACACGTTCAAAACACACCTTTACGCAACAGATAGGGTCGAGCAGACGTCATGACGTCGGCGAATTGAACTGCAATGCTGTTGATCGCAGGTGGATGATATTAACAGATAAGAACGAAGGACATAACTTACCGGCCGCTTCTCTACGCCTTCCTTATGTTTTCAATTATCATCTGTCCATCCCGGAGAGCCCCACCTAAGAAGTGATTGAGATACTGCAGAATAAACTGATTGGACAATACATGTACGAATTGGACTGAATTTCTCGAGTAAGACAGTGGAAGCAACGCTAAGCAATGTGAGGAGCACATTCGCATTCCAAATAAGGCGAAACGTTAGTAACGTGCCATACCGCCGCCGTACAGGTACGCTAACACAGAGATACAGACAAAAGGACTCAAGCATCCCAGAGGTGAGCATTTTCTGGAAAAGAGGATAAGAGAATTGAATCATCAGGCACTCTCATGATTTCTTAAGCCTTCATGGATGGAATAACTGAGTCGGATGTTCAGACTTCACGTATGCATTTTTTGACTCAATATATGTTATCACAGCTGCATACAGAGAGAATCTATAATGCTCATAGAGCACTAGCACCTATTAAATAATTAATGAGAAAATTGATACGCAAGAGGTTACTGAAAACGTTACCAGTAATAATATCAACCAGCTCGTTGGTAATAGCTGCTTGTCTACCACGGTTATATTGCATCGTTAGACTGCCAATCATATCTCCAGCATTCTTGGATGCATTGTCCATGGCGTTACGACGCGCGCTGATTTCGCAAGCATGAGACTCAGTAAGGGTAGCATATAACGCATTGGCGAGCGAGAATTCAGCAAGATCCTTGGTGAAATCATCTTCCATCTCGTATTTCTTGAATCCCTCTGTGATCTAATTTAGCGGCCGTCCAATACATATAAAACGGAACAAATATACTGACCGCTTTCCTTCAACGCTTTCTCGCCCTTGACCTCCACGGCAGCAGCCTCGTACGAGATGGCAGAGACAAATTTGTTGTAGATGATCACAACGGAATCATACTCCACGCCACTCTTCACCACTAAGTCTGCGACACCTGCGGCGTCAGCAAACGTTGGAACATCCCGGCCAATTTGATTGAACGTGAGCTTGAGGTTATCAGGATAGATACGCGACAGTTGTGCTTTAGATTTGTCTCCAATAACCATGACAGAGGTATCGGATTCCACGGAGACGCCAGGGATGGGAGAGTCAGGTGCGTTATTGAAAGCACGACGAGTAGCCTTTGTGACGGAAGAATGAATTCCACCACATAAACCTTTGTCCGAAGACAAGACAAGGAACAGCTTTCGGGACCCAGTGACACCCTCCTTGGCGGTCTCGAAAACCTCTACGCACTAATTCAATGGCTGGTCACAACATTCTTGAAAGCACTCACCAGCGTTGGCTTCACCATAGAGCTTACCAGATTGCATAGCCCTTTGGGCCTTAGCCAGCTTAGTTGAAGCAATCATTTTCATGGACTAGAATGGGGGGAAATTGGTGAACGCTCGCTCCAGCACAATTTTCGACAGACCTTGGTAATTTTCTCGATGTTGCGGACAGATTTAAGACGCAATTCAATTTCACGAAGAGTAGCCATATTCCTGGCATTTGAAGGCGCCGCCAGCAGCGAAGGCTGGGTGATGACACGAGCAGCAGTGCGTCGAGCAAACATCGAAGAGTTGAGAGAAATTCTGCACTCGGATGTTTTCGGCAGGAGAGGTAAACGCTTACTAATCGAATGATGGCAATCTTAACACGACGAGTCAGAACTTTCAGTTTTGCTATCACTCTACTACAATGGCTTCTGAAGAACCTCTCTTCGATCCGTCCCTCAAGAAACGAAAGAAAAAGGCTGTTGCTTTTACGGAGGATCCTCTCGGTGCCGATGCAGATCCGACTGCGCCAGCCCCCGACACAATCGATAACACGACTACAACCGGGGAGGCAGTCGATTTGGGCCCTACCACTGCCCATGAACAGATGAAAATGAATGGGGAAGAGGGGTCGAAGAATGAAGATGAAGATTTCAAGGCTATGTTCGGGGATTTGAAGAAAAAGAAGAAAAAGAAGGAGATACCGATGGACCTCGTAAGTAGAAATGGTATTCCTGCTGCCCACCCATTTCATCTCACATGCGCTCAGGCAGATGGAGATTCCGGAACGTCTACTCCTGCCGCTGGTGCTTCTGTTCCAGCGATCACAGAGGATCTGGATTTCTCCGATATCAAGAAGAAGAAAAAGAAATCGAAAAAAGCAGCGCTAGACATGGAGGCGTTTGAAAAGGAATTGTCTGGGTCTAAATCGAAGTCTGCGGCTGAGGAAGAGGAAGACGGAGAAGTGGAACACAACCCCAATCTTGATATTGATGATGCTGACCTCGAGAACGATCCTTTCGCTCAACCAAGCGATGCTCCGGTCGGCGTTGACCTCGGTAATGAGCCCTGGTTATCCAGTGACCGTGATTATCTTTATCCAGAGGTTTGATTTCGGTCTTTTCGCTGACTTTACATGACTTAATTTTCCTGTCACGCAGCTTCTTACGCGCTTTTATTTCCTTTTGCATGCTGCTAATCCTGCTCTTCTTTCATCTTCTTCTCAAAAACGATACACAATTGCGCCACCTTCCATTCACCGTGAAGGTAACAAGAGATCGGTCTTTGCCAATGTCACGGATATCTGCAAGAAAATGCACAGACAGGTACAACTTCAATCTGATAATTCTTGTTCCTGCAGCTAATGCAATTCGTTGTATCAAGCCCGAACATGTCATCCAGTTCCTCTTTTCAGAGATGGGTACTACTGGGAGTGTCGATGGTGCTGGTCGTTTAGTTATCAAAGGTCGTTTCCAGCAAAAACAGGTTGAAAATGTTTTGCGACGATATATTGGTATGTTGCATAAATTTTCCTTTCAAGAATCATCAATGATACTCCTTCACAGTCGAATATGTTGCATGCAAAACCTGCAAATCAATGGATACCCTACTTACTAAGGAGAATCGTATTTTCTTCATGTCATGCGAAAGTTGCGGCAGTCGGCGCAGTGTCAACGCAATTAAGAGCGGTTTCCAAGCCCAGGTCGGCAAGAGGAGCAAAAACCGTCCTGCATGATTGTATTATTTACGTGTCTGTACATATACTCCGGAGTTGGTAATTGCTAGTACTTGTTAACTTTGAGATGAACTTCTCTAATTTGCAATCGGAGGCTTAAATGGGAAGACTTGCTACCCGGGACCGCTTTGTCAATAGCCGGTCCGTTCTTGGATTTATACGGTCCTCAGCGAAATGTACTATTCCAATATCACCTCTTGTTTGGTCGTAAAATGTCCCCGGTACCGTTGGTCTACCCAAAGCCTACCTCCGAAATTCTAGGTCCCCCAAATCTTCCCAGATACGCCTATCCAGGAATACCCGTTGATCTTTCCTCTGTATATCCACCTCCTGAAGCACTGCAGAAACCAAGTCTCCCTGCGGGTCAGAGAAAACCTATATGGGGCGATGACAATCGTATTCCATACACTTTGACTACGCACATCGTCCCGGCCGCATATCTCCGTGAAGATGAAGATATTGTGTTACCTGATACTCCAACTGCGGACGAGACCATGACCAAGGAGGAAAGGAAGGTTTGCATACAGAAGGCTGAATCGAAACTCCGGGAAATTCGAAGAAAGTACGAAAATGAAGGCAGGCACCCACAGCATAAAGCATTGTGGTTGTGTCTGAACAGATACGCTCGTACGTCCACACACACGGCGAAAGGGGGTTTCACGTTGTTCTTCGCGCACGCGAATGGCTTCCATAAAGAGGTCATGATATTCCCTTGTGCGCGATGCCAATTGTACTAATCCTCCACATAGACTTGGGAACCGACGATCCTATCACTATTGTCGTCACAACAGTCACAATCATGTGTTCAAGAGATCTGGGTATGGGAAGCATGCAATCATGGCGATTCTGCGCTGCTCAACATTGGGAAGCTCAATAGCTTGAGTACGTTCAGTGCATCTTTCTGACTGAGTTGGGTTCATCATGTTATTCAGTACACACAAGGTCCGCTGCCCGGGATCTTCTGAATTTTCTCATCTATTATCTACCATCAACACCTGCCTTGTTCCCACTCCCAACACACCTTCCTCGAGTCGCGCAATCTGAAGCGCAGCGTAGGATCCAAAACGGATTTACTTCGCATGACAGTCCCCGAAACCCCATATGTGCCGTTGGTCATAGTTTTGGAGGTGCAATTTCGTCAGTCATCGTTTCACTGTTGTTGTGATACCTGCGTTCTGCTAAACAATGGTTCAGAACTCTCGCAACAATATCGCATCCATCGCTTTTCACTTCCCTTTTTCTCGTTGATCCTGTTATCACATATCCGAACCCAGAGTTCTATTACACGCCCAACTCGTTAGCCTTAGGTGCCTTGGGTCGACGCGGGTCTTGGAACAGCCGAGAGGATGCACGAAAAGGATTTTTGGAAAGTGCTTTCTTCCGTGCTTGGGACCCGCGGGTTCTGGACCTGTATGTTGAGTCAGCCTTGTATCAGGATCAGGTTAGGATTCGACTCAAGACACCACCAATACAAGAAGCTATAGTCTTCACTGACGCAGGAACTGGCGCGCCGGAAGCATGGGTGAGATTATGGAAGAAAGAGTTGGACCCTAGGATCAAACTAAGGTGGGCTATGCCTGGTCCAGGTAAGCCTGAGTGCGTATCATTTTCAAGTTCATTTCTGGTCCATGTACTTAATCTGATCAAACAAAAAGTTTGGACTCACGGCACAACGCAACGCAAGAGCGTGTTTGGCTTTGCCCCGAGAATTGCAGCAATGTCCGCATCGAGGGATCTGGGCATCTCATAGCTCAGGAAAAACCAGCTCTACTTGGTAAAGAAATTGCTCATCACCTGGAGGAAATGCTGCCGGCGGAGACCAGAGCTAGGTTGTAGTGTTATTCCCTTGCGTATGTGTCCACAGGCTGTGTGTGCATGCATAGACGCTTTCAACAATCTACCCCTAAAGAGTGCATCCCTTCTACTTCCAGATCAGCTCACGTTCATATTACTCTTCCCGGGGTTTCCAGAGCAGAAAGTACGAGCAACTGCAAGGTTGATTTTCTAGTGTTTCATGATGAGGAATGAGGAATGACCGGTTGACCAAGAATCGTTAAGTGGCGAGTCGTGCAAATCTAGGCAAATCTTGAGCATAATCGAGATCACATGTAGAAGAAATGAAAAGTGTATTAACATTTTGTCAAGAAATAGTGTACACACCCACACAGGAAGTATGAGAAGAGGGAAGACGCGGACAGGCCACGGTACCGGTGATACATTTCCACGGTAATACATTTTCGAGGACTAGGAGTCAGTGTCACCAAAGGGATGGATCATGGTGGATTCGAAGGCTTGTATGCTGTTCAGTTTGGTGAATGCACACATAGAAGTGATTAGCTAGGTGACAGTCATTGTAGCAACTATGTTGATCACTACTAGTAAAGCGACAACACCAGAGCGTGGTATGCATTGGCAAGACTGCCAATCGATGTGGAATCACCAATGACATTAGACTTGCATCAGACTATTGGAATAGCATAAGTAGAGGGTTGTGGGGCGATGATATCCACAGTGCCGCTTCAAGTTCGAAGTGAAACTGTCCGGGCATAGATTTGAGACGAGGTATGGAAATAAAAGAGTGCAAATAGAAATCTGAATTGAGGCGGGTCTTGGTTGCGGCAAGGTAAACTTTCCCACAGTTCGCCACTTCATTATTGAATTTGTTCAACGACCATCACATCCTGTTCTGTGCTCTGCTGTTCGCTCAGTACTTGTAGCAAAGGGATACTTGAAAGATCAATCTCGAATCCATATCTCCAATGTCAGCACCTCTTTCCCCTACGGCTTCCAGTTCCAAAACTGCTTCCGCATCTACGCACTGTGTACCACCAAGGTCACAGTCTCCTTCTCCGAGCACTTCTGACTTCTCGTTAATTGGAACAGAGGAAATAGAGACGAGTGACTATGCAGACTACAGTTTCTGGAGCTACAACACAAGCACACCTTACAAGGGATTCGGGTCCTTTGGAAGGCGAGCTGCTATATATTCCACCCCAACATTGAACTATTTCGCTTCGTCTATTCCATTCCCTTCTTCCTCCTCCTCCTCAACTCCAGGTGTAGACCGAGCTGACCACACTCCCGGTACATCATTGAAAACTCTATTTCCTCGGATATGGGATGTTTTGGTCTCATCACCCACCAAAAACATCATATCCACATCTCGTTCTCCAATTTCTTCGAAAAACTTCGTCCCATTGAACGGCATCGATATGCCGTTCGAAGCTCATCGTCACTCTATGTATCTCAACTACATGTCCAACTCGCCGACTCCTTCGCTCAGTCGCCTTACCAAAGGCAAAGGCAAGGCAAATAATTACGCGCGTGGGAGCAACCACTACCCGGAACAGTCTTATTCAGGGGACATTAGTGATTTTTGGACACAAGATAGTAGTTTCGATCGCTCTACGATGGGGCACTCCATTTCATCCCAATATTCTTACATCGACTACACTGATCTTCCACCTTTGGACGGAGAAGAAGGAGAATTGATTGACGTGGATGACGAGGCGTGCTTCCTACCACCGGAACAATTCCATTACGGCGGGACTACGTGGCGTGGAGGGATCAAATGCAGCTTCAGCAGAGCTCGAGTTGTCACTGGTATAGACATCTTGTCCTTGCTACCCGCCGAAGTAGCACTACGCGTCCTTGAATTTCTTGCCTTCGGATCTTTCTGTCACCCCAATACCTCAGTCAATTCTCCTCGTAATTCATCTCTCTGGGCTTCTCGAGACACGTTCCTCGAAGAGGTTTCTACCCCGGAACAATGTCTTCAGAATGTTCTTGTCTGTTCTTCAGTGTCCAAAATGTGGCGCCAGCTTTCTCTGGATAATTCAGTGTGGCGTACTCTTTTTGAAAGTCGCTGGGGTAACGGCGAGTTTGGAGGTGGTATAACGAAAGATTCTGCCGCGATACAGAAATACCTCTTGGATCAAAGGAAATCCGCCATCACAGGGCGAGACAAGGCATTGCCTGCATTGCCCGACGATCTCGTCTCTTCGATACCAATAATACAACCTTCATCTCTTGATTATCTCAGGCTTTACCAAGATCGGCTGGAGCTGGAAAGACGTTGGGTAGGGAGTGCCTTCACCAAGCGTCTTGCAGCACCAGCATACTCCCCTTCAAGTTCCAATGCTAGTCTCTCCGTCCCCCCTTCGCGTTCTTCGTCTCTTACGCCGATGTACATCGCGGATCAGATGTCTCCGTACTCCGAACTAACGTCTTCACGCTCTTCATCCTTCTCTTCTACCACAATGGGCATGTCAAATTCCAGCCATAGTCGTCCATCGACCGAACCAGCTGCCATATTGACTGAACATTGGGATAAATGGGAGCCGGATGTAATACAACTCAGTGGTCATAACGATAGGTGCGTGCACTTTGTCAATTCGATATATACATCTAATCAAATAGCATTCAGCGTTTACTGTATCGAGCTTCCATCTTCGACCACTTTTGCCGCCGACAAATTTTTTGTCACTGGCTCTCGAGATCGAACGATCAAGATGTGGAGTTCTAAAACCGCCAAATGTATAGGAACATTCGGAAGAGGTCGAACGCCCACGTCCCCTGTAATACATGACAGTGGTTCACAAGAGGTGGAGGTTACAGAGGGACATGCAGGAAGTGTTCTCTGTTTGAAATTTATCTGGAAGGAAGAAAATGACGAAAGTAATGACAATGATTCTATCCGCGTCGAAGAAGTGGTCAGGCGAGGAATAATGTTCTCTGGGTCGAGCGATTGTACAATCTGCGTGTGGGACGTTTGTTTGACGTGGAATATTGTTGAAGATGAGTACAAGGTGGATGCCCATGTCTCTACCGTTCTGCGTGGTCATTCCGGAGGTGTTCTTGACTTGAGAGTTGACAATGACTGGATTGTGAGCTGGTAAGCATCGCTATCTTTCGTATAACCTGTAATTGCTTCATCGTGGCATCTTTCAGTTCTAAAGATACTACCATCCGAGTCTGGAATAGGCAAACACTGATGGCGCATCGCACTTTGCGAGGACATGAAGGCCCGGTTAATGCTGTTGGTATGGAAGATGGTCGTGTCGTAAGTGCCAGTGGCGACGGGAAGATGATTTTGTGGGATGCTAGTAGCGGTGAACGATTGCGAACCTTTGAAGGTCATGATCGTGGATTAGCATGCATTGAATACAGTGTAAGTCCTGTGTGCAAAAGTCTACGACACAGCTGAATGAGTCTTCGTTTATAGAGCGGACTAATTATTTCTGGTTCAAATGACTGGAAAATCAAGATTTGGTCTGCCTTCACTGGAAAGTGCTTGCGTACCCTTCAAGGCCACGAAGCCCTTGTTCGGGCGTTGGCCTTTGATCCTTCCAGTGGCCTCCTCGTCAGTGCAAGCTACGACAAGAGTGTGCGGGTTTGGGATATCAAGGATGTTCTGAATGGTAACGAATCCGGCAGGGAGAGCTCATTGAGGGTTTTCAAGAATGCACATTCTAGCCATATATTCGATGTCAAATTTGACGTTGGGAGGATAGTCAGGTATGACAATATCACTTTTGCAAGACCGTAATCTCACCTTGTACTTGCTGCAGTACATCTCACGACCAGAAGATCGTTGTGGCTAATTTTTCTTGCGACCTGGATGATTCTCATCTTTTTATTTAATTGAATCTAAAACCTCCACGTTGGGAGGCACCATTTTTTACAAATATTCACCCTATTTTTGCACTACGTTTATACCGATCCACGCTTTTCAGCAGAACTCTCCTTGTGTTATATAGTTTGTACCGTAATAATGTAAGTATGTACTTTTCGTTTACTGTAAATGATTCTGTATTTGTCCACAGCGATGGGTGTACAAGGGTGTACATGTTTCTCATGTATACAGACAGTATGTATGTAAGGCCCAAAATTCCCAATCCCCTCAGATTGGCACGTAAGTTTATCCGATCTCCCTCTAAGCACGTACATCATCGTCAATTGTGCCAGATTTTGGCCCTGCATACTCATCATTCAATCGGCAGAGCCTCAGAGGTCTGTTGCTTTCATAAACAAAAGTTGAGTGTTTGTCGATTAAGTTCGCGGTTATTTTCCACCATATGTACTTGCCTGCCGCTACATCTTCTCCTGTGTACTTCCCTGATCTCAAATATCCGGGATTCTGACTAGCGTCTCGTTAATAGTAATGAGTGCAAGTCAGGAGGTGAAGTCAGGAGTTTCTGGGGCTCTCATCTTTGACTTGATGGGTACTTGTACGAACTGGTCTGCTTCCGTTGTAGCTGCTTTAAAAAAACAATGCGCCAACACTCCGCTTATCCTTCCAAAATTACAATCGGATGAGGATTTGACGCGGTTCGCCTCTGCCTGGAGAGCTGGATTTTTTCGTGAAATTCACCAGCGTTTCCAAAACGGTGAACCCCAAGAGGACATCGATATTACCCACCGCAGAGTGTTGGATCAGCTGCTGTCCGAGAAAGACATGTCGGTGACCACGGATATTTGGGGAGATGATATCAGAACAATCTTGGTGCAAAGTTGGCATCACCAAAATGGTGTGTGAAGTTAGCATCATTTTGGACAATTTTGGACTGACTTGGAAGAGAAGCTTGGATAGATGCTGTCGCGGGTTTGAAAAGATTGAAAAAAGATTATTTTGTGTGAGTGCACAATGTATTCTTGAAATTTAGGTCTATAAATTGACATCACCCCAGAGTTGTACTCGCAAACGGGACTACACGTCTACAATTGGACCTCGTATATTCCTCGCAATTGTCCTTCCACGCCCTCTTCTCCTCTCAACTTCTAGGATTTACGAAGGTACTAGAGCTTCCCAGCCCCTCGAATTCCCATGTACATGACTGAATCTGATTACTGTCAAAGCCAGATCCGAAAATGTATCAGAAAGTGTTGGAACTTCTGAATCTTGAAGCAAAGGAATGCATAATGGTGGCTGCTCATGCTTATGATCTACGTGCTGCTGCTAAAATGTCGAGTCATTTTCTACAACCTACTCTTGCTCATTCTCATTATTTGTAGAGGTATCAAAACTGCCTATATTCATCGCACTACTGAAGACCCAGAAGAGGACATGCAGCAAGTTCGGAGTGAGTGTGATATATTTGTTTCTGGAACAGATGGGAGTACCTCTTGCGGATTAAATGAATTGGCCGATATCTTGTGTTCGCCATCTAATAATGCCTCAAGGTTGGATTTGGAAGACTAGTATTTGTAATTAGAGTGCGAGGAAAGAAAAAGTATTTCTGAAAACTACATACATACCAAGTAAGCGCTCAAGATCTCGCTGGATAAGTAATCTAATCTAATCTAAAGTTCCAATTTCTGGAGTCATACTTATTTCTTGAGTTCGTTTCTCTCGAACATTCATGAAGTACTTCTCAACTCGAGGAGGCTCTCAAGAGCTCTCCTTCGAAGAGGTTGGTAGCCCTCCCGAAAATCAAGCCATCCAAACTTATTTGTGCTCGTAGACCGTTCTGACTGGCCTCGCACCCAACGGAGGCCTTTATATCCCGACTTTCATCCCGAAACTACCTGAAAATTGGAAGGAAGATTGGGAAGGCTATTCTTTCGTAGATATCTCCGTGGCTGTGCTTTCACTATACATCTCGCGAGATGAACTTTCGGAACAGGAGCTGCGCAGCTTGGTGATGAAGTCGTATGCTAGCTTCCGACATCCAGAGATTACACCGCTCAAAAAGCTCGAGGACAAGAAATATGTATTGGAGCTTTGGCATGGTCCTACATGGGCGTTCAAGGATGTTGCACTTCAACTTTTAGGGAACTTGTTCGAGTTCTTCTTGCAACGGAGGAATGAGAAGAATCCAAAAATAATTGAGAAGTTGACCGTCGTAGGAGCCACCAGCGGAGACACCGGAAGGTGTGTTGTATATGTTAATGACATTCCTCTCTCCTGAGTCGTCGTTCAGTGCTGCAATATACGGTCTTCGTAACAAAGCAAACATATCCATCTTCATCCTGCATCCCAAAGACCGGGTATCTCCAATCCAGGAAGCCCAAATGACCACTGTCACTGATGCCAACGTGCATAATCTGGCGGTCAAAGGGACATTCGATGACTGTCAAGTGATTGATCTCCCTATCCATTGCGATCCTTGCGCTCATCCTCCTCCTTACAGGACATAGTCAAGGCCTTGTTCGCGGACACTGAATTCAATGCAAAACATCATCTCGGAGCCGTGAACTCTATCAATTGGGCTCGTATCCTGGCTCAAACAGTGTACTACTTCCTTGCTTATTTCAGTTTGCGTCGGGCAATAGGCGAAGATGTTGATGTGCAGTTTGTCGTCCCAACAGGAAACTTTGGTGACATCCTTGCTGGCTACTACGCCAAAAAGATGGGTTTACCGATGGCCGGTAAATTGGGTGTTGCAACGAATGCTAACGATATTCTGGCTCGATTCTGGAAAACCGGTCGATACGAAAAAGCAGACTCGTCGCCTCTAGACGATTCCCCTTCGATGCAACCGGCTGCCGGGTCGTCTGACGGTAAGCAGGCAACTCAGGATAACAGTGGAGTCAAAGAGACCTTGAGTCCAGCGATGGATATTTTGGTATCCAGTAATTTCGAGCGGTTACTGTGGTATCTGGCGTATGTGAACGTTCCCGAAGACGAAAGTGATCGGCGGGGAAAAGCCGGTGAGATTGTAGCTGGATGGATGAATCAAATGAAGAGCGATGGAAAGGTTGAGGTTCCGGCTTCTGTACTGGAAACCGCACGACAAGATTTCTGTGCGGAGCGAGTCAGTGATGAACAGGTTGGTTTCTACATTTTTGGCGTGAATGTTTGTTTGATGACTGTCATCCTTAGATACTGACAAGTATTCAATCTCACTTTTCTGGAATTCCCTCCTATGTCGTTGATCCTCACACCGCCGTAGGGTTGTTCGCTGCCGAGCGGATGGCGCAACACAAGTGTGTCTTGTGCATATCTCCTAAATTCCTACAAAGAATATTAATTCTTTCCTTGCAGTGGGCCCTCTGTCGTTCAAGTGATACTGTCTACAGCACATCCAGCCAAATTCTCCGAAGCGGTCTCCACTGCTTTAAAAGAGACACCTAACTTCGATTTTGAGGGTCAGATCATGCCAAAGGAGTTCAACGGCTTGTTACAAAAAGAGAAGCGTGTGGTTGACGTTGAGAGTGCCGACGTTGACCTCGTTAAAAGTATCATCGAAGCAAGAGTATAATCTAGTATAATATGTATACATCTCCTGGGATAGATACAAGATATGAAGATTTTAGATAAAGTCTGAGGCTTGAAGTCGAGACATAACTTTACACGGGGCGCGGCCCTACTCCCAGCTTAGGGTTACTTGATCATTTACATATGGGCCGATATCAATAACCTACAAGTTGATTCTGGCCTTACGTGCATTCTCTGGCCATGTTTGTTGATAAAGGAGGTGGGCTTATTACGACTCATGATTGTCAGGTCGTGCTTGAATACAGGGAACTTAGACTTCAGCTTATACGGCGGTGCAGAAACTCTCTGGGAAGGCAAACGTTCGCCACGTCGGACCATTATCACCACTCCGACCGCTCAGGATGACGGGAAATCTCACCCAGGACCGCCACATGATCCTAGTGACTTTTTGTGGTTGATGACAGAGGAGCCTCATCGTTCACGGAGGATGGCGATCATGAAGGCACATCCCGAGGTGCTTGCGGTGTATTTGATTGTGTTTTGAATCTTACATTGACCTTTTTCGCAAAGGTTACTAAATTAATGGGCTACGAGCCGTTGACAAAGTACATCGTGTTTGGTGTAGTGTCTCTGCAGCTCATCGTGGCAATAGCTCTTCGCCGTACCCAGATCCTCTCACCTTGGTTCCTCTTTTGTGCCTATGCCATTGGTGGAACTGCGAATCACAATTTATTCCTTGCCATACATGAAATCACACACAACCTTGCGTTCCCCGGAGTCTGGCCTAACAAAGCACTTGCGGTTTTCGCGAACCTACCTATAGGTATTCCTTACTGCGCCATGTTTAAGGTATACCGTTTTCATTTACGCGACTATCCTACTATACTTATGGATTTAGAGGTATCACATTGAGCATCACAAATTCATGGGCCAGGACGGAATTGATACCGACTTGCCTACCCGAATAGAGCTCTTGTTACTGAACAACGTCCTCGGAAAGGTTTTCTTCGCGTTCGTCTCTCCCTTTCCACCAGATCCTCATACCCGCCCTGACACTTCGATAGGACCTTTCAAATTCTGTTCTATGCTCTCCGTCCTGGATTTGTTCGTTCTCAGAAGCTAACGACATGGCATTTCGCAAATTTCATCGTTCAACTGGTCTTTGATTATCTAGTAGTCAAAGTGTTTGGTATAAAGCCACTAGTGTATCTGCTCGCTAGCAGCTTCTTTGCTGGTAGTCTTCATCCATGTGCTGGGCATTTCATCGCTGAACATTACCTCTGGGATGGTTTGGAGCAGGAAACATTCAGCTACTACGGTCAATTGAACATCCTGGCTTATAACGTACGTTTGCACACACTTGATCGGGATGATTTGACAATCGACGGGTCCATCATTTTCGTAGGTTGGATATCACAATGAACACCACGACTTCCCGTCTGTTGCCTGGACACGTTTACCCGCCCTTCGTGCTTTGGCCCCTGAATTCTACGACACACTCCCTTCTCATCCATCGTGGCCAATGGTGATAGTGAACTTCATCCGCGACAAAGAAGTTGGGATATTTGCAAGGGCCAAACGACTTGCGAAGGAGCCGGCGTCGGTCAACTTGAAAATTGTTGAACATGATTCAGAGGTTGAATCAGATAAAAACGAGTGATTTTAATCAATTACTTAGAATGTTTGAATAGGATTCAATTCAGATATTTTTTGTTTTGGAAGGGCGGTTTCCACACTTTTCCACAACATAGAGACCAGAGATATTGGGTACTGCCAGTCTTCATCAGAAGCAGGATCTGTTCTCGACGAACACTCCTACTTGAACCAGAAGTCAAGATCCAGAATTTTGGTACTTGTCGAGGAGATTGACGGTTACATCTGAAGTAGTAACATCAGTGAGTACCGTGATAACTTGAAGCCGAGGGGCGAATGTGGCTTTTCAATTGCTTTTCATGTTTGAAGGAAGCACGGGTGCCACGGTTTGAACTAGGAAGTATTTATGTTTGAGGAATAGCACATACATATGTACTTCAGCAGCGGTCTAAAAGAGTTGTCATAGAATGCAGCTCTACAACATCAGTTGACAGTGGACACTGTGCTATGGGAATGGGAAGAGATAAAAAAGGATAAAACACTCATATCGAGAGGCAGTTCCAGGTGGCGCACATGCTGCACCTGATGAAACGTGTACGCTTGCGTGCTCGGCCGGTGAGGTATTGGTATAAGTTGACAACCTAAGGAGTCGTCGGGGCGTATGTAGCTGGCGAAAATTGGCAACTTAAGTATGGCAACCACGACATCGACATTTGTGCTGATGCGAGCGCGGCCAGAAGGGCACGGTTTTCCCATCAGCGGAGAGAAAGACATTCAACTGTTCGGAATATTAGGGAAAATATCCACGTTTCGTATTGATGAGGCTGTATGCGGCTGTATGGGCCACAAACTCCGGAACAATCGGCGAAGGGTAGATATCATCATATCAACAATCGGACTGATGTAAATGCAAGCGTCGCTGTCGGCTCGTCTCCTTTGCATCTTACACCATCGTCTAATATTGCTCTTTTCCTTCTGTACGCTCTTTTTGCTTCTGTTCTGGCCCACCATTGATTTCATCGTCCCGGGGGTCTGTGTGTAACTTTCAACTATGCCTAATCTCTCCACCTTCATATCGTACGGTAAAGCGCTGCGGAAGCCAAAGGGATTCAATGCTCTTCGTCACTTCGATTCTCCCAATTCACCTCATCATCCATACGCGTCGCCAGATATCGTTCATATTACCCCTACCCAGAGCCTCCAGAGTAACGAAGACGAGGAAGATGCCGCTCAACTACCGTTCCAGTCTCCATCGAGCTCACAATTGGCTCCGGCTCGTCCATCGACTCCACCCAGAAAGCTCGATGTAGAACTGCCTTCAGGCTCGATGTCGGATTGGATACCCTCTCATCTGCTGGACGAGAGGATGTATAATGGGAGGCTGAGCCATCAATCTCCTGGCGCTGGTAGCAGTAAGCTTCCCCCAGAAGAACATACGATTACTCAGGAAGGACTTACAAGTAAAGAAGACGAGGAACTTCTCGATGATGATGATGAAAGTGTCTATGATGATGATGATTACTCTTCCTCATCCTCTAACGACAGTAACATTGTCGCAAACTTAGAGGCAATGAATGTAAGTATCTGTAGATCGTCTTTCATGCTGCTTCTGAAAATCACTTCCAAAGGCTTCAAGCTTTGTCAAGACTGATGAGAAGCCTCCCCGTGGGACGGTGAGTTACCACTACATATGTTGCTGCCGTAATTTTGCTCAAAAGACGATATAGATACCTTCTTTCAAAAGGACTGCGCCTTCACCAATCAAAATACCTAATCCATCTATGCATGGTCCAAAAGTACAAATCATCAGGTCCTCTGGTGGGTCAAAAGGAACCTGGCATTCGCCATCCCGGCCTGAATCAATTCACTCTGGAGACGAATACTCGGCGAGCGCTGTTTCAGGTACTACATTAGCTCGGGCACTGATTGGAAACACGTTCGTATTATCAACTGATGAGCGTGATGAGCGTGCTGCGAGGTATCGAAGTTGGGGTTCAGTCCTGACACGTACCGATTCAGCCACCCTTCCTCGCGATGAAAACCCCTTCCTTTCTCCTCCGATGTCGCACGGTACTCCGGACACCAATCATTCGTTAGTCCCACTACCCCCCAATGCTGATTCAGTCTATATACCGCCAAAGAACCCGCGGCGGCTCAGTGATGCTAGACGAAAGCGTCAGAGTATCAGTAACTCAATTCCGCGGAGCGATTCAGAGGGAGAAATATTGGCACGTTCCAATAGCATCGGAGCACCCTTGCCCTCTGATGCTCAACAATCCCATATTTCAGAGACCGACACTGCCGTGGTCAATAACAAGCCGAGCTTATTAAACGATGAGAGCATAGCTCCTTCCGCACCGGATACCGCACAATCTCCATATCTTTCTCCAAATTATGCGCGCCCAGTGTCCCATGCTTCCTCTGATGGTGGATCGTCTAATCGACCAACATCCTCAACATCCTCAGGCAAGGGTTATGATACCATGCTGGATGACTACTATTCGAATGCCGATCTCACGTCACCCGCTAGTCCCGACCCAGTAGTCTCGGGAGGTCACATACCAATGACGCTTGATAACCCCCACTTTCGGCCCCCGTTTTCACCCATCACTGAAGAATCGAGTTCTCAGTTGTCTCCACCCTCTCCTTACAGGCGTGATTCTAAACGTTCTACAGGGAGTACTGGATCTCCGAATGGTTAGTACTACACTATTACGAAGGGTTGGAATTTGTTAGCTCAAATTTTCTTTGCTAGGTCCACGAGCAACAAGAGGAACACAGCGGTTACTGCCCATTGGAGAAAGCTCCCAAGTGCGTTCATTACAACTATTTTCCGAACTCTTTCTGATGTTTTGCTTTTTCTAGCGGAATGAACCTGCATCTCCGGAACCTACTTCTGCTTCTTCGTCGATATTTGCTCCCCCTGTTTTCAGCTTTTTTAATAGACAACGTTCGGGGAGTGCTCCGAATCCTATCAAAATTGTACGCGACTCTCAGGACCTCACATCGTTCAATCTCATCAGTACGCGACCGATATCTACCGCGAGTTCTCCGACAAGTAGCAACGATTACTCCCATCAAGAATATGTGAAACAAACCTTCCCTGAAACTCCCAATGCATTTAGTCCGCTATGGTCAGCCGGCTCGATGGCTTCGCCCGGGATTCCCGGACCAAGTGAACGACGTTCTGAGGATCAAATTCTTATCGCTGTGCCCCCCACACCAATGACGGGCGCCGGCGAGCCGATGCCAGCTCTTGCGCATCATATGCTCGCGCGCGCGGCTTCCTCTGTCAGAGGAGCAAGACACACCAGACAGCTCAGTAATAATCGAGCAAGGACAGTGGCCACACACACTCATGCTAGCAATCCCGCAGATATACAGAGTTCATCACCCTCGATAGCTCTTGATCCAGAGCCAGAAGTGAAGGAGGACGAAGGGTCCAAGCGCAAAGCGGCATACCCATCCTGGATTACTCAAAAAGTTCCAAATTCCGACGACGAACCATCGCCGTCTCTAAAGAGTGATACGGTCAGCCCAACAGGAAGTCATCATTCACAGGCGGCCTCGTCGATCTTGCGGGAGGATTCAGCAGGTGAAGTTACAGTCAGGAAGGACGAACTTGTAAATAATTCCTCCCAGTTGTCGCTTACTGTCAGAGGGCTGCCGCCATTGCCGCCTTCTCCTTCGTTGTACAGTCCTCTTCCGGGACAACCCCCTGGTTTGCATCAGGTAGCATCGACTACTTCTCTCGTAGTTCCTGCCCAATCCGATATCGCATCCCCGCCTGAAGACTCCACTCTTTCGCAGTCGACCGTTTCAGGATCAGCTGCACCCCCTTCTCCTCACCCGTTTCCTTCTTTCCCTGCTTCACAACACACCAACTATACTCCAGGGTCAGCGGGTTCATCGGCAGAGACAGAGACAGATATGGAAAACACAGCGTCTATACCCTCTTTAGGTTCGCCACCGCCATATTATACCCTTGTTTTTGATCAAGGTCCCGGTCATGGAAACTCGACTCCGACCTCTGGAGGGTCCAACCTTGTGACTCCTAATACTCCTCCCAGTAGTCGTGCCGACTCTTCGCGGCAGTCAATGTCTAGCATTGGGGCACGACGTGGACGTAGTCGCCCCCCTTTACCCATCGGTCCTCGTCGACCCAGCCACACAGCAATCAACCCAGTTGGACGACAACGCAATGGATCTATCTCCTCGCTTAACAGTAATGCTTCCAAGCTATTACGTACAACGTCCTCTGCACCTCACTCTCCTCGTTTTCAATCGCCAGCCCCTAAGTGGAGAGGTTACACCATGGATGCTGCGAAGTGGACTTTTACCTCCGCTCAGCTTCAAGCTATCGTTTCTCGAGCAATAAGACAGTCGGCAGAGGCATCTGCCATTCGCTTGTTGCGTCTAGAAACTGTTGATCAAGATATTCCAACCGAGTTACATAGGCTAGAACTGCAACGGACGGACATCAAAACACGGTACAAGAGGTTGACTCGCAGACGCACAGAGATGCTGGCTACCCTGACGTCGTATTGCGATGGAACTTTCCATGAAGATGCGACTTCGTCGTTACGTGTCATCAACGAACTTCGGGATGTTACTAGCACCCTTGACCGTCTAGCAGAAGAACTCTATAATGCAGACGAACAAATATCCCAGCTGACGTCTTTGAGAGACGTTCATGACGCGAGCTCCCTTGCCATGGCAATCAGAAAATTGAATGCAAGCTTCCTCAAGCAGCTCGCTATATCAGATGCCCTTCGTTCACAAGTGGTGGCACTCGAAGCAGAACGAGATGATGCTTGGAAGCAAGCAGAAACACTGGCTCAAGATTTTGATCGGATTAATGAAAAAGGCGACAATGGCGATGGTCCTTCATTCAATCGTTCGGGTCGAGTAACGGCAATGAGGAAATCAAGTATCCGTGTCTCGAAGGCAGGCTTGCGTTCCACTCGGTCATCCATAAGCAGCACACATAGGCTCAGTGCTGCATCTTTTTCCGGTGGTATTAAATCTGCGTTCTCTATTGAGGATATACCACCAGTTCCTCCAATTCCTCGACGCCCTCACCGGCCTGTCGATATCTCTACGGATCTGCCCTCCACCCGATCATTCATAGTGAGTTACCTATAATTCGTTTTGATCCAAGTAATAACCCAAAATGTAGGCGCTTTCGACGGATGGGCCCACACCAAATACAGAAACTAGGGCAATGTATGAAGAACTCTGTGATATGCTTGGTATTCCTTCGAATGAATTTAGGCCGCGTCGATCCCAGTCTGTCGTCGAACGGGCTCGATCATCAGCAAACGAAGATGAGAAGAGGGCTTCTTACAAAGGCACCGAATCTCGTTCCAGTACCAGTGGAAGTCGGCCTCTATCAATGCCAGATCGTTCCGGGCTAACAGAAGTATATCAGAACATGTCGGCCGATGTATGTCTTTTCTTTGTACTTTCTAAAATCTCCTTAACGTTAACCAATCTGGTCAGGGTGACGCGATGCTAGCGACGTTGGGCTTGCTTTCAGATTCCGACTGATTCTTCTGTTCTATTTCGTTTCTTCTGTTCTATCTATTTGTCGATATCTGTTTGGATAATAGTCATTCTTTTCTCTTGCTTGCTGTGTAGTATTAATTGCATTTATCATTATGGACCGCGTGTCTTGAGCAAGCCTCACACTCTATTATCATATAAGGAAATTTAGTAGTACATCAACCTCGGAGTACACTTATGCATATGCCGGTATCCGTTTCACATACAAATGAAAGCAAGGAGAAAGCAATTAGGAACTTGGATAGGGAAGAAATACGGAATAAGTAAATGTAGCAAGCAGGTCCATGACAAGGAAGGAGGGGTATTTGTTGAATTAGGGCATCATTCTCAGTGACGTATACGTTTTTTGCGTTTTGGTACTAGAGTATCGTGTCCAGTTTCTCCAGATAATGAGGATTGAACTGGAAGGAGGTCGGCGACACCAAGGGTATCGAAGACATTCCCATTTGGGATTGGAGATTGCTCTTCGACTTCTTCATCTCGTTCCTGTAATTCTGATTCCTCGATCTGGCCTTCTCGCCTACTGCGTTTGTGAGAAGGTCGGGGAGTAGTTTCGTTGTCTTGGGTTTCTTCATCGGTATCCGCTCTAGGCCTTTTGCCAATGGTAACAGGACTCCCAACATTGGGAGAGTCGGATGCAGCAGCACTGGGATTGTGCACAGCCTTTGGATGTAGGTGGGTAGATGTGGGTTCCGGGTCTGAATCAGAACCGGCAGGTTCAGGGGCCCGCTTTTTAGTGGCACGGCGGGGCCGAGGACGAGGACGAGGTGGTTGTTCAAGGGGGACCTCATTATCCGATAATGGATGTTCTTCATCGACCAGCTTTTCCACTTCAGTTTCCTCTCCATCTGTAGATAGACCCACATCCTTCTTCTTCTTCCCCGAGCGAGCTTTACGTACTGAAGCTACAAGATTCAACAAGTTAGCGCTTTAGTCAGATTCCGTACCCAGTTGGACGCCTACGTTTATCTTTCCCCATAGCTGTACCCAGGCGCTTCTCATAAGCTCGTAAGGGTTCCCAAATCTTGGTAGCCCCAGGTTCTACTTTGGCTTGCACCCAAGCTTGATCTAGATGAGCCTTGCTGTAACGACGATGAGCATCCCGCAATGTCAATGCCAACGAAGAAAACCAACATTCTCAATGCGTCCCGGTTTTGCACTGCGGAAACCAGAGGAACAAGACCTTGGAAAAATGATAGCAAAGATTTTAGGTCTTTGCTGTTGGAGCTAGGGCGAGCTCCAATTTGTTTAATAATCCAACTAAGAAGACTGGTGTGGATTTCCACAAGTAGTTGCACATCGAGCCGACGGAGGATGGTCAGTTGGCCGCCTCGAAGAATGAAGCAGGACGATAGCAGCTTGCCCAAGGCAGCAAATTTGGTATCATCGTTAGTTTTCGAATGTCTGTGGACATTGAAGGCCTTCACAGATTGTTTCTACTCAACCCTCTTCACATTGAGAAGCATGATTAATCACTCACCTCCCTCATAGCTTGCGTAACCACAAGCACAATCAACTGACCATGCTCCCCCAATAGCCCCTCGTCTTTCAAGATTTCTATTACTAATTTTGCGCAAGAATCGAAGGCCGGTCCAAGTCTTCCATAATGTGCGAGAAGAACAGCTCCGTGCCGGACCTGAATGACACCAGTGCGCATCGCACGGAGAAAAGTGGAGATGACGTCGATGAATACATACTCTTGCTCGAGGAGAGGGCGTGAAGCGAAATCGACTGTGGGAAGTCATAAAAAAACACATCGATATGAATAAAAAACTTACCTTCGCTATCGTTTTCTCTAGAGTCAGTCTTCTTAGTCGCTTTCTTGTTCTTCTTTGACTGCCCTTCCGCATCTCCTTCACTCTGGCTGTCATCGGTCTGATCATCCTCAGTGTTACTGTCCTCATTGTGACTATGATTCACAGCGTCTGCGTAACGCTCTACCTCTGCCTGGATATACCCTGCACATCTCCACTGTACCTCATCATTCATAGTCATTGTCAAACTAGGAAGGGTATTCTCTGCATCGTTTGGCGGCGCGGATAAGAACAGTACGTATAGGTCGAGAAGGTTTTTGAACGCCTGTTTGCAAGGAAAGGTCTAAGAGCGGGAAATGACCAATATAATTTACGAACCACTCGTTTGACACCTTCAACGATGCCATTACCTTGCACTTGGGTACCGACCGCGTATTCAATCAACTTATCCACATGAGAATCTCGCTGGTTGATTAGTTGTTCCCGATCTTGCACATCTTCCGTAGAAGTGGAAACGCCGGCAATGGAAAGTAGGCGCCGGCTCTTCCACATGATGTATAAAGTCAATAGTTGAAGACTTTGTTCCAGCATCTGAAAAAAACTCATCATCAAAGGAAATAGGCCAGCGAAAAAGAAAATTACCTCGCCTTCACCACCCACACTGAGTCTAGCTCTTTCAGATACTGCACATAAAATATCCCAAGCACTACTGTGTTTACCACCCTCATTGTCTTCCATCCAAGACGACATATCCCGATGCCCAGCCAGAGTTCTTAAGCGGAAGATCACCGAAGTTAAGGCCGAGACCTCATCTTCAGTAAGATGACAAATTTCTATGTCGCGGGTGATTCGAGATGAGGAAGATTCCCCGTTTCCGGTTGGCGAGGAAGTAGGTGGCACAGGACCTGCAACGGCGTCGCGGAGGGAACTTGCAAGCTCGTCTTCTAAGCCTAGGATTTGCTCACTGTTGACATGGGACAATGTAGTGTTGGCAAGTAAATGAGATATGATAGTCTGTGCGGCGGTAGTGATGACGTAGGAGGAGGTATGGGTGAGGAATTGTTTTGAGATGTCGGTCCATAGAGAAAGATAAGCCTATGCAGGACAGTAAGATGGCGATTTGTGCATGTACCAGCTACTCACGTTTGTCTCCCTCATTTCAAGGTAGACTTCAAGATTCATCAATGTCGGCAATGTCAGAACATCGACTATGCGAATTTCATCGGTCTGATACTTGATGAAGAGACGGGGAAGAGCTTTGATGAGGGCTTGGGTAATGGGTTCCCAAGCAGAATCATCCTAATAATGTTCAGCAACAACAAGTTTGCAGTGATCCATCACTTACGTCCTTCCTCGTCCGCCTCAACGAGGCCACCAAAACTTCAAGCAAAGCGCCCTCCTCTGCTTCACTAAGTCTCCACGATTGATCGACTCTGGTGCTGGTTGATGTGCTATCGTCGTCGTCGTCGTCGTCGTCCCCGCTTCCGTCTTGTTGTTCCGCATTCCCGTTCATTTGTTTACCTCTTTTCTTCATGGACGACATCTTACCTGCCTTGCGAGTACTTCGAATTTTGTCAGATGCATCGTTGGGACCTGAGGCACTATGATCCAGTATAAGCATATCCAAAATACCTGCCCAATCTCTCACAACATCCATGTCATCCCAGAGTGCCTCAACAGCCAAACCTAAGCGTCCACGTGTGGTGACATCGCTCGTCTTCCCGGGATGTGTCACCAGAGCTGGAGCAATTCCTCGCGTGTCGCTAGCACCGAGACCTATGCCAATATCGCCCACGTCTGGGTTTTGCTCCTCACTACTACCATCCTCCTCATCCTCCTCCTGCTCTTCCTGGGAAGCTGACTTCTTTCGATGTTCGTGATCGAGCGCACGTCCCCACCGAACGAGCAAACGGGCTAAACCCTTTATCCCGATTTTATCTCGATCAACGTCGCTCGTGCTCGCGTTTCGACCTTTGTTACCGACAGCTCCACCTCTACCTCTACCTCGTCCCCGTCCATTAGAGGCGTGTGGTCTCGAGGGTTGCGCCTCGACCTCCCCCAATTTTTCTTCCACCCATTCCTCCCATACACCACTGACAAATCGACCGACGCCTTTCCTTACACGATTTTCGTCTGAAAACACCAAAGTCCCCAGCCGGTTGCGATCATCTTCAGGAAGTAAGGCTAAAGGCAGCTTGAGCAGGTAGACTTGTGAACGTCTCAAAGAACACCTACCGAGTTCGTCCACAGATCCTAAAACGTTCATGACCGCTACCCTGACTCCTATATCAACATCAAAGCGGGCGATTTCCAACAGTCTTGGAAGGAAACGTGTTGTGAAGTGCCGTAGGGCAGGAATTACCACCGCTTCACCGCCACCCTTCTTTTTTTTGGACCCACTTCCGGCTCCGGCACCTTCATAAACTACCTGCAGAGCTTTTACTGCAGCCAGACGAACAGATGCTGCAGGGTCTGACAATACCCAACCAACATAACGTAGGTAATCGGAGCCGGTACAGAAGTGAGAAGGTAAAGTTTCGAAAAACGTGGAGAGTGATGAGATACATTCTGTACGGATTAGAGGGTCGAGGTCGCGGTATCGGTGGATAAAAACACTAAAATAGATCACCATCAGCGAAGTGGTAGCTGTAGCAATTGACATGATGTTTACCCATTGATAAATTCCTTGATGAACTCCTCGAGCTTTTTCTGCCTCTCTTGAGTTTCGTGCAATTTCGCGTCAAGCTCCTTGTCTTTCCCCTTAGCGCTACTTGTCGTGTTTCCTTTGTTACGAGCCCGTTTCTTTTCACCTTCTTTCATTCTTCCTGTGAGTTCAACCTCCTTCTCGACTTCTTTCGCGACTTGACAGAGCGCGGCTTCAACCTCCAAAGCAATGACTGTCGAAGTGTGTCGTATCGAACGTATTTGAGATGACGACATGGGCACCAGCCAGACCTGTAATAGGATCTCAGCTATTAGATGCAAGTAGCAATATGGACCGATATACCTGAAGCGTCTCGATGAGCTGGTTGTTGTAAATGGAGCCAAACAGGGCAGAAGAATTCATCAAACGCGAAATAAATTCTGAGAGGCTTGCTCTGAAAGAATATTTGGGTTTTGCGACGTGAAACGGTGAAGCTTTAGATATTAACGGATATGTTCCAGCGGGGGAAGTAATCTATAAAATGTGAATGATTGGAGACGCTCTTCGACGACGTGACCGACCTTCTTCAACTCTTCCGCCATATCATCCAGACGGTCAACCACCCCATCGTAATCTACCGCAGTGTCACCGTCAATAGTGTCGTTGCATGCGCAACATCGTAGGATCATGTTGACTAGTTCAGCTAGAGCTTGATTCTCGTCTTGATGAAGAGACTCGAGATAGTCTTCCACAGTTCCTTGAAGAGCGGCATTTGGATTCAAGATGGCGTTGAACAAAGGATTATCGGAAGAAATGTTGGTAACTTTTGTTATGGAGGCTGGATCAAAGGGGGCATTAGGGGCTACGTTGGCGCGTTTCCTGGAGTTTGTGGCGGCGGAATCTTTTGGTACGCGTGGGGCCTTGGGCTTACGCGTCGAAGAAGCTGCTGTTCGCGGTCTTTTGGCTAGCGCGCCTTTCTTTCTCTTTAATGACTTTCGCGGTCGCTCATCTTCATCCATACTACTGTCAGAGCCTTCCATGTTGACTTCGTTCGCATCACTATCATCATCCTGCCCTGGAGGATGATCGCTAGCTCCAACAAGCTCCTCATTGTCCGTATCCGCATGTTTCCTTTTGCGACTTGTGGTAGAAGGTTCGGTAACTGTTTGCGATTTAGTACTGTCAATAATCTCAAAAGCAAATCCATTTGTCACCGGTTGTGATTGGTTTAGCCGGTTTCTTGTCGCGTTGAGAGCGACGTGGTCCGGCAGGGGAAGAGGTTGAACTCATCGTCAACCTAGAAAAACGCGGGACGCGTGCGCCGTGAAGATTCGAAGGAATGTTTGATAAACGTTCGCACGGCCCTTTGTTGACTCATGATCATATGACTCTATCACCGATCAAAAAGTTGAAATGTTGTTGTAGGTTGTTGTTGTTGCTTGTTGTCAATCATGTACCCCGCCCACGCGAAACCTAGCTGTGATAACCTTCCTCTCGACTCGCTCCCAACAGAACTTCTCCATGAAATTGCTGCTTATCTTTCTGTCAAGGATGTACTTTCCTTTTCCCGTGTCTGCAAAGAATTCAATCTACTCAGTCTCGACATCTTATACAAGAAAATTCATAAAGTCAAGTCTCAATGTCTTAATACTATTGCCTACAACTCTCGAACCGCGCGAGCTGTAAAGACCTTTGTGCTACCCACCCAGATCAACAATCAGCCTGATAGGGTATGTACTTGGCTAGGGTCTGGGGATAGCGTGGACGTTTTGTAAGAATCTGTTCATTGCAGCAATTTTGTGCTAAACCTTATGTAGACTACCCGCAGAATCTGCGGCGGATGTCAAGGCTGCCTCAATCTTACCAACTTTATCCAATTTGCAAGATCTTTCTGTTCCCTCGTTCAGTCCCATTTATGTGGAAGCATTATCCCAATGTCATTTTCCAAATTTCCGGGTCCTTTCATACGCCATGCCAATCACACAACCGATCACGACCTTTCTTTCGCGCAGTACGACTCTCGTCAGTCTGACCTTCGATTGCTATCTTCCATTTCACCGCAACCTCGTCCCCCGATCTATCGCTCTTCCGGAATTGCGCTGCTTGTCAGGAAGTCCACAAGTGATCAAACTCTTCGCTGAACATGCGCCCCTCCAGAATGTCCATATCGATTGGAAATACGAACGAGCGAAAATGGGAATACTTGATGAAGCTTTGAGTTTTCTAGCGATTCACTGTTCGTTGACCTTACAAGAACTCGATGTGTACCGTAACACCTTCAGGCAATCTACATGCAATACCCAAATTCTTGTGAAGATTTCTGAAAAACTCCCCGGTATTACAAAACTGGGTTTGAATGATATCGATATATCAAACAGAGTGGGTTTATTTTTTATATCTAACATTGAGGATTTTGACGCTGTAATTCAGCCTATCGTCGACAATGCCTTTTCTCACTTCAAATATCTCGAGTCTTTAAACATGGATCATCACCCTCCCAATGCCATTCGCTCACCCCGACTGTTCAGCTCTGTAGAACCGGACTATAACCAAGACGAAGCTATGATTCTTTCTTGGGCCTCTGATGAGTGTTGCCCCGCTCTTCGAAAATGCCGGCTACCCAGTATGTCATGAATTTTCCTTGTGCGTAGCCTGGCGTAGTTTGTTCCTGATTGTATATTCCGCTCAGATGGTATACAGTGGTCTCTTCACGGACCTAAACTTTGGTTTCCCTTGCTCTCAAGTGTTCCTCAACGCAAAGCCCTTCTGCTCAACGCTTCTAAGTGGTGTAAACGTCGCGCAGTCTGCTAAATTTGAACGAGATACCGTGAAGGCTGATCCATATGATATAACCTCCCATCATGATTCATATCTACGTATATTGTATTCTATCAATTTTACTATACAAAGTCCACTTACTTTTTACTCTTGAAGAACCTAAGGTCAGGAGAAAGAGTGCCATCATAGCCTTTCTCCCTAATCCAGCTCTCCAATGTATAACCAGTGGGATGAACACGACGGATCCAGTCCATGTCTCTCGTCAAAAGATCATCTCCCCATACCCTGAACATCCCAGCAAACGTTTCCCTTATAGTAGGGCCTTTCTCTCCTTTTATAATGGAATGATTCGTGTGAGGGTACCTACCAAGATATTCCTCAACCGACATTCGTTTGCGAATCGCAGGAATTCCTGTCACCCTCGTAAATGTTTCGACGAGTTGGTCCATGGTCATCATCTCCGTCGCGATTTTGAGTTCTTGACCGGAAGTTTCAGAACGGTGGTCGAAGGTGTAACGTACCCACCAGCCGATGTCTTCTACACTAATGGAGGGGACATGCCCATCTCCGACAGGAAGAGCGAACACTACTGCGCCTTTCTCGCGCTCTGCGAGGGGACCAAGGAGCACCTAGTGGGAATGGAAATGTCAGAACATAAGGACATTTCAATTGAACGGACTGGACATACACCCCCAAGATTTTCAATGTATGGTCCAGTCGTTATAATGGACCAAGTCAAGGATTCTCCGCTGGGGCTCGAATCCTGCGACCTCAAGAAATCACTAACAATACCTTTCCCATCTAGATGTACGGTACAATATTTTGGATCGAATCTGCCAAACTATGGATGGAATCGGGTCGAAATTGATTGGTGTCTGACTTCATATTTCGGCGAGACTAACCTTGCTACCGTAATCCAGACCACTCCAGATGAAGTGCCTCATCTGAGGGACGCGGTGTGCTTGTTCGAACATCTTGATAGCAAGGTAGATCTCCTTCTGTTGGCCCACAGAGAACGTGTCCGTGTTCACAAAGACTCCGTAACACCCTTCCAATGCGGCGGCGACGGTTTCTAAGTCTTCGAAGCTGCCTAGTAGAAATACTCAGACTGAGCGGATATATCCATGAGGGTAGCATGAAAGCACGAACCTTGGAATAACTCTGCGCCCAAAGAGGCAAGACCCTTCGCTTGTTCGCTCGTTGGATCTCGTGTAAGCACTCTCACAGAGTAAGGAGAGGGTGTTCCATCATCTTGTCGTGCTAACATAGCAGACACGCATGGCCTTCCTTGAATACCGGTAGCACCGATAATCAGTACTAGTTTCTTCGTAGACATTTTAAGAGGGGACAATGGGACTTTAGACTGGTATGATTCAAACTCGAGAGATATTTTATACCACATCATCGATGCATCGTCACCCAACACCGATAGCTGCTTTCTAATGCATAACTAAGCAATCATACCGAGGAGTATTCATTACGAATGTAATGACGAAACGATATCAGAGGAAGAAGCCATTTTAATTGAGTTTTGAAGCCGTTCTTGCACGTAGAGTCGTACGCAATACGCAGAGATACGCGGAGGTTTAGTCGAAAGCTCCGGCCTGGCTGCAACAAGTGAGTTTGCGATGGCTTTGCACGAGGGAAAGCACCTGAAAACATAATCTCGCAGGCCAAAATTCACGAGGGAAGAAAAAGATAAACATCGCTACATTTCACAAGTACAAGTCATCATTTGTTATCGATTTCGATTATCATTAATATTAATGCGGGGGTTGATTTCGTCAGCATAGGTCAGCATGCGATGTCTTCTCCGAATTACATTGCGTACTCGTCCCACACAAATATCTTTTCCCTTCCCCTAGAAGTCACCGAGCAAATTCTAGTCGAATGTGCCTTCTATGGCCTACCAGAAGCAATAGCGTCCTTTTCTCAGACATGCCGAATGTATTTTGACCTTGTCTATGGGGACACCGACAGCCACCTTTGGAGAGAGATTTACCTTACGACCTTTGATGACCCTAGGCCAAGGTTAAATATACTTAGACGACCAACTGCCTCGGATCCTGCTGAGGGAAGAAACTATGAGTGGATGAATGAATACCAGCTTCGAATTCGCGCTGGAAAACTGGTTCGAGGTACAACAGTGGATGTGAGTATTCCTTTCGTGAATCCTTTGTATGGTTGAGATATCGAAATCGGTAGCCACGTACACTTGCTTCCAGTCTTAATGCGTTGTCGTCTACTGCAATATCTTTACCCCCACAGCTCCCGGACCTTATAGAAAGTCCTCCCACCCGCGATTCCGCTAGTATTGCTTGGTTGAAGCGAGTGTTATCTCAGGGCATCCCGCCAGCGCTGGTCCGCCGTTTGACTTTTAGAAAATCAGATCATGTTTTATCAATCCCTGAACGAAATATCATGCATCCCGGTTGGGAACATTCTTCTGCAGGTCGGGCATTCTACAAGCTTTTCTTCCTCATTGGCCTTGATGCCGTTTCAACCTCGGGGCATGCGGATGAAGAAGAAAGATATAATCTCCGAAGCCGAACGCGAGAGATTGAAGAGTCAACTGCAACGGAAGCGAAACAACGTGCTTTGGCGCGTACTGTTGCCAGACACCGAGTATACAATTTGCCTTACCTCTCGGCGGACCGATGTTGGGGCCCATTCCTACGAGCTCAATCTCCACCTCCACCACCCGATAATGATGATGATGATCACCTTGTATCAGGCATAAGTAGTTCGTTCAAAAACGTTGATGGGAAAGAACAGGAGGAGCCAGAGAATTCGACTGCGATGCTGCCAGTCGAGGGACCGAACCATCGGCACAGGAGAACGTTCGAGTCCTCTACACAAGACCACAACGATAATCTGGTTCAAGGTGAGATTATACACCTTTCTCTGTACTCTATGGAATCTGACTGATATCGTTCATTTTTTTCAGTCGACATGTCTTCCATCCGGGCAATATTAGCCAATTTTGACGAGCATGACCTCCAATTTTTGGACGAAGATGAAGATGCCGACCCGGACTATGTCCCGGGTGTCAACCAATATCATAGTGAATCAGACACAGAAGAACACAGTGAATCTGAATTTGAACAAGATGCCACGTCAGAAATATCCTTTTTCGACGATGACGGAAACGATGGGAATTTCTTCGCTCCCACCTCCGGATCACCCCAAATATTTCCTTCAAGACCTGATCTCGTGTATCCTGATTGGGCTTTTCTTTCTGCTGCGCGTCTAGTCATCACTGAGAATCTGCGTGAGCGATACGGAAGCAATATTCCAATGTGGCCATGGTTTACTACCACGGCTGCAGTCGAAGCAACGAGGGAAATTCTACTACGAATGGGTGTACCGTTGCCTCCGGAATCGAATAATGACGGCGATGGAGACGAAGAAGATGAAGATGAAAACGATAGTAAGGCTGAGACCGGTGGCTGTAACGCTGAAAATGATTCTAGAAGCGGGTTTGAGGCTCTCAGGATGGGCAGCGCTCCTGCTTTTTGGACATGTCGAGGCGCCAAAGAAGGCTGGACGGGAATCAAAGCCGAAGAGCAGGAGCAGGAGCAGGAAATGTCAACACCTTGGAAAAAAGACAAAGATGTCGAATTTGTTGATGGATGGGATTGGGCTGGTGCTGAGGGAAGATGGATGTACGCCCTTTCTTAGAGACAAGGTCTTCATGACGCAATTATTGATTTTTTTTTCATAGGCGTGCAGTTTGTTGGATGGATTATCGAGACTTGTTGTGTATGCCCTTTTTTTTATTTCTTTTATTATGACTAATGATCAATACGACAGTTCACAATGTATGCTATCCCTTAATGCTCCCCCTTGGAACTACAACTGAACGTCCATAAGCTTCAAACGTCATATCCGCGAGCCGCAAATTACCACCATGAAATCGAAGAGACTTGTCGCGTCTTTCCTATGACGCTCCGAGTAGTTGGGTTTTCTCGTGTTCCTGTACCGTTGGCCTTACCCGCATCATCTGGGTCATATCCACCGTCGAAGATTTCTACGAAATCCAAAGAGAAAGGAAAGGAAAAGGCAAATGACCCTGCTTCTCCGGCAAGCACATACGATCCCCTCGTATACGCCCTTCCAATAATCCATGTTGTAGGCGAGTTCCGAGGCTCCGACGTAAACGAAAGTGTTGCACGCCGTGCGCGAGGCACTGTCAGAATGATTGGGGACCGTGCGATCCGGTGGAATTTAGTGTGTTGTTTTCTACTCTAAGTACAGAACAAAATCTCAACACATCTATGACAGATATCCAGCGAGGTGTCTACTCCGGAAAGAGACGAATGGGTGATGGAAGGTGTACAAGTTGGAGATATAGGATCCGCAATGGGAATAGTAGGGATGTGGACAGGTGCAAATCATGAAAGAGGTGACCCAATTGGTTTGTCCAAAATCTTGTACATTTCATGAGCACCACTGATCTCTGTACAGGCCCCAGCTGGGCTTGGAAGATGGAGTAGGTATTTTGAAGTAGTAGATTAAGCTGGATCTATAACCACTTATCTGTATTTTACTTTGTACATATAGTCTGTCTTGTATAAACACGTGAAAGATCATGCCCAAATTATCATGATGCCTGAATTCTTCTTTCTTCCTTCCTTGAACAAACCATCACCATGTTCTGCTGCGACGATCCTCAAGTAACCTGGGATACAGATCCCTGTCTCAGCGTCTGCACTTCTTGTGGTAACGCGATTGAAGACGCATTAGTCGGGCTTGCAAGTACAGATTTCGCGGGTACCCAGGTGGTGGGCCAAAATAGCAAGCAGACCGCGATTCGATCCAAGCATGGACCAACCCGACACATCCTCGACGGGGAGCTGAGCGAGCATAAGGCGAAACGTTATACGGTACGCTGCCACCACTCAAAAGCTATCCTGACAATGACACATAGACATCCAGACCGAAATGCATAAATTCATTGGCTCGTTATGTGTCCAAATGTCAACCCCGAATCTTGATGCTCGTGTCTGTCTGCTATTTGACCAGGGTATGAAAAATGAGAGTACTAAATTTCGTTGGGGCGGACAAGCTAAGGCAGTCTCTGGTGCCTGTCTCGCGCTCGCCCTACGTGAAAGCAACAAACCTGATCGTCTCAAAGAAATCGCTCTACTGCTAGGTCAGAAATATGTGTATCTTCAGCGAACCCTCGCCACGCTTCTGGCATCTATTGACCTCAAATTCCCGTCAACTACGCCTTCGCATCACATTCCCAACTTACTCTCACACCTGTTTCAAGAACTCAAACGACTACCTGAAGAAACTATACTCAACGTGAAATTGTACTCTCAACTCAAACGTTTATCTCTGCAGGCTGTGGCTGACCTCTCTTATGCATTTCTCGAAACCTTTGCTATGACATCAAAGTCAAATTTCATTCAATCTTCCCCGTCCTCCTGTGCAGTTTCTGCGTTTGTTATCTGTCTTGAAGGCGAACTCGGAAAATCGCTCTTCGAAATCAAGGATCTCTATAAATGTTTCAGTCAAGTGTGCCATCTCTCGGCCGGAACCTTGGCCCGACCATACAGAAGCATGCGCCAGGAGGTGTTGAAATGGATGAAGGACCTGAATTGGGTAGAGCAGTATAAGAAGAATGCCACTGGCCGAGCGGATTCTACGCTACGTAATGTGTGTGCTAGAGGTCTCAAGGACGCTCTACGCGAGATAGATCAAATTTGGAGACTCGAACAACGTGCCATTCCAGGCCAACAGCTACTACGATTGTCTATAGACGACGACGCTGATAGCGGAGAGGAGTCTGCAGTTGAAGATCTTCGACTTGACATCGGCGGAGAAAATCTACCTATCCTCAAACCCAAAAGTAAAAAGGTCGATGCTTGCGTATTGGATGGCGCTACGTTCCTTCTGCACCCTTTCGATCACCTTCCCAAGGGGGTGACTGCTCCTACAAAATGTCCTCGCCCCAATTGGTCTCCTGTTCATCAAATACAGACACCTTCTGCTTCTCCGGACTTCCCGCTTAAATCTAGCTCTTGGGAAAACGCACGCTCATCCTCTTCCAAATCCAAGATAGTTTCCGCCAAGTCAAACGTTAGCTCCAAAGATTTTTATCAAGCCCTCAACTCCACTGTTGATCAATTTCCTACCGACCCCAAACCTTGCGATTACATGAACTATTTGCTATCAAGTAACGAGCCCATTTCCGTCATTCGTGCTACAATTCACGAGAAGGCCACACGGATGTCGCTGCAAATCGCTACTCTTGGTGCTGCAGATGAGGAAGCCATCCCTGATGATGAACTTTTGACGAATGAAGAGTGGGATATGTTACAACGAACAGAAGAAGAGCAGGAACAGTTACAGGAGTATTGGGATAACGTACCGGGACTTATGGATAGGATGGAGAAGAATGCGGAAAGAGCAAAGAAAAGGAAATACGAGCACCTCAGTAAAGAAGAAGGCGACCGGTACACGGCCAACGAAGGCGGTGACGACGTTGAGGTGAAGAAGTTCAAACTACTCAGTAATAATGATCTGGGGGTGTCGGACTGGGGGGCTGATTCTTTCGAAGGAGACTTCTTCGAACAATCTCTCGGATTGGGTCTCAGGCTGGATATGAAGAGCATCACGAAATTTTTTTCCAACGATGTAGATTCTGATGAAGATTGTAAGAGTACGTGATAAAAGTACGTGATAAACTGTAGCTGTAGCGGTCAATGCAAGGATCATTATCATACATATTCTTTAACCCCAAGTATTTTCGTCTACCTCTCTTGGTCCGCTATCTGGACCTGATTGAGATCCAACAACCACTCTGCCACTCTCAGTCCTACCATATAATGCTTCATCCCCTGGAGGGAGGATTACGCCACGACGCTTGTAAAAGCGGGAGTATATATATGCTCCGACCAAAGCAAGGGGATGAAGTACAGTGAATAAAATTGCGACGATCTGGATATGGCGTAAATTCCTGCATGGTATAAAGAGAAGAGAAAGCGCTTTACATAGACTGGGCCGGGTTTTGGTCTCAAGACCCAAATGCTGATGCATATCCAGGTGGCGGAGACACACCAAACGATATCGCGTCTGAGAATAACAACAACAAGACCCAGGAGATTTGTCCCAAGAACCACACCAAATCCGGGCCAGGGATGGTCAGCGTAATCCCTCGGTGGACCGGGGGTGGTAGGAGTGTACGTCAAACCAAGATTTATGCTTTGATATTCACGTCAAGTCAGGCTTTGCGAGAAACTTTTGCGGCGACTCACAAGAGAGAAAGCGGAAACATGAGGCCAAATTGAAGGACGAGAAAGAATCGAAGTGGGGCGTGAATGAGTATAGTGTCGAAAGGGCGAGCAGATGAAGGTTGATGATAGATAAGAAGCACGATGTTGGAGTAGAGGAGCGTAAGAAGTAGAATCCCTTGTAACACAGTAGATACGAGAAACCATTGGAAAACCTTGAAAATTTTAGTCTACTCGCTTCGAGGAGATGAACATAGTGTTTACCCAAGCTATTGCCCAAAGGGCCATAACCCAATTCGCAATGACCAAAGAAAAACCTACGCCTTTCGTGATAGTCCGCTGGGAGAGAATTGAGCAATTCGATGAAAGCTTGTCACTCGGCAGAACGTACTTTGGTCTCTGCTTTCCGTGCCAAAACAATGAGGACGCAGTATCCGAGCTGGCCAGCGTAAATAGCGGCAACATAAGTAGCGATTATGATAGGCTTTGGTGATATCGAAGTGGGAAATTGTTTCGAGATTTCACCTGTGACTAAGTTAGTACAACGGGTCAAACTTGACATTATTTTACTCACTAATTGAAGGTGTAACCACGACCGCACAAACGATAACTGTTGCAATGTTGATCAACAGAGACAGCGGGGTCAAGACTTGAAGCCGTATGAGCGAGAGATAGTCTCGCACGGCAGGATGAGATGTGTCAATAGGTAAAGCGTCCATAATGGAAAGAAGGGTGGGTGCTCAAAACGTTGACGTCATTAATTGTTCTTCCGGGATAATTATTAATTCTCACGAAGTCAAAGCGACTTATATGACCTCATATAACCTGCAGGTCGCCGACTAACCGGTAACCGACCACGAAGTCGAAGGAAAAATACACAGTCTTACGATGTAACTTTTAAACTTCAATGCTTCCATTGGCTTCAAGCTTGATTCTTAATCAATTAGAACTTCTCTCGGCAAGTTTCATCTAGTAGTTTCATCTACAGGTGCATTCGATGGTAAAGAGTAATCTCCTTGCCGGCGACACCAAGACGAAGTCATTGTAGCTTCCGATGGACCTAGGTCAGGTCCGTCCTTGTGCTATCACTTTATTCTTCGGTGGCAGAAAGTTGTTGGATGGTTAATTCATTACTGATCCCGGCCACTATGTTCAGCTGCCGTTTGGGAAATCACCGCCGAAAAGTCTACTATTTGGCAACATTGAACGACATCATTACCTCAACTAACATCCTCAATATAAAATTCAAATTCTCATTCTATGAATGGAGCTCAGAAGATATCTCTGTAGTCATTTTTTCGAGCTGGAATTATCCAACTTCTACGATACTGAAGTATGACGTGTGGCGAACGCCGATACCAATCAGAATACCATGTTGGACCCCTCTTGGTGAGACCGGTCTCAAAGTTTGGCTTGTGTGTACTTTATGCAAGACATAGTATATATACCGTACAGCAAAGGGTTGCTAGATGTCTTGCTTACCCTCACTCAGAGGCGCCAATGGATTCCTCAATAACAACGAACCCGCCTAGTGCAGCATACCAGGATAAATCTGACGGCCCTACCTCTTCTCATCTTGAACACCATCAACTGTACGAATCTGACGCTGTAATTGAAGACAATTTGCGGAGCACAAGGCTTGGGCGATACGGGTATTACAGTCCTAACTTCCCATAAACGAACTAACCTCGCCCGCTTCCGATCTTTAGAAATTTTGTGCAGCCCTATGTTGCTGAATTTTCTGGCACGATGTTATTAGTGATTTTCGGGATTGGGGCGAATTGTCAAGTCTCGCTTTCGAACAATCAAAACGTGTCTGCAGCCTCAAAAGGCGTACGTCGTCTCAACTTCTCAACCACTTCTATTTCAATGACTCCGCATACCACACGCAGGGTTATACCTCGGTCGGATTTGGTTTCGCCGTTGGTGAGAGTGCCCAATCTCATTCATCGCCTTGTTATTGACCATTGTTCAATGATAGGCATTAGTCTCGGTGTGTGGGTTAGTGCAAGCAGGTCGGGGGGTCATATTAATCCAGCGGTACGTTGAGACATTAAATTCACAGTCCAACGGTCACAATCCTTATAAAAGGTCACCATCGCCCTTGCCACATTTCGCAAATTTCCTTGGAGAATGGTACCAGGTATTGTATACCTCCATCGCGGTCAATGGTTGGCTAAATCATCACAGGATATATCTTCTCCCAGCTACTAGGTGGATTCATTGGAGCCGCACTTATATACGCCAATTACTACCACGCGATCAACATATTCGAAGGAGGTTCTGGTGTCCGCACCCTTCTAACTGCTGGAAATTTCGGTACCTATCCTGTAAATTCCTTTCGAATTGTTGCATGTGATTACAGCTGACTGTCATTTCAAGCTCGATTATATGACCAATGCGTCTGCTTTCTTCTCTGAATTCCTGGGGACAGCACTTCTAGTATTCATCGTCTTCGCGGCAACAGATCCAAGAAATGCTATCCCGAGTGCAGCTATACCCTTCATACTTTTTACCGTCTTGCTGGGCATTGCTCTATGCTTGGGAATGGAGACAGGTAATATTTATCATTGCACACTGATTGCAGTATATTTCTGAACGGTCAAGCTAGGTTTCGCAGTAAATCCTGCTCGCGACCTTGGTCCTCGTCTGCTCACGTCGATCGTTGGGTATGGTGGTGCAGTATATTCATTCAGACAGTACGTCAAACGCTTGGGTCAGTCCTGTCACTATGGTCGTGCTCACGACTTAACAGCCAATATTGGTTGTGGGGCGGTATCCTGGCGCCGATCTTAGGAGGTGTCACAGGCGCTTGCTTTTACGATATTCTATTCATCGATAGTGGTCGGTTTAGGAATGTGTGAGTTTGTCTCGTTGTGGACCTGCTAGTTGTGCTCATTATTATCATAGATTGGACCGTAAGGAAGCAGCTGTTCGCAGTGGTAATGGTAAATCTGCCGTGTAATAGTATCTGTTGTAGTACGTCGACGCCGCCACTTTCAATTCCTTACTCTTTGTCATGGTATCGGTTATTCTCGGAAATTGTGTTCATAGTTTTGTAGCTAGTTTAGAATAAGTTTTTCGAGTTGGCCCCTACAAAACCAGCCTGATTCACTGAGCATCATTGAATTTACTATGTGTAATATGACGCAGCCAACACGCGACCACGTGACGAGCTGAAACTTATAAAGGAAATTTAGCTTTCACGTGTATGTAAATCATAACTTGTCGAGTCCATACAGGCTACAAAGATGTCTTCATCACGCTCTTCAAGTATTTATTACTATGGTGCTCACCTCCCTGCTTCAAAATCTCCTGCGCAGTACCTTCCTTTTGATGTCCTCAACGAGATTTTCAAGTATCTACCCGACCTACAGCTTGTCAATGAACTTGAAGCCGAAGTCATCTCGCCGAAGACAGGTCCATACATCCTGCGTCCTGAAAAGTATCCATGGTCACTTTCCAGAGTCTGCAGCGCGTGGCGTGCTGCTGCCATTTACGAACCACGTTTATGGAGTCGTGTACATCTTGAAGTAGGTCCACGGCAGCCGTCTCCGGGAAAGGTTCAGCTTCTGCAGTTATACCTTGCCAGAAGTCGAAACTCTAACCTCTCGGTCTCTCTACATTGCACCTGGATTGGGCGAGCGAAAGATAACGCGTTGTTGTCTATACTCTTCACTACCATTGGTCGATGGCAATCCTTATCTCTTCACGCCCTCGTCATATCATTACCGCTGTTCAATGATTTGGGGCCGTTTTCTATGCTAGAGTCTCTCCATCTCTATGTCGCTCATCAAGCCAAGACCCCTCCTTTGGCCAATGTTCATCACATCTTCCGACATGCACCGCGCCTGCATACTATTCGACACCGTCATTCCGACGACCGCTCTATCTTCATGATGCCTCTAGATCAACTCAAAGTATACCAAGGTCCCACTTCCTCAATCCCACCCGAATCAGGCTGTCAATGGATTTCCAATTTGCACTGGTGCGCACTCGCTGCGAATGGGCAACAACCAGGCTGGGATTCTAAGGAAGTACACGCCCCCCATATGCGCGAGTTTTCCATTCAAGAGAGAATTCAGGCACTCAACACCACCGCGATCCTGAATATCTTGACCTTGCCTGTCCTTGAAGTTCTTCGCGTGAAGGCAGCGGGTAGGGACCGTCTTCGTGATTCGATAATTGGCTTACTTGATCGTTCAATGTGCATCCTTACCGAGCTCTGTCTGGATATCCCCGACCTCACTGCGCCAATCATGAACACCATCCTCATCCACACCCCACAACTCGTCAAGCTTCGCATTACGAGTAAAAAGCTTCTCCCGAATTTCGTGGAAGATTGGATATATGATCCAAAGACGCACGCGGACAATCCATGTATCCTTCAACACCTGGAACAACTCGACCTTGGGCGAAGTACCTTCACTCCTGGCGCGGAAATCGCTCTTCTACAAATGGTACAGTCTCGCTGGGAAATTCCAGAGAAGATGACAGTGGAGAAGTACTTTGGTGGACCGGCTGTACACAGCATCGTTCGGCTTCGCTCGATCCAGGTTCCATATAAGTTCCAGAGAACGAAGCGATCGCAAAAGAAAATTTTGAGAGTGTGGAAAGAAGAAGGGCTGGAAATCCAATTTGGTCCTGGGAGCCAGAATCGACTATAACGAACTTTTGTGTCTGCTCACGGTGGATCTCTTCCCTCTTTTCGAGACATATAACCCTTGTATATCCTAGATCTCGCATGTAACTCGAATGTCTCCTCTTGTCTCTCGTATTTATACTGCATATTCGTATCTGTCGTCTTCCTGCGCAATGTTTATTCTGTAATGTCTCCTTACATATACACCATACGACAATATATATATACATGGTACGGTAAATCCAAATGCATCGAAAACTACGTGTAGTAGAAACATGTACTCAATCAGTACTCAGTGAACAAAATGAAGGCGACTGCCAGACCGATCTGATGGGCCCATCCAGGAAAATACGAGCTCCCGACCCGTCGCGTTGTCTGTTCCACCTGCCGAGTAGGCTGTCAGAACGCGGTCGGTGGCTAATTCGTCCAACAGATTCAGGTTTTTGGGTAGCGGCGTCTCCGATGCCGAAGAACAGGACCTCTCGGAAAGTACACGACAACACTGCGAAACAGATTGTTAGACGATCTATAATGGATGATATGACACACACGCACTAGTTTCACCCCGTACCAAGCCCTGATGCTCACACCGGTAGGTATGGACTCATCGGAAGTGTGCCTATCCACAGTATCTATCGCAAGCATGAACATTTTTACAGCAAGGGGAATGTCATCCGCGCTGTAAGCAGTTTCTGCGAATTGTAGGACGTAGAATGGATTTTGAGGTGCTAAGAGCAAAGCATGAGAGAGCGCTTGGGTTGCAAACGTGTATCTAGGAGAAATATCAGAAACAGAGAAGTCAAGAGATTTAGGGAGCGCACTGGTTGCATGAACTATACAATTCTGCCAGCTCTACCCAGCCCTCTACATCGGAGTAAAAGGTATCGAGGTATTCCGAGAGTTTCAGAACAGCTTGCTCAACCTTTCCTGTCCTTATTAGAACTGATATTTGCCGTTTATATATGGCCTGAGGAGACAAACGGGTTAGTGAGCGAGCAGACTGGCAGTCATAACATGAATCACAGCGTTAGATGAGTCTGCTTCAAGGAGCTCCTCGTAAAACTTGAGTACAGTTTCTGGAGGCTGGGTAGCTTCCATGCGAATACCAGTCAATACATCAACTCGTGGCGACTCAGGGAATTTAGCTGCTAATTGCCGTATACATTCCTACGCAGTATCGAATCTTGTCAACGTGAGGAAAGTCAAGAAATGGGTAGTAAGCCAACGTACATCTGCAACGTCGTACTTGGCTACATCTATTGCGGCCAAGGCCAGCTGCTCCAGGAAAGCCCACGCTACCGGCAGCCCAGTCAACTCCTTGAACGCATTATTGCGAAAGCAGGAAACGCGGTACCATCATCACCCAACTTTGACGCTGCGTTGGAGTTTAGTAGTAGCTTGCCTTTCTCAAGGACTTCCTGTGAGGCTCTAGTGTTGTGTGCGCGATAATTCGCGAGGGAATGCAAGGCAGATCCGAATGAAGCTGACATGACGAGGGGGTTAAGGAAAGAGTATGATTAGATAAGCTGGACGACACTAAGAATGCGCATCATCTACTGGGGCCGATATCTTCTACTTTTTCCTGTCTTGACCGTCCTCTACTGGTAATCGGTATCAGCTGCTTTATGATGAACGTTTTGAACAGTATGTGTAGGCTCTTCGCCTTTGTGAGGATACCAAAAACGTTTGAACCTCAACGCCATACCATAGGCTTAGCATCAGGTCCATCAACTTTGGCCGACTTTCTGTCCTCTTCAAAAGAACAGTATCTTCAAGATGCCCGGAACGGGAGCGGTAAGGCCAAAGAATGGACTGTGGTCATGGGAAATGAAGCAGGAGGTATTTCAGCTAATAGTCGTTTGAGGGATGATGCCTGAGTGTTCACGCTATTCGACAGATCTTGATACCATAGCTAGCTCCATTGCCTTTTCCTGGCTAAGAACAAAGGCTTTGAATCAACCGTCGGTATCTCTCTTACGAATGGATTGTGATGATTTGAACTTAAGAGCGGAAAATCTGCACGCGCTTGCCCTCGCGGGCGTATCGCGTCCCAAAGATCAATTGCTCTTCGTCACGGATGTCATCAACTTTCATCCCTTCCCTTCCCATAAATTCGCCCTAGTGGATCATAATCGTCTTTCCTCTGCTTTTACACCTGAAGGGCAACCACTCGTCGTTGCAATTGTTGATCATCACGCCGACGAAAACTTATATGTTGATAGTGCCGAGCCTCGAATCATCACTTCATCTGGAAGTTGTGCCTCACATATTGTGACCTTGCTAAGCAGCCTCACTGTTGAAATTCCTCCGGAATTGGCAACACTCCTGCTTTCTGCCATACTTATCGACACAGATGGTCTTAAACCAGGTGGTAAAGCCGTCGATGTCGACAGGAAAGCAGCAGATTTTTTGCTTCCAAGATCCACTTTTGCGTCTTCCGTGAATATGCTCGAGACTACTGGTGCAGCTCCCTCTGGCCCTGTCTTTAAGCCAGAGTTCATACAAACCTTGTCGGATGAGCTTTCTACAAAGAAAAACGACGTTTCTCATCTCGGACCGCGGGACCTTCTTCGGAGAGACTACAAGGAGTACGAGTTTGTTCTTCCATGGCACGCTGCTGAGCCTCAGATTCGAGCTGGGCTATCCACCGTACCCGTCAAACTAGAAGACTGGGCGGTGGATGGGAAATTAGAGACCGAAGGCGAAGCATGGATGAAGGAAAGAGGGTTGCACATACTCGGGGTGCTGACTGCGTATCGAGGTGCAACCAAAGGGAAACGCAAACGTGAAATGGCATGGATCATTCGTACTGATACCCCACCTACCGATGACTTCGATTTTGAAGCGTTGACGGAACGATTATGGAGCGGATTAGAGGCGGATTCAGTATTGGAGTTGAAGGAGCACAAGAAGTTTGCGCATGGAACACAGGGGTCCATATCTGTTCCCGAACTACGGGTCCGGTGCTATATGCAAAATCCTCATGCAACTAGGAAAGTTACTGCTCCTGTTTTGAAGGCGATCATGGAAGCGGAAACGTAACAATATTTTTGTCGAGTCATTCCAGCAATGTATCCATAACCTACCTCTGACGAAATTGTATTCATTTATTCACTCGAAGAACTCGAAAAAAAAGACACAAGGTCTATTGATAAATTATGAGGATTATGCCGGTCACTATTCCCGCTGTATCAATGCCAACAACCCCAAGATACCCAGTAGTGCGTATTTGAGTTGAGGAAAGTCGTTCTACATTAGGTAAAAATTGAGATAAAAATATAAGGTTGGCAGTAGGCTTACCATTGCAATAGTGACATATCCGACGTAAGGGAGGAACCTATGGAGAGCATTGAACGAAGAAACAGGATGTTGATTCGCTCCAACACTCACCCTCGAACCTTCCCAACAATATGTTTTCGTTCCAGCCAATCTAACCCTTGGTAAAGTTCTATGTCGTCGATATGGTTGTTGTCTCCCTTCGTGAGTATCAGTTGTTCACCAGGCACTTTCAAATCCAACCTACGAAAGCCATCAGGAGGGACTTGCATTACGACGTGGAAGTAGGCCTTACCCGGATATCTTGACTGGGGAGGAAACGTCATGTGTCTCCATGACACGGTGTACAATTGGAATGTCGGCTCCAGGGATTTTGTACACAGTGATGTCTCCTGTGTGATACCGTTCATGCGGAGGGTTTGTCAAGAAGAGCAGGTCGCCTCGATAAAACGCTGGCTCCATAGATCCACTGGAATCACATTCAGTAGGAAAGTAATTTTATTGTGAATACGAACCTCAATACAACAACAATCGGTGACTCTGTGTTAGTTATGAGGCCCAACCCTTTCCAGATCATCAGTCCAGACGCGATAACCGAAGCAAAGTTCAAGACTTGTAAGAGGACCTAGTGATAGCATTATCAGTGCGGTCATGTAACGAATTCCAACAGCAGCGTACATGGCGAAATCCAAGCCTCCGAAATGCCTTTAATTCTTCGGTAAACATGATACGTGGAAGTTATATCTTTGTTTTATGTCAAGGTGATCAGGCGGTTCGTGGGATTAATAAGGACAAGAAAAAAAGCTGCCTCAAGCTTTGAGTCACAGCCTGCACAAGCAAAACGAGGTCGAGGAGTTTGGGATGGAAGAACTTCAAGAAAGTAAAAGTAACGAAGCAAGAAGATGGGGCGGCGCGTCGGGCCGATTTCTTGCCACGACCGCAATAATTATTTTTTATCATCTCTCCCAGCCATGCGAGACTCTGATTTAATTCGGGTCAACGACCTACTTGTAACAGTACTACTTCATTCTGGCTCTCGCTGGCCCTCGAAAGGATCCAAACCTACAGCTCAACCTGTCCACATATCTCTTGCGATCCCTCATGATATCTCAAGCGCTGCGAGATCTGATGATCTCTCCCAGTCGATAAACTACTCTACCTTGGCCTCCGCTCTTCGCACTTGCCTCAGTCCAACCGTCGCTTCACATGAAGAGCCTGCTTTCGAATCCCTGGAGCAGATCCTCTTCCGCTGCTTCGACGTGCTGCTCCTTCATGAAACCACGTCCGCGCCGCGTCTTCCTGGAGCGCAAATCAAAATCGTTCAGCTGAAGCCTCCTTTGCATTGCAAAACGCTAGCTATCGAGGGCGAGACAACCTTTGGATCGAGTGCCTCTTGGAGATTGACTAAGATCAATCACATCATAGAAGACCTAGGGTGTAATCCTATCATTGGCGTCAATCCAGCTGAACGTCTTGAAAGGCAACTCGTCCGTATCAACATCACTGTGGAGAGTTTGAATGCAACATGGGCGCTCAAACATTGGTTAGACTTTCGGGCTCTAACCAGACGACTTTACCAAGTCCGTTTCTGTGCTTGCTAATGCCTTCCTGTCGGTGTTGACATATGGTATAGAAAGTGGAAGAAACTTCGTATTTGACGTTAGAAGCCCTTGCTTCATTTGTTGCAGTTGAAACCCTTCAACACTTGCGGTCACATCTGGATAATATCGCGGACTACAATCCGAAAATCAGGGTTAAAGCTGCTAAGCCTTGTGCTCTAGTCTTTGCTGACTCTTCTGAGGTTGAAATTACTCGGTACTTCAAAGATTATCCAATGGAATTGACTTTAGCGTCAGAGGTACATCTTCCAACACCTGTCATTCCCATTGGAACTCACATCGACGAACATAGGCTTCTAATCTATTCGACTCTTCTTCAAGTGCCATTCATTGCGCCGCAATCGCTTTAGGTTCTAACGTCGGTGATAGTATTCAGAATATCGAAGTCGCCTTGCGGCTTTTGGAAAATCCTTTGTTAGTTGTGGGGGACCGGTCTACTATCTCGCAAAATGCATTTGTTTATATTGTCAACACGAGCTTTCTCTATGAAAGTGCCCCGATGTACGTTACAGACCAACCATCTTTCATTAATTGCGCCTGCATGGTATATCTTTCCCGAATCTCTCCTGCTTAAATGGTTCCTCATTTGGACCAGATAGAAACCAACATACCGCCTGTTAATCTGCTGCAGCTCGTCAAGAAAATCGAGGAGATTGTGGGTAGAAAGCCGTCATTCCGGAATGGACCTCGCGTCATCGACTTAGACATCGTGCTATATGACGAGCTCAACTTTGACACGAGAGCTCTAGAGGAACAACACACACTCGACAACTTGAACGGTCATTTAGTCATTCCTCATCCGAGAATGTCAGAAAGGGTGTTCGTATTGAGGCCACTATATGAGTCAGTAAACGATGCGTTTTTTCAACATCCTTCCGCTTAACGGTTTCTAGCATGATACCAGAATACGTTCACCCATCTCTCCACAAGACCATTTCTACTCTATTGAACGAACTTACTCTCATTTCTGATGACCCTCCCATGGACAAGGTCATTGCGTTCCCTCAGTATCCCCTTCCTCCAAATAATACTTCTCCACTCCCGGGTGTAGATCCAGTTCCTTCGATCCTTACGTACTGGAAATATAGAGCCTCAAGGTCGATAAGGACAGTGCCAGCAACAACCCAGGGCAGAACTCGATTGATGGCGACGTTGAATGTTACTCCCGATTCCTTTTCCGATGGGTCAACCCATAATACCCTTCCGACAGCGCTAGCGTATGTTCACGAAGCAGTTCGGGTGTCAGTGGACATACTGGATATTGGAGGATACTCTACCAGGCCTGGTGCCGCTTTTGTCAGTGTCAAGGAGGAAATCGATCGTGTTGTACCTTTCATTCAAGCAATACGGTCTGCAGACCCTGCCACGACCGAAGACGATGGTGAAGAAAACTGCATGGTCAGGGATATGCCTATCAGCATCGATACCTTCCGATGGGAGGTTGCTGAGAATGCGATCCTGGCCGGAGCAAATTGCATTAACGATGTGTACGCTTTCACAGGTCCGCAAAATTATCCATACCCTGCGTCTGGCGCGGCTAAAGAACAAACGACTGAATACATGCGGCAAATGAAAGACGTTGCTCGAAAGTTCGCTGTTCCTGTCGTCCTGATGCATTCGAGGGGGGACGCTGGGATGAACAAGGATTATTCTGTGTATGATTACAGCGATGATGGGCGTGTACTAGAGGGCGTGCGTGTAGAGCTTGGGGTGAAGGTCGACGAAATAGTCAAAGGTAGAGGGTGTATCAGAAGGTGGAATGTCATTATCGATCCTGGAATTGGTTTCAGCAAGACAGTCGAGGGTAACTTGGAGCTTTTACGCCAAGGCGCTGCCGTGACTGCCGATATACTTATTGGATCAGGTGAGATATATCAGCTTCATACGCTTTCCAAGACTATACTCTATGTCTTGCAGGGTCCAATGAGAAGAAAAGGAATCCACTCGCGGGTTTTCCCCAACTTGTCGGAACTTCAAAGAAGTCTTTTCTTGGGATGATTCTGTCTGACAAGCGAGGAAAATCGACGGAGGCGAAGGACAGAATTTGGGCCACTGCCGGCGCGGTTGCCTGCGCTGTGCAGCAGGGAGCGTTGGTAGTCAGAGTGCATGATACCCATGAAATGTCAGATGTAGTCGCCATTGCAGATGCCCTTTGGCGGTAATATTGAGGAATGAATAGCTACCTCTCAATACTTAGTAGCAGGAGTCTAATTCCCGCATACCTGCTTGAAGGATCTTATCGAGCGAACTATTGAATTTTGTCTGCTTCCGCTCTTCTAGTCATTATATCTTAGTCACCCTGATTCTTAATAGCCTCGAGTTCTTTCACCATTGTCCAGCATTGTCCTCAAATCTGTGTTTGTTTGACTTTCTCTAGGGTCTTATACTGGGTGACTTCCTGTAAGAGCTGCTTCAACAATTTGCTCGCATAACATTCTGAGCAGATTTGATTAACGGGCGGACATCTGGTCCGCGACTCGGCTGAGCAGAAGAAAATCTACAAGAAGGACCTAGAAGGTGAACTTCAAGGTACGAGCGGGAAGGTCGTATAATTTTGCTTACGTCCGTTCGGCTTTGTTCCGGCTTTATTCCGGCACATTCTCTATCATCAACGACATGGCCCATTCCGAAGAAGACGCTCAAGATGAAGGCGTTAGACCCACAAAGCGACGAGCTACCCAGGCGTGCCAAGAATGTCGTAGACGCAAAGTCAAATGTAAGAAGTTCCTCATCCTCTTTTGCAGATTTATCTCAATCTGCTCAGGCGATAATGATGCTACGGGTGGTGCCTGCTCCAATTGCTTGAATATGAAGATAGAGTGCAAGCAAACGATGCAGAAGCAGGTGTGTGATGAGCTTGTGCTATATTATATCTTCTTGAACCTTTATGCTCAGAAACGCGGTCCCAAAGTAGGGTGGGTGTAAAGTTAGGCATTAATGAAATATAGCTCATCTTCCGTAGATCCAGGAGACGGCCCGCCTCCGACGTCAAATACCTTGTATACAAGATTCTTGCAGCTCCGCTGAGCTTCGCGATTCCTGAAGAATTCCAAACTATCCGTGAAATGTTCGTAGATCTTGCAACTTACGCGCGGAAGCTCGAACACGAGCTGGATCGACTACAACCGCCACCATCTGCGTCGTCTGCCTCGGTTCAGGCCGGATCTTCCCCTGTTACTCATTCTAGTACTTCGCCATCAAACCATGATTCTCAATCTGAGGACGAATTCGATGTAGTACAGTCATTATCAGCTCGAATAAACAGGATTGGTTTTGGTAAATTCCGACAGCGACATGTTTCTCCTGCAAGCCAACTGCTTCTACGCGCCGCACTTGATATTAGGGACGAGGTAAACGGGGCTGAAAGTCGTGTAATGTCTAGTCGACAACGAAGACCTGAATTTTGGCATCCTTCTCCTGTAAGTTGTTTGCAAACACTGTCCAGTCTCAGGCGTTGATCTGCTCTAATCACAGTGGCATCAGTGTTATGAACCAGAAGAGCCCAATTATGTTTTTCCTGAAGATGATCTTATGCGAAATCTTGTTTCCCTATATTTCTCAAACGTGCATTACCTATTCCCTCTTCTTCACCAGCCGACATTCGAGAACCACGTTTTTGTCGAGAAATTACATCTCTCCGATTCATGCTTTGCTGCAACCCTTCTCGCGGTGTGCTCAATAGGTTCACGTCATTCTAACGATCCTCGTGTTCTTACCGATGTGAGCCAACTTCGCTCCGCAGGATGGAAATACTTCAAGCAGATTCGTCTGTCTCGCGCCTCTTTTATCCAACCTGTATCTTTATTCGAAGTTCAGCTCTATGCAGTACGTGCCTTCTCAACATTACACATTTCAGACTCATACCTTCAACACTAGCTATCCACCATTTTCATGCAACCAAGCCCCGTTGGGGAGGCTACTTCGTCCCTAGTTGGTATGGGTATCCGGTTTGCTCAGGAGGTCGGTGCACACAAAAGGCATCCGCCTGGTAAAACCCCTCAAGAAAAGGCTGAACGCGAACTCTGGAAGCGTGCATATTGGGTGTTAGTTTCTCTAGACTTTTTCTCGAGCTCTTCCACAGGTCGCCCTAGAGCAACGACGGAGAAAGAGTGCGTATTTTATAAATATTTTGCACATCCTGTGTATGCAGTCTCAATCACATTTGCAGCATTGAACTTGAATTTCTAATAGAATGCGATGACGAATACTGGATGAACGAGTCCGACCCGGAATCATCTTTCATGCAGCCGCCCGAAACGCCGTCATACGTCGAATATTGGAACCATTTCCTCAGGCTTATTTTCCTCTTCGGGGATCTCGTATGTGTTCTCCACTATCTACGATGACATCTATATAGTAAATGTTTTCTGAAAGCACCATATACGTTCGTCAGAGTTCCCCCCACAAGAAACCTTGATGGAGTTGGCCGCTGGGCTCGATCAGTGGATGGACTCTATGCCTAGTCACCGTAAGCCGAAGGCGATGGATTTCACAGAGCAGTTCCCTGAAAATTTCTTCCAGTGCGCTGGGATCCACACAATCCCAACGGAATATTTTTCCAGCAATCTATGATGCTGCAAGGTTCATATTATTGGCTTCAGTGTGCCATCCACCATCCCTTTGTTCGCCCAGGACCAGTATCACCCTTGAATTTTTCATCATTGGCTATATGTACGAATGCCGCACGGTCCTATGTCCACCTCCTCGATAAATATTTACAGCGTCCCGACGCTCTCATGCTTCCGCATATGATAGTAAGTTAGCTTTGTACTGCATCCACTTGATAGGGCTAAAAATTTCTTTTCCGATAGCCGCCAGCCTTCATAAGCTCGGTATTACTCTTGGTCAATATTTGGAAGAGCACATGGATGAATTCCGCAATGGATCCTGAGAAGGATATTGCCCAAGTTTATAGATGTTTGGAAATCATGAGCATGTACGAGGAGAGATACGAGATGCCAGGTCGCTTCCGGTGCGCACCTCACATTGGGTGGTTTTCTAATCCTGAACTGTCCGATGCAACACAGAGATGTGCTGCAGGCAATTATTTCGGCGAGTAGAATACCATCGCTATCCCGTCAACAATACTCCTTGAAACGGACCAGAGGGGGTGATCTGCAAGGAATTATGCTCGATGCGGGTCATATCATACATGTGCCATCCGTTGTACATCCGGAGTTCCCACCTGAGCCTCTTTCCGCTTTCAATGCGGTTCCAAACGCTCCCTTTGAGCCTGCAGATCGAGCAAACCATGAATCAATCATGCCGCTGTCGAATTACGAGTACGTCGTTTTTTCTTGTCTACCGACGCGTTTCTCAAAGGTGTCGCATCAGTCAAGACGATTGGAATAATTTCATGATGATGGTTGATGACCTGCTTCAGACTGCGAACCCTGTCTTTTAAATTTCTCATGAGCACGTTCTGAGTATTAGTTTGAGTCTTTTCTAACTATAATGATATACTTATAATAATCTCGAATCTATTATTGTATTTGCCCTCAACCATTCAGGGGGTACAACATGCTTACTCCTCATGCGTATAAGAATATTGAACAACCCAGGAAGAACCCGCGTCACCAGCGGCGTGGCACCGCTCGACGTGAGGTGGCTGAGTCAGATTATAGGCGCTAATAGAGCCGGTCAATGCCGGTAGCGCGTGAGAATAGTTGGTAAGAACTGTACAGATGCGTTGTATGTGTCAGTTTTCGTCACTGGCTATTTCTCTTCATCGTCAAGAATATGGGCAAAGGTTAGCGATCTGGCTCTTTGCTTGTACATCTCATTGACCTAGCTGTTCCATCTAGTCCACGGATCCCTTGCGCGTGCAGGGAAAGTTAAATCTCAAACCCCGAAAGTCGAAGCACAGGAGAAGAAAAAGACCCCCAAAGGCCGTGCCAAAAAGAGGATAATTTATAACAGACGGTGTGTGATAAACCCTTCCAGTAACTGCTTTCAATCTCATGCAGCTTCTCCCTAGTTTCGTCAACGTGACCACTCTTCCAGGAGGCAAGCGTCGGATGTGAGTGCTTTGTACATATTTTATCTGTTTTCCCCGGCTCTCTCCATTCTCCCATTCCTCTCCATTCTCCCATTCCTCCCCATTCTTCCCCATTCTTCCCCATCCATCCCCATTCATCCCCACCCAGTTTTTCTATGATGATACACGACTCAAGCATAGTTCACACTGAAACGATCATGTTGACAAAAATGCATCTAACGTCTTTCGCTCCTATCTGACCCTTTGTTTTTGGATTTCGTCCGTACGGATTGTTTGTTTAAATACTGACTTTTTATCTTTAGGAATGCCAACCCAGAAGCCAAGTAGAGATCTCTGTATTCCTGTTCCGTACACTATGCATATATCATGACATGCTCCTTCCATAACCTGCATGCTCTCATCTTCCATGTTTCCGATCCCAGATCATCCAAACGCCTGGTCGTTCTAAGGCTTTCAAGATCAACTATAATAGCTAATTTCACTGAGCTGCATTGGCCACTGCTATGCATTGGTTTCATTCTTTCAGGATCTATGTTTATTCCTGGGTTAACTTCATGCATTAATATTGTTGGGTCGAAGTACTATTGTAACTACAAGACTTTCAACTTGGAATCACCTTGCTTCAGTTGATCCTTTGTCACCCATATTTACGCTGCGAAGATTGTGGTTGCGTCAAAGTTGCGTGTTGATTCCGCCAATTCCCCGGGCCTTTGTTCACCAACGCTTCTAATCTCCACCTTATCCCAGTACAAGATATGAGCTACGCTCCTCTATACCTAGGATCTTTACAGTTGATGCTCTCCCATTATGTAGATATGAAAAACTACATCTTATTGATGCACAGTTGATGCATCTGCGCGATGGTCAAACCAGGTACACATTCATTACGCACTTGCAGCAGTCGAATGATCATAGTTTCGTTCCCAATCAAGTATACAGCCAACACAAACATTGAAACCAGTGGTCCCGTTACATTTATTGCTGAATCACGGCCTCATATCAAGTACTCAACTCATCTGTCATTGCGCTTTCCGAGACTGTTTCGTAGGTTAATTCAAGCAGAAGGCGACCCGCGTCTAAATCACATGGACCGACAGTCAAACGGGACCTCGAATTCGTGGTGAAGATTTCAAAATCCTAAATGACTTTCTTCGACTCCTGTGTAGTTCTTCTTCTCTCATATGCGCGGCTCAAACAGTATCCATGGCTTTGCGTATCTGTACGTGAAAGCTCAGGAGGTCGAAGAAAGGAAGTGTATTGCAACTCCTGTCCACGAACGCCGGGTTGATGCAATTCTCGAAAGAGTTCGGACGAGCTTGCTCTGACAGTCCGTGTGTCAAGGTCATTTCAGGTCCTAAGTAGTGGTGGCAATGCTACCCATATATATCTTCCTTTGAGTAATCCCAGCCATCCCGTTTATCTATAAAAGCATCTCCGTCCATGCACAGTCAGTCATTAGAACTCGCCGGACGAGTACTCTGCCTGTCAAGAACGGTTTGGCAATCATGCGTGTAGCTCTCCTATTGGCCTCTCTATTCGCAAATTCCTTCGCAGCGCCCATCCCCCGTGCCGAGAGGCCCTTGCTTCGTCGCACTGTGAACGCGAAGCGCGGTATTGCATTTTCGGATACGACGACTTCCGACCTCAGCAATGCGGCCAATACAGCGATTTCCTGGGAATATAATTGGGCCGTCACTCCTCCAACAAATTTACCGTCAGGAATAGAGCACGTTCCTATGCAGTGGGGACAGGCTAACATTGAAGCTTTCGAGAACACCGTCAAGGAAGCTGGTGCCAAATATGTGTTGGCAAGTTGCACAAATAATTCTTGTGGGTTCTATTTAACACCCTCTTTTCGGACAGGGATTCAATGAGCCTGAGCAACCGAGTCAATCTAATATCAACGCAACGGCTGCTGCATCGCTCTGGCAGAAATACATGAATCCACTCAGTGCTTCTGGCATCAAAATCGGTGCTCCTGCTGTATCATCTGCTCCCGAAGGAAAAACCTGGCTCGATGATTTTTTTTCTGCGTGCGACAAGAAGTGCAAAATCGATTTTCTTCCCCTTCATTGGTAACCGTCGTCTCTTCATTATTTATTACTGCTCGTTTCATGCCCGTTTTCCGAACCACATTTGCAGGTATGGCCAGGGCTCGCAGTATTTCTTGGGATATTTGTCGGACATGCATACAGCTTTTCCTGAATACAATCTGTGGGTGACGGAGTTTGCAGATACTACAATGAATAACGAAGCCAGTAGGCATACAATCTTTCATTGAACTTCATGAGAAATGACTGATTGTGCTTCACATAATCAGCTGTAAAAACCTTCCTCACGGATTCAATACAGAAAATGGATGCGTTGACATACGTTGAGCGCTACTCCTGGTTCGATTATTCGGTAAATTTCTGTCGTCGTAGTTGCAAGCAACGCAGTTCTAATTTTGCTCTCAGCGGTCGACGACCAATATGCAAAGCAGTCAGTCTTTTTTTGACTTGCCGTTGCTTCCTACTCACTATCAATAGATCTACTCGACGACAACGGGGCATTGAATGATCTAGGGAAAGCGTATATTCAATGAGGATTTAGAAGAGGAAAACACATACTTACGCATATGGCAAGTCTAAGAATGATCTAAAGGTGTTTTTTTAATTCTATTAAACGTGTAACACGATACGAAAGGAATCTTCCACTCCAGACGCAATGCAGCAAATGCCATAGGATAAAGAGCGTTAGATGTGGTACACACAAAGTCAAACAATAAGCAGAACACGTTGCGCATGCGCAATGCGAGAAAAGTTGCGATTTACGGTTCTTCAGGATAGCAATCACGAATAGTAAGGATCATCCCATGCCCCTATCAGGATGCAACTTTGTAAGTACGACAACAGAAAACTGGCGTAAGAAACATGGGCCCACCTTCCGTGATGGACTTCCAACCGAGGAAAAGGATGACAACAGTAATCGTTTCAAATATTGTGGCAAGGAATGAACCATCTAATTTGCTCCCTGAACCGTTGCATATCACCTTTCCAAGTAGGAACCAAGCCAACTGACTAAAAACAAAAACGATCCCAGCTAGGATATAATATAGAGCTGGACGAACTTCTTTGAGCATACTAAGGATGATGTAGAGCATGACACCAAGGTATATTATTGCAGCACTGGTATAGAGCATGATTAAGTGTAAGAAATGAGAGAAATGAGGGAAAATGCACTTACAGAGCGGGCCAGAGACTCGTCATTACAAAAAGTGGAACGCTCCTTAACTCAGTGGGATTCGATGATGGTCCTAAGGTTTGAGTTATCCCGAGCGCAACGTCCAACGCTATATACAGAGTACCGCCGAATATCAGAAAACAAAGGATGAAAAAGGGCTGATGGAGCAGATGAGATATTGAATTAGAGCAGTGAATAGAGCACACACCGCTAAAGACGCCATTGTTCCATCTTCGACAATTTGGGTTGACACGAGTGCATTGGCTAGCAATGCCCAAAAAAGAGTTGCGACAAGAGCGGCATGAATCGCAGTGAGGACCACTAGCACAGTAGAACCTTGTTGAAGTAGAGAGCCATTGGTAATAAGTTGGAAAGGAAGTGTGATGAAGTACACAATAAGCATATTCCTTAATTCAACGCGACCTATTCGACGATGAGCGGGGATTGATAACATTGCAATTACTGCGTACCGACGGCAGCTTTTCTCTTCTCAGTAAGGAAAATTAATCCAATCACTACGATCATGCTCAGAGCACAGACGACGATGTTGCCGATATTCCCAAGACTCCCGCCATTGCCTACCCTAGGTATTCCACATGAAGGGTTCACTCCTACCGGTGCGCTGCTCGAGTTGGAGGAAACTCCTGTTAAGAGACTCGAAAGATTGGAACTTTCTAAAAGTTGCCGATAAAATAGATTACACCTACATACAAAGTGTGGGGTTATTGGGTCAATGTCGAAGTTGTGACAGTGGTGCAATCAATACTCTACATACCAGGTGTACGAAGGAGTGTTGGTACAGATGTCACCGAAGTCGCCAAAGTAAGACATTTTGGTGCACGAAAGTTGCTGCTGCAGCCTGCTGCCCAGTCTGATCAGAGCCGAGATCTGTGAGCTCGTCGTCAAGGTTAAAGTAATTATGTATAAGAAAATAATTAAGTTCATTTCCGTTAACGGCTCACCAACACGTGCAAGTCATGCGACCCGCTAGTCCCAGAGTCGCGCTGATGTCGCGTTTTCTTGACAAGTCGTTCCTCTCATGTACACAGGATGATGTTGGGCCGATTTCTTGTGTCCATTATGTCTACGAAGCGTTCATGCTTTTCAAACTAAGGTTGACATATACTATTGTGGCTAAATACCTTTAATATGAGGAAGTGTCACAGCTCTCATCTACCAAGAGTCGAGTTCAAACAAGTAAATTCACAAAGCAAATTTTGTCCTGCTCCAATCGGCGTGTCTTCAACTTGAGCATCAATGATAACCGGAATCGATACCAGTAATCAACAGTTCATCACTGAATATTTGCAGGCCCGTCTTCGACCATTTCTTGGTTTCGCCATCGTCATACCCTCAGCAGCTGCAATGACAATGCTGTCATCGGCCCCTCCCTGTCTATAGAACGCAACTGGCGACGCTTCTTCACTGCAAACCTATGGACGTGCCGAGACGGTCACCCAGATTGCCCTTTTCTCGAATCAAATTACAGTCATTCCACCGGGTGGTAGCTTCAGCTCTTCTACCTACCTTCATCGCCCGACTGCCAAGTCGTTGACACAGAGATGGTAGCCCAAATGTCACTCGAAGGTCCACGTGGGCCGTCGTCCGACGCGAACCTCCGAGTCGAATCCTACAAGTTCATTTATCCTCCCTATTTTTGCTCTCTATTTCTCTTTGCTTCCTTTATTACAATATTTGATCTGTGGAGGCCGAAGGTCTTCCCCTTCCCCATCCCGCTTGATCCTCTAAACTACCCGTACCAGCTATCATCCTCAGCAATCAAATGTCTGTCCAATATGTATCGACTTGTCGAGCTACAATATAAAGCATAATCCCATTCTGTTCTCTGGATACAATCCACGTCAATTCTTCCAAGATACCTCCTTGTTCTGAAACCTGGTGAATATTCGTTGCTCACTTCAGGCCCACACGTTGATTTTCGAGCCACGACGATACGGTCGCTACTACGTCCGTCTCCGAACGCCTGAAGGCACTGACTGTAGACCTCCAAGAAGAATCTATGCGATTTTGATGCACATATAAAAAGGCTCAGGAAGGATTTGATAAGGCTCAGGGAAGCTTTGGAATCGTACTTGAACTTCGAAGTTGAAGTTCAATGAGTTAGGAGCAGCTCGGAAGGTAGATGATTGACCCGGAACACAAGATACAATAGTTTGCGGGAAGCAAAACGAATGGAATATCTGATGATTGGAGGTAATTCAATTTTAGACGATGTAACCACAGGTTTCGCGGGAAGCCGGGGAAGGTATGCCCTGGTATGCCGTGGCTGAAGTCTGCCTATGTAAGTACATACATAGGAAGACTACGGGGAAGACTACAGGGAAAAATACAGGGAAGGCCAGTCCAGACTTTAAAGCCATTTTGAGTCAAAAACGCGGGTCGTCTAGACTAGGTATGAATTACTCGATAAATTTGTGTATACATATGTACATAATGAGCTATAATGTGCTTCAAAACTATGTAGCAGTATGTAGCACATTAATATTTCATGTATGTCCCGACATTACATAGGAAAGCAGAAAAAGATGAGTGGTGTATGTGCTGGTGCCTAGTCATTACTCGAGCGCTGCGTTCTGACTTCGGTCCCTACTCCCGCATGTACATAGCCTTTGACTTCCCTAAGCGCACTTCTTGAGCTTCCGCTGTAATTGTGCTAACGTCGAAATTTGAATCTTGAAGTCCTCGGATTCACTACTTTTGTTCCTCACTTTTTTAAATAGGAGCGCTCATAAATCTATATGAGTCTATGTAAGGTCAACCGAGCGCTGTCGCTTATTGACCTCTAAGTATGCACGAGTGCACGACGTTAGCAAATTCTTGACTGCATATGTTTACATAGTATGTAGCCAGTGCTGGTTAGTTTTCATGGACCGATCGCCAAAGCTATTCACACACCTCGGAAAAAGACTTCTCTCACTGACAATTTCCGGAATGCTGCAAAATTAAATGTCAAAGACACGAGAGATCGAAGTTTGGCCTCAAATGGATTCTGAAGGTTGACGGGTAAGTTCATGTAAGATTTGTAACCATACCGTTCGTTGTACATAGGCCTTATCTGAGTGGATCCTGAGGGATTTTGAGGACATCACGCTGCCGGGAGGATCAGGAAATCAATCACCCATAAAACCCTTCAAATATCATTCTTATTTCCTCGTCGCAATACTAATTCCATGGAGGTTTAAATTTGATTGAGTAGATTGATAGAACGCAATTGATATTTCATAAATTTTCGATACGCACCGTGACTTACCATGACAGACCATGACTAACTTACTAATGCACTATTGAGTATGAAATAACATCAGGAATTGGTTTTGAGTGCATGATGAGGGCCTACAAGGCTACAACAGAACAGATGGAGCAATCAAGCTTCAGAAACGGGGCTGACGGTATCAGGTCGATCCACAGATCAGCTTTGGCAAGAACAATAAGAAGCACAATTTAATGGAATCCCAAATGGTTTCTTACTCAATCTGTAGATTTGACACAAATTATCGCAGCATCGCGAAAAAAGAGCCGGATAAATAATGGCAAATCATTTTGGCTGGAACCGGGAGGCTCTGGCTCTGGAACAGCAACGGGAAGGTGTTGAAAGAGTGAGAGTGAGATTATTGATGGATACCGAATTGTCGGCAGGCAAACTTCAACTGATCGAAATTTGGACACGGCCACTACTTACCAGCATCTGATCAGTCTCTTCAGGTCTCTTCCTGCTTTTTTTCTTTGATCAATTCCATTGCTCTGTACATCAGACCTTTAATTACACAAGAACATTGGCAATCTCGCCGAGTGTCGTGACCGAGTCACATAGTCAGGAACAGTCAGTACGAAAAGAGGACTAGCATTCAATTGGTCTACGAATTACCCGAACACTAGCTTCTTCCATTACCACCATCTATCATGGATTCAGATATCCAGCAAGGCCCCTCAACGACACCTGCAACGGCAGCAGTGGCCCCGTAAGTCGACTCTCCTTTGAAGTTTATCGTCTAACCACCTTGCAGCCAAATCCGTTCCCGTATTACTGTTGTTTGCGCTGAGGCATGTAGATTGCCAAAGCTAACGCTACCTACTCTGATAAATACTCATAGTGCAAACGCTTAAAACTTAAATGTGACCGAAGGAATCCCTGTGGAAGCTGCCAGAAACGCGATACGGTTTCGCGGTGTATATATTCACCTGCAGCGGCAGAAAAAGTGTACGTTTCGCTACTCGCTCGAGCCTAGTTCTCCGCTAACATCATTTGTAGAGACTTACACTCGCTCAACAACCGACTTATCCAAGTTGAAGCCACTTTGGCCCAGCTTACTTCCGGCCAATTCACGCCATCATATCCCTTCTCGGCTCCATCCTCCTCAAATGGCCCTCCCCCGCCTTCATCATCTCTCAATACTATTCTCAGTCCACCTACAATACAACACTCCTCGCTTGCAATCCCACTCGAAGAAATAGGTGGTACTTGGCTCAATGAAATCGACCTAGGTTTCAACCTACCCGCTGGATTTACTGCTCCGCCCAAGGAAGGCACTTTTTCAAACGTTAAAGTTGAGCCCCATTCCTTAGACATCCATAATTCGCTTTCTGGCGAGTTTGGTGACTTTGACATGACAGACAGACCAAGCACGTCATCTTCATCCTCCTCATCTGTCAATCAAACTACAATAGCATCTCCCAACCTTGCATCACTTTCAATTTCCTCTTCTAATGGCCATGTTCAGCTTCCACCCACCAGTGAATACTATCCCTCCTCGCCATCTTTCCCATCCACATCGAACAAACCACAACTAACTCCTGCACTGATTGCCTTACTCCCATCCTTGAACACATATACTTCCAACCGGCAGTCCTCTCAACAAACTACGCTACTTTCTTACCTTGACCTTGCGGAGGAGTCCTCAGCATACACTTACCCTTTCTTGAATTGGAAGACGCTCCGGGAACGCGCATTGGAATTGTTAATGAATGCTAGGCCTAATGCGTCTTCTCCTGCCGCCAATGCAAGGGATAAAGAAATGGCTCGGGAGAAGGAAAGGGAAAAGGAACGAGATAAGAAGGAAAGAGAGGCTAAACAAGCAAGGCAATTGTTCATGGGATCTGCCGCCTCCAGAACGCGGCCAATTTTCGGCACCAGTGCCTCTAGTATCGGAGATGTCACCATGGAAGACATGCATCTGCAATCATCTCGGTCTCCTTACCTTGGAGCATCAGAGGACCAGAGTGACCGACCTTCAACATCAAGGATAGTCGAGGGTGTACCTTTCTTTGCTGTCCTCTGTGTAGCGATTGCGCTGGGGGCACATGAAGCAGAGAGACGAACCCCTAAGGCACCTGGAGGAGACGATAACAAAAAAGGAGGTGGTAGGCCCCGAAGTAAATCAAACTCGTCACCGGAATCTGTGTATTGGTACTCTCTTAGTGTTCAAGCTATTGGTATATGGGAAGCGGCTGTTGCTGTCACACCGGTTTCCAACGAAAATTCTTCCACCCAAGTGGAATCCCAAGACGGTGATCAGAAGAGGCAAACAACGGAGGATCAACAGCACGAGATGGACTATATAAGCGCATGCTTACTGCAATTGGCTTTCCTCTCAAAAGAAGGTTTGAATGTTAGTGGGACAGTGGTTGATAATAGTAAAACTTCAGAAAAAACTAAGGACAATCTGAGAAAGAGAAGTCCTGGTCTTGCCAAGGATTCATCGAAAATGCAAAGCTCAAAAGGAGTTGCTGCTTTCATGTTTCCACTTGTGAGTCGTATGATCGTGAAATCGAACCTTCATTAGGCTAACGAGGTCACTGTTAGGTCGGCAAAATTGTCAATTACGCCAGACAGATGTCCCTCAATAGGGATCCTGAAGATATGGGAATTCCTGCGCAGGCTTTTGAATCTGGATTATCCACATCACCTAGCACCGCTAGCTCTAGCGCCAACGGTTCTAACGGCCTTCCCTCAGTAGCGAAGAAAGCTAGGAGTAACAGCAAGCTCAGCGACCCATCTGTATTGGCCAACCTATCGGCTTCAAGGGCCGCAAGGGAATCACGATTTTCACTATATGAAGTAGAAATCAGACGTCGGGTTTGGTGGACGATAATGTACTACGATCTGTAGGTCAATGCCATACCCTCGAATTTGCCGATACTAAGCCTCCTCATTAGGTTCGTATCAGACATAATGAACCAACCACCTCTTATTGCCGACAATTCCTTCAACACTAAGCGCCCTGTGGCAAATGTGGACGAAAAAGCTTTTGGGCCTACGTCAATTCGAATCCCTCCACCAGCTGACGGCGGTGAAGATGGAACTGGGTACAGTAAGGATAGTATGAGATATTTTGAAATTCGATCTCGGTGAGTTCTAGGTTAACTCAACTTATTTCAATCTCAATCCGGTGTTTATGTTAAAGGCTTACACTGTTAGTGCGAAATATCAAACGACGAATGAATACACCGGAGTTTGGCCATGCTCAGCAAGTCCGGACGTCCTACTATGGGACTTCCCCGCACAGTCATTGCTATTCTATAGACCAAGCGGCTTCTATGGAGGCTGAAGTTCGCGCCTGGTTGAATGATCTTCCATGGTACTACCAAGTCGAAGGAGATACCCTTCAGGACCGCGGTGACAATGCTTCGGAACCGACACTGATTGCTCAACGCTGCGAGGTGGCAATGACTGCGCATCGATTGGTGCTGAGAGTGTATTTACCGTTCCTAAAGAAACATGCAGCAGGCGTACCACACCAGGCCAGTTTGGGCAGTATCAATGCTGCACATGGTATTTTGAAAGCCGCGAAAGTACTATCGGAACTATGGAAATTGCAAGGTCGATTGGTTCCATCATCCCTTTCTCCTGCCCTCCTCGACTTTTATCCCTTTTCGAGATGCGTTTTCGACGCTGCAGTCGTGTGTGCTCATGCTGTAATCAAACAACCTTCCACGATGTGGGCGGCAGCGGCTATGGAAGATGTTGATGTCGCGCTGGATATTATGAAGGGAACATCTGTGTCCAAATTTGGCTCTGCTGTCGGTGCTACATACGTTGTCAACTTCTCCGATTCTATCCGAATCGTGGAGGCGCTCAAACTTATTGCTGAAGGTGGGGAAGGTTTACGTATAGGCGACAGTCCGAACGTACCTTCTAAACGTAAGTATCACGAAGTTGATGAAGTTCATAATTCTCCTCCTCCTCCCGTTCCTGCCTATGTTTATCCTACCGTCCCGGCGGCCATCATATCACCCTCTGCTCAAGAGTTCGCACCCACTTCGATGGTTTCCCATTCTGCACCACCACCACCACCCTCATCTATCGGGAAACCGCTCAAGCGCCAATTGCCTTTTCCTGTAGTCACCGGGGGCGATAGGGCCCGAAACGAATCGAGTGTGACCACATCACCAAAAGGGAACGACAAAGACAAAAAAGCGAAGAAACCCTACCCAGTTGTCGGCGTGCGGAAAAGACCGCTCAAAGATGGCTCATCTTTTGCTCAGAGTAGCGTGGCGCAGTCTCCCACCACAATCTCAAACACTTCTACGCCAGCTCCAGGAAGTAGGCGGCAGTCGGTCAGTACGCCTATCATAGAGAAGCCAGCAACTTCATCCACTCGGACGATGTACCAGAACACACACCAGCAATCCCCTGTTACTTCTCATCCTCCGCCGTTCCAATCGCCTAACATACCACAGCTTCAAGCGGCTGCAGCGCAGGAGCAGTTTGCCTATCGTTCTCGATCTTCTTCGCTTTCACAGGATCCTCGCCTGCATGTGCAGAGGCCGAGACGAGACTCAACCCTGTCCACATCCACTGATTACCCTATGGGGGCTCATAACGCGCCTGAGGACCAACGCGTGGATATGTCGGTCTCTTCCGCTTCTCCACAAGACGCAACTACCCCAGAAATGCATATAGGTTCATCTATGTCATCTCGCCAACACGCCCTGCCGCAGCCTTATGTTGAGTCTCCGACATCTTATGACCCGCCTACGGCTCAATTTGAATTTCCTTTCAATCACCAATCAGCTGCTGTTGAGGCGTTCAATACTACTGGGAATAATTCGTTCGATACTCGCCCGGATACTTATCCATCCTCAGCGTCTAGTCCATATGGTACCGCAGGCGCCACTAACGGAGCGATGTCTGTCTCTGATTCCTCATATACAAATACCAATGGTATACCAGTGTTTAGTCCACAAGGGCATCAGCCTAGCACTTCCTTTTCCCAGAAAGGCAGCGTTCCCAATCCCCGACAATCCCAGGGGTATTACACCGCTACAGGCATGTACGAAGGTTACAGTAATCCTACAAGCGAGAATCAGGCTGGAATACTACACGAGGACATGATTCAATCAGTCATTCCCGGAGCTATGGATACAATGATGTTCGATCAGGTCTCGTATGACGTTAAGCCTTCGATGGAAGAGTTGAACGAGCAGCACCGGCAGCACACGTACCAAGCATACAATTCGGATACCCGCCCTCAATCACAGCTGCACCATGCCGTTCCTTCGTCCCAGGTCTGGCCTCAACAAGGACATGCACCAGACAGCGCGGCCCCATATTGGGGAGATCCCAACATTCCGACCGACAATCAAGTCTTCTATTCATGATTTAGATTGAGCTTCATTCTCTACTTCCTTTTTCTTTCTTTCGCCTTGTCGCTGTATCTCTTCTCTGTGTTTTCCCCTTAGATCCGGCTCATCTCTACTATTTTTCTTTATCTTCTCGGATGCGATTGCCCAACGTATAAAGTATCATCTTTTGAAACTGTATCTCTACCAATGCGACACTTCGGATTAGGAATTTGTGCACTTTTCTTCATGCCTTTATGACGTTTCAGACCTTCTGTTGTCCTGACTCCTTGCCCGTATGGAACACCTCTTTACATCACGCTTTACAATACCCGCAATACCCTATGTATGCACTAAGCACTTCGTCACAGTTTGTCAATCGAAAGGAAGTTGGCGCCTGCAACATTTGAGTTTCGGCGCTTAGGTGTGCCTCTAGTGTCAGTGAAGGTCAGTGATCATGAGAAGCTTGAAGACTTTTTCTTCGGTCTGATATGTTCCAGACCCTGCTAGCTCAATGTGCTGACGTGGACCCGACGAAGCAACAATCACCCACTCAACACCACATCGGTGCTTCTCAATATTCGATACATAGCAGTCACTTGGTAAAATTTGAACAGCATTCACTAAATCTTCTTACTTTTTGCAGCTTTTTCAAGAACGCTCATCATGAGGAGACAGTGAGCGGAGGTATGGCGCTGTCGCTGGTACGACACCAAACGCTCTGTAGAAAAAATCTCCCCATTTATGGAATTATGCAAAGGGAAGTAGTGTCTAGCAGCGACCCGTACATCGAATCCGTGCAGCAAAAAAGAGCTCAGCAAGCGCCGGAAAGTTTAGCCAATCAAATTCGTCAAACCAGGTCAAACCAAACTCAGCCGCCTTTTTATTGACGTGAACTTCGTACATGTACAAGACGGCTAGCCAGTGGCCACCGGCCATGAATGCGAGTGTCACGCTGCCACATGGCAGTGTACACCCAGGTGGGGCATCATCAAGACCATCGATTTCTCAAGTTTCCCATCGCGTAGAGCCCAAACTCCTGTATGGCTCCCCATTTTCATGATTGGCTCGTGGTGCGCCGCGCACCACTGTCCTTGCATTCCAATCGTCAATTTGAATGCGACTGCTTCAGGGTTTTAATCCATCCACAAATTTCTAATCGGCAATCTGGATGCGACTGCTTCAGGCCACAAGTTTTAATCTCCTGCCTAATATGAACTATGTAATTAAACGATGCAGCAACCACAATGATTCATGTGTCTTGTGTGAGGGGCTCTGATGTTTTCTCGAGGATAATAAAGACCGGTTTTCCTTCCTCGCTTTTTGGTAGCCTCCCAATTTCTGCGCCAATTCGTTAAAGCATATCTCGCCGAAAAAATAAACGACGTCTCGCATCCACGGTCCGCCTCAATGGCCTCTACAATAAAACCAAAATCTCGTTTACGTCGAGTGGTCTGCAGCGTCGCACAGAAATTCTATCCTCATCATCATGGTAATGAGAGGTTAGGTCGGAGTGAAAGCGTGGCTGGCTCAGCTAACTCGACTGAACTTCGAGGTGAGTTACATACAATACATTTTTCCATAACCAGATCTCTCTTCATATTGTTTCTCAAACCAGGTAAAGTGGCACTTATAACAGGTTCATCCAAATCTATTGGGGCCTCCATATCCAGGGCACTCGCTGCACAAGGTGCCTCTGTAGTTATCAATTATGCCAAAGACAGCAGAAGTGCAGAGGAAGTTGCACAGCAAATTAACTTATCTCTCAACTCCACTTCCGTCTCGTTACCTTTGACCTCTATTGATCATCAAGGCGACGGTGGAAACGATGTCGAAGTACCTCGACAGCAGCAGCAGGCCATCGCAGTCAAGGCTGATTCCTCTACTATTTCTGGTGGCCACTACTTGCTACAAGAAACACTCCGTATATTCGGGCGTTTGGATATCCTAGTTTTAAACGCTGGACTCATGGGGAGCCGAACTTTGAGTGAAATCGACGAGTCTTTTTTTAATGCACACTTCGATTTTAACGTGAAAGCACCGTTATTTTTGGTGAAGGAAGCAGCGGAAGTCATGGTGCGACGTGAGCTGTTTCATTCGTCCTCTTGTATGTTTATCTGAAATTGTTCGTGCGTAGCTGGTGGGCGGATAATATTCCTTTCTACAAGTTTGACTACGGCGAGCAGTAGGTCAAGTTCAAAGTCATTGATTGATTAGTACTGGTCGGGGCTGATGTTCCATCAGCGTTGCTTCCCAATGCCCTATGCTACGTAGCTAGTAAAGGTGACTTGGATTATGTCCTGTCGCACTTTTTTTGACTCCTCGTATGAAGGTGCTGTGGAGCAAGTCGCCCGCGTGCTATCCAAAGATCTCGGAACTCAAGGCTTCACAGTGAATACCGTCGCTCTAGGACCAGTGGACACAGCGCTTTTCAGGGCGGGCACATCGCAGCATGTCATTTCAAACATAGCTGCACAAGTTCCTAGTCATCGTATCGCAGAGCCAGACGATATTGCACCTATTGTCGCTTTTTTGGCGAGTCCGGCCGCGCAGTGGGTCAATGGTCAAACTATCGGAGTGAATGGGGTGAGCCATAATCAACATATACCGTAGAGTTAGATCGCTGAAACAACATGACCCAGGGTTATGTGGTGTAATTTATCAGATTATCAAGTTCTGCATCGAATTACTGTTCGTAGTTTCAAAATCCATATTATAATTGCACAATGAGTGGAATTTCTACCAATTCTCGTGAAGGAAGTTCAAAAGTAAAGCTCATATATGGGGTATTCAAAGTTCTCGTAAGTTCACGCCCTCTCGCACGTTCTAATATACTTATAGCCTGAGCTTCGGCAGAACGCCATATATTCAATGCTCAAAGATAACCTATGTAACCGTACTCTCTCCCTTTTCTCCGTGATAAATGTTGACCTTCAGATGGTCATGATCATGACTCGCAATACATGTGAATAGATGTCCCCCTAAATGAAGGGATGTGGCCTATCAAGTTGACTAGACGAATTCTGATGGCCTCAACTTGTGCTACAGGACATGTCACATGGGAATGCCAACTATGGAAGCATACTGCACCAGGAACGTTTGACAGTAGCGAAGTTCGAATGGTTGGCTAAATGCTAACCTCAGAGGACGAGAACATTCCTCGTTGTGGAATAGCATGTGTTTCACGGTTGTGATGTATATAGATGAGACCCCAGTATTCGCTTGTCATTTGGTCTCTTCTGCACTCGCACACCATGGTATTCCTCCCCCTGTTCGCTTTCGTCGCGGTACTTCCATGCGCTTTGTCGCTCGTGACTTCTCGACCTCGACAAGGGGTCGATTTCTTCAATCCTACTGGAAACGGCGGGTCAATGTTGGATGACGGTGAGGAGATATTTCACATTAGACGCCAGATATTTTGTTCATCGTGTTAGCCGGTAATGGTCTCGGTGAACCCTTGAATGTGAGTTTAAACGTTCATTCTTCACCTCTTTCTATTGGACACCGAACTGATTTCACCTCTTAAGGTCATTATCTCCGGTCTTTCTTCCCCTGGTGTTCTCACTGAATCTGGGTTCGAGAACTATGCCAAGGCTATTGGATTGTGAGTTCCTTACAGTAGCTGCATTGCCTATGTAATCTCAATGTAAGCCTCAGCTCGACAGAATGTCTCGGTATCCATATCGGTGGCCCACAATCTGCTAACCTTGGTGACGGCAACGGCTTCGTGAATCAAACGGTAGGTTTCAACGCGTATTTAAAAAAATGCTTACATGCCATATCATCTTATATCATCTAGGTCGAATTGCGTCAGGACTATGGGGATTCTGTTCTCGGTACATGTCTAGAATCTTTGATTGGGGGTAATCACCTAAGGCTAGTAGCCTGAACCTGATTATATGAGAATCATACGCTGAAATTCACAATACAGACTTTACATCCAAAATGGTCCTGAAGCAGATAGTGGTGCACTTTTCCTTGCGTGAGATTACATTTCCATTTTCGAGAAACGTCATTGCTCGTGCTCACACACTGGGCTTCCTTGACGAAGCGTTTCCAAAGAAGAAGACGCATCTGACAACCACGATATCGTTCCGGATGGTTACGACATTGGGAGAGACGAGCTTTCCGCTGCAGCCATCGGTACTACATCGTTTGATGGAGTGACTTATTCGACCACAGGAACCAACTTGACTGGCTTGCTGGCACCGGGAAGCGCTGGGTAGGTTGAGGCATCATCTCTAAAAGACGATCTTGCTAAGTTATTGCTTTTCTACAGCGTGAATCATGGTTCGACGTCTAATTACTTCTTAAGTCATGGCTGATTCTAATTTTTTTGGTGTTTCAGATATTGCAACTGACGGAATAACCACATTGCTGACAGTTATCATTGTTTGAGTAAACAGCTCTCTACGTATCTTACGATAATCGGTGCAACACAATGAAATTCATTTACAATTTATGAGTTTGAGGGTAAGGTAATTACGAGCCTTGTAATGGTACTGACATGCAGTCTTTAATCGTGCCCTTTATCGAACTCCCGTGCCCCGAAACATAGTACCGCATAGTACAGACATTGCCGGAAAAGCGGGCTTTCTCGATATGTCTAGTCCAGAACAGTCCGAAGACGTCGACGTGTGACCACAAGTTCAGTACATTCTACCTTCTCCATCATCTCGCTGCCTTTCAGACAATGTCCCCGGACCCTTCCATATGTGATCTCTCAACGGCGCAAATTGAGGCATAGGTAGTAAACCTTCTAGCAGTATCATATAGGTAAATTGTTTGTTGGAAGTAATCATTGAATGTGTGTTAAGATCTATCCTTGTGAAAGAGCTGGCCTTAGTAAATTCGTCTATCGTCGTGTATGTTGGTGTTCGTGTCTTAACGAAGGCCGAAGAACTTCAGCAAACAGTTTTGAAATATTCTGAAAATGTGGAAAAAGTCGGATACGCATCGGGTGATGTTGAGTCAAATGGAAAAATCCCCCAAATTGGTTCAAATCAGACACGGATATGTCGAGTAGCATATTGTCTGCTACTTAATCTCTCTTCAAACTACTCATTTATTTGAGCCCGACCAACTTCACTGGCTCGTATTCTTCTAAGCGATGCTTACACTCCTGAAAGCCAGCAAGAACCCCAAATTCGTACTTATCACTTTAGTCGCTGGAAGTCTCACAGCTTCCCTCTCATCACCGTTGAAGGTTGCCCTAAATACGGCTAGAAGAATTCGTTATGAGAATGAACAGATGACAAGGGGGAACTCTTTTACCTCATTGCTCGTGAAGATCATTGAAGAATTTACACAGGAGAAACATGGCGGGGGAGCTTGATTGATGGCACAAAACTTCTGTGGTGAACATACTGTAGTACCAGGTTGATACTTGACCCTACCTTGCTGAATCTCTTTGAAATTCGTTTTTGGGACTGCTCAATAAGCTCAGCACCTCAAATCTTCTGCTACAAACCAGGAAGACTCTTGGCAACCTCCCACTGTTTCAATTACCGATAAACAGCTTTACACAATGTCAACTGCGATCGAATATTCAGAGCCTGGGTGTATTAGTATCCACTTGAGGATTTAGCAGGAATTAGAGGAGAGGCCGTTTCTGTGTCTCAACCATGACATGGATGAATGGATGATATTTGGACACACGCTAATGAATGTGACTCCAAATGAACAGATAAGAGTGGATCGCCATAGTATGCTTATTCCCTTCGACTCCTAAGGATCCCAAATTTGCTTCGTAGTAGGTCCCACGTTCGATTTCCTGGCCGCTTATATCCTTCGACCCTCCTTCGACCTCACTCTATGCACGTAGATTGGATTTTAGCTTGTAATGATCGCCTTCTGGAATCTGCAGCCTTCTGTTGAAGCTTGCTCCGATTATTCCCGTGTTGCAATCACGACTTGAATCAACCAGGAGGTTGAAATGAACGATCTTGGATTTACAATTATGAAAGAGTGAGTAGGGCTGAGTATCCTCACCGAATACAACCGTATCCACTGCAAGTATCCCCGATGTAACCCGGTGGGCAAAGCTCGGGTTGAACGTGGGTCATCCGAAAACCAGTTCGAGTCGGGCCATCTTCCGACGAATGAAGTGGTCGTGTGCCCATCAGGCAAACGTTCGCCGGACCAAACACGGGAGATCAATTCAGTTCTTCAACGGCACACGAGCGAGAACTGTCCCTGGATTGTGATTGGCTGTGACCAGCTACAGTCCAAGATTTGGAATTCAAAAAAGTTTGAGGTCGCATCACCGGTACCCTTACAACAACCATCCAACCAGTATCTTCCAGCTTGGACGTAGCATATTGGTGTAATTGGTGAGCGATTTAATTCTCAATATCAATCGTCAAAAGTTGTTCAAGAAATACGGTAATAAATACAGACCATGTCCAACGCATCCACGACAGCAGTCGTATATAACGCCTCTGTAAACCCCTCACGACGGGCTAAAGTTACTCGAATGACCGAGCGTACCATCCTTCCTCGACAGATGTCTGTCCCTCAGAGCGCATCCAATAACGCTGAAAGTGAAAGCACCATGATTGTGACTGTTGCGCCAGAGCCCAATCAGGGTCACGTTCCCTCGAGATCTCCCACCACAGCAAAACGAGGGCGCAAGCCTGCCTCAAATGCTTCGGGTCTTTCTCGTTCTGCACGGGAAGCCCAACGGAAACTCAACCATTCTATCATCGAAAAGGCTCGCAGGACGAAGATCAACGAGGCCCTGGCTGAACTGGCCAGGTTAGGCGCAACCGTTGAGGTACTCCATTCTGGTGGGAGTTTGAAAGATGCAGAAGCGTCTGTCTCGAGGTTGGCCGAAAGGCCTACTCCGGACCTTGTCGAAGACCACGATGTCGATGCCGACGTTGACGACGATGACGATAAGGATGGTGATTATGGTGTCCCTTCCTCTAGTCGAACTAGGAACGGCGGGAGCACGTCGAAAATTAAATCGTCCAATTCCTCCCAAGATCACATTTCAGCATCAAAAGGGAAAGAAAAATTCAAACTTGATATCCTTGTCAAGACTGTAGAGAATATGCAGCACCTATTAGAAAGGGTAAGAAGCCTGGAAGCACAGGTTGAGAATGTCAGGATCTCTCCCTTCGGAGTTTCGGAGGATTTCGAGTGTCGGAAATGTGCTGAGCGCACGTTGGCAGATTTACCTCCACTAACTTCCACCACGAATAAGCGGAAGAGACATACTTCCGCAGAATCTGATGCTGCTAGTAATGAAAAGCACCTTGAGGATTTCTCAAGAGACCCAGATGATCGAATACAGCCTCGGGATCAGAGGAAACGTAAAGTCATGCACACCAATCCCAGCATCGAGCATACTGACGAGCATACATCGAACACAAACCCTATCCTTCCCACTCTGCCGTCCATTTCCTCATGGCTCTCAGACTATAATTTATCTGCCTACTCAATCCATTCTTCCCGAGATTCTTTCACTTCTCTCGTGGCTCCTGCTTCGAGTTCGTCACCGAGCCTAGCCGGTCCCAGTCCTCTGCCAAGGCTTTCGCCTTTTAATGTCCCGCAACACCGGGGGCGGTTCCATTCCAATACATCTTCTCCTTCGCTCGCAACATATCTACCTTCTCCGCCTTCTTCGACGCAATTTACTGCTTCCGCTCCTGTTTCATATGGTGGAGTGCCAATCCTAGAATTGGGTCCATCGAGTGCGTCAACGCCCTGCGCTGTCTCTTCGACTGCATCACCTGCTTTCTCTATACGGGGAAGGCCCGGTTCCAGTTTGTCGATTTCTACCAATGCTCCAAGCTCAGCCGCCGTCATCTCTCCTGGACCTGTCTGTACAAGCACGAACAGTGCCACCGCCACCATCGCCAGTACTGCAGCTACTGGTAGGATAGATACAATCCATACTGTTCGGACACCGGAAGATGAATCCGCTGCATCTTTGCTATTGCATATGAAATCATCGCCGCCTGTGTTCATGACTCCGAGGGCGCGGAGAGATTCGATACTGGTGATTGATCCTTTGCCATTAACGATGTCCTCTTCACCTGAAATGCCGAAGTCTGCGGTGAATGTATCAGATATCAGGGAAGACGTGTTCGCATTGGTGTCTCATACTGATTCCAACGGTCAATCAGTGATGATTGCCCAGACACCTAGTTCGATCTTGGGATTAGGTCCTAGATCGGATTAGAGGCCAGGTGAAAGACTCGGTAAGAGTTACCGCCACTTCTACAGTCAACGACTTCTGCTCCACTAGTACGTATGTTCATGCCTCCTTTATTCTAGTTATCTTCGCCTATCCCGGTCCAGTAATTCGTTGTCTATCCAATTCGTTAGTGGAATTTACATTTATTAGACTTTATTAGACTTTATGCATTATGTGTAACGACTACCTCGCCATCACACCCAACGCAAACCGTCACATTCTGGGAAGAGGCAATACTTCACCCGGGGCGTAGCGTATCCCAAGGCTTTTACATTTCAGTATACTACTCTACTCTTCCGTTTCCTCTCAAAGCCTTTCTTTCCATATGATTCGTTGCCGCCAGGAATAGATATACAACGCATTTTACATCGTACTGCGCTGGCTTTCAAAATGGTGATCTGCAGAAACACCTCCACCGCCGTTCGAGCTCGGTATTCGGCCTTTACGGGGCACGATGAGAAACGGCACGGCGCAGCTTCGGGCACGGTCACCGCAGGGTCACCATAACATCGCGTGCACAGGAAAATTCGACGAGATTTGATTGAGAAACCGGAGGCTTTTTTGCCATGATTCGAAAGGCATTACGCCCCCAATGCTATTGGCGACTTCTTGAGCAAGGTCAAATTCAATGTTGTTCAGAAGCTATGTGTAGGTTTTATACACCACAGGCTCAGTTCAAAGGAGGAGAACGTAAATGCCAAAAACCGTCATTCCGTACGAGCGTGCTCACTTGGACTTGAGAAGAAGTTCGATATAATGTTCTTCAGATTTGAGATAACGAACGCTGTTATAATTAATTGTGTCACGGTCGGGAAAGGTCGGGACCATAGGCTATACACCATGGTCCGACGTTGTAAGGCCTGACGAAGGCGGAACTCAACTATCGCACTCTAGCTCCGCAATAGCATTGCTGGTCATGGTGGTGAAGGCTTGTTGCGGACTGACCTAGCGTAGTCATAGAGAGTAAACAATTCTCAGACACAACTGAGCTGTCATAGGCTGTTGCTCTTGTGTGATTGTTCAAACAAACTATTTTGGCCAAAACTTACATATGTGTGTAGTAGAAAAAAATATTATTTCAACCGTTGCGGAACACCGTTTCGGATCCAACAGCCCCAGTCACCTACTATGAAAGCCTATTAAATACATACTAAAAGTATATTGTTGAATGTCAGTAAAGTAGTCTATTTGCCCTTCACTCGTCTACACCCTCTTCCCATCCTTTCGATCGCTCTACAGCACGCTGCCACCCTTCCCACTTTCTCCTTCTAATTTTGTCTTCTATATGCGGCCTAAATTCAGTTGTGCCTTTGGTATTTACCTCCCTCAACGTTTCTGGATCTGCAATATTCCACCCGAATAACTTTATTGCTGCGCCTGCTAGGAGGGCTGAGCCAAGAGCCGTAGACCTTGAAAGAAATGAGAGAATGTCAGAACGAGCGATGGAAATTTTAAGGCTCAATAAGAGTAGACACACTCGCGCATTTCAGGCCGAACAACAGTGAACCCGCCTATATCAGCCAGTATAGACATTGCCAAATCACCGTTCGTCATTCCTCCGTCTACCTTGAGAAGCTGTAAATCGTTGCCTGAATCGAGCTTCATGCTTTCAATAATGGCTCGAGTTTGAAAGGCGTTCGCTTCCAGTGTTGCACGGGCAATATGTGCCGGATTCGTATATTGAGAAACACCGATTAGAAGGCCACCTGCGCCGGGGTCCCAATATGGCGCCAATAGGCCGGAAAATGCAGTGACAAAGTATACCCCGCCTGTGTCAGTCTCTTTAGCGGCAAGTGTGTTGACTCCTGCGGCATCCTCAATGAACCCCATGGTGTCGCGAAGCCACTTAATTGCACTTCCAGCAACAGAAACTGAACGTAAATGCAAATGAAAATAAGATTAAAAAAGCGATTAGAGAATCCGACGTACTACTTCCTTCCAAAGCATACACGGGTTTCGCATGCGGACCTGCTTGATACGCGATCTGAAAAGAAATTCACCGGCTGGAGGGTCGACATAATAGAGCTGCACACTCACTGTGCTTAGCAAGCCATGCTCGCTTTTGACAATCTCGTCTCCAGTGCAAAACAGTAAAAAAGCCCCAGTGCCATACGTACACTTTGCCTCGCCCTCCTTCAAACACTTGTTACCTACCAATGCCGCCTGTTGATCGCCGACAAGCCCACCTATTGGTACACCTGCAAGATATCCTCCCGCAACATCGGGTGAAACATGCCCATAGACTTCGGAAGATGATACAATTCTGGGTAAAATCGAGGAACGGAAACCGAAGAATGATAGGAGGCATGGTTCGAATTGAAGAGTTGTGGTATTCAAAAGCAGTGTGCGAGATGCGTTGGTGACTTCGCAAACGTGGAGACTAGAGGAAGTGCCCCCAACAAGATTCTGTGTATTGTATTTGAGTCAGCAAGACAATATCTTGAGTCTGAGCATTCATCTATATTCAACAACTAACATATAGGACCCATGATTCCACTGTCCCGAAAAGCAAATCATCTGATTCATGCGCAGCAGCGACGTCGGGGATATGATCTAGCATCCATCGCAACTTGATCGCGGAAAAATACGTGGATAACGGCAAGCCCGTACTGTAAAAAGCTTGTTCATTTACGATGAAAAAGCGACGTTGCACCCACATTTCTCTTAACGCTGCTACGCCGTCCTTTCCCTTTCTCCACACCCCTGGCTTCACTTCAACCCCTATTTCCTCCAACTTTTTCTCGTAATGTATAACCGTATTCTTCGTGCGGGAGTCCGTCCAGACAATAGCTTTACATAACGGTTTGCCTGTATTTCTGCTCCAAGCAATAGTCGTTTCGCGTTGATTAGTTATACCTTGGATGGGTAGAGATAAGAAATGTAAAAGAGATGAGGAAAAAGCATACCGATAACTTTGACACTCTCCTTCGCCCACCCAGCCGTCTCCAGCTCTTTCATGGCGTTCTGGATACACAACTCAGCATATTGTTGAATTTCTTCGGGGTCGTGTTCATGCCACCTAAACGGGTCAAATCTTTACTCTCGTCTGATCGCAGAGATTCCAAATGACTTACCCTGGATTAGGATAATACTGGGGAAACTCAAGCTGATTTTGTGCCACAATGTTGGCATATTGGTCAAATATAATGAAACGGACGGAACTGTAACAAAACTGAGTATCCCTTGTGTATGCAGAGAGCACGTATGCGTACGTAGTACCACAATCAAGAGATCCGACGAATTTACCTTTCCTCTGGCCCTGGTTCAAGTTCAGGGTCGTTTCCGAATGTTTGGGAGAGGAAAGTGTGGACGCAGTAGAAAACGGAGAACCAAAGAAACGGGATATTCTATGAAAAGTTGACATCGTTTCGAAGCCTGATTTCTGACCTATTTGACGCGCAACCAGAGGGGTGAAGAAGAATAAAGTGAAGAGAGGGAGTCAGGAAGACAATTATGAGGAAATGAAGCAAATGGAGACGCGGGGTGGACAGGGCCGTCTCGGTACGTGGAGAAGCCTCAGATTGACATCAGCGATCGAGATGGTAGTCTGGGGATGTGAAGGAAGGGGAAAGAGGCGCTGAAAGGACCCGTGACAATTAAATGAGATTAGCATACTGGAATTGATGCTAAGCTGTAAAAGAACTCAGAAAACCGATTGTAGGCCATCCGAAAAGTGATGATAGATGGCCAAACTGTCACTGAGGACGTGAGAGTGAAGAGTCATAAGACTCGAGAGTATTCAGGCACCAAAATGAAGTCCGCGCGGGACCAGAGCGGGACTGCAATTTGGTAGAATTCGACTTACCTGGAATGGGATGGGACGTATTGAAAAACGGGTAGCTTGAGAGGGGTCCACTAGACGCAAGATTAGGTGTAACGTAGGACTTCCTAGAAGTATGGTCAATTAACCAACGATGCATGAAAGGATTCTGAGTGATACTTACATTCGAAAGCGACTGGTTCCGATAATGCGAAATTTCGGTCCGCCGGGGTAAGTCAACCGCCTCGAAACCACCCCGCTCCCAACTCTGTGCAACGACATGGCAAAAAGACCCGCTCGCTAGTAAATTATGCAGCGATTCATCCGGAGAGTTGTTGTCAGGTTGTTGTAGACTAACACCGTGCAATTACGGAAGTGGTGACACTGATCGTACATTCTCACGGCGTGATTTACGCGTGTCACTTAGTTGCCAGTTCCAGCCAGAACTTTTTCCGAGTCGGGGAAGTCCCAGTAAATGTCCTAAAGCTTGTACAGTTGTCCTGTCGAGAAATGCTGTTGTAGCGCAGACACCCGAAAGAGTGAGCTTTTTTTCCTCCTTAGGTACTGTGAATTCTTAGCACTTCATCCAAACGAGCAACATTCGTATCGATCAGCCTTCATTAGGCGGCTGATAATGTCCTCAACCAGTCGTTGTTCGCGATGAGGTGTATTAATTTTAGACATGTGTCAACAGGTACTGCTCTAGGTGTCTGGGTTTGTCCCCTTGAGCTTACTCCAGGTTTACTGTTGTTGAAATCTCTTGATTCAGTGATGCAAAAGCTAGAAGTAAGATGCAGAGCTGTTAGGAATGCAGCAGAACTTGTGTGATTTGATGTAGAATCATCGATTTCTGGTCTTGTGAAGAAGAACATACCTCTGGATCTCTTGGGATCTCAAGAAGTATCGGGTCGAACCGAGCGTGGTACTTGACGATGCATTGAATAATTTAGGTGGAGAAACGGTAAAAACATAGGTTTCGCCAAGGTATCACGGAAGAAAGTGGATAAAGATAGCGGAACAACAATCCAAGCATCGAATAAAATGATGAGTGGTAACGCGATGGACAGATGCCAGATGCAATTTACAAAAACAAAACGAGAGTAAAGGAAAGGACACCAAAGAATGTCAGAGATGCAGTTCGCAGAGGTACCGCACCATTTGAAGACGTTGCACCGGATGCCGTTGAGCTAGACGCGGAAGCCCCACTAGAGGCAGAAACTGAACCGCTAGACGTTGCAGACGATGATCGTGAAGTAGAAAATTTAGAGGAAGACGCTATCGTTGCGGTTGCCGATGAACTACCTGCAGTAGACGACGACGTCGTGATTGTTCCAACAGTGACTGTAGATAGAACACCAGTTTCACTATACGCACTCGATCCGGTAAGTGAAGACGGGATAGGGATAGAAGATGTCGCAGAGGCAACAGACGAAGAGAAGGAGCCGGTCATATTGTTGAGGCTAATAACGGTAATTAGTCGCTGGGAAGTGTTATTGACGATGTACATCATGATACGTGCCTGAAAAAGGACGAATAGCTGGTGTATTTCGTGCCATTTATTTCAAGGTTTGTAGAGGTGAACGCGATGTAACTGACGAAAGGAGTTTATAGTTTAGCAAATCAAGTATGGAGCTACAGGTGCCAATAGACTCACTAATCGCTAGAATCAGGTCCTGCATCGGATATGGGCTAAATATAGTCCGATTAGGAGAGAAAAGAAAAGTCGATAAGCTGCTGGTCTTACGGTGAACACTAACGACTGAGTGCTTGACACATCTACTGGGTCGATGGTTTGCACGAGTTGCTAGATGAATTGCAATGTGAGCGCGGGTTTCTTGGAATTACAATGCATTGCGACTTACCATGTCTCCTGTATAAAGACCACAAGTTGTGACACCGATGTTCGAGTTGAGAGGAGTTGTACCGTCGTCCAGCCATTGCACGGTACAGGGAGATCCACCACTGCAAGTGGAACCTGCTGAAGGTTGAATAACCTGGGGAATGTTCGTTAGGCATTTCCAGAATAAAAATAAATTGATATAGACATACATATAGAGTAGCTTGGACAGCTGTAAAAGCATCCAGCGCTACAAATGCCAAAGCCAGGGCCATGAAGAGAAATCGGTACATCGGGGGCGATTGTGGATAAACGAGTGAGGGTTGAACGTGTGGTTGATTTTTGTGGGGTTTTCAAGTAAAAGTTGTATAGCTATGGCATATATTGAGCCAAAGAAAAGCGCGTAAGAGGTTTATAAGAGTCTAGACAGTCGTCGTAAAACTTCGTTGTGATGGTCGTGAGCCAATATTTTGCATCATGACGTAAGTTGAGCGGGCTACGAACTCCTTCGTTCGGCAACGAGGCCGCCTACAAACGGACGTTCTTCACTGGACTTACTTCAGCAACTGAGATCAAGGTTCTCTTTAGCGTACTGTGTAGAGTTAGATCATTGTGAGCATTATTAAGATCACCGCTCGAACAACAAATAACCTTCAATTTGGGACCTCCAACCATTTCTGTATAAGCATCTTGACTATAGACCATGGACGTTTGGAAAGTATGTCATATTGGGCTAGTTCAATGCGCTCTCGATACCCATACAACCTTGCAAGAGCATACAAGTGATTTTGGTTGCAAGAACAAAATTAGCGCCCTCAATCTCTTTCTCCTTCCTCAAAAGTCTTCAACCTCAAAGCCTCAATAACAAGAGTCTCGTCCTACCTCGTCCCCTGTAAGGATGAGGATATTTCAATCAAACCTAATTTATTGGGGTGGGAGTAGTCACGTTCTTCTCTCATGATTGCCTTCTTGTAAGTTACTCTTCCCCAGGTTTTGTCTCACCTCTGTAACTCCATCGAAGATTTCAATGGCGACCTTTGTTGCCTACTTGACCACTCCCACTTGAAGGAAAGTGATATAAACAACTACCCTCTGAAAAGGAAACTTGGACCACAGCTCGCTTTTGCGGTATTGGTGTACGCGACAGATAGAGCTGCAACTTAAGGACACCAGAAGCATCTTAACCAGCTGGAAGAAAGTCGGAAGATTCAAGGGCCCTGATGTCGTTCCGGATTAGTACTCGTTCGTTCTCTACCTCCACATCTACACTATCTGGTTCACGATCTCAAAATGCGAACCTGCTAGCTCTAGGCCTCCATCGGAACCGCCGTTCTCTCGTAAAACTTGGTTCACGCAGTCATTTCATCGCTATCATGCCGAGCTCTTCTCCCACACAGACTTTGGACATCTCTAGTCAATCTGAACCCAAAAGTTTGCATCATACTTCAGGCACAGAACGAAACAGAGCCACTCCATCAATGTCCTCTTCGAAATACTCGACAATGCCAAATAGAGATGTGGTAGATGCGGCGGCTGCGGCTGATGTGAGTAGCGTCGGTTCTGGGAACGCTGTAGGTCCTGGTGAAAGTGCGGGTCAAACTAGAAGCGGAAGGAGTGGAGATGGAATGAAACGATTCGACCTCTCCTCTATATCAGCAAAGAACCCACTTGGTCAGGAAGGACGGTGTATACGTACCGCTGCTGCTCTAGTAATTGGGCAAGTCTGATCTCTTTGCTGGTCAACCCTGTACAACAAACACTTACCGGTCTACAATAGAGACGAAATTTTGAATGGCAAAACAATGGACAAAAACTCTAACTACTTTGCAAAGTACTGTTTTGAGCGAGGGATTGATCTGTAAGCAATCAACGATTCTGGCACACGACATATCTACATGCTGTGTTTTCAATCAGGAAACGGATCGAAGTCATACCGGACGACGAGAACGAAATGTAAGTGTTCTGTCCGGTTGCCGGCTATGATGATTTCACGTTGACATTCATTTGCCCACCCACGATCCTTCCTTTTTCTAAATGCGTAGCATCGAAACTAGCAGACGTTTAACTTCCAAGTATGATTTTGTCATTACAACCGGTGGAATTGGACCTACTCATGATGGTACGCATCGTTTTTCCCTGCGTATCTTCATTTCTAATTGGTTCTTTCTGCAGACATCACTTATGCATCTCTTGCACGCGCTTTTAATCAGTCTCTTGCACATCACCCAGAAACGCTTCGCCGGTTAGACGAGATGAACCGACATCGTGCTTGGGTCTCCACCCAGACTCCTCAGCAGAGAGAAGCGACAAAGCGGATGGCACTGTTCCCGGAAAGGGCCGAAGTCCTCTTCGTTTGCGGGGATATCTGGGTGGTGAGTAACTTAAGTTTCTACTCTCCCTGGGCTAACCAAGTATTTGCCATATAGCCCGTCGTCCGTCTTGAAGGCAAACTATGTATATTTCCTGGCATACCGACATTATTCACGAAGATGCTTGATGGCTTAGCGCCGTATTTACCGCTTCCTCCTGCAAGTGAGAGACCACTGAGGGTGCAGATTTTCACTGAGTGCGTATCGATTATGACTCAGACTGACTTGCTGATTCTCACTGCTTCTCATAGGCGACCCGAATCAATGATCGCGCCATACCTCACAGCACTTCACGCTCGAATGAAAAAGCAAAAAGCGGATATCCAAGTCGGGTCATATCCTGTCCTCGGAAAGGGCGTGTTTGTGAGTTTGATTGGGAGGGATCGAAATATGGGTCTACCTGGACAGGGGGTCCTATTAAATTCAGAGCAGAGACCGCAACCGGGAGCTCAGCCTTCTGAAGTTCAAGAACCTCCAGCGCGGGTGTGGCTCGCACAAATTGCTTGTGAGGTAGAAAAAGAGATCAACGGGAGGATTGTTAGTGATGAGGAGGTGAAAATTTTGAAAGAGGGTGGTGTAGGCGAGGTTAGGAGACGAATGGAAGATGGCGATATTGTTCCCGACACGAAAGTCAATAGCTCGTCCACTTCTACTTCATTTGCTTCACCTCGCGTTTCGTCTCCGGCTTCTATCGCATGCGATTCGGCTTCTGTTGTTGAGCCAGATGTGGATGTGGATGTGACGGTGGAAGTCAAGAAACCAAAGTTAGGTGAGGTTGGGTGGAGTTGAACCAAAAAACAAATTCGTGGAATCGTTCTCTTAGATTTAAGCTCACTTGTGATTTTCTTGTCTGGTATTCTTATGTACCCTCGTAGGCTCGCCATGTATATCTATTATCTGTATCAACCCTCGTGTACAAATATACACATAGAATCTTCTTGAATTTTGGTTCCAAGATGTCACTGACTTGTTGCCAACTATCACCTAGCTTCGATATGAGAATTATATTGGGTAGTATGTTCCAAATCCAAAAAGCTTTCATAGTGTACTATTCGTAATGAGTGTAAGAAGAATAGCCTAAGCTAGAACTGCTTCCTCTGTTCTACAGTCCCAGTTCATATCGCTAACATAGGGTCGTCAGGTCATGAAAATCACGGGTACTGCTGTAGGTAGTGTAGGAGGTATGGGATTAGTGAAAAGTCCAGGCAACAGCTAGGTCGGGTGAAACAGAGACACGGGAGAGCACAGGTAACCAATAGGGTGAATCCGAAATGAGAAACAAAATATCATATGAATTAAATTGTAAAACAAGTTTCCTAGTTGCAACGCAACATATGCCTACCGCCATACACTTTACAGCATCAACGCCAGAACAACAGCACCGAAGAATGCACTGATCCAGACATTGGCAACGACGGAACCAATGGCACCATTGCTGGAGGCAGCAGCAGATGCGGTGGTGCTTTTCGAAGAAGACGTGGTGGATGCAGCGGCGACCTTGGCAGATGAAGATGCAGCAGACGTAGTAGCAGCAATTGAGCCAGTGGTAGAACCACCAATGGGTGCCGTTGACTGTCCAGCGATTTCTGCAGACACGGAGGAGTTGAAGGTTCCTGTCATCGACGCCATGCTGAATAGCGCAGAGAATGCCATCTCAGGGTACGCATTAGTGGTGTTGTCTGTGAGCGTGAGAGATTGGATACGAATGAAGCTGCGGAAAAGGGTCGGAAAGCGTCAAGATAAAAGAACAACATGACAGTGAAAATCTTACTATTCCTGGCCGCTAGGGCCGATGCTTGCATTAGGAGTGAACTGTATAGAAGAGGTGGTCGAAACATTGACAGAAGCTGTGACTAATTGTAAAAGAGTCTAGAGCAAAGAGTTATAGGTCAATACTAGCACAAGATTATTCATAAGTGACATACCTGTTGATTTGCGTTTCCAGCCCAGATACCCACGGAAGCATTTCCCCAGGCGGGGAGCAAAGGAGCAACGTTGTTATCCTCCCATGTAATGGTAGCGGTTTGTCCACCGGTATAAGTGGAGGCGGCCGTTGGGGTGGTAATCTACGTGTGCAAAACGCGTATATCGTTAATTGAATCTATTCTCAGTACGACAAACAAAGCAAAAAAAAACTCACGAAAACGGTTGCGACAGCAGAGGAAACAAGGGCGGAAAGAAGGGCGACCTTGGCGAACATCTTGTGAATATGTTGAAAAAACGAAGTAGAAGGTTGTGATGGTTTTTTTGAGAAAGGGCGAGCCTTAAGTTGAACGAGTGGGTGGGTTCAAGAGAATGTGGGGTCTGCTGAATAAACAGAGGAGTTTCGAAGACGAAGGTCTTTGTACGGTGACCGCAAAAAGATGATGGTCGTTGAGGGCGAAAGATGGAATATTACGAATGTTTATCGCGTATTTAAACCATGACATGGTCCACGTGGCCCAGGCACAATCTGCAAGCGCCTCAGCACCGTACCATACAGTCAAGACTGCTGTACAGTGCCGAGCTCATCGCTTCGTCCGCAACCAGTACTGAAGTCTAATTGATTCTTGAAGCCTGGAATCGGACGCCTTGACTGACGAATGAACGCTGTTTCCGTCTCTTACCGTGATAATTACATTTACAAGACTCGTAAATAATCTGCGCACTCATTTTTGAATACTTACAACAATGAACAAATCGCCAACGATCGCGACCAACTAATACTATACATTACCATGATCGCAGTAAATGCGCAACTTCATGCAAAGTGTACTGACTTTCTGTAACCTGAGCGAGGAGTTCAAGTTATAGGGCGTCGTGGTCAATGTTAATGTTGATCCAGCGATTGAATGATAACTATTCAGACAAGTAGTCGCGAAGAAGGCTGACGTTGAGGCTTGAGCTTGAGGCCAAATCGATAAATAAGAATCACCGTCGAGCACCGTCGTTGAAAAGCGTTGAAACCAAAGAGGCGCTCGGTAGCCCGGCTCGCGATTACTAGCCCATCGGCCCGAGCGCTTATTTTGTGCACGATTTGACCAATTCCAGCCAACTCGTTAACGACGCCCTACAGGCAATAATGGGCTCGCACGGCCATGGGGCGACACCGACTCCTACACCGAGGGAATTGGTCCTTGTCTGTATATTCCTTGCTCTGTTGTTTTTCATGTCCCAGCACTCTGCCGGCTCAGACAATTCGTTTCTCGCAGATTATTCACCCCCTTTACCTCCTCTGAAACTAGAATCTCCTCCTTTGAACCCATTTCCTTCACCATACAAGACAGAGTCTTTTATTCAAAATGACGGACTGGTTCGAGAAACAACAATCATCAAGCACGTACCGGGGTGGACCATCATCGATTCGTTGTACATGCACAACGGGACTTATTATGTTGTCACCTCCAACCCGCCAATAGATCCCCCTCAGACGAAATACGACCCCGCTCAATCTCCATTCCTCAAGCTTCCACCACCAAAAGCAATTCTCAGTAAAGGACACGACATATATGGTGCTCGCGGTGGAATGGGCAACGACCCGCTGCGAGCACCAGACGAACAATATCTCCAGTATGTTAGCACGGCAGAGTTTCAGAATCTCTTCGGTATCGATCTGTCTGTGAACGAAGTAGATGAAGGCCATGTGCACACTGTCCCTGGCTTAACATTCATCCTTAACGACTCGCCTCAGTTCATCACACATTACTACCATTTCTGTGCAGAGTTGTGGTTTGGTGTATGGCGGACATATGCTTCCCTTGGTGGTGGACACAAACTTCCCCCTCCCACACGAGTCCTTTTTCCGAATCTTGACAGTGCTCACTGGAGAGACTACGCTAACATGAATCAACTATTCATGCGGAGCTTATTGCCTAGCACTCAGATGCTCTTTTCGCACGATTGGTACGATTGGGTCTCCCTTTCTGTCATTCACAAGCCCACCTCGGAGTCAAAAACGAATGGAGGTACCATGAAAGGCAAACCCATACTCTTCCCTCGGGTCCTCATCGCCGATCGTTCCGCCGCTATGCCTGCGTTTAACTATCAGCGATTTCAACGTACGGCTGCCGTTCCCTTTGGCTTGCTTATCCCACAAGGGGAAGAAGGCGGTGATTGGTGGTCACCGGTTAGAGATTCTGTCAGAGTATTCGCTGGATTGGACGACGACTCTGCGAATGGATCACCGACGAACCATGAAAGCCGATTGCAGCTCGAGTCCCAGCGCACTGATGTACAATCTGCACTCATTCATCAATTACCGAACCCACCCCACGATCGACTGACAGTTCAGGATTTGATCAAACCCACAGTCGAGGAAAGGTTCTCAAAATGGACGGCTCCGCTACCTTCTCCTCCTTTTGTCGGATCTGAGGATTATGAGACTCTCAAGGAGAATTTCCTTGTTCCATTGAAGCATCATGCCAACCCCGAAGGAAAGACAGATGCATTATCGTTACTCGCAACTTCTTTGACGAGGCAACGAACCACACGGCCTGTCGTGACATACCTGTCCAGGCAAGATTGGAATCGGCGCAAACTGAAAACTGAGGACCACGAAAGGTTTGTTCGTTCATCTCCAATTTTTACTAGTAACTTGAAACTAAAATATCTACAGGTTAGTTGCCGAATTGAGAAAGCTTGAAGTAGAGCTTGGCATTGAAGTAATAGTCGTTTCTGCCGAAAACCTCTCCCGATGGGAACAAATACGTTTGGTTGGCCGTAGCACTATCCTCATTGGTGTACACGGTAACGGGTTAACCGCCGAGTTATGGATGAACCTCGGCTTCCGGTCGACAGTGATCGAGATATTCTATCCTGGCGGATGGGCACACGACTATGAGTATACAGCGCGCGCGATGGGCGCAGGCGGAGGTCTCAAGCACTATGGGATATGGAACGATCAAGTTCTGACTTCGCCGGGTTTCCCCCCACCGTCGTATCCGCCTGGGTTTCAAGGAAATGAGATTCCAGTAGATGGGAAGACTGTGGCGAATTTGGTGAGAGATAGGATAACGGCTGCTGGTCAACTTGATGATGGTTAAATTTAAAAGTCGCTACTAACCAACTTCGACTACGAAGATAGACGAACATGGAAGACGGAACTTTCTTGACTTACATTGAACGTGACGAAGGCGAAACGATTTTTTCGTCTTTAGTTTTTGCCTTACTTGTTAAAAAGTGATCCTGCGATGGCAGGCATGGACATCCGGATTAGAAGCTTTATCGAATATCTTCCAGTAATTTTCCACTTACCAAATAATCGGATCACAGAAACACCTCTTTCAAGTTTCCTACTATTCTCCCTTGTATCATGGAATATACTAGGTTGTAATACACATATATCTATTTATTGATACTGTACTTAGTTTGGAACCGATGTGGTACGGATTATGTGGTTCAAACATTCTTAAGTGCTGCCTGAACGCAGATGTGATGCAAATCGTCGAGACATTCATACAACCCCTCAACCATATCAGGAAGTAATTACAAATAAAAATATAAGTAGATGGCAAGTTATCGCTGAGGCCAAGTCGGTACGGGTACATACATACAAGGCAAGAGCAAGCAGGACAACAGTATTGTAAAAGCAAAGCAAAGACGACCAAACAGACGGATAATCGCAGATAATGGTACAACGAACATAGAAACGAGAGCAAGGGAGCAAGGGACAACAAATTGGAAAATGAAGAGAAAATGCGAAAACGGAAGTGGAGCATGATAGACGATATCACAAAGCAAGAAGAGAGCTGTCAGTAAGAGAAATACGAGGTAATATGGTCTAGATGAGTCGAATATAAAGTAGCGATATGTTCAATGTCAGTCTTCCAGCATTAGTCTTGGAGAACCAACCTGGTGAATCTTCCGCGTCAAGGAAATTTCAATATGGACAGAGATAAAGACTTACTTTGTACATATACGACCGCCACGTCTCTTGCAACCGTGGATCTTCAGCCGCCATTCCCTGCATCGCTGCTTCGGGTGTGTATTGTTGATGTGTATGGTTATACTGCTGTGGTTGCTGCGGGCCACGACGCGGGGCATGATGATGATTGTACGCCACCCCTTCCGCCACGGTTTGATGTTGGCCATTCGGCCAGTAATTACCTCCTGCAGCTATGCCATCATGAGGATGAGATCGTTGATTGTGAGCTTCAAATACAGCTTCAGGTGAAGGATAATGTCGCGGCGGTGCGGAGGATGTAGGGGAAATCGAGACATCAGATGATATTGGCGAAGAATGAACGGGCATATACTCTGTAGGTATGGCGTACATTTCATGCTGAGGTGGATGAGAAGGATCAGGTTGAGTAGAAGGGTGTTGGTGGTGTGAGTGGAGATGCGAACGATTGGGAGGGGGTCGATGTTGGTTTTGTTGATGAGTGACTATATGAGTATGCTGCTGCTCTGATGATGTCTGGGAGGCATAGTGGTAGTGGTTCGGTAGAGGCACCTGTGAGGCTTGGTTGTATTCGCTATGTCCATTGTATCCAGCGACTCGATGAAGATTTGGATGTGATTGAGAGTGTGAAAGGGTTCGCCGTTGATCTTGCATTAGTTGATCCTGCACATGAGCTGTAATTGGTAAACCATTTGCGATAGAAATAGAGGATTCCGATGTAGGAGAGTGATGGTAAGAATAATGCAATTGCTGCTGCTGTCGTTGGGTCTGTGCGTATGCTTGGGCTTCTTCCTCAGCGACTCGCAGTTGTTCTTCTTCCCGTTGATGTATTAGGCGTTGCTCCATATACTGCCGCTCCGATCGTTCCTGTTCTTCCGATTTCTGCTGTTCGAGTTCACGTCTTTGCTGCTCGTATTGTTGTCGTGCCAAATGTTCCGCTTCATATTGATGCTGTCCCGATATCTCCTGACTAGCATAAGGTCCCATGAGTAACTCGTTGAAATTCGGATTATTATATGCGTTTTGGAGTTGCGCAGAAATATGCCCCTCAAACCCATTAAGCTCTTGCACCAGGGTAGGGTGCACCTCGGCAAATGACGGATTCGTTGTCAAATGACTTTGAGAGGGTGAGCCATTTGGTGATTGAGAACTTCGTGCACTTCCATTAGAACCTGGGGAACGGGCACTAGGCGTGCGTGGGGCCTTCGTGGCCACAGTATGCGTTTTGCCGCTGAAAACACTGATCTCATCGGAGCCAGTATTGGACGGACGAAATATGTCGTTGGAGATGGCTGGAGGGATGCCATTGCACGTGTCATAATATACTTTTTGTGCCTTGCCCAGTAGTCGTTGCACGATGGGCTTTAGTTGTAAGATTAGAGAAATTGATATGGGTACTACTGCGATACTTACAAGGAACTTCACCGCTCTACCACCATGACGAGCAGCCTGCTCAAACAGCTCGCAAGCAGACTTCAGCTCAAATAAAGCTGCAGGCGCGACCTTGGATCTAGATCCGTGCGTTACAACAGATGATATCATAACCTGCGATGACCGTTATAAGCGCCTGAGCTGAGAGGAAAAGGAACTTACAGTTGAAGAAAATGCATGTGTCCAAAGGACCCAAAAACGAGCGATTTGAGCCGGAAACATGGTGAACTGCTTCCGAACAGCATTGAGAAGGTCGCAGGCACTGCGATATCCAGCGAGGAATGAGGGTGCATACTGGCTCTTAATTGGATCAGTAGGATTGCTTTGGATTGCATGCGTGAAGAAACAACGGTGAATATAGAGTAGCGCTGGTAATACTGTAAACGGATGGTATAGGGAACACAACGTAAGATGGACTCACTCAACTCTCGATAGTTCGTCGGCATGCAGTAACTCATCGTCTCTTTTAAACCAGCACCTTCTGGTATAGGACCCTGCGCATATTTGGGCAATTCCATATCTCGAATTTTGCGATCCAGGTCCAAAATTATTGAATATTTTGGTGCACGCGAGGTGAGAGTTCCTTGAACAACTGCAGATACACATTCGGCCCCGAAACGCGCCTTCCAGAAAGGGACTGTTGCCCACACATTGATTCATCAGCATAAGATATGTGTAGAAACAACATAGTGATGTGCGATATGAATAAAGTCAATGAAAGATAGCTCCAAGAGGTTATATGATTAAACGACTTACAGCTGGGTTGAACTGTTCCGTCATCCGAAATCGTTCCATCGGGATCGTAGGGTAATTCACAATCCACAAAGGGAAGTGAAAATGTGGCTAATCGGCCGGTAGCGAGACTCTAGAAGATCGAATCTGGGTTTAAAAAATCAACGCTCAGTTCATGAGATAACAGACCTGCCAGCAATCTGTAATGAACAGTTCCCAAAATAGAGCTCGACGTTTCTGGACTTCTGCTGGCGGTAACTTCCATCTTGCACAGTCGCGATCTAGGACCTCAAGACCTTAGTCCTACATTCAATCCTTATAGCTGAAGATATGCTCACGTAAACCAATCTAAAATTTCGAACAAAAAGTGAAGTGATGGTAATCAACATGATGGTCAGCAGAGCAGTAGGATTGACCTCACACTTTGTGCCAGCTTGGTAGCCATACCCATCAACGCCCATGTACTTTCAATACTATTTTCCCCGCTCCTCATTCCCTCATAAATGCCCATGAGAGACAAAGCCTGTACAGTAGCCACCGATGGCGGTCGATCCAATAAGCCCTCTAGATTTAATCCGACTTTTGTCAGATCGTAGTAACGTTCAGACTGCATGTTATCCGGGGCGGCAGGAAGGTTAACGTCTGTCAATGCACCGAAACAAAACACCATGAAGAGCAGTGCAAGGTCATGAGCGCCTCCGGTCCTTGCGTTATGTACAGCAGATGTGGAAGAGCTTTGATGAAAATCCGCAGGAGGATTCGGGTTGGTTCCAAGGGGAGAACTACTACTCATTGTTCCAACACCGAGTCCAGACCTTGCAAGAGGAGGGGTATCTACACCACGATCTCCTACAGATACACCTTCTTGGTTCAAAGAAGGAGCAACAGCAGGCCGCGGAGCTTCAGTATACCACATAGGCAATATCTCCTCCACAAGTTGTCGCTGCGTGACAGCACCAAAAAACCAAGGAGCTTGCTCAAGATAGAGTTCGCATAAGCGCGACGCTTCTTGCCATGGTGGAAGGAAGGTGTCGACGAGATAGTCTAAATCCGGAATAGGCTGCGAAGCAGGGAGCGGGAAAGAGTGTGACAAGTTACTTAGAACGGTGGGCAGGCCGCGAGCTTGAGCTGCTTGTTGCTGCCATTCTCGGATGGTTTGCACACCGTTCAGAGACTGACCATTGACCTGGGTGGTAGAATGGGGATCTCGCCCGTCTAAAGGAGTGGAAACGGTCTCTCCCTGAAGAAATACAAGGAACCAACGATTGAGTGATAGGAAATGGTAAGTTCGTAAATTCTGCCCCGCTATGAAAAACGGCACGTACGATGAGAAGACTCTAAGCAGACGCCACATAATTAGGAAGGAGAAGACGGTATAGCTCGTTAGAATTGACTACGGTGCATCATCGTCCGACTTACTTCGGAGCCCGCAGAGCGGCCATAAAACGTTGACGCACCATCCTCTCTGATCGCCAACGTACCGAACGCATCAAGGTACTGGGAATCCTCCATCTCTTCTTCTTTCACTTTACTGTCTGACTGAATCGCAGCATGCAGTTCCAAGCTCGATTTGATCTTCAGTAAGTCACGGTCAAGCAAAGGGTGGGGTTCTTGAACACCAGTAGTAGAGTGAAGTATAATGAGAGCATCTTCAAGAGAACGTATTCGGTCGCTCATTTGTTCAATCTTCGCGTGTAGTTTTTCTGTATCTGCTAATACAAACCTGGTGAGGATATCAAGTAGTCGTCAGTGTCAAATCCTTTGCTGAAGTGAATAAACTCACCGGGTGCCCTGACCAGTGATAAGGACTCCGTTTGGACAGATACTAGAGCAACCTCTGCGCTTACAACTACACGTATTTGTTGGAAATTGTTGGAAACTTTCTGGAAGAAGAGCTAACCTTGAACATGGGACGGTCTTGTCGCATTTCAACTTGAGCCTAAAATGTAGTGTGAGGCCACCGATGTATTGCTCTTCGACCTCAAGACATCCTACCTCCTGCATTCAGCACAAGAAAGGGCGCCTGATTATAGTGGGGCAGGCAAAGTGATTAAATAAAGTGAATAATTAGCTCGGCTAATAATGGATATCGCACCTCTGGCACGCTTTGACTCTTTATCTTGTGCGCGCTGCATTGTGGGATCCTTTCGCGTGGCCTGGGGCATGGCAGCTCAGTGCGTCGGATGATGCACAAGCACCAGTTTGGGAGGTAGATGGTGGTGAGAGGTAAAAACACGAAATTGACCATGTCCAGTGTACGTACAAAGTCGTGTCAGCTGTTTCCGGTAACACCGTTGGAGGCACGACAGAAGAATTAATCACAAATCTATTTCCGAAAGTGGATGACTTTCTTTTCAGATCATTTTCAACATCGTGCAAGACCACTTTCTCCCGAAAAGATCCCAGATCGTCGTGCAAAGTTTTGCTTCACAAGCCCAAATTCTGGGTGTTGGAGCAACTTCACATTACTGTAAAACAAAATCTAGCACTACATAATAAGCTGATACTTCATATATATTACATATAAGTATTCGAATCGCTTCTGACGTGATTTGACCGTGACCGACTCGGAGCCCCTACAAACTCGAAGGTTCACAATCTTCCCGCACCATCCAGAAGTAGTACACTCTCGTCAACGATCTCACACATCCAAAGAATTTCTTCACCATAGCGACTTGATATCTGGCTTAAAGCTTTGTGAGCGCACACTACAGGAGCCTAGAGCTTGCTTCAGGCCGGCTTGATTGAAAGGAACTGAAAAGGATCAAATCATGGATCGTCAAAAAAAAACATTTACGCTTTACCGCCGCCACCTTGACGACTCAACTCGTCCGCCTGAAGATTTGCCCTCCCTTCTTAGTTGCCTCTGGTTGCCTTTCCCAGAAGGTGAGATATCTTCCATGATGTATGCCATAACAGTATGCGGCTCCATGGTCCAGATCATCAACGAGTTCAGGAACGAATCGAGAAACAACGGACAATGTGAGGAGCCATTGAGGACATACGAGGACGAGAGATTCCAAAAGATTCCCCGATATTCCCTGCATATTCCTGACTCTTGACAGATATAATATGTTCTCAACTCTGGGCCAAACCTTCGGAATCGGGATACGTGGTACCTTTCCAACTGATGGTCATCGTATAGGGACCATACGGTAAAAACCCACATTCAATGGATTCTCCCGTCCTCATTAATTTATCCTATCTAAGTAAAAACCTGTAACATTACAACGAGATGGATTCAATGATCACCGCATAATAGCTTTGTAGGCGACTTCGCACTCACGATACGAGTTGCAGGGCGTCAAAAGACGATGGGAATACTGTAACATGTGCTGTAGATAAGGACAAAAATGACAAGAGTGGGACTTGAACCCACGCGGACATTCGCCCATGAGAAAGGAAGCACTACTGCTTGAGTCACACGCCTTAACCGCTCGGCCATCTTGCCATACCATTGTGAGGTGAGTCGTTATTATATAATGCATCACTACTCATATTCTGATGTTTGGAAGCCTTGAAGTTCAGTTAACTCCTTTCCAGCAAAGAATTAGAGGCAAGATGGCCGAGCGGTTAAGGCGTGTGACTCAAGCAGTAGTGCTTCCTTTCTCATGGGCGAATGTCCGCGTGGGTTCAAGTCCCACTCTTGTCATTTTGATTCTTTAATGTTTTGGTGATGTTTTGTTCTCAGTTTTTTTTTCGTATGCCATCTATGTATCTATGTACTTGTTCCAAGGTGTTGTACACGTGTTAACAGAGCAATCGATTAATGCCAACACAGCAGGCTACTTATATAATATACGGCTGAAGTGGATACAGCTAAGTAGAGTGGAATGCAAATACTAAACGCCGTTGGCTGTTTAATTTACAGTTCTTTACAGAGCATCTTTCCTCTCCTGGTTTGAGCTTTACACAATGCGAGCTCCGTTGGAACGGCGAGCAGAGATGCAAAAAGAATTCCAGATGAATCAGCGAACCCAATAGACCCGATTTTGAATTCCTTCTCTTGCTTGGCGCGTTCCATATTGTGAGCACTGCTAGGGTCCGGGTGCTCCTGGTTGATGCGATAAAAAGCATTGACACTGAATAGAAAAGAGTTTTGGTACCATCAGCGAACGCGGAACGACGGAGGGGATGAAGGGAAAAGGAAGAATGGAAGGACCGGTCTCCGAATCGTCGGATTCAAGTCGAACCAAGAACGAAGCGGCATTCACTACTCATACAGTGAATTTTCCAAGGACCTTTCCATGGCTTCTCAATTTACAAGGAACTCACTATGCTAGACCTCCGCAGATGCCTTCTAAGCTGATTAAAGCGAACACTGTTATGATGCTTAGGCCTTCGGCATCGTCTGCGTAGAATCCAATCGATGACTCAAACGCTAACAGGAGTAAGATGAAGCCTTGCAGCACAGACGGCAGTGGAAGAAGATTTGGTGGCAACGGAGGAATGCCTATGGATATAGAGGACCGGGATAGAAAAACAGTTGTTTGATATATGAGCTATTAGAACAGATAAGAATCGACACAAGAAATTGACGTTGTTCAGAGCCAAATGAATGAAACAAACGTAGTAAAGAGCGAAGAAAGAGTTTTGAATTAGTGCCAGAGAAGTAACAGTAGAGTAGGATGCTTACCTGCCACAGGGGATAGTAATCACGGATTGTATGGATGATTTTGCTCAAAAGCCAATATCTGTCAGGCGAAGGGACAGGATAGAGTAATGTCGGTGCTACTCCCTAGGGCGAGAAAATATGTTAACGAGACTCAAAGCTGAGTAGGAACTTGCAAGAAGTCGTAGCGTCAAGACTCACCTGATTGATTGTATATTCAAACTGAAGGGAAGTAATTATAAGTAAGACCGGCGACATTGGCGCTTGGGAAACAGCTACTCACAAGATAAACGAAGACTCATGTAATAGTAGAGATTAGTGTAAACTGCATGAGACATTTGTGAGGTACTTACACAATGGTAGCATATATCGCGTTAACAGCGGACGTACTAGCCTAACTTTATCATTGAATGTTAACGAGACGTTCTTCCTCGGTCCGGCACGGAAGCTACCCTCCTCTTCTCCTAATTCTTCTTCAGTCGCTGCAAGGGGAGTGTAAGGGAGGGTAGATCCCTGTACATTTGGGCTTTCATATCCTGAAGGAGGTATTGAGGTGTATAAAAATGTTGAACTACTTGGCAGGAGGAAGAAATACGTTGCGGGTATGATGAAAGGTAAGACCTAATATTTTTATCAAGATTGATTCAATGTCGATTGGTATCTGAAAGGATATACTGACAGATGAGAGTCCCACCCCAACGCGAACACCAAGCCCGCGAACCTCCCACCACAGGAATGCTCCAGCAAGTCCAGCGGCGCCAGTACCAGAGGCGAAGTATCTGCAAAAGCATAGCAATTCGTATAATGACATATATAGACGAAAGAAGAAGAGCTCCGTACCCTAAACCGTGTCCTGCCACACTTGGAGGTGCATATGTTGTGGAAAGTTGAAGAAAGGTAAGTTCTCCTAAACCTAATGACGATTGAGCAATGGTTCCATTATTGATGATAAGTTGGAAGGTTGCCTGAAGAAAAAGAAGCTAATCCTATGCCTATCAATCTCGCAAAGAGACTATCAAAGAGTGCGACTACCTGTGCAAATCATAAGCATTGACGCAGGAAGAGCTAAGATTTTACTGCCGCACCAGCATCCCCAATGAACTGAGAATACAACATCCGAATATCCGTTTCACATATCGGATCCGTCCTTTTAGAACATACGGCCAGCCAACTTTGGCAACGAGTGCTGGTGCGATATTGCAAAATGCGATAATACCTTTCGGTGTCGAAGAGGGAACGAGATCTAGAGCGGCTGAGAGAATTATGACATATAGAACTGTAAGATTCGAAGAAGCTTCAACATCACTTTCGCTAGACAATCTTTCCACGTACACACCGTTGTTGATTAACCCAAACAGAAAGAAGGAAGCTCCCAGTTTCCTCATTAGTTTCCGGTCATCTGAAGATGATTGAACGTGATAACGATTGAGTTCAGGTGAATCGAAGAACCGACCTTCAGGTCTGGAATCCAAATCGTCAATGAGATTGCTCTCTTCAGAAAGGACATGTGAAGACAATGTAGGGTACATTTCGAAAAGTTCAGTAGATTCTAAGTTTGAGGTTGCTGGCAACATGCAATAAGCATGTCTTGGGCCGTGTAACAGTGTATAGGATTGAATCGAGGCGCAGTTCGACAAGCACTAACTGCCGGAAAGAGACTCCGATACTCCGGTAGGGACCGGGAGTAACCGGAGGAGCCCGTAAAGAAACGTTTGTGATTGGTAGGCTTTCTCCGCTACCTCCCTCTCTGCTCCAGACGATGAGCTCGTCTCTCATTCTTCGCTCTACGCTACCAAAGGCGCTTGTTAAGCGCTCGCTCATACGCTCTTCTACTCAAAGTAAGCTTCATCACCTTCTAGTATTGGCCAAATAAATATTCATACGGACATTTCACAGTTAGACAGGCAACCAGCGATCGCTTTGCCTACGTCCCTGGTGGCCGTGCGTAATTGCCTGCAACTCTTTGGATACGTGCTCAAAGCAAGCCTGTTCTCTAGCAATATACAAAGGCACCGTGAATGATCCTACAACTTTCCCTCCTCCATCCAAGACCCATGGTTCGTATCACTGGGCATTTGAACGCCTTGTATCCGCCGCCCTCGTTCCTATGACTGTTGCCGCATTTGCTACGAGTGGGACAAACTACCCTATCTTCGATGGTATACTTGGTCTCAGCCTTATAATCCACAGTCATATCGGAGTGCGTCTCGTTGAACCTTTTTGTTCACAGCTTGTGAAAGCTCACTTTTTTTGTTAACTTAGTTCGATTCTTCTGCTGTCGACTACTTACACCCTCGTAAATTCTCTGTTCTTGGCCCGATTGTAAAATGGACTCTACGAGCGGCGACTGTTGGGACTATGGTTGGGGTGTATCAATTCAACACGAATGATATTGGTGCGCTTCGTATGTCATTTTGTTCTCCATGCCAAAACTTATGTTGTTACAGGTCTTACCGAACTCATTGCTAAAGTGTGGGCTGCATGAGTTGAAAGACCCAGGTACGTAGTACTCGGGCTGGTCACGTCGAACGGAAAGCTTTAAGGCTCTTTATTTGTATATTTTCCCTTCCGTGTTCAACGAATCATCGGTACTATGATCTTGTATGGTTGTCGTCCCCAAGTGCGGCCCAGCATCAGGCAGGAGAGGGAAAGAGCATGTGCTATTGTGTAAAGCAACGTTTCAGATACCGGGTTAGAAAAATGTAATTTTCAAAGTATAGTTGACCCCGGCAAACGTATGCTCCCGTAATCGTTATATGTATCTAAGATGAGGTAGTGATAGGCTTTTGCTTCAAACAAAAAGGCTCGGTCAGAGACAGTGTCGAATATTGGCAAGTGTAGTACATACATATGCAACAGCATCGAAGTTGTACGATATGCCGAGTTTCTCCAGCTTGCTCTTTTTATCGTTCTGTCGTCTGAGCAAACGTTTGGTTGCTTTGGCCTGTTCTTCCAGAGTTCGCAGCTAGGAAAAAACACCTGAGTATAGTGTTCCGTTTAATTGAGAAGGTCAACCGACTTTGTTATGCTTGACTCGCGCGACACGCTGCATAGGTACAACTCTCCATTTCCTATTCGCGCCTACCCATAACTCTGGATGAATCTCGTCCTTCGGTATGACTTTGCAGTGGAGGATATGTCCCATGAGTAGGTAATTATTCATCGTCTCCGCAACAATTTCAGCGACTGAGGATGAATCAAATTCCAAAAAACCGTAATGTTTGGATCTTCCGGTCTAAGGTAAAGACACATCAGACGTTTTTGGTCTCCAGATAATCGGCAACGGGTTGACCTTTTTATTTCTAGAGATTCGCAGCCGAGTTACATTCCCAAACTGAGAAAAATATCCCTTGAGCTGATCCTCGTAGAATCCGTGGGGTAGATGTCCTAGATACAAGACTCCCCGGTCTACGGCCTGTAGAGACATTCACATATTAGGGAACACCATGGGACGCATCGTTGATGAAGTACCGGTTGTTTTTTGGCTCTCTCTAGTCTCTTTTGTACTGTTTCGTCGTCCTTCGCTATGGTAGGTAGTTTTGTGATATCAACCGGGGGTCCGTCTATTTCTTCGTCTGAGGAATCGTCCTCGTCAGTCGAAAAGCCGTGTAGCATGCCCTCTTCTTCTTCTTCTTCCTCTCCAGATTGCTCATCCTCGTCATCTTTTTCCTCCGCATCACCTTCTGAATTTGAGTACTGAATTTGAGGATCAGATGATAGCTGCGGGTTAACCCTCAACTTTTTGGTTGCTTTTGCGGGCTTAGAGGCGGAAGACTCAGCGAGCTTGCGCTTCGTTACCGTTCCAAGCCTGGATGATTTTGAGGGCTTTAGTGGAGCCATTGGAGATGCGTTGAATACTAGTCGATGGCAAGAGGAAAGAAAGGTGAAAACTTACACTGCCACTGAGCGCTAGTTACTGATTTCCGCTCATTCTTACCGTAAGTTACATACCAGCAATACCACCTGCATACCATCAAGGTCCTCGCTCGCCGTTGTCCCCATCATATCTGATTTGTGTCTATTCATGTTCAGATTTTACCCTTATCTTCAACCTTCAGATACGCATTAGAAATGATGTCATGCGTATATAAGAAATGAGAATGGCTCTACGAATTCTTTTTCATCTTCTACATCGGCCAAGTACCATTTCTCATTCAGCAATATTCACGAGAGGCTCAAAGCTTTCCTTCAATATGAATGTCAGTACTAATCCTCACAAAGATATACTCATAATCGGAGGTGGAATCATTGGATGCTCAACAGCTTATCAATTAACTCGCCACCCCTCGTTTTCTTCTGTTACTACAACCATCAAAGTCATAGAGGCCTCAAAGCATGGTCCAGCACAGGGAGCCTCAGGAAAGGCAGGTGGCTTGGTAGCGAAATGGGCGTATCCGAAAGAACTTGTGGCTGTTTCCTTCGCAGAGCATGTCAAGCTCGCCCAAGAACATAATGGACAGGACCGTTGGGGATGGCGATTTGTCAGATGCGGAAGTTGGGAAGGTAAAGGTGCCGTGCTCGATGAGGACGCGGAATTCGGCGATGGTGTAGGAGCTGGCGGTCAAAGAAAAAGCTTGGAGAAAACACTAGGACTTGGTGAAGGAACAGTCCACAAAAACGATCCTGCGAGTAGAAAAAGGAAAGGTCTTCCCGACGACTTGCTCTGGGTTGACGAAAGTCTAACTCATACTTACTCCCCGATGGCGGGTGACGGAGACACAGCACAGGTCCACCCCCTTCTTTTCACGAACAGCATGATGGAACTCGCCGCGGAAAAAGGTGCTCAGCTGATTTCAGGTCGTGCGATCGAGCTAAATATCAGTGATGGAGTAGTCACTGGCGTCGACATCATTCATAACGACTCGGGCAAAAGCGAAACACTTCGCGCCACACATGTAATACTCGCAGCGGGTGCTTGGTCTCCATCTCTCCTGGAGTCTCTCCCTATCTCCTCTACCAGAGCTCACAGCATAACAATTCATCCACAACCTTCCGTCGACATTGCTCCTTATGTTCTCTTCACCGAGATTTCCTTACCTGGACGACGAGGACTCACTGTTTCTCCAGAGATTTACGCTAGACCTGGAAATGAAGTTTATGCTTGTGGACCTGGTGATGACTCTTTTCTTCCAAAGAACGTGGACGACGTGACCATAGATGAAGCCGCTTGTGAAAGCATCTGGAAACACGTCTGCGGTATCTCTCCAGAACTTCGAGCCGGGACCGTCAACAAGCGACAAGCGTGTTTCCTTCCCATTGTCGAGACGGGTGGAGGCCCGATCGTTGGTGCTGCTTCCAATATTGCTCAAGGATTAATTATTGCAACCGGACACACATGTTGGGTAAGATTGTTTACTACGTGTGTATGTCTAATTTCACTAATAAATACTGCGTTTGAAGGGAATTTGCAATGCTCCGGGGACTGCTAAAGCTTTGAGTGAGCTCGTTATGGACGGGAAAATTCAGTGCGCCAATCTACAAAGGCTGCACCCATCGAATTACCTGTAGATTAATTTGTTTGAAAGGGCGGGAAGGAGGGAAATTTCATTACCTGTTCATTACCGTTCATTACTTCATGAAAAGGTCTCTGATAAGGGGAATGAATGAGAATAAATAGCCAATGCTTATTCGTTGGTTCCTTGATATTATGCGTCCTTCGTATTGGCCTTTACACCTCTTTACACACTGTACACAACCAGACCTTCGGATAAGCGTGGGCTGATTGATGTCAAACAACCCGGGGATGAAATTTCATTTCGTCCCCAGGCTCACATATTATAACCCAGGTTTGAATTTATGTAATTGGTACTAGGCTGTATGTTTTTTACAAACCTCGCTTCATACAATATCTGTTAGCCCTTGGGATGAATGGCAGTCAAAAATCAATGACACATTGTGAGGACATATCTGACCTGTGTATGACCCAAAGGCTTTGAGGATAATTTTGAGGATAAGCAGGGCAAGGTATTTATCTTTAATACGGCACCATTTTGACCAGATGAGCTTCAAATTTATAGTGCTTCACATTCCAAGTCAAGCCATGCAATTGGCAGGAGGCTAGTTTGCTGAAGATAGACTATGAATATTTAGTAGAGATGATTCATTACAGTAGCAGCAAGATAGTATGATAAATGATTACTTCGACTGATTGCGCACGAAAAAATCCACCACAAGAATCCGCCCGCTCCAAATCATTTCATGTTCCATGAGTCATTCTTAGGTCACGCGAGAAATGTTGATTATTGTTTGGTCTTTTTTTTGCCACGTCGTCAACTTTGTTCAAACGTTCAACATTCAACACTCAACACTCAATGCTCAACGCTGGCCCTTTTCAATCAACATTTAACACTACGAGGATCATTTAAATTAGGACGCAACCTGCAACTAACTCAATGTTCAACTTGTCTATTGAAGATACAAAATATTCAAGGCTCGGACTGCATCATCCCCCCTCAACCTCAACCTTTAAGTTACGAGATTCACTCCAACCTCAAGAATGACATCAAGCTGAACAAGCCCTCTATGCCGCCATCAACTCTGCAAAACTGCCTCAACTGCCTACTTCAACACCACATGCTTCGGGTACATCAAAACATCCCCTTCCCAAGATTCACCAAGCGATTTTTTGTTTTTTTTCACCCGTCCAATTAATTGGTTCCCAGGTCAGTGTGTCTTAAATTTTAAGTTTCATTCTCAGATACATGCTTTATTGTGTTGCACCTTTGTATGTAGATACTAAGTAATGATTCAGTCCAATAAAAGATTTGAAAAATTTGGAAAAGAGCAGGAAAATGAACGTTCCGAGTACTGCAGTGGGCCTTGATTATGTAAATGAGTTGATGCCCAGCCTCAATATTTTGAACCCAGGTTTCAAGTGATGCCGGGGTTAAGATTACGGAAACTGTACTGAGCACTAATTTAATCAGGCTCAGCATCAATTATCGCTGGGTTAAACCTGGTTGAATAGAACTGCACGCCTGTGTAACAAGAGTCGGAGATCTAGGCAAACTCTGGACTCACTTACAATACTCGCCTGCATATACCCAGCAAGTTTTGAGCCTTGAGGCCTAAGGCCTAAACTACATACCTGATTGAATTGTTCTCGGAGCTTCGGTAAGATTATCTGTTCCGAGGTCGGACGCTGACAGCGGAACGCTAGGATAGTATACGTAACCACTTTTTTCAAACCCCCCCTAGTCCTTCCCGGGTCCTTTCTCTCACTCCCTCCCCTGCTCTCCTTCCCTTTCCTTTGTTACACCTTAACGACGCGTCTATCAACCAGAAGTGAATTTTGCTTGTCTCTGACTCGTAATTCGCAGGTGATAGAGCTCATTTGCGAACTCCAGGCACTGTTCAGTCGCATCCCGAGCTCAGCTTGTTTCCGCTTCATTTATTGATTCCCCTTTACGACCTCTCTACGCCTACGAATCCATCATCTAATCAGTACACACATCGACCAACTCACAGGCTACGAAAAAGATGCCACGTCCTTCACTACTTGGAAGCATGGAGCCTCTAGAGTGAGTGATAACATACTTTTTATATTTTTGAAGTATCGCGTTTTAATCGAATACCTCCTTGTCCTTGACAGTGCTTTGTGTCACCACTTCAATGTGGTGAAGCCTTGCTATACATCTGGAGATCCTCTGCCTAAATATATTGACATGCCTATAACGAGAGATGCACACATGCCAAGCCATGCCCTCGCACTGTACCAGTCAACGACCACCTCATCTATTCAACCACTCATAGTTCCAATCGATGCGGATATGTATAACAATGGCTTCCGGGTAGATGATCTCATCCCCCCCGTTGCTCCAGGATCTACTTCACCTGTACCCTTTGTCCATCCCAATTCAGGATTACTCACGGTCTCCCTGCCTCTGGTTCCGATTTCTCTGCCACACATCGCATCTATCCCACTGCTTTTGCTTTTCGGTCTAGGTCTCGAGACCCAAACCAATTTCCTCGCGCTTCATCTTTTACCCCCCAAGTAATATCTGAATTTCCGAACTCGGCTGAGATGGCTCGCCAAATGTCGTTGCTTGCCGAGGAGGAATTTCAGCGACGGGTTAAGTATAATCAGGGAATGTGGAAAAATGTTCTCGCTTTAGGTGTTAAAGACACGAGAATTGTGGAACTTGTCCAGACTGCCTGGAATGTTACTGCAGAGGCCCGACGATTCCGGCAATTCCGGTAAGGTATTTCAATCCTGGTCTAGTAGTCCTGATTTTTTATAACGACACAAAACATGAATTTGTTCTCTCTCCTTTGAACTCTTCCGCTCTTTCTATACCTTCGTTTTACTCTAACATTCTTTGCACTCTGGTACATCCACTTGTAGCCTATCGTTCCGTTATAATCCCTACACATTAATCAGTAATCATTTACCTTCGAAGTTTTCTGGTACATGTTCGTTATTATGTAAATTTGCTCAATAATATACTTCTGTTTCACGAAAATTGGTGGCCATGGATAGATAGATCGTTGATATGCTCCTCGAGACTCGAGAGGGTGAGGTGTCGAAAATTCAGATCGGGGACACTTCCCTTTTTGAATAGATCTGGGGTCAAGTCAATACATAAGTGGAGGAAACTTTCAACCTGCCACGAGTTCTCAAGCCTAGCTTGTTCTATATAATTTACCAAGAGCTACAGAATAGGACGAGATACAAAAGACAGATCTACATACACAAATTCTACATATTTCGATCATTCCACACTGCGAAGCAGTTGAAGAAATGAAGACGAAGGAAAATGATAACGATAATGTATAAGATAACGTGTATATATATAGATACCCTCGCAGATGGCAGAAAAATATAAAAAGATCACGCAGTGAGACCAATCATCTCAGCCTTCATATCGATTTCGTGTCTTAACATGGAAACTCGGATGTCGAGTTGACTGGAAAGATCGATCGAATGCGGGGACAAATTCATCGCTGCGTCGAGCTTGATACGAGCAGACTCGAGGGCCGTTTTCCATCTCTGTCCCGAATCAGCCAATGGACCTTTCCCATTATTTTCCTCGACTTCGACCTCCTTCAGGTCCAAAACCGCTAGTTCGAACATAGCTAGTCCACCGATCCAAGTACTGACTTTGATTGAAGATTGTAGAGCGTGTGCAGCGGAAAGCAGTTCGCGGGATGCACGAAGGCACGCGGAAGCATTGTCAGTATACGGAGTCAATTCGTCAAAGAGGGTAGAAGAGGCCGATTCTACGATGGACTCTGGTTCCGATCCCGGACTATCGATACAGGACGAAGATGAAGATGCAGGTCCTGTTGAGGGTGGGCTGTTACCCTTGATTCTTATTCCAACGCAACCAATAGAGCGATGTGCGATTCCCAACAGTAAAAAACGGAGGGCCAGTTCGTCTGGAGTGTCTAGATCAGGCGTCGTTGAAGAAATCGGATCGGCCATATAAGGGCTGTCGATGCCCAAGGGAGGCGAAAGATCTGACCACTCTTTGATATGTGCCTTTGCGAGCGAGGGTGAAATTAGATTATGAGTATTCCAAACTAGTCGTAAGGTCAGTTTGGAAAAGATGCATAGGGATTTTCAGGCTCACAAATACCCATTTCTTCTGCTGGGCTGATCCGTATGCATTCAACGAACTTGGCCTCGTCTCCTCCCAGTCGTTTTTGTTTCTTCTTGTAGAATGCCACTGTCGTGCTAATTAACGATTTCGAACAGACACAGAACCTTCGAACATACATTTCTTCTTGATCAAAACCTCCGTTGGCAATTCCTTTCCCCCAATTTTCCGCTTATCCAACAAACTGGGTATAGCATCCAAAAGTCCCTGAGCCTTATTCAAATGATTCTCCTTCTCATAAGGTAAAACGTTGTCCGAAAGAGCCAACGATATATGGCAACCAGCGGCGATGAAGTAGTACGTTCCATGAGACCAACCAGTCAGCTCCGTCAATTTGAGGAACGCCGCTGCGCTCTCCATATAGTGTCTCTGGGAGAGGCGGATCCATGCGAGCTCGAATAATAGCTGTACCAAACCAATTTTCTCCGTAAACACCCAAATAATCAACCACAGCAACAAAGGACTTACCAACGAATCGCCCTGTTTACATCCCTTGCTGTGTTCACCCTCCGCATCGCTCTGTCTCTCTTCTAGGCCGCTTGTGATGACGCGAATAGCACTTTCTGGATCGCATGTCATACGATAAATTTTCGCCTGCTCAAATAGTTTGGTAACACGAGAGGAAGATAGAATGCGATACGTACTCTGTTCAGTATCCATAGCGCGCCCGTTGGATAACGCGTCTCGATGCTCCTTACCACGCCTTCGTATTCGCGGATAATGCGAGCCTCGTCCGCCTGGTAGCCAGATAAAAGCAAGACGGTTCCGTGGTACGTCATCAGTACTAACCTGAAGGATCCTTAACGTCTTGACGATCGAAGAAAACGAAAGAAACATACCCTGCAAGGACACCATGCACTTCACCCTCGGCTGCATACTCTGCACTCACAGCGAGAGCTTGTAGTGCAAGGCGACGATCGTGGGCAAAACCAAAGAGTCCAGCTACAGATCTATTCCATAAAATTCAGAATAGAAAGGCTATATTTAGGAAACGATCTCACTGAATTTTCTTTGGCAGGAGCGAGAAGATAAGATTGAATAAGCCGAATCCTTTGGTATTATCAGCAGGCGAAATTCTCAGCGCCAACAGCAGTACTGACCAAAAGCGGTGCCGGCTATGATAAGGCTTTTCAGATTTTGAATCTCTTCCGGATTCTCTGCTTCGACGGACAAAGAGAGGGAGGAAGCTGAGGAGGAAGCTGATCCCGAGCCCCACCTACCCGCTAAGCTGAAGAACGATGAGCCCTGCCTCACAGGGGGGCGGGTGGGTTTATTGGGCTTTGTGGTAATGAAAGCACTGGAAGTTATAGCAGATGAGCCCGCTGACGAAGTTGCGGAAAATGGGAACAAAGGTGTAAGTGGGATAGAGTGGCTATCAAGACCGTTAGGGAACACTGTCTTGTACAGCTTGCTGAACTTTCCGTACGCCGAGTTCATGGAATAGATGCATTGTAGATAGCCCATGTATGACTCGCTGAGTGCGTGTGTAACGCCTAAAAGTACCACAGTGTCTGCGTTTGCGATCTCATATTCAAGGCCTGGGGGAAATGCAGTCGACGCGAATCTCGATTTCGATTTAGCTGCAGCCTTAAGTGCAGTCCTGGACCCAGCCTCTGCCAAAGAAAGAAGGCGGGCAGCTTCGCCCATCTTGCTCGAATCTAAACCCAGAGAGGCCTCCAAAAAACAGAGATAACCACTGCCAACGAGGTGGAATGGATCATTTTCTGAGGCGAAGACTTTCTCAGCGGAAGGAATGTCATCGGCAAAGAGATGATCGAATCCGCGCGAGGCCGACAAAAGGTGATTAGCAACTGCGTTCGGAGAGTAGGCCATCTTGAAGGCTATAAGTTCTACAACTTCACAGACTAAGATTGATCCGAACTAAAGGTAAGTAGCGAATAGAGACTCACCCGCAGAATCGATGTACTTTGTATTCCTGTTGCTTGTAGAACAAGAAAGAGGGGAGAAATCGACGTCGAAAACTTGGAGTCAGTTGCAGTTGACTATTAGTATATATGTCGGGCATCGAGACAACGATACGGCGGATAAGTCATACTCAATAAGGAAGACAGAGTGCGTAGAGTTTGTATGATAAGAGAAGAAAAGATAGGAGAGAGGTACATAGGAACAAAGAGCTACAAAGAGGCGGCGGTCGAAGTGTCGCCGACGCACCACTGCAGTAAATATGAGCCCAGAGGCTGCGGAGATTCGCGTACCGACGGATTTTACTGATTTTTACTGATTTTTCGTTGCAAAATGACAGTCGAGATCATTGAAATCGAGGTAAACGAGCGTAAGCGCTCTATCTCCGGTCTTTTTCCTATCCGTTTCTTTTCCTTTCCGTTCCTTACCACATGTTGGGCGATTTATATCCTTTTATATCTTTGGCACACTTACCGTCATATTAATATCTGCTAGGTACAGTGACCACCGTTGTTTTGCACTCGCTTGAACCGTACAGTCCTTCATAATACCGCAGATGATTCGAAATGACTTGCTAGAAAAATAGTACAATACTGTAAAGACTAGGTAATTGGAAGTTTGGTTTAAGAGGGATGACATTCGAATCGTACTCCATACGAATAAAATAGGCAACTGTTCATATTCACGAAAGAAAAAAAAGAAGACATAAAAAGCTCAGCGCTCACACTGGCCATTTCATGCATCGACCTTCATAGGTTCTGCACCACTAGTGGCAGCCCTACTTTTCCTACGAGCATACTCGCTCTGCCTTGCCCTCTTCTTGGCACTCAACAATACGCTTGCTTCACTACTTCTGGCTCCAGACACGCCGATATGACTTCTTCGTGCTGCGCCCATGCTCTTCCTTGGGGCCTTGTGCACCCCCACACCAAGGCTTGACCGCTTCGCGGCCAGACCAACTGCGGATGGACCTGTATAATCTGTACTAACCGATGGCCCCGATCCCCCCGAAGGGTTGCGTTGGGACGCTAGTTTGGCAATTACCTTCGAGCGAGATATACGTGGTTTACGACCTGATAAAGAACGTTGTTTGACAGTTATCTCTCGAGTAACAGTCTGTGATCTTCCACTTCGAACTGGAGAAGGCAATCCCGAGCCCTTAGGCACCACAAGCGGCTTGCTAAATATTTTTGAAGAAGACGGCGAAGAAGCAAACGGGGTTTCAGTCGGAACATTGAGGGTATCAGACTTGAGTTTATTTAAGCTAGCGGCTTTAGCCAAAGAGCTAGCGGTGGGGGCAAGGAGACGCGAACTTGTCGTCGAGCTAACACGGTTAGGATCGAGGGTTCCGCGTACACCGAGACTGGAAACCCTTGATGAAGTTGTTGAAGTTGTTGAAGTTCGAGAGACCCTCGAAGAGTTCGCGATAGAGCTATTGCGCGTGAACGTAGTACCCGTGGCCGATGATCGAACACTACTACTCTTGGTCGGAGCCGCAAATGAGGGTAGAGGAGACCGGGATCGGGAAGAATGTATCGTTGTAGCCACAGAGCCCAGAGAGTTCATTGTTCCCGCGTTAGAGACATCCCTGTTGCGAGGTGAAGTACCTGAATCTGTTGCAGAGAATTTCCTTTGAGTACCGGAAGGCGCAACTTTGGCTTTTGCCTCCGTAACTCCAGTAGAGGGCACTGACTTCGCTATAGATGTTGAACTGGAAGGGGCTTTGGATACTGGTTTAGGCGGAACTACAGCAGGGGTTTTTTTCCCTCCACCCCAGACACCCTTTACGATAGACTTTGCTGCATTGGATAGGAATCCGAACCTAGACTTGGACACCGCCTGCTTTGGCGGCAGCTTGCCTATCAAGGTTGTTCATAGTAAGCGACGCAGGCAATCAATCCGTTCAAAAATGAGCAACTTACTGTTACGACCCACACTGACTCTTCCGCGTCCCATACTAGCTCTCCCGTTCGCAGCACTGCTCCTCCTCCGAGCTCGGTTCATCTCTAACTTTCGGCGAATAGCGTCTCGCTCCTTTTCTGATTTCTCTAAAGCTGATTGATCAACCTCCTTTGCTCCGGTATCATCCTTACCGGAGAACTCGACTCTAGGTTTCTTTCCAACAGGCGCTTCCTCATCCTCATCCTCCTCCCCAAAGCCTCCAGGAACAGTTCTTCTGGTGTTGCTTATCACTCGAGTGCTTGGACGCTTCGCTGGTGCATGGCGACCATCATCTACAGCGCTGGACTTCCTCTTCTTTCCCATCTGTACCGATTCAATACTTGAACTAGTGCCTACAGGTGCTTTTCCGACCAACGATGAATTATTCTTGCGGTCCAGATATCCGGCGATACTCTCCATTCCATCGAATTGGTCCTGATGGGCTTTTTCGAACTTTTGTTGTATTTCCTTTTGCACAGCATGGGCGCCGAAGCTCTTGCGCAAAGGTTTGATCTCTCTGTCTGTGTATACTTTCTGGGTACCGGGAGTAAGATGACTTCCAGCGCCAGGACGCAGGTTTGAAACGAGGGAAGTACCAACTGCTTCGACACCATCAGCAAGCAAGCGGCGATTCATCTCCTCTAGAACCGACGCAGCGGCTGTTTGAAACTGTGCATTGGACACTCTATGCTGAGGCAACGGAGAGCCGAATACAAATGCCTGAGATTTTACGCCAGAAGGATGGGGAAAACCATCTGATAAAGATTGAGAGGGCTCAACGGTCGTAGAACTGACAAGCACATCTTCCATGGGCAAGTCAGGGTATATCTTGACATTTTCGCCTTGACCAGGCCCCGAGGGACTTCCTAGTACAAGATCAAACGCTGTGTTCCACGGCTTTAGATGTGGCGTGCTCGAGTTTTCAATGTCAAGTGTGGAAGTCGAAGGTCCAGGGGAATTTGTGATACCGATCATGGATGACGACGATACTAATCGAATGGTCGTGGTAGCACCCGATGCACTTTTTCTGGGAGTTGCTAACCCATAGCCCAAGCTGAAGCGAGCATCTCCCAAACTTAACCTAGCATTATTTGGTGCAGGCGCTCCGGGTCTGAGCACATGGCCTGGGAGTGGAGCAGTATCCTCCCGGTTAAAATCAAACTTTGAGAGCGTGGCAGGAGTAGGGGGGTTTGCACCAAAGTGCGAGAAGTCGGAAAAGTGATCTGTCTGTGGGATCTGATTCGGTGAAGGAACAGGTAAACGGGTATATGGAATCGCGTGTTTAGAGAGCTCGTCATCAGTGGCAGGCGGAAATCGGTCTCCTCGAGTTCCTGACGCATGTGCATTCTGGAGTTTTTCGCTACTTATAGGCGGTACTACGGGAGGTTGCTCTGAGAGAGAACTGGCCACGACAGATTTGGCGGAAGTGCTGCGTTTGAGCCCTAAAGAAGAGGCCAATGCTTTGATAGATGAAATTGTTGATGCTGTGAGGACCGGATCTTTAATTCGTGGAAGTCGAGAGAGCAAAGAACACGTACACTTTGAGCCACCTGTTCCAAACTCTCTGTTGGACGCGATGCTTCTCAACGTTCCGTTTCGCGATCCGCTATCTTCGTTCTCGCACTCCGCGATGCTCTCCATGACCTCCCATTGCTCACTTGGACGAGGAGGATTCACCACCGCGGTAGTGCTGCCTATTTTGCGGTCGGCGTAGTTCTCTTTGTTGTTCCCGCCGTTGTCAGCCGCCTCGTCAATCTCCATATCGCCGTTATCAATGTCATGATTTCCCGAACCGATACTTAGGGATCCTTTGGGAAGATCCTCGGCTACCCTCTTCAGTCTCTCGATAAGTTCGACATTCTTCCCTGAAGCCTTTACAGAGTGAATTTTGCAGAGCTTTACGAGTTGGTCACGTTTGAGCGAGTGCAACGCGGGAGAGTTGAACAGGATTTCCGTCGTCTGGAAAGAGGACATAGTATGGGCCGAAAGTTCAGTTTGAGATTAGTAGATACGTCCCAGCCACGGCCGGGAAAGTAAGAGGAGTTCAAGAACAACTGGCAGTGACAAGTTCAAGTTGAGAAACAAGTTACAATTGGAAATCAACCAATTCACGTGATCGTTCCCCTTGAACCGACTCGGAATAAGACAAGTGTCTCTGCGCCCCCAGTACGGTATTTTGTAGATATATCCTAGGTATATACTTGTGTCAAAGATCTGGCAGCAGCTTGGCTTCGCGTCTCCTCTCCTTGAGTAGATGGCGAGGTGGTGAACTGGTCTGATGAGAGTCCTCAGTCGACGAGATACAGTAGGTGCGAATAGGCGCTTAAATAGCGCCTTGCTTATCTTATACTCGAGTCTACATGTGACAAAACTGGCGCTCAGAGATCGCACACGTCTCAGCAATACTAGCAATACTAGTGACTGGTTCGAGGTCTAGGTGATGTTGTTTTGTCGAAGCTGGACTTCACAGTGAGTCTTTTGTACTAGTCTCATGTAATCTCAAACTCTCTTGATCAATACGACAAGTTGGAACAAATGCCTGCAGGCTCAAGGTGTAGCAAGAAATCTTCAACCAAGGTGCTTGTGGTGGGAGACTATGTACTAAATGTATGGTAACACAGCGATCATGCACAAGAACAAACTGTGGACAACCGTTCAAACGCGCGCACCGGATAATGGAGACTAGTTTAACGTTCAGGTCTGGTTCAGATCTTTCTGTGCATACTCTAGCATACCCTTCGATAAACGGCACTAGATGGCACTTCATGGGCACTGAAGCACCAGAGATATACACATACTTGCAGTCCGTCAAAACTGCCATCACTGCAAAGGCAATCGACTGGTTGTGGATATGTACATAAGTGTACATACCGTTGGATCAAATATTGGCTGATGTTGCAGGTTGTCGACATCTTTATCTCATCTGTCCTCGTCACCAGACATACCCTCACATTTCATCAGGACACAGTATGCCACTCAGCATTGTTGATTAACCTCATTCTTAAAGCATTGTCCCTACTACTACTAGTTCTGAGACAGCCATTTTTGCAAGCTCTACATGCATGCATGCCATGGCACAACTGTTATGTTATTCGTCGAGCTTAATGATCAGCTCGGATGGTTTCATCCCGGTTTCAACTTCCATCAGGTTTCCACAGGGCTCTTATACGTTTTTCATGATGGTAACTGCACAGAAACTGAGGTACGGACACTTATGTAGTAAGGATTGACCTGTACTGACTGCAGCCGATGGCGAGACAATCCCACAATTTCCGAAAACAAACAAAAAAAACAAGTTTTATCTGGTTGACTACGTTACTTGCTATTCATTATTTTTACAGCCGTATCCAATAGCTTCGGAGTGCCTGATATCCTGTGAGCTCGAGCCTCTAGGGCCCTCTACCACCTTTTCATGCCTTTTCCCTTCGTCCTTTTTGATGACTTGAATAGATAGATAGATACGCCTTAGATACACTTAGATATTGCTTTATAGAGATCAGTTGATAGTCCCCTCCTCCGAGTAGAACCCCAATCTCCGTCCTTCATGTTTAATTCAAAGTTGTAAGCCCAAGGGTCAAGAACACAAAGTGACCATACATGCAATATCCAGCCAATATCCGAGATCAAGAATCAATAAAAACAGGCCAAGCAGTGGCAAGAACATTGAAATCCGACTGCACCGGTAAAACATCCAGGTCCAGATCGACACGAAATCCGGAGTCTGAAATCAGATGCGACCGCTTACAAGCCCGTGACCCTGAAACACCGCCTACGCGCTTGAATACCCAAATAATAAATTACAAAGCTTCTATAAGTAAACCGCGAATCCTTCACTCTGTTCTATTCTCGACCGTCGAAAGATGCCAGATAACGAGTCCTCTTCTACCTCCACTCAATCTGTCCAGCCTCGGAAGCGGAGGGCCACACAAGCATGCACTGAATGTGGTCGACGTCGTGGTATTATCGCTTGCTCTGGACTATAACAGAACATGGAACTAATTGTTCTCTAGTCAAATGTGAGGTCTAGCAGAAAAACAACCACTGCTAAATTTATTGATCCGCCTCAGGTGACGGAACATCAATGCCGAATGGGATCTGTTCAAATTGTATCAGCTTGCAGATAGACTGTACCTATACTTTAGAAAAGAAGGTGTGAGATGAAACCAGCCTTTCCCTGTCCCTGGCTCACTTATGCAACTTTTGCAGAAACGCGGTCCCAAAGTCGGGTGAGCACATTAAAAAACCCTATGGCCAGTCCAACTTAGCAGCAAAAAATCTTAGATCCAAACGGCGACCTCCGTCTGAAATTGCAACGCTTATCTACACTATACTGGCTGCTCCTCAGAGCTTTGCCCTTCCGCCAGATCCTCAGTCCACTCGTAACATGCTGATAGATCTCGCAGCTTATGCACGAACTTTAGACGACAAGCTTTATAGGACCCCTTCTCCTCTAAGCGCCACCTCCAGAGCTTCGTCATTACCCACATCTCATGAAGCTTTACACGAAGATATCGAAAGTTGCGACAGCCGTAATGATATGGAATATTTAGCTACCCGCATACATGGCCTTTCGCTCGATTCCAGTGGTGTGTCTAAATTCAATCAAGTGAAACTACTACAAACGGCACTGGATATCCGCGACGAGATGTACGGCGCAGACACCAACACCATAGTTCTACAGAAACGTCCAGAATTCTGGGAACAGGCTCCGGTAGGATGTTTTTCAGTGAGAGATCCAGCTACATTTATCGATCCCTTTGTTTCTTCAGTGGAATGCCGACGAAGAACCGTCGTTCATCTTTCCAGAAGATGATCTTTTACGAGACCTTGTTTCTCTTTACTTCTCGCGACTACATTACCTTTATCCTCTCTTCCACCAGCCCACGTTCGAAATACATGTGTTCCAAGAGAAGCTACATTTAAGAAATCGAATGTTCGGCGCGACTCTCCTCGCTGTCTGCGCCAATGCTTCACGACATTCCAGTGACCCTCGAAATTTGTACGAAAACGCCCAATCAGAACACTCGTCAGGATGGAAATATTTCAAACAAATTCAGTTTCTTCGATTGACGTACCTGCAACCCATGACGTTGTTCGAGATACAACTCTATGCAGTACGTGATGTTGTTTTCTGAGTCCATTTCTGTATTTACTGGCTCGATGTTGATAGTTATCGCTGCTCTTCATGTTTCCAGCATCCAACGGAGAAGGTTCATGGCCGTGGGATATGTGCAGGCCGTGTATACAGCTAGCACAGGAGGTCATGTCGAATATTCAGCGACAGTCAAACCAATTGCATCGCGATAATGTGGAATGCGAACTCTGGAGACGGGCTTATTGGGTGCTCACCGTTTTTGATCTTTCCAGAGGCATTTTCACCGGTCGAATAAGAGAGATGATGCCTGAACAGTAATGAGCTTGGTTTGCATATTTTAAATTGACTACTCATCTTTGTGTCCCTTTTAGGCTCGATCTTGAATTTCCTATGGATTGCGATGATGATTATTGGTTCAATGATAATCCTGAACTTCGTTTCGTACAACCCCCCGACAAACCTTCTTATCTTTCGTACTGGCGGCACCTCCTCACCCTGTTAGTCGCTTCTGCACGCGCACGTCGTAAAGTAAGTGTTGAATACACGTAACTATGTTCCCTGTTTGACCCTTTTTAACAAGGGTAATGCAGAAAATCTTACTCCGGAACAAATGTTACAACGACGAACAGCATATCTCAACAATTGGATTGCTACCGTGCCAAGTCATCGTAAGTTCTTCCGGCTTCTCATCGTGAAATATTCCGACATAGACATCCAGTCCAGTGGGATCCCCATAACCCCGATACGATTTTCTTCCACCAATCTCTCATGCTTCAATATACTCATAGTAGAATTCTGGTGAGAATTTCGTCTGGTCCAAATAATTTGCATCCTTCCGACTCCAATCCAGATACAAAACCATAAAGCTTTGCTTCGGCCTGGACATATGAATTTCTCTTCGCTTTCCATGTGCGCTAATGCTGCAAGATCGTATCTTCACATTATCGAAGTACAGCATCAGCGTTCCGATTGCTTCCTACTCCCGAATTTGATAGTGCGTCTCAACATTACACAGTCCGATTCACATACTTGATTGGAGACTTATAGCATCAAGTGTTTATGTGCGGAGTGATATTGTTGATTAATCTTTGGAAGAGGACGTGGATGAACTCGATGCCAGACCAGCAGAAAGAGACAGCCGAGGTATATACATGCTTGCAGTATTTATCACTCTATGAGCGCAGGTTCGTTTGAATTTCTTTATTTGAGTCAGTATCCCTCCTTAGCACCGATTATTTAGGCACGAGTCAGCAGGGCGTCTCTAGTATGTCTTGGATATTTACAAGCCTGCTACCGTGTTGATCTTCCTCTAGTGATGTTTTATCAACCATGATATCTGCTAGTGGAATTCCTTCGCCCTCCGGAGCACCTTCTTTAAAGCGCTCCCGAAGTTATGAAGAGCTGGAATCAAGTGGATGGCAAGATGGCATTGAAGATAGTGATTCATACTATAGTCATAGTCGTCGCATCAGATCACCAAATTCCAACCCATCGATCCAAAGTACTTTCACTTCGTATATGCCGCTTATCGACCATACGCACAACGATCGAGTCTGGGATCAATCTGTCGTTGCTTCTCCGAACAATGAACCATTAGTCTCCCCGAGCGCGAAGTAAGTTTGTCTTTCTCTCATATAGTATTAATCGACGGTGATTGATCTTCATGGATAGGGCTGAGGAAGATTGGACTTCGTTCATGGGTATGGTGGACGAAATGCTACAGGCGGTTCATTCTTACCCCCAAAACTCTTGATTATCTTTTCCTTCCATTGGATGTCTACGTTCACAAACGATTATATGTACCATTTGTACGTCCACGATTTTTCGTTGATTTCTTTACATGCGCGGTCCTATTCTTACAGTTAAAATAGATGTACTTATTAATGTGTATATGTATAAGCAAAATGTAATCTCTTCACACCCGGCCTCGAATTGAACCTTGAGCTATCGGAGTATGTATAGATGCAACATAAAAGAACATACATAAATGAGCTCTCGACCATGATTTCGACATGATGTCATTGCTCACCGATTTATTCCGCCGAACGGAACGGAACGTATATATCCTTTAACTTTTCTTGTGTCGATCCAGACTTCTTTGCTTACTTCTTCATGTTGATTAGGCTGCCTCTACTGCGTCACCAGCTAGGGCCACGTGCTTTCTCTTCGAGCTGCCGTCGAGAGAAGCAGCGTCTGGTAATCCTTGGGTCTGGGTGGGGAGGATACGAGGTGCTTCGCGGAGTGGATAAGAAAAGATGGGGTATGTTGAATTTCTCCTGAACGGGTAGCGCATCCTAATCAAGGCTTCAGATGTGGTCCTGGTATCCCCGAATAATTACTTCAATTTTACGCCCCTGCTAGCTAGTTGTGCAGTCGGGACACTCGAATTCCGTTGCGCAATTGAACCCGTGAGGATTGTGATGCCAGTTGAAGGAATTTGACTAAACCAACTGCGTAGGTTCGCAGATACTCTCCAGCTGCTGTACGTGTAGAATTTCATCTGTGTACTTGTTGCTGAATTTTCGTGGAATCGCTAGGGCATCTATCAAGCGTGGTGTGACAGCATAGGTACGTTGACCCAAACTGGATTCTGTGTACGAGCACAATGTAACCTGCCGCGGCCAAACAGATTTTAGAAATAAGGTGTTACAGTGTGTACGTCTTGAGACCTCTCATCAGGTATGAATAATTCTGAAACCAAATTGAAGATGCCTGCAACAAAACCAAGTCACGTCGCGTCTCCTAGTGACACCACCTACGACCACCAGATATCGACCACTAGTCCAAGGAGCGGGTTATCCTTCCCCCTAAAATACGATAAACTTGTCATTGCTGTGGGTGCATATTCACAAAGTAAGCAAAAATACCCACTTCCATGTCAATGTTTAATCTTTCGGGTTTCGCGTAGCTTTTAACATTCCAGGTGTTAAAGAACACGCACACTTCTTGAAGGATGTACGCGACGCGCGAGCAATTCGAAGCCGAATTTTGGAGTGTAAAACCTGTTTTTTTTGGTTTCGATTATATCACGCTTATATACTTGATACCGTCCCAGGTTTTGAACAGGCTAATCAGCCAACTCTCTCCGATACGGAACGTCGACAGTTATTGAACTTTGTTATAGTAGGAGCAGGGCCGACTGGAGTGGAATTTGCTGCAGAACTGCATGATTTATTGCACGCCGAAATTTGGGAGCACTATCCCTCTTTAGCTAAAATGGCTCGAATCAACCTCTACGACGTCGCGCCAAGCATCTTGGGAATGTTCGACAGTAATCTTGTGCAGTAAGTGAAACTGAGTGGGATGACCAAAATCAGTGACCTATTTATTGATTTGCTCCATTTAACAGATATGCCGAAAAAAGTTTCCGTAGAGAAGGTATCAGTATTTGGACAAGTCATCACGTTGATAAGGTTGAATCGGTAAAAGTTTTACTGGAATTGCCAGATATTACTTATTGAAACTTTGTGACCTCCAGGGCAAACTTTTTATCAAAGAGCAAGGGGAAGGTACCTTGGTTATCCATCTCAGTGACTTCGCGTCGATTAATTGACTACACAGTCCCATACGGTTTACTCGTATGGTCAACGGGTCTTTCCCCGAATCCTCTCATTGCTTCAATTACTGAATTCAAGAAGCACCAAAAAAGCCAAAGGTGAGGTTCGCGTTCTCAATTGTTGCAGCTAAGATACAATCCTAGATCACCGTCTGGCTCAAAAGTATCATCGCAGATGATCATCTGAACGCCCTAAGAATTGATGGTACGCCTGATCCCGACGTCTACGTGATTGGCGATGCGGCCTCCATTGCAACCGGCGTTCTTCCTGCTACCGCGCAAGGTCTGTGTAGTAGTCTCGGAGACTCCTGACACTTGCCTCAAAGATTCAACATCGTTTTTCTAGTTGCCAATCAACAGGCCAAATACCTTTACAAAAGGCTCAACAAGATCATTAAAGATCAACCCCATGAAAAGCCGTTTGAATTCCATAACCAAGGAACTTTGGCTTATGTAGGTAACTGGTAAGTTTGTCTTCACGAGAGTTTCATTGTATGTATTATTAATCCTGAGATGATTGTAGGAAAGCCATTTATGACAGGCCGGAAGAGGGAGGTCTACCGGGGCTGAATAAAGAGAAGGGGCGTCTTGCCTGGCTGCTTTGGAGATCGGCGTACTTTACGCAGACTTTGAGTGTCAGAAATAAGTGAGTAAATCTTCTGCCAGAGTGAAAAGGAAAATAAATATTGATTTCAATGTATTAGGATTTTAGTCCCCTTTTATTGGTTCCTTAATTGCAAGTTTCGGTTTTCTCGAAGGTGCAATTGGTTTGACATTATTTTGATCTTCCAGGGATATTTGGACGCGATTTGACACGCTTCTAACAACATCTACGAAACGCCTTTTTTATGCAAGGCATTCACATTCACAACCGCAACAGAGAAATTCTCTGCGTCGAAGAGATTTCTCCTTATGTTTTATACCACATCTCGCATATTTTATAATACAGCCAAACTTGGTGTCAAATCAGCCTATCCTACTTGCATACTACATTTGTTCACGAACGACCTGAGCGCACAGTCGCAGGCCCGAGTCTCTTTATTCCCGACCTAAGATTATTGAAAAACTCCTTGCGCTTGAGCGCTTCTGGTACGAGACTGGCGTGAGTCTGCAGCTCTGTTATTACCTTCGACCACGAAGGGTTTATCCCTTCTGAGCACTCGATTACACCGTCTCTGCTAAGTCCGATGTGTCCGATGTGCAAAAAAGAATTGGTTTGGGGAAGTGAGATAATGGATGTAGAAAGTCCCATCATTGGTAGTCGAGGTTTGTGTTCAGGCGACACTTGTGGAGCCAAAGTGGCAGCGCTTGCATTTGAAAATCCAAAATTTTCAAATCTGGATATCGCAGATCTTTCAGAACGAACACTTGGTGCACGTCCAGAATATTTGGAAGGTGATTTGCGAACTGCAAAAGCGTGATGAGCAGGGTGGATTAAAAAAAGACAGAAAACAAGGAGGAGTACCTTTCATTTGCGAGTCTTGTGTAGGTAAATGCGTCTGCACACTCTGCCCGAAAATATATCCATCTTCATCTCTATCGAATAGGAATCCCCACATCCTGCTCTAGAAGTAATGTTCGGCAATAGTCAAGCAAAACCAAAAAATTATACTTACCCTACCGTTGAAGATATGAAAAAAGGGTTTTTCGATGTGATATATACATTCCTCTGGTATCGAAAAGGTCCATAAAATCTTTCCTGACAATTCATCTCGGAGGCGAAACCAGTAATTAGCCTGAATAAGCTTAGGACTGGCGCTCTCCTCTGTGGTAAAAAGCTCGGCGTCGGCTTCAGAGTTATTCAGACAGAACTGAATAGTGCCCCGCTGATTGAAATACTGCCAATCGTATTCCATCCCGCTAAATTTCGCATGATATAGTTTGACCGTAACTTGCGCTAAGACTCGCGAAGAAGAAGACGAGGAAAGCATGGTTGTAGGCGGAATAGACGATGGGCAAGTTTGTTGCGTAAATGTACGATACATTGTAACGAGAATGCACTCTAATAATTAAAAAAAAGCCCAGATCTTGTTCTTTTCTGTCATCGAGTCCTCATGTAGACCTCATGCGACATTCTGCATAGCAATGCCACAGAGTAGATACAAGACACGATGAAAACTCACCTACATACAACGACTAGACTATCTATATTCAGGTCAAACGCGATCTACACGAGGAGAGTGCTCAGGATCCAACAAGCACTCGAAGCGCAATTAATGAAATTGGGGCATACTATGTTATTGTTATTGTCCCGACATCGGTTGATGCATAGATAAATTTTGCCAAAATTGAACGTCTTGAAAGATATCGGAAAACTCGTCGCCGACTTGAGGGTTATCGATCATTCCCACAGTGATGGCATTGGGCATTGACGAACACATCGAACTGAGATCCAAATCTGTTTGCATCATGACGTTCTGAGAGAGTTGGCGAATTTCCCTCGCACTGATGGATGAGGCAGACAGGTACTCTGTCGGCGAAGCGGCGATCGCGGTAGCGTTGGGGGGTTCATTTACGCTTGTGACCTCGGGCTCCTTATCCCCTAGTTGTTCTCGACCATGCCCCTCGACCGTATGCCTGAGTTGGCCTTGAACAAGGCTGTCAACTCTATTCGATCTTGCAGGGATCTGCTGGTGTTGCTGCGGCTGCGACTGCACTGAAGGCAACAGCTCCTCCCTATGCATCCACAACTCCAACAGACCTCTGAGTAGGTCAGCACATGTTAATGCGGGATGCTTTCTGGGCACCTGTAGCAACTTCAAGCGTTGGATGATGCTCTCGAGCAACAAGTCGCTTGACCCAGGTAACACACATCTCCGAGCATTGAACACCATGAATTTGAAGGAAATGAGGAAAACACCAGCAAGTTGGATCAAATGGAAGAAGTAGTCTGGTGTAGAAGCAAGAAATTGGACATAACTTTCGTCACGATCGATCCTTTCGAGAAGCTCCTGGAATGAGACGAATATTTCTTCAGAGATCAGCAAGGCTTCTTTTCCCCAGGGCGTGAATACCTCTGCGAAGATATTTGAATAAGATCTGGACTCCAGAGCTCCATGACCGTAGTAAATTGAAAGTCTACGTGCAGCATTGACGGGATTGTGGATGACGAGAAGGCGGCAGCATCGTGTTACGATAGCTTGCACGCGATAGAACAGCGTATGGTCCAAGCCAAACATAACTAAAGTATTGCGTCAAGTTACTGCGTAAAGACAACTATAGTATTAAGCCCACCTCTCAAAGGCAACAAAATTCTCGTACAATTATCGATTCTTTGAAATGCGCCTGTCATTGCGTGGTGCCATGATTCGAATTCTTCCATCGCGTTCAACCGCACGGAAAGGCCCTCCTCAGTCGCGCTAAGGGTTTCTGCAAGAAGTCGGAGTCGAACATCCATAGCTTCGGTATTGTCAGCTAAGGTAGACGGGCTAAAGTGACTTGGACTACGGGGAAAACATTTGAGGTATGTCTTCTGCCTTTCAGAAAATGGTGTCCTGTAGGTTCCGATGCACGACCTGAGCATCAGAGACTTTAGAAATGAGAGGTATGACGAATTTGAAAGCTCACAGCAATTCAGCATTTGTAAGAGAGACCCACTATATAAGATAAACATTAGTCGAATCGTTCTGAATTAATGCAAAGTCCGCATACAAGCCTAGCAAGATCCGCAGCACTAGCCAACTGTAAAGGATCGACCTCTAAGCCCTGTTCTCTCATTATCTTCAACGTCGAAAACTTTTCGGGAGCTTCATTTAGTCTGATTTTGGTCGCCAAACTGAGCGCACAGCTCAAGAGCAGGTGTGGATCTCTCCATCCTTCCTCTGGTTCATTTGAATCCGATAATGGTTCCCATAGAGCGATCAGAATCAAAGCTTGGATACATTCTCGCACATATTCCGCAGGCGGGCGAAGAACAATCTGAGAAACAGCACGTTCAGTGGCACAAATAAGACGGTCAACGACGAAGGGAACGGATGATAATGATGGTAGTTTTCTTGAGGAGATGGTACAGCACACGAGGTCGAGCAACGGGAACGAGTCGGAATGAATAAGTGAGAAGCCTAACCATGGTGAAAAGCTCTCATCGAACCTGCAAAGAAAATCAATTCGAGCAGCAACATAGAGAATGGAGGACGCACAATTGTAGAAGCTCTTTGATTTGTGACTCTTCAAGTATATCTTCCAAAAGCTCGACTTGAGATTGAAATTGACTTTGTCCTTCTGATTTCATTCGAGGTCGATTATAAAGCTGAGCTTGATGCTGGGCAGAAATTTGATGTACGGCGGACATGGGAGTTGACCAATCATAGTGGTCGTCGTCAACGTCGGTGCCACAATACCTCCACTGACCAAAGTCGACCAGCCGATATTTCCATATTGATTGTGGCAATACTTTGAGATCTAAAGCCGTCGATGTAGTTGGAATTGGTGTAGATTCTTCGGAAGATTGGGATCCTGTGATTAGAGATGTAGTAGTGGGTGTCGTGGTCGAAGGACTTGATTGAGGAATAGCTTTGACATCAGTGAAATCAACGAGCTGCTCCCAGGCTTGCGAAATGCCGGGTTTGCGCCCTAGGCGCAGAGATTGCCTGTCAGCGTCCTGGTACGAACATCGCAAATCAAGCGTCTTGCACCGGTGGCAGCGAAGGATCTCGGAAGTCTTCAAATCGTCCAGTAGTTCGCATCGGGCTGATAGAAATCGGTTAGAGGAATTGAAGGATAGTAAATTCCCAAAAGAAGGCAGGGACCTTTGTTTTTTCTGCAGGTTATGCAAGCTTGAGCTGCTCTTGAGCGTCGGGAAGTATTTCGTGCTTTGGAAGCCATGTCATAAGAAGGTATATGTGGCTTAGTGTAATAGATGCTGGGCTAATACCAAGCTCGCACGGAAATTACGAGGGTTCTGATAGAGCTTATTACAGTAGCGCTATGAGGTTGCTCTCATGGAGCGCTAATTTGGCGCTAATTATTATGAACGAACATGTCCAAGCGTCTCAAGGTAAAAATCACGCCCGGTTAGACCTCAAAAGTATTCTACATTTGTCTAAGAGAGCTATCTATCCACAAGAGCTCATACAGGACCCGCTAACAATGATTCATAAAGATTGTACCGATGTGGGTTACTACTAGGATTCAAATCATTCCAAAATGGGCGTGACAGGCTCAGAGATAGGCGTGCGGTCATTGCTCGTTGGTTTTATGCCATTCGGTCCAGGAGTATTGGCACTCGGGTTTCGTATGTACTCAGCAAGAAATTTCCGCCAAGCAGTCTTAGATGGCACAAAGTGACCTGCAGAGTGATTTGTTTTCAGTTAATGCCCGAGTATTTCAAGTGTATTAGGCGACAACTGGGATAAGAACACGTACCTCCGTCATGGAATTCTACGCGCCCATTCAACGACGCATCAATTAGTGATTGAGACCGTTCTGGAGTGACGATGATGTCGTTGTGGCCTATTACATGCAATGTAGGCGTTTTGAAGTTTGGCGTGAGCAACTTGGCACCCAATGGGTCGAGAGGTTTGTATCCCGCGACAGAGATACAGAATTCACTAAGAAACAAAAAAGTATGAGCATGAGCCTGGTCCCAGCTAGAGAGCAAGCGGATACGAACAATGGTGGATGTACTGCTTTGCCGTCTTCGAGGAACAAAGGGTACGTTTCTGGTTTCTCAAGCTGTGTGAATTTGGATTACGAGTATTGAGGCGCATTTCAAGAGGCATATAAGGGGCGACGTACAAGACCAGAAAGGAGGGCAGCTAGAACAGCTCCTTGACTGTTAAAATTTGAAGGTTTAATTCTGTGAGAACTTGATGTATGACGCATTCCTGTACCTGAAGCCTAATACACCCTGAAAAGGTCGTTCGGATCCTGAATACGTGGGACAAGCGATGTGACTGCAAATACTTACATTGAAGACTCCTTGCTCCTTCAACACGTCCTTTAGCTGTGCAAGCGTAACTTCTAATCCTGCAGCAATACTTTGCACGTTCTGTGTTTTCCACCACCCACGTTGAGGCTCTTTCGACGGCGGTTCTGAATCAAATCCGGAAAAGTATCCCATCTGGGATGGTGCAGGCAGATCGACCGGCTGTAGGACATGTAGTGCATCGATGAAGACTGAGGATCAGAAGTGTGTCAATTGAATGGATTGGGGTGAAAAAGATGGTGTACCTAGCTCCACTTCAGGAAGTTGTTGACGAAGAGCTGCGAGCTAGACACCACCGCAGTCAGATTATTTGACCAAGCACCGTTTTAGGTTGTACTAAGGACCTTCTTAGAAAACATGCTCGCGTTCTGTGAATACCTTGAAACATCCTACTATAAGAAATTATTGCCCCGAAGACGAAGGCAACCTCTGCTCACCCGTGAAGACATAAGACTCGTTTCTGAGGTGAAGACATGGCGGTGGTAGATCAAAACGGAATGGATCAAGGATGCGTATATGTTTTCCAGAAATATGCAACCCCAGAACGGCTGCTTTGGGGTTTTTTTTTCCTTCTTTACCTCGCGCTGATGGTCCTAGCGTGATCGAGATGAAAGGCTTTATAAGATGATATGAAAACTATATGGTGGCTGTCATGATCATGCATGGTAACTTATAAGTTATCAAGTAAGCGCTGGGTATGGCATCACGAGCAGCGTAGATGAAAAAGCCCGGTTTACATCTGGTTTACATGTGGACTTGAACCGTGCTCGAACAATCACAATCACATACATATACAACATTTAGCGACATCGACGATCTTTGCAAAAAATCATAATGTGAATCTGAGCACATAGCGCTGAGAACGGAGAAAGTGCCTTGAGCAGCTCGGAGTTGGCTGATGATTAGTGGCAGGCCCGAGTTGCGGACCTTCAGCCAGATCGCGCAGGAGTAGTGGAATTTAAAGCGCCGCGTGCCCCACGACCTCGACCCCGCCTTCCACCACGGATGCCAGAGCCAGCTTCAACAGAAGGACTTGGTCCTGACACAGATTCATCACCTCCACGTGGCGGTATTACTGGTGGTATTGACCCAGTCGAAACATCTGCTATTACAGCACGCTGCAGTATGCTGGGCACCTTGGGAGTAGTAGCTATCGGGGTCCCACTATTGCTGCTAACGCTGTTTTTACGTTTGGAACCACCGCGATCACGTTTTGGAGAGGGAGGTTTTGAGCCTGAGGAAACGAGCGTGTTGTTCGTATTGGTAGTTGGGATATTAGTGGAAATGGACGGTGCATCTTTCCCAATTACTAATGCAAGTGCTTGTTCTTGAGGACCGTGTTCTTTATCCTTGTTCACCGCGGCTGCTTCTCGTTCTTTCTCTCGCTCTTTGCGGGACTTTCGTTCTGCTGCGTTAACACCGGCCCCACTCAAAGCGGCTTCGAACTGACGAGAAGCCAAACCTAGCATGGGACGAACACGACGAGGAGCAGGGGTCGGAGCAGTCGAGGAAGATGGGTCCGTTTTGGATTGAGATTCGGGATTTGAAGGTGCTACTGGTGGATTATGTGTTAGTAATTTGGTTGGAGGTTGGACCGAAGGTTGAGTGCGGGTTTGGGGCTGGGATAATTGTTGTCGTGAGGCTTTAGAGGATTTAGAAGGCGGACCACCAGACTTGGCAGCAGGACCGCCTGCTGTGGGAGTGGATGTGTTATTGGCATTCGACACAGCTTTCTTGTTAAGAGCCTTCTTACTCGAAGGAGGAGGGGCAGATGATGATGCCGAAGGATCGATGCCTGTCTTTCCACCTTTCTTCTTGCCTGCATCTTCTTTTCGACTGGCCTCAAGGGCCGCGTTCCGCATGATGGCCACTTTTTCTTTGACCGCAGCTTTCTCTTTGATAGCGTTCTTCTCCGCCTTTAGTGCTTCAAGAAGTGGTGTTGTCTTGGGTTGCGGGACTGGTTGAGTAGACGCGACTGCGTATCTCAGTGTGAGCGAAATTCGAGGAACATAATGCACATTGTAACGCACTGAGTGTTTCAATAGATACAGGTTCGCGGTTCGCAGATGCAGTCAGGGATTCAATGAATGAGATATAGTTCTCGTCTGCAACGGTGATGAGATTGGTACTCGTTAGCTAGAGGGGCAACACCTGCCTTTCTCAATCGTTCCATTGCGAGGATCTAACTTCTTCTTTTCGGGCGGTACCTTCTGATACGGCGCAAATTCCACGACAGCATGCGCTTCGTTTCCTGCGAACGATGAGACAGGTCTTCTTGAAAGCTATGAAGCAAACCTGCCTGATTTATCCCTGAACAAGTGTCCATCGTACTCTTTGCTAAAAAGGGCCAATTGTTCTTCATTTTTGAAGAGGATGTACGCGCGCGAAGGTACGTTCTCTTTATTCAACCTGGCTATTGTTTAATCTCATACACGATTAGAAATCACACTGACTTACCGACGTCGAAATTTTCCTGGGTAGTATATCTTCCACGAGACAGTCTCGTCTGTTACCCAAGTTTGTACACTCTGCCAAAAGATCTCTTCTGGTAGATTGGGAGGAAGCTTTCGGACGATTGTCTTCAACCTTTCCTCATGCTGAGGAATTTTATCTTTTCGTTCTTTATCCTTTCCCTTCTCTCCGCGAACCCTATCCTTCTTGGATTTCGCAGGCGATGAGGCCGAATGAGCGGTGGTTATGGTGGATGTCATTTGAGTCAGTCAGTATGCCAGCCGGTGTAGCCATTTCGGCAGCTTTAACCATAGCTATAAAAACCTAATTTTCCCTGGTTTTTCTTTTAACCTTCAACGTCAACATTGATCTGCAAAACTTTGCACTTCCAGCAAGTTCACGTATTCGGTGTGTATTTCTACTCCTTGCTTATTCTTTTTATTTTCTCTTTCCTCTGATGAATAAAAAATCACATATCAAGCTCAACAGTCATATGGTTTTATCCAGTTGATGACCTTTCTGCAATACTGACCTTCTGTTTTTCTTGGATTTGCGCTGTCCTTAGAGAATTTTACTGATCTATTTTCTGCATCATAGGCGATCCATAGTCTACGAAGACAGGAGGAATGTATTCAGGATTTAGGTATAGTAGATAAATCATACTCGTTGCTATACAATGCTACACAATTTCTTGACCGACACAGAATACTGTTAACATACGCTTCTTTAATACGTGAATGAAGAAGAACGGAAATGAAGATGGAGATTAGTCCTTGATTCAAAGAAATACAATCTGCTTCAATTTTTTCCACAGACGACTGCCCAATGAACGTTGTCTGGTAGCGTCATCGACCCTGGACTTCTCCATTCTATTGCTCTCAGCTCGTTTATACGGTATTTGGCTGCCATGATGAGAGTGCTCACTGTCAGGCTGGTTGTGTGAGATTGAGAGACGATGGCAAGGATCCTCGAACGCTGATCCAACTTTCCCCTCTCCGGCAGAGCAAACACCACTTCCCAATTCCTCCAGATTTCCAGCTTCTCCCAGCTTTCCTTTACGCACACTTGCAAGTCTCGGAGTGGAGTGTATCGGCTTCGCCTTTGTGCTTTGCTCGAGCTGTCTATCGTGATTACGTGAAATGGTGCGGACCATACCAGCCCAAGATGCTCGCTCCTTTCGGGGCAACGTCGCTGGAATTGCGGCGAGTCCCGACGTGGCTGGTTCACGATTCTGTTCGAGACGCCATTCTGTGGAAACAGCTTCCTGTCCTTGACGCAAAGACTGAGCACGGACTGAAGCACTAATCCCCGTTCGTGCTTTCGACCTACATGTTCCACTCCTGATCGTGTTCATTGTCGTGAAGTCCCGACTCTCACTACCCTTACTTTCCATCGCACCCAAAACTGCCATCGTCAGCTCGTTCTGCAAAAAGGGACTCAAGTTCCCAGTTCCTGTACTGTTGTGACTGCTTTGACTGTGGGTGTGGCCGTGCTTAGCTCGGGAAGCTACACTTGGAGCACGACGAGCACCTTGCTCGCTGTGATGTCCGCGCTGCAAAGCCAAAGCCTGTGCTTGAGCCATCATTCTCGTCCCCGTTGAGCGACCGAGTGTCGCTGTGTGTGCATATCCATTGACACTCCGAATTCGTGGCGTGCAGGGCATAGGAATTGGATCCGTAGCTCGACGGTTCTGATACTCAATTCGCATACGATCCAATTCGTGCGCGGGAAAAGGTAGAACACTGATGCCGCCACCACCACCGCCAGTGGCCCTAGGAAACTGGGCAGGAGATAAAGCCGGATTTGATGCTGGCTTTTCATTTGTTGGAACATTTTGTGATCTTGAGCTCATGCCTGATAGGATGTGTGATTTTTGCCTGAGTTTAACTTTGGTTGCGTCGAAGGAGCTGGGAGGACCTCGAGATGGGAAAGAGAGTGGGGCAGAAAATCGTCTTCTTGAGTTATTAGTAGCGCTGATACTGCACTGTTCCTGCCGCTTTGTCTCCTCCTTCTGCCCCTTCTCCCCCTTGGATTCAGAACCAGAAAACGAGGCAGGAAAGGAGAAGCGCTTCTTGCGTGCATTGCTCCTAGTGTCGATTAGAGGGCATTCGAACGGATTTCCTCCCTCGACGACTGAACGAGGGGAGTTTATAGTAGTATTGACACTCGAATGTTCGGTGAATTTGTGATTCGGTAGTCGGACAGATAGAGAAAATCGAGAGAAAGAACGTTTTCCTCTCGTCTTCTTGTCCAAAGGGATTGATATTGATTTTCGTCGGGGTTGTATATTTGCGCTAAAGAACAGAATATCTTCACCCTCTCTAACTTCCTTTACCGCAAGAGACGAGACAGAAGTAATATCGATAGTGTTGGATTTGAGTCTCGAATTCTCTGTGCCGTGGTTGTCCATATTTCTACCAGGAGTAGATGTATCGCCGGTGGGAATACTTTCATCTCCAGTCTCCCTCCTAGTGTCTCCAGTGACGGAGGGTTTCGCTGATTCTGCGGAAGTCACATGGTAATCTGTTTTAGATTGAGAATCGAGCGAAGCTACGCCATGTAGAGACTGAAATTCATGGGCGGATTCTGGACCGTAGACAAGGGTCGGCCGAGGCGAGTAGGGATTCGGGAGTACAGACGGGAGGGAATCAGTTGGGTCTAAAAGTCCATCGAATGGCCTTGGATTCCATGGATTCCATACTTCTACATCATCGGCGTTTTCCTCGTCATCGTCGACACCCATCTCAGCTTCGGAATTCGCATTCATTACGGGTTGAGATTCGTGTTCGACGGAATCAAGCCCTAGATCTTGATTGACCTGCCCTGGTGCTGGGAACACAAAATGAAGCGACGCCGTTGACGGGAACGATTGTAATGGACTGATTTGGTTACTCATGCCGTCTTCTGTCGCCTCCTCTTCCTCTCCCCCTTGATTTGCTTCTTCGTCCGAATGAATGAACAGAAACGATTCTTCATCGAGTGTATTGACAGAAGTTGATACCGTTTCGCGTAAATTGTGCGCTATGTCAGTGTTTTCGTCGTTGGAAGAACGATCTGGGGCAACGAGGGAACTATCTATGGGATCGTCCACAAGGAGACCTTCACTGGGTACAGACCAAGTGATGTTGAGACTTGAGGGCGAATTCAGTTGATTACATTCGTGAAGGCTTCTCCCTTCATTTCCTGTTGACTGGGAAAGACTTGCAACCAAAGATCTATCATCGTAAGTGGAACTACAAATCCTGGGGGACAAAGCTATTCCCAGCGAGATATCGGGATCTAAAGACGTTGTCGGGGGCCCAGGAAGTGGAGGGTGCTCCAGCGCAGCGACTTCGTTCCATGAATTCGAAATGGACTCAAAAAATGGATGATCCTTCACATCTTGCCCTGATAGACGCTCATGAGCATTTTCGACGAGGAGCTGCATATGGCTGGTTAGCTGAATCATTATCGTGAAACACAAGAAGCACCCACCGCTTGTATGAATAATTGTAACTGTAACACTAAGTCATGAATTCGATCGTCTTCGTCACACTGTAATGCGGCCACAAGATTCTCCATTGCACCGAAGCTCAAGCTGAAATCACCTATGTTTCTGCGCTTCGTTTCCTTGTGATGACGTCCATCGCCTGAAGGTAGAACTTCGTCTTTCGTCGTAGTCGCTGAAGGAATAGTGAACGGTGCGCTTCCTGTCGCAAGCTCATACAAGACCACTCCAAAGCTCCACCAATCCGCTCGTGAATCGTATATGATGAGGCCCGCTCTGTTTCGACAAACTAATTCGGGGGCAGCATAGAGAGGTGTAAACGTAATAAGGTCGTGAGCATTTAATACGATGGGATGAAACATTTTCTGCACTCGAGAACCTGGCATGACCGGAAAATCATAATTAAAAGAAAAAGGGAGTGCATTAGAAGCACCGAAATCTGCTATAACGACATGGCCGGTTGAAGATATCATAATGTTGGCCGGCTTAATGTCTTGATGGACGATGCCGCTTTGGTGGAGAAAGATGAGTCCTAGGACTAGCTCAGCGGCGACCAGACGGAGACTCTTGAATGGAATGATGCAGTCCTTAGTTCGAGATGTTGAGTGTAGATCAAGAGAAAGTGAAGAAAATGGGACCGGAAGGGATTTTGACTTTGAGATAGAGTTATTTGCATCGGAAGACGTAGAACAAGGATGTAGCCGAAGTCGAGTAGCAAGTAGTGGATGGGCTAAAGACACAGGATGATACTCCTAGAAGAGGCGCTTGTAAGATCACATATTGTATGTACTAACTGCGACTGACCAAGACTATGAATACAAACTCTTCGTTCTGGAAACTTTCGATCATATTTTGGAGAAACGACACGCCGGAATTCTGAGGCTGTTGGGTCGCATCGTTATACCTTACCGTATCAGCGATCCAGCGCAAAGCGCGTAATTCTCTCTTGACCTCCTCAACGCCATCTTCATGTATATCGTGCTTCCTCAGAACCTTGATAGCGCGAAGACCACTGCCACCAGCAGATTCATTGCTGATACTTCCAAGTAGTACTTTCCCGTATGAGCCACACCCGATAGTCCCAACTAGATCAAAGCATGAGATCGACCTACAAGCTGGCGAGGAAAGTGTCGGGTCGGCATGTTGAGCCCAAAGTTTCAAGGCGGGAGAGCGCGTTGTGAAATGCGGGGACCCATCAAACAGAGGAGCGGAGCTTGATTGCGCAACGTTGTCAAAAAAACCATTTGGGTAAAAGTAGGTGATGGGGCAAGCTTGTGACAGATTGAGGGATGAATGTTGTAGAGGAGGTACAGTGTTCCGTGGCGCGTCAGAAGCCAAGCACGTAGAATTGAGCTGAGGAGATTTACATAGTGGCAAAGGCGAGCGTTGTGTAAGACCGCTTGAAGGGGAATTTCCATCTTGCGTAGAAGATCTTGTACTGTGCGAGAACGTCAAATAGTCTGAAGTTGATTCAAACAGAGCTTTGATAGCTTCTGACTCTGTCAAGTCCGGCATAGATAGAGAACGACAGAGTGAGACGACGAACAGAGGTTTGGTAGTTATAATCAACGAGGTGTCGTTGCGATAGTCAACGTTCACAAACACAATCAAGTTGCAACTTGACACAATATTAATGAGAGGCTGCGTGGGAAACATAATGCCAAAAGAAGATGCAAGCGTTTAATTAAACCGGCTTGGTTTCCAACCCCAACAATGGTTTCTTCAACACAATTTGAAGAAGCAACTACAGCGATTGTGGAGCCGACGGAATCTCCAGAGCGGGACCCCACTGAAGACGAGGATATGGAGAGTACTGAAAGCGAGGCTGGGTCTTCCAAGATGACCATAGAGGAGAGAAAGGCCAAGATGGACCAGCTACGAAAGAGATTGGTGAGTTTATATGATTTACCCCATAAAATCTCAGCATCTAATTAACAATATCCTTCATTCAGGTTGCCTCTTCTCGAGCAAATCGTCAATCACTAATAGAGGAAAGTACCAAGCTGAAGGTCACAGCTCGTGACACAGCCCGACTTGAAAGACAGAGGAAACTTGCGGAGACTCTTCGGGAGAAGGCTGATGCCGAAGAGCGGGGCGAAGACGTTAATCGCGCTAAGAATTGGGAATATACGATCGAAGAGAACGATGCTTGGGAGAAAAAACTTGCACGCAAGAAGCGGAGAGCCGATTTCGAGTTTCATGGTGAGATCAAACTGAATCATATTCCATTCTTGCATTGCTAATGCGTTGTTTTCGCTGAGAAGATGATGCTCATGCTGCTCGTCGACGGTATAAGAAGGACCTTGACCTCATTAAACCAGACCTCGATGCCTACAATAAGCAGAAGGAGGTCGCTATGGGGCTAGCTCCCGGCACGCTCTCCAACTTTAATCCTAAAGCAAGCCCTCTTTCGTTGCAAGTATGTCTGTTTCTCTTCGTCATACTTTGTGTCCAAACCCCAACACATTTCAGGTCTCTACCTCCTCCCTCGAGCAGCAGCTCGCCGCCGACAATCTGTATCGAGATGCCAACACCCTCATGTATGGTGATAACAAGCCTTCTGAGGATGCTATCGACAGAATGGTGTCCAAAATCAACAAAGAGTACGCGTTGTTCAACCTTGTTTCATTTTGGGAGTCTCTAACCTCCTCGAACTTGAATCATTCAGCATCGACAAAAAGGGCAAGTTCTCACGCAAGAGGCCTAATGAGGACGAAGGGGACATTACCTATATCAATGAACACAATCGGGTGTTCAACAAGAAGGTCAGCTTGATACCAGATGATTTTTTCCAAAATCTAACTTTTGTGCTTTCACAGATTGCACGGTACTACGACAAATATACTACAGAAATACGTGCTAGCTTTGAGCGCGGTACTGCGTTGTAATATCTTCTTCTGGTACAATTACACTCCACAGAGTACTTACCTGGTACATCTACATATATGTGTAGTCCTTGTATACTTACAGTAAATTATAAGCAGAAGTATGTACTAGTCATCTTCTGCACAGGATTCAGATTACTGTCGGCTTCTACTTGAAAAAAATCAAGCTTCAAGTAGTCATATTCAAGTGCTACCATAGCCTTTCCAGCCTTTCCGTGTACATTAGTCAGCACCGAACTGCACACGGAGGACGACCACCATGAGTTCATCGACATCAGCCACATCTTCTCAGCCTAGAAAATCACAGGCAACAACGTGTCAAGAATGCAGGAGGCTCAAAATAAGTGAACGGTTTACTTCTCAAGCCAGAGAAGCGAGTTACTTAATTGATGGTGTTCCCAGAATGTGATCGAGTGTTCCCTTGCGCCGCATGCATTAGGAGAGGTTGTGGAAATTTATGCCGTGAGTGCTTGATTGTAAATCGTGAACTATTCTTCTCATGTCAACTATATATAACAGCCAACGGGACGTTGGAAAAAGGGAAAAGGGGATTCTTAAAGAGACTCGAGCAGGCGTTGCCTCCATCCTTGAACAAGGCCGGAAGCGATGGTGCAGGACCATTATCTGAGGTTGCCATGTTTGTATCCCGGGATGCGGCGATGGCGAAGCGCATAAAAGATCTTGAAGCAGCGTTGGTCGAAGCAGGAGTTGAGGTCCCTGGACTGCCTCGTACCACTCATAGCAATACAAACAAACGAATAAGAGCAGGAGGCAACCCTTCTGAGACTGAAATTTGGGAAATCAACAATGATTCTTCATCGTCGGTGTCAGATTACAATGATGTCGCAGTAGGCTTTGGCACGTTAACTATCGACCCAAAGAATCGGTCTCGATATATTGGCTTGTCCAGTGGATCCGCTTATCTAGACAGTGATATGTGGGGTTCTCGAGGTAAAGAGGTACAACCGCAAGACTATGTAGCTTGAATTTCATTGACCCTTGACACACAGGATCAATCTCTGAATAGGAGTGAGTTTCCTGGTCCGTCGGTCGTTATATGTTCTGAGGTCTACCCATTAGCTTATGAAGACTACTTGGAGCGCGACCTTGAAACACAGATATTAGCTACACTCTGTGCATTTCCGCCCTATGAGGAGGCCGTCCAGCTTGCTAATCTTTACTTCCAGCACATTTCTTTTATGTGCGCGTTCTTGGGACTACGAATTCATTAAGGTTGTTGACGGTCTTTGTTTTTAAGGTATGAAGTTGTCCCCAAAGAAACGTTTTTTTCAAAACACCTCTCAGCGGTCTACAATGACTCCATCAAGACACTCCGGACTCCCCTTCTGCAACACACCGTAGCCCTCGTTGGCATCGTTCTTGCAATTGGACAATACTTTGATTTAGAGAAACCTCGTTCCTCCGTTCAAATACGAGCTGCAGAACTTTTCCGCCTTGCCTCATTTGCCCTGAACAGTCGCAATATCATTGACGGAGGTCTGAAGATTCTTACCTTACAGGGTCTGCAAACATTGCATTTGATGGCAGTGTTCAATCTGAGTATGAAGGATGAAGAAGGGGCGGAGAATGCATGGCAGTTGCTCGGCCTAGCTGTGAGGTCAATGCAAGCGCAAGGATTCCACATCGACCCCTCGAGGTGGTCTTTACCAACTAAAGACCTTGAAGAAAGACGACGCGTATTCTGGGAAATACATCTATATGACTGTTTGGTACGTTTCCTTCAAAGCCTTGCAGACTCTAAACTCTTACAGTCAGACTTAGCAATCTTTCGCTGTTGGCCGCCCTTGCGCTCAGAGCGGGATACATTTTGATTGTAAAATGCCGACCACTAGCGATTGTCCTCTACCCTCAGATTCCGACTCGTCTAACAGCACTTGGTCTCACACACGCTGGCATACCTACAAATTTAGATGGGCAGAAGTCCTGGGTGGTATTATGGACAATGTTTTCTCCGTCAAGAAGCCTCCTACCTATTCAGCTATCATGCAATACGATCAACAGATTAATGAATTTTACTTCTCCCTACCACAATGGATTCTTTCTCCATACGTCATGTATCCTGTTGATCGTGCATTGTGGGCCCAGCTATATCCTGAGGGAGCTAATGGACAGACTCGGTATGATCCATACGAGGAGGGCGGTTTCAAAGGGCTGGGTAAACCAGAGGATCAAACACAATGTTCGCAAATGAATTCACTCGCTACGATGATTTTCACGGCCACATTACACTTGCATCGGGGTCCATTCTGTAGAGCTTTGATGCTCGAGCCTCAGAAAATGCTCAAGTCTCAGTATGAACAGAGCATTGCAAGAGTAGTTTCGGTGACTTTTTTCCCCTCAATAAAAGAAGGTCCTCGAATTGATGACATTACATAGTCCTCCACGGCAATCGTTAACATTGCTCGAGGGATGTTCGTCTCATACCCCAGTACGTCATTTAAATTTTAACTTTCCATTTTATTCTGATTTGTATGGGCATTTCTCATCCAGACCTGACTTCTCGTCTCTGGTATTGGGTCTTTCATACCTTCAGCGCCGCTGTCTGCCAAGCTGTCTTCGTCATTGTTGCGCCCTTCCATCCTCTGGCTTCACACGCGTTCCGCAGCCTCCAAGATGCCATCGAACTCTTCAAGCAGGCCGACGGCAAGGACGCGAGGACTGCGACAGTGAGGTTGTCGGAACTGGTTAAGAAATCTGCCCAATCGATGACGACGTTTAGAAATGCTGTTATGTCGCAGGAAGTCAAGAGCGGTAGAGCCGTGAAGAGATTGCCTATCAGCGGAACTGACGTATGCTTTGATGTGGAACAGGCGGAAAGTATAGCTTCGGAAGTCAGCGACATAGTGAGATTCCCCGAATCCAATGCAAGAAAACCAGAGGACTTTCTGGGTGCTTCTACCAAATTAGTCCGTTTGCCTGAGGTGTGTTTGTCTGAATCGAATTGCTACTATCTTTCATGAGTTTTCCTTCTCTTTACATAATTATACCCTTAGGACTTCCACCGCGTACGCTCAAATACTGCTCCAGTGCGGTTCGAACATCTGACCCAGCAAGGTCTCAATGTCCCCCCGGAGCAACAACAACAACCCCATCACGCTCTTTTTGGAGATCCTTTTGCTGAGATGATGGGACTATATAAAAATGCTTCATCGCCTCCCGTTGACCTATACCGCTCAACAAACACAAACGATCTGTCTTCAGCTCGAATTTCTTCATTACATTCTATTTCGCAGATGTGGGCTGGTCCTGCATACCATGCCACTCATACTTCTATGGATGATCGCACCTTTCCGCCACCTGATTTTCAGGATTTTCAACCAACTCTAGTTCGAGGAGCAGAGCAACATCAGGTATCGGATGCCATTGCGCCTGTAATAGGACATATGCACCCTGGCTTGCATTTCAATGATGTCGATGGCTTCAATTTGTTGAGTTTCATCCAAGACGGTGCGAAGGCATGGGCATATGAGCCACTGGCGCACAGCTGAACGAAGGAAAGAAGAGCTCTGATGTTCAATAGATCACTCCAAGGATGTACATAGATACATATGTATGTAAACGACAAGATTCACAAAAGTAAAAGTAGGTGTGAGTATGAAAGACGTTTCAAATATCGAATTTACAAGTAGGACAGAGCATCATGGTTCGTCTATGAGCTTGCCAATGGCGTAGGAAATTATGCGTGCGAGTAAGCACCGTCTCTCGAATTTTGTCCTTTGAGGACACAAATCGCTTCTCTCTTTGTTTCGATGTACTCGCACTGTCAAACAATTCGAACAACCACTCTCTGCCTTCCAACTCAGAAACGTACTCTGACCACTCCTGCGGCACAATCAATGGCTCCTTCTTTGTGATATCAACATCAATTGCAGAACTGGAGCCGGGCTCTTTTGGTTGTAGACTCATCTCATCCAAGGCCTTGTACACTGCAATCCGGGCGCGAGCGACTTCAGATATATTACCAGTGATCGTTGTTCGGAGGGCTTCGCCAAACAGAGACTCTGAACTGAATATCGGACTAGTTCCGGCAAAGGCAAGAGAATGATTCCGAGAAGAGAGAGAAGATATCGAAGGTACTCCACCGCGAACCATAGGCTGACTCGCAAGACATATTAATTCTGGGGCAAGCAGTGACGAGAGAGTATGCATTATTCGGGGAATGTAGTCTTCTTCGTCGTCATCTTTTGAATATCGAGGAGCGCTCTCCGGCTCAATGTTCAACTTGTCTGCATCCGAAACACGAAGAGAGCGTCGCTGTTTTTTTGGTGACTTGGAACCTTTATCCAGATTAACTTCCAACAAATCCGCGGATACTTCCAACTCCTCTTGCTCACTAGTACGCGCTTTCCGCTTTCCGCTAGCCGCAGATTTACCCTCAGCTGAGGGTTTGGCAATGCTGGGAATTCCCACAGCGAACAGAATAGGGAATTCATACATACCTTCATTGCCAATACTGGGATGCTCATAGCCAGGTGGGATGGTACATAGCAGTTGAAGCATTCTCTCTACTTCCAGCTGTCGTGAATGACCCATCGCTTTCCATCGAGCCATCACATGATCAAAGCTTGGGGAGGAGATTGAATGTGTTCGCCCTCGACGGCGCGCATCTCGTAAGATCCAGCTTTCGAGATGTAGCAACGTTTCGTCTTTGTCAGCGAGATCCTCAGCACCTCCTTCAACTCCTTTCTCACTTGGGGCTTGATCCCGAATCAAGCATGACCGATGCCATGCCTTACCACGCGGTGCAGTACACTGCGCTCGCGCACAGATATGCATTGCTAATGTATCCTCCAAAAGTACGGCTTCTTGCATTTTAGACGCAAGCTGATTGGCTGTCTTGTTGAGTGCCACATTCAGATCTTCGGACGATCGTGTGGCTGACTCCGGAATGTCAGAATCTGCATTGAAGGTTCCGGTTCTGGCTCGAGTTGTCCGTGCAGTATTTCGAGGTGTTCTGGCCATGTCACCAAACTGGGTTAAATTTTTTTTGAACTCGTTCGTAAGTTTGGATTCAGATGCAGACTTGAGGATTTGTGTGATTCCGTCTTCTAATATGATGTGCGCTTCGCGTACAAGGTCTGCAACTTGCCGACCTATCCTTCGCGCCCGTTCGGAATCTGGAGGAGAGTATGAGGACTGGGAGAGACATGTGTCTTGGTGTTGCTGTGATTTTGAACTGACGTTAGTATTTAAAATAGGAGCGGGTCGTCTATTAGATTTGGACCGGGAGGATGAGCGAGAACGCGAAGAACTTGAAGACACTTGAGGGCTGAAGCAATTAAACTGGGAGACCTTGGGCTAGACGCAACGTATCAGTCAGAGATGAAGCGAAGAACAACGAAGTCTTTACGAAGATGTGTTTGGATTTGACCTTGATTCCATATCGGTAGTAAATGTCGGGATATATGGACCCATTTTCCGTTCGGCTACCTGCGGCACGAATTTGCTTCTGGGTGAACATCTGCTGCAGCGTTGTATTCTTTTCGACGGATGAAATGTAAGTTGGATCAAAGTTGAAACATCTCATTGGAACAACATCTGGGAAGACGGGAAGGAGGAGTAGATATGAGTTCAATGACTAGTAAGCGACGCCACTGCTAAACACACCATCCAACGTAGATGCGTGGACTAGATCACAATGATCAGATAACAGTCTTTCATTCTCGCCTAGATGGCTTGTATCACTGTTTCATGACACTGGTTAGTTCAACTTCCAATAAACGGTACATTTCCCTACAAGTTTTGTGTAGTATTCCTAACGTCGGCTGCTGAAAAGAACCATTGAACACGAGACCAAGCTTCCTGCTCTCCTCCCTTGTACCGCATCCGGATATCCTTGATGAGACCAAGCCACATTGCCTCGATAGGCAGAGCAGGCCCGTCTTCTATTCCGTAGCCAGCCGGAGGGTTAGAAGGAAGTATGGAAACACTGTTTTCCGATTAGCATCGTCGTCTAATGGCAAGAAACAGCACCGCACCAATCACCAACTTCAAATGGATGATCTACGTTCTCCCCTTCGTCGATTGCATTCTCAGTAACAATGAACTTTCTATATATTTCCATCGATTCCCACTCAATTTCTGTTGGAGCTTCTGGATCACCCCCGGAAGCTGCATTTTTGCGTTTCGGCTTGTTTTTCCTGGTTCGGGCCATATTGTACAAGAAGGTAGGCAACGAAGTTACGTAAAGAAATCACTGTCAAGCTCGAAAACAACATACCAAGTTCAGACCATTCTTAACATTCCAAATATATTTTAGACGAGAGGGGAATGAATGCTAGCGATACAGTAAATAGTAGATATGCAGTCTATGATTTATGGAGATAATGTGTTGATGTGATTTCCGTAGTTTGTGCTGCAGAAGCATTAGGGTCGGGTAAATGATTGTCTTTTATATACAACGACGAGCCATCGTCTCCTGCACGAATGAGTACAGTATCGCCTTCACGGATTGTACCCTTGAGAAGCTTCTGTGCCAATGGGAATAAAACATCTGTACGAACAACCCGAGCAATGGCTCTTGCACCGTAAAGTTCTGAATAACCTTGCGTCGCTAGCCATCCACGGGCTGACTCGTCAACGTCAAGTGTTATTCGCTTGTTTTTCAATCGTTCTGCAACGTCGTTCAAGCGAAGGGAAACAACTTGGAGAATGGATTGTTTGGAAAGCTTGTTGAATACCAGCATCGAGTCGAGACGGTTGAGAAGTTCTGGAGGGAAATACTCTTGCGTACGCTGGAGAACTTCGTCCCGAGCATCAGGAAGGACGACTCCGTCTTCGTTACACGCACTCTTGTGAGCGAGGATGTCGCTCCCTGTGGCAAGGAATTTGAATATATGCGAATTTCTTTGTAAAAAATTGGGGGGCAACGACGCACCAAGGTTACTCGTCAGACAAATTATTGTGTTCTTGAAGTCGACTTTACGACCTTGACTGTCCGTGACGCTGCCTTCGTCGAGTATCTGAAGCAGGATCATAGCAACATCCTTGTGAGCCTTCTCAAGTTCATCTAGTAAAATGACTGCGTAAGGTTTACGGCGGACTGCTTCTGTGAGCTGACCTGTTGCTTTTGTCAATATCAAGGCTCTCAAAGAGAAAAACACCGATACATACCGCCTTCTTCAAAACCAACATATCCTGGAGCAGCACCGATCAGACGCGAGATAGTGTGTCTATCATGATATTCAGACATGTTGATATTTATCCTATATAGACCATGTCAGAATATGCTTGTGAGCTTCCGAGCTCAATACAGGTACGTACAATCCACGCTGTTCATCGTTGAAAAGGAACCCAGCCAGTGCTTTGCATAGTTCAGTCTTCCCAACGCCGGTGGGACCCAAGAAAAGGAACGAAGCGACTGGTCTGTTGGGAGCTTGAAGACCAGCTCTTGACATTCGAACAGCGTCACTGATGGCTGTCACAACGTGGTCTTGTCCGACTACTCTTTGCCGTAAAGTATCCTCCATCTAGTTCACAAATCGGTAGGCAAAATCAAGTTGTAAATTGTTTACGCACATGAACTAACTTGTCCTTCTCCCCTTTCAACAAGTTCTGGACTGGAATACCTGTGGCCTTCGCCACAACTCTTGCAATGTCGTTTGGGTTTACCCTATCGTGCAGCATTGACAGCGGTCCCTCTCCTTCTACCTCGGCTCCCTCAGAATCCTCCTTCGGCAGTTGTGCCTCTAGTTCTGGAATCGTCGCAAACCTCAACCGACTTGCAAGCTCATACTGCCCTTGCCTTTGCGCCACTTCCAACTGATACTTCGTTTCCTCTAGTCGCTCTTTTAAATTTTTGATCTTATCCAATCTCTCCCGTTCTGCTTGCCAAATAGACGTCAAATGCTGCGCCTCGTCCTTCTTGCGTTTGAGGTCAGACTCGACTTTTTCTCGCCGTTCAACGCTGAATACGTCGGATTCGTTTTTCAAGGACGCGAGTTCGATTTGAAGGGTCATGATTTCGCGGTCGAGGGACTCCAGTTCATCGGGTTTCGATTCCTGAGCCAGACGAAGAGCGGATGCAGCTTCGTCGACAAGGTCGATGGCTTTGTCAGGCAGGTAACGGTCGGAGATGTATCTGGAAGAGTATACGGCGGCTGAATGAAGATGTGAATAAGAGGATGTCGTTTAACAATATGAAACTCACCGGTGACTAAAGCACTATCAGAAATCTCAACACCATGATGAACCTCGTAGCGTGGCTTGAGTCCTCGGAGAATGGATATTGTGGACTCCACTGTAGGCTCATCAATGCTAACGGGTTGGAAACGACGTTCCAGAGCTGCATCTTTTCCGATAGTCTTGCGGTATTCATCAGCTAATTAGGACAGAGGAAGTCAATACAAGCCCAGATCCACAAAAGCCATGTACTTACGGGTTGTTGCACCAACAAGCTGTAAACCCCTTGCGAGAGCAGGCTTGATCATTTGTCCCGCGTCAATACTGCCCTCGGCCTTACCGAGCTGAAACAAAGTGTCTGATATCCAGAGTGAGTATTTTGCCTCTGAAATTCGTTACAGAGATACTTACGAACTTCGTCAATGAAACAAATAACATTTCCCGCTTCGTCTTCGATGTCCCGTATTAAAGCTTTAAATTTCTCCTCGAACTGCCCGCGAATTCCCGAACCAGCCATTATAGCAGACAGATCAATAGAAAGGACCCGTTTATTTTGAAGAGACTGTAAATATAGAAATGAGTATACGTACAATGCGCGCGCTTGAAAAAGACTGAGAGCCATACTTCCGGTACCTCCTTCGCTACAATACGACTAGCCAAACCTTCTAAGATGGCTGTTTTACCAACACCAGGAGGACCTATCAGCACTGGATTGGACTTGGTTCTCCGAGAAAGGACTAGGCCAAAATGAGGTTAGAACGTATACAACCTAAGAACCATAAATTTAGCTTACTTTGAATAGTCCGCCGAATTTCTTCATCTCTGCCAATTGTAGGATCGAGCTTGCCCTCTTTGGCCATCTCTGTGAGGTCAACACTCTGAAGAATGCCTATTCAGCATGTTTCGCTTACATTTGAAAATATCAACGCACATATTCCTTCAAGGCGTCTCCCTTCTTATGTTGGGGGCCAAAGCTAAATCCAGGAAACCCACCACCCCCGCCATTACTACCGCCTGCTCCTCCTGGTGGACCCGAAGCGTAGTTTCGTGCTGACATTACTTGGAATCCATACCGGACAATGGGCACATGCGAATCGCGCCATATGGATCGCGGAAGAAGAGGAGGAGCGAGAGAACGGCGAGCACCCAATCTTAACATTGCTCTTGAAGTTATAGGGTTCATGGCAGCAGATGAGTGGAAGATTAGTATTATAAAATTGGGTATAATATACAACTTGTCCGAATCTTCCTAGAACGTTGGAGAAAGTACGAGAAACGTTAATGTAAAAAATAAGCGCCCAGGATACGGCTGGCCTCAGGCCTCAGTCTCGCCCTGCACGTACCCTGTGTAATGTCGGGCTGGAAATTATACATAGTAATGTATGTATAATTACTGGTCCCGCTTGTACTGTTTATTATTCTCTATAAGATTCGTACTCCGTTCCAATGCCATCGCCCTCATATTCGCATTGTCCTTACGACCTTCACGAGAAGGAGAAACATTCCGTTCACAATCATTGGCATCATGTCGCCCCCTTGGTGAAGAGGGGGGCGGTGTCCTTGGAGGGGTCCTCAGAGCAGGCGGTGTACCCCTGCTATTTCCCCTCAAAAGCGAGGCGGTTCGAGTATGTTTAGGTTCGGGTTCAGGTTTCCGCCAAAACATCACCCAGGCCCAGAACTTGTGTCTCCACCTGGCCGCCCGTTCCTCTCTTTCTTTAAGCTCTCGCTTCCGCTCAAAAGCAGCCCGGTATCTCTCATAACTTTCCCGAAAGCCTCTATCGATGCGAGAGGAGAGAATCAATTCGCCACGAGGGTTGAGAGTAGGTGGAATAGGAGATATTGGAATCATGGTAGATGTAGAATTGGATGAGGAGCGTTTAGTGGGGGTTGAATTGTGCGGTGACGGAGAAGGCGAACGGGAGGATCTGGGTGTACGAGAGCCAGGCCCTCTGATGGGTGTACTGGAGCGACTAGAATTACGCAAACCCATTTGTGTAGTTGATGTCGAAGGATTCGACACATCTGAGGTAGTTGTCAAAGAACTAGGTCTGGGGAAAAGGAACAAAAGAGGGTTCCAATAACAGAACTGAAATTTCGACCTCAGCGGCGGTTTTCGCACATTGAGATAGATATTGAACGATCGGAGGGCTTTGTTGGTATGTGGAACATATCTGAGCACCGGAATTAGTACGACAGAAATAAGAAGCGTGGAACAAGGACATTGCCTAGATTTCCGGAAGACAGGAATATCCATAGAGCACCTGGAACTTACTTGTTCGCATAGGCAATCTTCTCGCTATACATACCGCTGGCGAAGAATAGCACCAGCGTAGTGACGCTGACAAATAACAGACCAGTGGTAAGGTAGGGATGGATCGTAGCTTTTCTCGGGAATGGTTCTTCATCCAATCTATTCCAGCTATCCAGATTCCAGTCCAGTTTTTTTGCCAGGATTTCCAGACCGATTGAGGAATGTGGATCTCGTTGTGAACTTGAGAGATCAAGGGGAAAGAGACCAAGACGTTGAAGAAGCCATGTGTAGGGTATGGCTAGCAGTGATGCTTCGGGCGAGACAAGGACTTCATATAATAAAAAGGTAATCACAGTAAAGAGTTGGACTAGGAACACTGTCGGACCAGGGAAGTTGGTATAAGTATAACTCGAGTAACAATAGCATAACACTCACACTGATACCTCTGTTTCCGCTTCTGCAAGCTAGCTGCGTTGGATTTAAGGCGTTCTTCAAATAATATGAGATCGCGGTACGTTGTTGAATCATTCGGTGGAAACAGAAACGGTGTTAAAGTAGTTGGGGAGACGGAATTGGACGAAGAAATAGAAGAGGATGGAAGAGACATTGAGCCCGACCCTACGCGCGTGTGCTTAGCGTTTATTTGGATGAGATAAGATAAGTACAACAGTAGATAAACGTCACAAACTCAAAGCTTGTTGGAGCCACTGCCAGGCGAGAAATCCTGGCGCAGTGTATATGACTTTTCCTTTTCTGCCTGGTACTTCAAATTTGAAAGCCCTATTGAACGTACTAGGTTCGTTCCTGTTCTTTCTCTGTCATACATTCGTAATGAATTCACTTCTTCAGAATCTTTCGGTGCTCAATTGCAGGTGGTATGCTTGCTTAGTTATGCATATGCATTATAAAGCGGCTATCGGTGTTGAGTGACTGTGTATAAAACATCTCTCGAGTTCGATTTATACCAGTATAAAATCCCACTATCCCTCTTCTAATGCCTACGAAGAAACTAGTGCTGATCATCGGTGCTACTGGCATTCAAGGAAGGCCATGTGTGTCTGCTATGTTAGCACGACAAGATGATGGAAAACCCTCTCCTTACTCTGTAAGAGTGCTTACACGATTTCCAACGAGCGAACAGGCACAAGGCCTTGCCTCTTTGGGTGCAGAATTATTCCAAGGTTCTTGCTTCCATACTACTTCATGAAAATATCCGCTCAGCATGTAGTTATGTAGGCAGCTTTGAAACCCTAGAAACTGTCGCCTGCGCAATGGAAGGGTGTTATGGAGTCTTTGTGAATACGGACACGTACTCTGTTGGCCAGCAGAAAGAGATCTACCTTGCTATCAAGATGTTCGAACAAGCACACCGTGTCCATCTCATGAGACATTTCATCTGGAGTGGTCTAGATTACGGTAGCAAGGTTGGTCTTACTGAACTACGAATTCAGAGTTCACCGACTTCCAACCATCCATAGTTTGGCAAATTCGATCCAAAATATCATACCGTACATCTAGATGGCAAAGGAATTGTTAGCGATTTTTTGAGGTCGCAGGATTCGATCCCCAGCGGAGACTTCTTAACGTGGTCCATCGTAACGACTGGACCATACATTGAAAATCTTGGGGGTGTATGTTTAACCTATTTGAGTTGTCCTTATATTTTGACATTCCCTTTCCACTAGGTGCTCCTTGGTCCGCTCGCAGAGCGCGAGAACGGCGCAGTACTTTTCGCTCTTCCTGTCGGAGATGGGCATGTCCCCTGCATTAGTTTAGAGGACATCGGTTGGTGGGTACGTTACACCTTCGACCACCGTTCCGAAACCTCGGGCCAAGAACTCAAAATTGCGACGGAAATGATGACTATGGACCAACTCGTCGAAACCTTTACGAAGGTGACGGGAATTCCTGCAATTCGCAAAAGAATGTCAGTTGAGGAATATCTCGCTAGGTACCCTCATACGAATCGACCTATTATGAGAGGAGACTCAGGAGAGAAAGGCCCTACCATAAGGGAAACGTATGCTGGGATGTTCAGAGTTTGGGGAGATAATCTTTTGACGAGGGACATGGACTGGATTCGTCGAGTCCATCCCACTGGATATACGTTGGAGAGCTGGATCAGGGAGAAGGGCTACGATGGCACTCTTTCTCCCGGCCTTAGATTTTTCGAGAGTAAGAAGTAAGCCAACTTTTGTGCAGTAAATTGATACCCCATAGATGCTACAATGTACATAGATTCACGATATAAATAATGGGAGGTCGTATTAGTCGTGTAATTGGCATTTTAGCCAGTGCCGCCTTGAGCGTCTTTCCTCTGTCTTCATTGTTAATTTGTAATGTTCTGAGCATAATTTGGCACTTGGTGCTCCTGTATTGTTTACCGCTCATCGCGGTGGCTGGTGGAACTTCGCGGGACCAGTCCCCGGCAAGACGGACATATTTTCAAGATATCATTGACACTATAGATCATCAGGTCGACGTCTATGCCGAAAGAATGTTGACTGACATATAGAGATTCACTGCGAGCCGAAGGGAGCAAGGGAATCAAAGTACTGTATCTGACAAGACAATCTTTTTATGGACGGTTTCGACCATCATGCCGCAAAAGAAGATACGCCAAACCAGATATTACGAGACCAAGACCAATTATAGTTTTCGATCCTACGACGGATACTTCGTGTTCGACCTAGAAGAAAGTATAACCTTTATGTCAGTGGTGAATGATGGAGGGCAAAGATCTGTCGGAACTCACTACAGACGCAAACGGCGACAAGATCGGAATTGTGAAATGTGCCCACTGACTCCGTGTGCTAGTATCTTTTCGTCCTCCGTGGATCAATGTAAGTTGTGAGAAGAAGGTCAGGAAGGTGATCGTGAAAAGGACACCAAGGAGAGTGATCTAAATACAGAAATGGTCATCGCAATCGTGAAGGAAAAAGATCTGAGATAGAGGTCAACAACATACTAGTAACTTCTCTAACTTCGCCAACCTTTCATCGTACAACTTGGTCAACTGAGCGATTTCGGTCTGCGGTCCATACTATGTTAAATACCAAACAGTTGCCATCAACAAGTCAATAACTACTTACAGCTTTCTTCGTTTCTTGACTGACAGTAACATTCTGCAAATTCTCGGAATGCTCTATCCCTGCTGCCAATAAAGTTTCTGCCGTCAACGCACGAGCGGCCCAATAATGGACTGATTTGGAATGAGGGTATAGATTCAACGGTTTCGTCTTTGTGGATGTGTTTAAGTCAAGAGATGGGGCTGAGGTCAATGCAGGCGTTGACGACAAATAAGATACACTGGATGAAGTAGCTGAGGCTAATGCAATTTGCATCGTATTGGAGATACGTTTCCCTGGTTCCTCGGATGATGAGACAGTGGTAGCTCTAGGTATTGCGACGTTCCTTGTCGACGAGTACATGAGGGTATTTGGAGCAGAATTGCCCTTGATTGGCAGTATAGCAGGCATACCACTATCTGGTTTCGACTTTTTGACCAACTTAGCCATTGTTGCAATAGTGGTTGATAGAATTTGGATGTAATCGATAGGTCTGGACCTGCACTGTGGATTTGAGAGAGAATTATCTATATGACTTGAGCGCACCTTTCACCTATATTCTAGTAGATCCTAGCATTCAAGCTCAAGCCCAAACGTAGGAGCAATTTACATAGTTCTGCACGAAGATGTTCAACGTACTCAAAATGGGAATCGCAACACGTGAGCGCATTTCAGTAATGACGAAGGAATTTGCGTAAACCTCGCGTTATCTTCCGAGCGCAATTATAGACGTCTTTCTCATCTACCACCATGTTCTCTCTTGTTCGAACTACTTTACGACCCTCTCTGGCGCAACGTGCGGCCCGTGCCTTCGCTGCTCCCAGTGCTTCCGCCTTGCTTCATACACTCCCGGAGCTTCCCTATGCTTATAATGTACGTTTCGAGGCATGCAATTTAGCAGTTACTGACTATTTTTTGTTAACATAGGCTCTCGAACCCTTCATCTCGGAAGAAATTATGACGCTTCACCACCAAAAGCATCATCAAACTTATGTCAACGGATTAAACGCAGCGGAAGAATTATACGCCAAATCCCCTTCTGTCAAAGAACAAATCACTTTGCACGCAGCACTGAAATTCAATGGTGGAGGTATGAGATCAATGCTTTCGTCTTCCGATGTGGCCGTTGAATATCGTGATATAGGTCACATAAACCACACCCTGTTCTGGAAAAACCTGGCACCTGCGAGCGCAGACGGAGGAAAGCTCACCGACGGACCTCTAAAAACCGCGATTGAGAGTGACTTTGGTTCTGTCGATAACTTCAAAAAAGTTTTCAGTGCAAAAACGGCTGCTATCCAAGGAAGTGGTTGGGGCTGGCTTGTGCGTAGTCCTTGCTGGATCGGTTGACCTTACTGGCTCATGAAGGCTATATGATCAGGGTTACAATTCCGATACGAAGAAGTTGGAAATTGTCACCACTGCGAATCAAGACCCTCTCCTCTGTGAGTTATGCCATGCTGTATCCACTATGTTGGGTTATTTATTTATACTTCTTCCTAGCCCATACTCCACTCATTGGCATCGATATCTGGGAGCACGTAAGTTGGCACTTACTATTAATCGAAGACTGCGTTGGTGTTGACTATACCAACCATGCCTCATAGGCCTTCTACTTACAATACAAGAACGTGAAGCCAGACGTATGTCGTGTGTTCCCTAACGTTCACAGTTCACTGACATATTCACCTTAATTTTCAGTATCTCAATGCCATTTGGAATGTAATCAACTTCAAGGAGGCTGAGAAACGCTTGGTGGAAGTCCAGTAAATTAGCAATGTCGGTTATCCCTTCAGGTATCAGCTCCATGTACTTGTAACATGACGATAAAAGACAGGCTACATAGAAAATCTATAAAGTTTTATTGGATGAATTAAATGATGTCAATGAAAGCGCGCGCTTGACGTCATATCCTACGCGTACTCCAAAATGCAAAGTATATAAAAGCGCTTCGACGACCAGATTTCTCCATTATTCCTAAAGAACTCCTACGCCCTCAGTATCCTCTCATAGAAATGTCTGGAAGCATGCAATCCAATGTTGGAAATTCTCAGATCTACAATGATAACGAGCAAAGGTGCGTTTCTGTGATTTCAAGATTGGTACTGGGTTTGACCTCCACGTATTGTCCAGAACTTATAAGGCATCAGAAGCCGATCCGAGAGAGAGATATGAATTTGCACCGAAGAACGCACACAATGATCTCGACTCAAAGTAAGATTTAATTAATGTTATATACTTTCTTCACATCGCTCACTTCTGCTTCACAGAGACGAACGCAGCCTCGGAAACCGTCTAGCTTCCGCGCAGGAACACGGCCTTGACAACACCAGTAACAAGACTAAAGATACTGTAACAGACCCTCTGAAACCAGCACAGATGAATGGGAACGAGCCATCGAAAGGTGCGAAGATCGACGCGGAGTTGCAGAGGGAGGAGGAAGATCTACTCAGAAACAAAGGAAAAATATGATTGATCATGAACGTTCGAGCCACGAAAATCATCTGTATCCTTGACACAAGATTGTAAACATTGTACACTTCATAATTTTAGACAACCTTTGGGAAAGCAGTGGTGAATGCCGCATATCATATGTATACATGTACATGTATCGAAGTGTTAGGTCTACAGAAAGTAAGCAATACAGTGTCAAAGCTATAAATACAGTCACTATGAGATGGTGCGCGGTAGTAGACAATTTTTTGACAATTGCCTGAATTACGGGGTACAAGTTCCAACGCCTTTGAACGGTTGTGTACATTGGGTCATAGCATAGGTGGTGTCATTCAATCTTTAGGTCTGTGCCAAATTCTCCATGATCATCATCGATAGACGACTGTTTTCTTTTCCCGCGACGCGACCCAGAAGTGCTTTCGGTAAGCGAATTAGGAGAGTCTTTCGTCCGCCGCTTCCGCTCAGTTTCACGGATATTAAGCCGGATACCATATCGCGATATGAGCTACAAAAATAAAGAGGGGAGGTTTAATAAAGCCGAGACTTAGATACGAAGACGGTCCAACCTTCGTGAGTTCAGTAGATGCTCTGAGTCCAGGGAATTCCTTCGTGGAATACACACGAAAGGGTCCGCCATAGCATTCCGCCTGAATAACCCTGTCCTCATGTCCTTCGGCCTTGGAAAATAGATCGAACATGCGGTAGCGGAGTAGAAATGTACCCTCGTTTTTAACAGCGAGGTCCTTGCCACAGGGAAAGAAGAATATGCATAAGCATGCATGTTGATGAGAAAGCTGAGATCTTTGATTGCACTTACTGAAAACACAAAAATTAAAGCCCTACTCCCCTCGTAATCTATAAACTGGGGTTGCACAAAAGTCGCACCAACTAACGCATCCGTCATCTTAGAAGACTCTGTAACTGGGATGTGCCCTGTCCAGTGAACAATATCACTAGGGTGTGCCGTTCGCGAGGGACTTCCTCGTCTACTACCTATGGAGTATGCCGAGGAAGTAGTCAACGGAAGACCTTGAATAGATGATCCAGGGGTGTATCCATGAGAATCGTAAGATACGGGACCATAGTGACTTGAAGCGATCGTAGTGGAAGAGGACGGATTGAACTTTCTTGGACCCGATTTTGTTGTAGGTGAGCCCAGCGATACGGCATCGATGACGGGAAAAAGATCAACGGTACACAACAATCCTAGTATTTGAATCTCCCTACACGACTAGCATATTGCGACCGCTAAAGCATGTAAGAGTGACCGACTCACTCACTCGAACGTGAGCTCTCGCACCCCGTCTGGCGCTGTTTCATCCAAGACTTCAAAGAATTTTAATACGACCACAGGCGGTGGGTCAAGTGGTCGCCGGTCGACGCGAGCATACCTACAGACGTTGATAATCAGTGGATAAGGAAGAGAAGAAGGCGCGTACTTTCGGCCAAGGTCAGCTTTCTGAATTTCACACAGCTCACTACGAATGATTTTCCCAGCAAATTGGCCACACTGAAACCGAATAGGTAATGAACATAAACCGATTCCTGTTGGATAGGCGACATCAGTCATCTGCTGAGGCGGTGGAATACAAGCGGTGCTGGAGTTTTCGGAACGCCGAAAGGTGGAATGGTGGATGCGATCATAAGATAGGCCGCCAGGATGGTGGTTATGGGAGGCAGGGTACATGGTTGAGGGGAAAATGATGAGTGGCTCTTAGGAAAATAGACGAGTTTCATAAAGTGGCATAGGTAATCCTTGAGTTGTGTAAGATGTGAATGGCTGTAATAGTAAGAAGCCTAAGGTGAGGACAGAGTACTGAAGCTTGAGGACTTTAAAGCCAGCACCTGTGGCCCTGGGCATTTTGAGTTCCTGGATAGATCAATATCCTAATCGGGTAGGTACCACCCACGGAGACGGATGGAAATTAAGCTTGCCTCGGGCCGACTCCCAGTTCTTTGGTTGTCACAAAATCATGGGAGTGCGCCATGTACCGGTTGTGCGTACTGGTCCAAGCCTATCAAATCTTTGACTGGAATGGCGTCTGATGTTCACTATCTGCAGCAACATTCATTGAAAGAGTTATTGCTGTGACCTGTCCCTTGCCACAGGTCGTATGACCCGGAAGGCTGGACACGTTTACGACAGTATTTACGGAGGGAACTATCGCGGCACCAAAAGCAAAAGATCGAAGAGAAGGTCCTCAAATGGAAAGCAGCATTTGTGTTCTCCTTACAGAATCTTACTCGATGCCTTCGATGATGTCGATGAAATTGTAGAACGGATGAGAATCGAACGATACGGAAGTTCAACCCCACTATTCACTTCAAAAAACATGGGGGGTCTGTGTCTAAAGGTAATAGCGCAGCAGACCCAGAAAACTCTGAAGGAGTGCTGGACAAAAAAAAAGGCTGTTCAAAACACAAACTGGAAGTTTGAAAGAAGGTTACTAGTTGAGATACTCTTTGCTTACAGAAATCCTGAGGGATGATATACTATCATATATCATTTAAGTTTGTGTTCCAGGAAAAGGTTGATCTGAAATGCGGATATTAACTGAAACGACTAACACACACACGGGTGATGATATTGGAGGGTAGTATTCTAGCCTTTGTCACTTGGTCCTTCGAGATGATTTGACCAAGGAAAGGAAGCAGACTAAATGCGACCAGGCATCTAAAAGAGGAGTGCCCTGATGGCTCGCGGAACTTTAGATAACGTCCAGAAGACGGTACAGTACCTAGACCAGGTCTGTAAGATGCGACCACATGAGATGTTTTTGTATATCGGTCGTTTGTGACATGGCAGGGAACATATGCATCGAGGGAGCGATTTGCTTAGGTTTCCGCAGACGCCGCTTGCTTCGATTCTTGGGGCACTAGCTAATCTGTCATATTAGATTTGGGGGCTTCCTATGTTACGCGGAGAACTAAAGATAATTCGGACAGGGGATGAAAAGTGGCACTGTGGCAGATACATTTTATTGGTCCGGGCTGACAAGGGTGATGATGATTGACTCTGCTGGAGTCTCTCGAGGTGACACCCCTCACAGTTGGTGAACATAAGCCAATGTATATGCATGTTCAAACATTCATAAGTGGCAGTTATGTCAGCTCACGAACGGTACCAGTAGATGTCCAGGGAAAACACTGCCTGCTTAATCGGCGAGAAAAGCAGCGGCGGTACGTACATCTATCGGGAACATTGTTGTACCTGCGATAGAGTTGAAACATCGAACAGCTTCTGAATATGACGACAGACTTCAGGTTATTAGACCCAGAATCTGCTGATGTTTCAAATGATATCTGAACTTCAAGCAGGAAAATTGGAGTTATGTGTACTTTGGTGGATTTTTAAAACCTGGGGGGCATGTACAGGCCGGAATCCATAAGAGGGAGGGATATTTTCATTTAGTAGGGAGCATGATAGGTTACATTAGAATTGAACTATAATAGACCGCATCTGCAAAACCTGGAAACTCGCCTTATAGCTGAAAGCAACCGGGAGCGCTATCCAGCTGCAAAAACATTCAGAGCAGTTTGTAAGAACCTGCTCTGAGGGCTCTAGGTGCTCGGGAGCACACTCAGTTGCTCTCAGGTAGCCGAATTTACATGATTCACGGATGACCTGCTTAACCTTAAACTAGAGTGTTTGACGCCTGCCGCTTGCGGCCTTTTGACAGTAGGCAGGTTAAAATTGGAAACGCATCAGAAATAGTTGCTTTAGATTCGCAGGCCAGAATTTACGAGAGGGAAAATTTGAAGGGGGAGAAAAAGTTCGTTCAGTCATGAGTTTTTGATGAAGGTTGTGAGGCGTGGGAAAATGAAAATGCGGTACACAAGGATACACACGGCGTGGTTCGCTAGCGTCATACGGTCTAATTCTTTCTTCCCCACCGCTATCAATGCCCGCCAGACCTGGACGCGGCAGTCAAGAGGGCTACCATTCCTCCTCACCACCTTCTGTTGATGCTCACCATCTTGATCCTTTTAGCTCAACGCAAGGAGCCCACTCGCAACAACGGTACTACGACAATGAGTCTGTCGATGACAACAGAAGAGATACATATACCTCAGATGGTAGCGGTGGACCGCTTCATGAGCAAGCATATTATGACCAGAACACCCCCTATGACCCATATCGTAAGAATACAAGTTCTTTGCCTTTTCGTCAAATTTCTCATCTATATGCAGCTACTCACGATCCTGATTCTGACGGCGACGTTTATGGCCAGCGGTATGCCCCTTCAGCGGAGTCTTTGGGTCCTCGAATGAACTCAGACTTTACATCGACGCCAACAATTGTGGATTACTCCACTGGAGCCCGCGACTCTTATCCAGCATGGTCCTCAGACCGTCAAATTCCCTTGTCCAAGGAAGAAATTGAGGATATATTTTTGGATCTTACTCAAAAGTTCGGCTTTCAGCGGGATTCGATGCGCAACATGGTGAGTTGATTAGCTTCTTCATTCTAACTTTTCTCACTCTTCACGTTTCTAGTTCGACTTCCTCATGCAATTGCTCGACAGTAGAGCTTCTAGAATGTCACCAAATCAAGCTCTACTCACACTTCATGCCGATTACATTGGTGGGCACAACGCCAACTATCGCAAATGGTACTTCGCGGCACAACTAGACCTTGACGACGCAATTGGCCAAGTTCAGAACCCCGGTCTCAACCGCTTGAAATCGAAACGTGGTGGAGGCAAACGGCCCCCTCATGAAAAGTCACTGTCCACTGCATTGGAGCGATGGCGTCAGGCAATGAACAACATGTCGCAGTATGACCGTCTCCGCCAAATTGCGTTATACTTGCTCTGTTGGGGTGAAGCGGCCCAAGTTCGCTTTGTACCAGAATGTCTTTGCTTCATTTTTAAGTGTGCAGACGATTACTACCGGTCTCCTGAATGCCAGAACAGGATTGAACCAGTTCCGGAGGGTTTATATCTACGAGCAGTTGTGAAGCCGTTATACAGGTTCATTCGGGACCAAGGATATGAAGTGCAGGATGGAAAGTTTGTGCGGCGAGAGCGGGATCATCAAGACATCATTGGATATGACGACGTAAATCAGCTCTTCTGGTATCCTGAGGGCATTGCCAGAATCGTCCTCAATGACAAAACGAGGCTTGTCGATCTCGCGCCTTCTCAGCGATTCATGAAATTTGACCGGATTGACTGGAATCGGGCCTTTTTCAAAACTTACTACGAGAAGCGCTCATTCGGTCATCTTTTGATCAACTTCAACCGTATATGGGTCATTCACATTTCGGTCTTTTACTTTTACACTTCCTTCAACTCGCCCACCATCTATGATGTTAATGGTGTGTCCACTCCTGCGATGACCTGGAGTGCTGTCGCTTTGGGAGGTGCTGTTGCCTCTATCATCATGATACTTGCCACTCTTGCCGAATTCTCCTACATTCCCACGACTTGGAACAACACTTCACACTTGACTCGTCGGCTTGTCTTCCTTCTGGTTACCCTTGGATTGACCTGTGGGCCGACATTTTACATTGCCATCGCTGTACATAACGGCTCCGCTGGTCAATTAGCACTTATTCTCGGTATCGTTCAATTCTTCATCTCCGTGGTGGCTGTTTTGCTGTTTTCCATAATGCCATCTGGTCGCATGTTCGGAGATCGCGTTGCTGGAAAGTCGCGAAAATATCTTGCCAGCCAAACCTTCACTGCGTCGTACCCGTCGCTCTCCAGCGGACCCCGTTTAGCCTCCTTTGTCTTGTGGATCCTCGTTTTCGGTTGCAAGTTCGTCGAGTCGTACTTTTATTTGACTCTTTCGTTCCGAGACCCGATTCGTGTCATGGTCGGGATGAAGATACAGGGATGCACCGACAAATACTTTGGAAACGGTCTTTGCACCAACCAGGCTGCTTTCACCTTGACAATTATGTATCTCATGGACTTGGTTCTATTTTTCCTTGACACTTTCCTCTGGTATATCATCTGGAATACTGTGATGAGTATAGGACGAAGTTTTTTCTTGGGCTTGAGTATTTGGACACCGTGGGAAGACATTTTCACTAGACTCCCGAAACGGATTTACTCGAAGCTGCTTGCAAGCCAGGACATGGAAGTCAAGTATAAACCAAAGGTAAGATTTCAGTATTCATATGATGTAAGCATACGATGTCATGTCTGCTATGTTAGGTCCTTGTGTCACAAATTTGGAACGCCATCATTATCTCCATGTATCGCGAGCACTTACTCTCCATCGATCATGTTCAGAAATTACTTTATCATCAAGTAGAAACGGGTGATGGTGGAAAACGAAGTCTGCGAGCTCCACCATTTTTCATTTCACAGCGGGACAAAGGATTCAAAGGCGAATTTTTCCCTCCTGGCAGCGAAGCTGAACGTCGCATTTCGTTTTTTGCCCAATCAATGACTACAGAGATGCCTTCACCCCTGCCTGTGGATGCAATGCCTACTTTCACAGTCTTGACACCTCATTACAGCGAAAAGGTAGTGCCTTATGTATGGATTGTGATGCGCAACTGATGTCTTCTAGATCTTATTCTCGCTCCGAGAAATCATTCGTGAAGAAGACAAAATGTCGCGTGTAACTGTTCTGGATTATTTGAAACAGCTTCACCCCGTCGAATGGGAGAATTTCGTTAAAGACACCAAGATCCTGGCTGAAGAGTCTGCGATGTTCAATGGAACGAACCCGTTCAGTGGCGATGAGAAGGCTCAGGCGAAGGTGGATGATATTCCTTTCCACTTCATCGGCTTCAAAAGTGCTGCTCCTGAATTTACCCTCCGTACTCGTATCTGGGCTTCACTCCGTGCACAAACGCTTTACCGCACAGTATCTGGCATGATGAATTATTCCAAAGCGATCAAACTTATGTATCGTGTCGAAAACCCCGAAGTTGTTCAGGTTTTCGGTGGTAACACCGATAAACTCGAACGTGAGCTCGAACGCATGGCTCGCAGGAAGTTCAAGTTTGTGGTATCCATGCAGCGTTATTCAAAGTTCAACAAGGAAGAGCAAGAGAATGCTGAGTTCTTGCTTCGTGCTTATCCGGACCTCCAAATCGCATATTTGGAAGAAGAACCCCCCAGGAAGGAAGGAGGCGATCCACGAATCTTCTCTGCTCTTATTGATGGCCATAGCGAATTCATTGCGGATACCAGTAGGCGTCGGCCGAAATTCAGAGTCGAATTGCCGGGAAACCCTATTCTCGGCGATGGGAAATCGGACAATCAAAATCATGCCATCATCTTCTATCGTGGCGAGTATCTGCAGCTCATCGATGCCAATCAAGACAACTATCTTGAGGAGTGTTTGAAGATTAGGAATATTCTCGGCGAGTTTGAAGAATGTGGTGTGTCTAGCCAAAGCCCGTACGCTCAATGGGGACATAAGGATTTCAAAACTGCTCCTGTTGCCATCGTTGGTGCACGCGAGTACATCTTTTCTGAAAACATTGGTATCCTCGGCGATCTTGCTGCTGGCAAGGAACAAACATTTGGTACATTGTTTGCCAGGTCCATGGCTTGGATTGGTGGAAAGCTTCATTACGGTCATCCCGATTTTCTTAATGCTCTCTACATGAACACTCGGGGTGGGGTTTCGAAGGCTCAGAAGGGTCTACATCTGAACGAAGATATCTACGCTGGTATGAACGCATTCGGTCGTGGTGGACGTATCAAGCATACCGAGTATTTCCAGTGCGGGAAAGGGCGTGATCTTGGTTTTGGTACCATCCTAAACTTCCAAACCAAAATCGGTACGGGTATGGGTGAACAGATGCTTAGTCGAGAGTATTACTATTTAGGTACTCAATTGCCCATCGACCGTTTTTTGACGTTTTACTATGGTCATCCCGGATTCCATATCAACAACATGCTGGTCATCCTCTCGGTGCAAATATTTGTTGTGACTAGTAGGTCAATCTAGTGGTCATCTCTCATAGTACTGACTGTCATTTGCTAGTGGTGTTCATTGGAACTTTAACAAGTTCTGTCTCCGTTTGTCAGTACACGAGTTCCGGTCAACTTATCGGCGGTCAAACGGGATGCTATAACTTGTTCCCTGTATTTCAATGGATCGAACACCGTATCATCAGTATCTTCTTGGTATTCATGATTTCATTTTTGCCCCTTTTCTTGCAAGGTATGTTTGTGCTCTTCCTGCATCCATAGTGTACGAATACATTTGCTGACTTCTTATCGTTTTTTCGTTCTTAGAACTCATTGAACGCGGTACATGGAAGGCCATTTTCCGATTAGCGAAGCAATTTGGTTCATTGTCCCCTGCTTTCGAAGTGTTCTCAACCCAAATCTACACCCATTCAATCCTCAGTAATTTGACGTTCGGAGGAGCACGGTACATCGCGACTGGACGTGGTTTCGCAACAAGCAGGATAACCTTCAACATACTGTACTCCCGTTTCGCTGGTCCTAGTATTTATCTGGGAATGCGAACGTTAATCATGTTGCTCTATGTCACCCTTACGCTTTGGACACCATGGATCATCTACTTCTGGGTTTCTATCATTGCGCTCTGTGTGTCGCCCTTCCTATTCAACCCTCATCAGTTCGTCTTCTCCGATTTCGTGATTGATTATAGGTAAGGTTCATCCCATCTTGGTTGTGTCGCGCTAATCGTTCTGTCTGAAGGCAATTCCTTCGTTGGATGTCTCGTGGTAATTCGCGTTCACACATCAACTCCTGGATTGGGTACTGTCGTTTGTCGCGAACAATGATCACAGGTTACAAAAAAAAGAAGCTCGGACATCCTTCAGAAAAGCTTTCTGGCGACGTGCCTCGTGCGACTTGGAGGGCCGTCCTTTTCTCTGAAGTCGTCTTTCCCATTGTGATGGCCATCCTTTTCGTCATTGCGTACATGTTCGTGAAATCTTTCCCAGTGAATGGTACTCAACCGCCTTCACCATTGATTCGTATCGCTGTTATCTCGTTGGGACCTATCGTTTGGAATGCTGCTGTGTTGTTGACACTTTTCTTGGTCTCTCTGTTCCTTGGCCCAATGTTGGACCCGCTCTTCCCAATGTTTGGATCTGTGATGGCGTTTATAGCCCATGCTCTCGGTGCGCTAGGAATGATTGGATTCTTCGAGTTCCTGGTAAGCGTTTATACTTAGATTGTGACATTCACTAACTTTTTTGTCAACGCTCAGTGGTTCCTCGAACTTTGGGACGTTTCACATGCTGTCCTTGGTCTCATCACCGTCATCGCAATTCAACGCGCGGTCCACAAAGTTCTCATTGCCGTTTTCCTTTCACGAGAATTCAAGCACGACGAAACGAATCGCGCCTGGTGGACTGGAAGATGGTATGGGCGAGGGCTTGGAGCCCACGTTATGTCTCAGCCCGCTCGTGAATTTGTGGTCAAGATTATCGAACTTTGCCTATGGAGCTCAGATTTAATCATCGGACATGTCCTATTGTTCATGCTGACTCCTCCTGTGCTGATCCCCTACTTTGATCGTGTGCATGCCACGTTGCTATGTATGTGTTGTTCCTTGCTCTTTGAAACGGCGAGCTCATGTCTTTCAGTTTGGCTACGTCCGTCGAAGCAAATACGGGCACCGTTATACTCCATCAAGCAAAAACGACAACGTCGTTGGATAGTAAGTGATCAGGATTCTTACTTGTTTGTATGCTTCATGGCCGACTGGTTTTCAGATTATTAAATATGGTACTATCTATATCCTTGTCCTTGTCATCTTTATAGCATTAATAGCTATACGTGAGTGGCCCTCATCATCCAACTTTTTTTTTGTGGTTTTCTCACAAGCACTTCGTAGCTGCCATCTTCCGGACGGCTCTCCACCTCAACTGTTCACTCTGCAACAGTATTTAATGTACATTGGATATAGTACCTTCAACGCTTTACGATCAACGACCATTTGATATAATACACCCATCATAGACTTTCTACTACGCATTGTACTCAGCTGTCTTCATATGCTAACTCCGTTTCATGGACTCTTCCCTTCTTTGGTCGTTTTTCGTCGTCGTCAGGCAATCCATAGCCTATTCATTCCATGCGGACATACCATATTGTACTGAAATATCCATATACAGTTTCTTGGTCCTTTAGCAAACAACGGAAACGCTCAGAGTATGGTCGGGAGTAACGTGCTTATTTCGGACTGCTTTAGACTCCTGTGTTTTCTTACCTTCCGAAATGCATGATACGGAAATAAATTTTGCCTGGCAGGAACCCATAGGTCAAAAGCAGATTCAATCTTGAATTCCGAACGAATTTACTAATGAGAACAGCGGTGGAAATTGAGAGGTAGCAGATGGTAGCCGGGTGGAATTTGAGTGGTTGGTTCATTTTCTTTGAATATCATCAACTTTACCCTCTTCCACCTCGCGCTTGCAGCGTATGGAATTCGAACTTACACAAGGATTGCTGGAACGTGATATTTGAAGGTGACGTCGACTACATACGATTGCATTCATTCGGGTTTCCCTTTCATTTAACCGCTTATGTTTTCCTCATCCTGGATCCATCCAGATCCATCCGACCCACAATAAGTACTACAGCGACAGGTTATGAAGAGGGTAAACATGAAAATAGGCGTAGACCGTGTTTCCATCAGCCGTCGCTTGCGCGTTAAAACCTAACCTTCTCTCGGCTTCTCTCATAACCTTCTAGCCTCATCCATCGCCGTAATAAAATGGCTAGTGCTTTCTAGCGCAACTAAGAGTGGATCATGAGGGCTCAAGAATCATCTGCTACTGTTTCGCCCTATTACACATGCCAACAATGCCGAAGGTTGGATTAGGTCGTCAGGCAGGTTCCAGCTCCATCTTGTGATTCTTTTGTTCCCCTTCCCAGATCAGCAACGGCAAGTTTCTTTTAATAACTGAAAGGAATAGGGTTTCGGACCTTGATGATATATGATGTAGGCATGGTGGAGATGATGTAGGAGGATATAGGTGATATACTTGGGATGACACGTATGCGGTACACCTCAAGGTACACTTTGTTTTTCAAGTTAATATACCGTCAGTGGTCACGCATCCGCATGAAAGCTAGCAGGGGTAGTGCATGGCACGTCCTCTTCTTTCGATTTGAATTTCGATGGATCTAAGTCTGGGTAATATGATTTAAAAGGTAGGCCTCTCGAGAAGAAGGGGGTTCAACTTCTGCAAGGAGTTTTCCCTCTACCGGCGTTCTCGAGTGTTCTCTCTCTGTCTTTCTGTCAACTTTCATCTTCAACCTGCTTTGAACCATGAAGTTCACCACTGCTGCCTCTCTCGTCTCGGTCGGTTTGGTGTCCACCGTTGATGCTGCTAGGACTTTCACGGTGAGTTCTCCACACCTTAACTTTGGCATGGTCAGTTATAATGTACTGACTACCGTTCGGATTTTTTTTCCCTGTAGGTCTATAACGGATGTCCTTTCACGATCTGGTGAGCTGTTGTTGTCGAGATCGGTACCAGAGAAATACCAGAGCTAACGGACTCCTGCTCCTCTTCTCCTTTTTCAAAAGGCCTGCGGTACGATTTCGCGTTCGATCGAACTCATATTTGCTCATGTGTCCTTTCCGCCCACTCCTCTTCCTTTGTCGTTTCTTGTTTTTTTCTCTTCTGCCGTCTTCTCAAACGTTCGCTGTAACTCGTGCTGGGTGCAACCATATCTAATTATAGATGTTCACCGGCGTCAACCAAGCAACAGCTTCGCCTGCTTATACCACCGGGTAAGCAAAATCACCCAGCTTTTCTCCGAGTGGTTCCATTCCCTGATCTATGTTCAATGATTCTTGCAACCCGTTTTTACTATATTCACTTGATGCTTTATGACATCCCTCGGTCATACGTGATACGCCACATATAAACATGAACATAAACAACACGAACAACGATGGAATTATAATAATCACATATGGATAATGATATGTAGGTGGGCAGCCAATGCCTACACTGCCGTCAGTTTCTCCGTGCCAGATAATTGGCAGGCTGGTCGTATTTGGGTGGGTTATTTGGGAGTGGAACTTTTGTGTGACATCTGCTGATGAGCATGCTTTAGGCCCGAAGAGACTGTGATTTCAGTGTCAACCCGGGACCGAACTCGTGTCTTGATGGTGGATGCAATGGAGGGTTGGTTTGTGATCCTACGACTGGTACTGTACGTTGGGGTTTTGTTTTGGTTTCTTTGGGAGGTAGAGCGACGTACCTGACTGGCCCCCCTCCCCTGCACCTTTTCTCGCTGCCTTTGCTTTCATACTTTTCTAGGGTGTGCCACCAGCTTCACTCGCCGAGTTCACTCTGTCCGGTGCCGGAGGTCTGGACTACTTCGATAGTGCGTGTCCCCCAAACTTCTTCTAGATTTAGATCATCATCGAACTCAACTCAATCTCTTTCCGCAAGTCTCCTTTGTCGACGGATACAATCTTCCCATAAGGTAAGAACAAACCCCCCACATACCATACAACATCTATTTGAAGACGTTAACCTACTCTCCAATTCATTCATTCCTGGTGGCCTTTTCTTCCTGTTACTTATGTCTTTGTGTGCTCCTTCATCTAGCATCACCAACAACGTGAACTGCCCCGCGCCCATTTGTGCAGTTGACCTTGGTCCCAACTGTGAGTGTTTTATTCCATTTTCCAGATTTATCTCATGGACGTGATTTTACTCATATACATTTTATTACAGGCCCCGCCCCACTTGCTGGTCCTTTCGATTCCACCGGGTTCCCTGTTGGATGCAAGTCCGCTTGTGTGAGTCTTTCTCCTTTTTTCTCCCCCCCCTTGGTCAAGTACCAATAACTTTTTTCATTGACTGTAGGACGCGAACCTCGACGGTGATCAACGTAAGTTGATCACTTCCTTCCTTCTCCATGTCTAAGGAGAACCCACGCTTGACTCACCTGTTTACCTCAACAACAACAGAAAACTCCCCCAACTGCTGTTCGGGCCAATACGATACCCCGGCGACGTGCCCGGTGTCTGGGGTGGAGTATTATACTTATTTCAGTGCGTAGATGGATTTCTCTCTCTCTCTCTCTCTCTCTTTGTGTGTGTGTTGCGAGGGGTTGCTGATTATTGATTCTTCCCTTCTTTTTTCCGCCTTTCGCTTCCTCTCTGTCTCCCTCCTCCAAACAGAGGACGCATGCCCCGATGCCTACGCCTACGCCTACGACGAGTCCAGCGAAAGCGCGCTCTGGACTTGCGCCGACTCCCTCAACGCGGATTACACTATCACATTCTGTCCTCCTGCTTAAACTTAAAGACTCTCTTTCTACTGAATATAAACTTGTTCCCCACTGGTACCGCTCTATTTCTTGTATATAGGTATATACTACGCAGTGCAATTGAATACACTTGAGATGAAAACGCTCGAAGTGGAAAGACTCAGTGAAATGGAAAGACTTGAAATGGAAAGACTTGAAATGAAATAAGGGGGGATTGTATTTTGGTACTACTTTACCTGCAGCCTTAGGGGAGGAGGAGGAAAGAGGAGGAGGTTGTGTAGTAGGTTCTGATGAATAAGATGGTTGGTAACATATGTTATCCACTTGTTTGCTTGCCGCCTCGGAGAGGCGGCTTTTACGAGTTCAGGTTCTCAATATCCAATGCATATATTGCAACTGCAGCCTGTTTTTGGCCCCTTTTATGTAGCTGGATATTATCAGTGTTTATGTTACCGTTATATGAAAATCTTCCATTATCTGCTATACCATCATAATACCATACCTTTCCATCTTGGTCTATAATTCTAGCTGAATAATGAGCCTCACCAAAATATATTATACCTGATAAAGAATATTTTTGGTTTTTGTTTGATGCATCTTGCACTGTCAATGTCATTTCAATGTAGGGTATGTCTTTTCCTTGGTCAGGTTGAGATAGCTGGAATGCAATAATTGGAGGGTAAACATTCATACTGTAAAGAATATGGATATTTGTATTACAAGAACTGCATTTGTGTCTTGTAGTATGATAATGGTGATGAATCCAATCAGATATGCTATCATATGGCTCAGTGGAATCCAGTAAGGAGCTATGTAAAGTGAGATTCGGTCTATCTAACAGGTGATTCTGATTTTTTGGGCATGTATATGTTCCAGTAAAAACTGTGGTATTAATGTTTAGTAATGCATCACATATCAATCCTGCTACTGTATATTTACCCCATTCAAATGTACTAGGTGCATTTGAGTAGAGTTTTGTATGTACAGCATCTCGAACTTCATTCAAAGTAACAATTCCATTGTTATACTTTTCCAAATGCTGTGCCAGAACCACCTGAACTTCATTAGATGAATGCATAAAAGTGTCATACCATACAGTTGGATTAGAGGACCAAATAGCAAGGAATACTGCTATAACTGAATCATATGCACAGCTATTGTTTTCCCAAGTTGGTCCAAATTTAGGCATTATGTATCCAACAGATTTTTTCTTTTTCATCGGACTGTTTTCTGGTGTTGCTTCAGGGCTGATATGAAGCTTCCGTTTTCCAAATAAGCCCATTGATGGAATATAAAAGTTTTGATTGTCTGCGGATTGATTGTCTGCAGTTTCATTGATTACTAGAGTGGAATTTGGTGCAATATGAAGCTTGTTTGTATATGTAAAAGGACCACTAGGTGGCTGCAGTATCTGGCTGCATAGTCCTTTTGTTCCTTTTGCAGTTTCCAAGTTATTTCTTATACCAGCAGTTACATCTGCAGTAATTTTTGTATTACTTGTATCACTTTTCATGATAATCTGCCATTTGACTTCATCTAAGTCAAACTGCTTCCAAGGGTCTTTGGAAGACCATTTTATTGCACTTGGTACATTTTTTGGAACATAATGTTTGCCTTTCCATTTCTGATATGCTTTGATTAAATCTTGCCTATATGTGCCTTTGATTGAAGAACATATTTGATTTTCATATTGAAGCCTTGTAATCTCATCCAAAATTTCTAATTCCCTAAATTCTTCACGTGTATCTACATACTTGTGTTCAGTTAATTTACGTGGTGAAAACCCTTGTATCAATAAAGTTCCTGATGCTGTTGAACCTCTTGACAGGGCGGTATAAATACCATGATAATCCTTGCAGTTATTGATATCAACTACATTAATAGGCCTGGTTTTACCCTGAGATGCAAAATCAGTCATTGCAAAATTAGGTAGAACTTCAACTTGTTCTCTGGTAACATTGACTGCACATCCATTTGGTAATGTAATTTGCATTGAGTTGGTAGTAGAATACACTGGTACTACATTCTTTGGTAAACCAGTAATTTCTACTATTTTCCCATCAGGTAAGTTAATTAATTTTATAAACAATACATCCAGCATGAGTTGCCCTCTTGATCCTTTCTTAGTCTGCCACCCATACACTGTTCCTTCCTGACCTTTTGTTATACAAAGTTCTGTTGCTAGGTTTCTTCGGATCATAACAGGCATATTTACACAAAGTGAATAATTTTGATGGTACATGTGAATCTGAAGAGCTGTGATTGAGAGACCACAAAAGTTTTTGTACATCATCTGTCATTTCTTTGATGGAAAGTAATTTCTTTTTTGTTCTCTTTTCATCTAGAGCATTATCATTAGACTGCCTGGCTACATCTTCAGAGTAGAAGTTAGTCAAATTAGACATATTCTCTGCAGCAAATCTTTCACAACCAATCTGATTAATCTCATCTTTATCAATATTTAGTGCAGTGATCATTGGTACATTCCTGAACTCAGATTTACAAATTGAGTCAGCACCTGGGACATTTGCAGAAATCCGAGATCTCAGAAATGCTATATCACTTGGTGTGCATTTTTTATATCTCATGTTCTCTAGTACAGTCCGGAATTTGTTATCCTCAGCAGTCATATTTTTCTGGCGCATATTTTGCCTTAAAATTACCACTGTGGTAACACGGTGCCATATTGATTTCCCCATACCATCTTCTTGTTGACTATTGCTTTTACCTGACACCCCAATAGTCTGAGAGTAAAGTGGTGAACCTAAAGCAGGTGGCAGTTGTGCAAAATCACCAGCAAAAATCATATTCATGCCTCCAAACTCTGTATCTAGCTCACCTGAGGCTTTGGCTAATCTAGCACTAATCAAATATAGATCTCTTGCAGATAGCATTGACACTTCATCAACAAACATATATTCAACTCCAGCTAAATTTTCTCTAACAACAGGTAAACTTTTATCCAATATACCTTGAGGAGATATACTTAGCACAGAATGGTAAGTGCTGCCACCTAATAAAGATGCTGCATTACCAGTTGGTGCAACTACCAAAAATCTGTATGGTTCATTCCTTAATTGAAAAAATGTTGATAATGCTTTAAGCACCTGAGATTTTCCAGTACCACCCATGCCACCTATATACATTTTCAGTTGCTCATGCAAGGGTGAGGAAGCATGATTAGCAACAATTTTGAATGCTCTTTCCTGCTCTTCATTTAAACTATACTGGTCAGTACATATTGTCAGCATATTTTGATGTGAATCAGAGCCTGTAAATGTTTTTTCTAGGTAAGATTTGTTAATTATCTTAACTCTATTTGTCAATGGCTTTTTGTGAAAAGGTTCATTCAAATTGGAAGTATGAGGTTGAAGATGCTTATTCTTGTTTTTCAAATTTTTGCGCATGTCTATTAAAACTCCTTTCCATTGAGCTCCTGTCAAGGTTTTGCTTGGAGGGGGATCTTCACCATGTTTAGATGATATTTTTCCAGAAGGTAAATCTTCATGGCCAGGTTTGAGTGGTTGGGACCATCCTGTATTAGATAACATAGCTTTAATGCATTTAATTTGTTGCATTTGCCTTAAATAAGATTTGGATAATGCTGTATCAAGAATACCTTCTATATCATTCAATGAGGAATTTTCATAGTCAAAGGTAAATTGATCAGAAGGTGGGCTATTATCATTGAGCCAATCTTTAAATGAATTGTCCCAAGATGAATCAACCTCAGTACCAGCTTTAAGCTGTGCACGGTAATCATCTCGGGCATCTAGACACTCATAACGAAGATTGAAATTACTCATCAATTGTAACTCACATTCAGTAAACTTGTGTTCATTAAATGTTGCACCCCATGAGTACTTTTAAGTCAGCACCTGTGCGCCATGGCTTAAACAATGTTAACATTGTTGAACAGTAATATTCATGATCTCCTCGGTCCTTTCTTGGTAATGTGGCACCAACAAAATTCACAACATCAAATTCATTTGCACTTTTTACATAAGTAGCATGAGATTCATATAAAGGATGTTCAGGATCAAGATGATGACATGACTTCCGCAACTGAAAGCTACTTAACAGCTTATCATTTTCATTTTCAGAAGATGAACTTTCATTGTCAGAAAGTGACTCATAATTTGTGGTCTTTACAAAAGTAATATCTGGTCTAGATAGTTCAGAGACTTTGTCACTATTAATATTATGCAAAGCTGAATTAGATTCTTTTTTATTTTTTGACATAGCTTTTGACAATGTGATACGCTCTGTACATCTTGCCCATTCATATAAACTCATTTGTGCCAAATTTTCACCACGGTACATATAATCATAAACAGGACTCATACCAACAATCTTCCCATTTCTTTTCATCAATGTAACTTTCTGTTTTTCACTACGAATATCATCTGGATGCCAGTATCTTCTTGCTTCATTCACAAAATCAATCCAGTAAAAGGTAACAAAATGATGATCAGTATAATGGTCTGGATTTCCTAAAAGATATATTGAAATCATTGGACCACCTAATTCCATCTTTGTAGTCAATAAATTTACTATTTTAGTGAGGATCATGCGTGCTTTCTCAGGATTTGATTTTGAACTTTGAAGCATTTCCGCATTCTTTGAAAAAACTGAAGTGATACAATTGAATACAACATGTGTTTTCAATGATGCCTTTGTAATATAATCAGATATATACACAACAGTAGCTTTGATAGCTGTTCCTGAGCTAAGGTTAGAAACATCTGTATTGCATCTAAGAATATAAGTCAGAACTGGAGTAAACATATTTAACCATGGCTCACCTTTCCTCATATATATAGCACCTGTTTGAGGATCCACTAAAGTTTCTTTGAATAACTGACGTGGAAATCTAGCTTTGCACTTGTTCCATTTGTTGTCCTTGCAACCAAGAGACAAACTATTTAATTTTTGTGTGCCATCCTTCTTAACATTTCGATTGCATGTATGAAAGTTAGATTTAGATATAAGGTCATCAACTGTAAACTCATATTCCTTCTTCCATTGATTATATAACTTACAATCTTTACAATTATCTGGTTCCATTAAGTTGTGTTTACTACATAATGGTGGTGGTGGTATAGGCATTGTTTCGGTTGGATTTTTATAGCTTGAATGTTGAGAAGCAAGCCTAACCTTACCCAAAACTTCCTCCTGAGAACCCATTGAATATTCACCGCAATGAACACTCTCTAAATATTGTACTACTTGTTTCATCCAATTTGAATTTGGATCCAAAATACGATCTCTCATATCCTGAGGTGAAACATTCCCTTTCAGCCACAATATCAAATGCAAATGTAAAGTTAGTCTACCTTGTTGCTCCACAGTACCATAATGAGCAGCATGATCACCATAAAGGCCTCTGTGCTTTGTTCCACATCCCAATACTTCAGTGATGAAAGTTTCAACCATGAAATGAAAAAACCTTGCAGCTGCTACTGGATTTTTAGCAGTTTGTGCAAGTCTATGATTATAGTCTATTATGGTTGGATTGAAAGTCTCCTCTGTACCTGAATAGTACAGAGAAATAGGATGTTTTTCATCAGCAGGTGAAATAGTAATATACCATGATGGTGCACCTTTGTGAGCAATCAAAGACCAAATTTCATTCCGCATATACTTTTTAGTGGTTGTAGATCCTTTTACATGACCAGCCACTTGATCAATATCTTGAATAACTTTGTAGCATTTGATTTCCTCTTCTGTAGTAGGTTTGAATGACTCATTACTTGCAAGTTTGTTAGCAATTATTGTTATCAGATTAGTATCAACACTTAAAAGGCGCTGTGAAATCTGCTCAAAGGATCTTTTTTCAGTTAAAAGCCAAGCAGCATCACTTGATTTTTTGATCTGCATATAGCTAAATGCCACAAATGGAAAATGTGGATCAGTCTGAAACCTTTTGTCAAAGTACATTAACAGAAATTTGCGGTGCTCTTCCTCAGATAAATTTGCACAGCCTAAACCTCCTAGACCATATGGAAATAAATGAGGAAACATTTTTGGATATAACCTTGGATTATTCCACAAAGATTCACATTCAGTTGCATGTCCCACAGCTATTACCTTGCCACCATTATTGAAATGAAGCCAAGCTTTTGCCTTTAACTGTTGAACAGTATATGTACCAATTTGCTCACCTGTAATTCCATGGACAATAAAAGGACACTCACCTTTGTCAGCACCATCTTCATCTTCCATATCAAAAACACTTGTACTTTCAGCAGTTTTATTAGTATCTGCAAACTTATACTCCACAGTACAAGGTAACTCATTTTCATTATAACTGCTCAAATTCTCTTCAGAAATTTGGACATCATCATAGTCTGCATGATTTAGTATAAGCCATTGCAAAGCAAGTTTCATTTCTTTTGGTCTAACAAGGAGAGGTGTCCTTTTAAAGTCATCAACAGTTGGCTTTGCTGGACCAGTAAATAACACTGCAGCTACCTCATCAATATCTTCACGTGGAGGTGGTAAAATATTGTATAGTTTTGGTGTTGGTGATTCAAATGCAATAACATTTGCTTTTATTTTTGTTCTTTCTGAACTTATGCGTATAAAACAACAGGAATATCTAACTCTTGCAATAAGCAATCTTTCCATATATCTCAGATTTTTCAGAACTAGTGGTACAGCACCTAACCATAAACTGTCATGCCTTGCCTGATTTTGCTTTCTTACCTATCATATTCCTCCTTACTACCTTCCTATATCTCCCCACTGTATACCCAGAGCTCCCCTTGTCCGCTTTTACCATTATGTAATATGCCACATGGCTGTCACATGTATAGTATATAGGCTGGGGACTCCCCTTGGAGCTCCCCAGCGTGTTATTGTCAAATCTTATCTAGAAACTCTTCCAACCTGGCTTGGTCCCTGTTAGTACAGTCTACTTGTACTTGCTAACAGGGCCTGACACGTCTCACCTGTCATACATTTCCTCTTTATCTGTTTCCCTCAACTCTGTTTCCTTCACCTCTGTTTCACTCAACTCTGTTTCTCTTCTCTGTCTCACCTCTCTGAACACCTCTCTCAACTTCCTGAGCCTCTCCTTTGACTTACAGTCTACGTCGAGGCTCCACACCCCCAACCACCTCCATCCTCACCAACTACACCTCCTTCCCCCACTCCAGGACCTTTGGCTAGGTCCACCCAAGCTCCGCAACCACCACTGGTCAGGCTCCCTACACCAGTAGCGGCACTTATCCCACCTCCCCTTGTACGGCCTAGGCAGCTGTCCTGCTTGCTTAGGCCCAGTCCAGATAGGACGAGAGCAGGCCTTTTGTGCCAGGCCTCACATAAACCTTGTGCTAAAGCAAATTTTGGTATTTGATTATTTCTGATACAGCTTCGGCATTGGTTGCAGACTTTGGAACAGGTTGACTCTAAAACAGGACCTTCACAGTCAGTTATAGGTGAAGACAAATTGGACCGTTCTTTTCTTGTTACCCCAGCAACATCCAGGATCATTAATTGGTTCTGAATGTGTTTCAATAGAGATAAATTACTAATAGGGGTCAGTTTACCACATATTGCACAGCCAGATTCCTCTATAAGGCTTTGGCTCATCCTTTTGCATGAATTTGAGATTATTTTATGTTCCAACTCTCTACTAAGAGGCAGTGGTGGGAAAACAATTTCACCCTTTATGTTTGCACGTTGTTTTTGTAAATTCTTTATACTCTTTTCCATCCGGGATTGGCAATAGTTAAATACTGACATAGAAGGTACACAGCCTTGACAAGAATGATTATCAAAATATTCAGAGATTATGCCCAATGAGGGGCGATAACCATTTAAGCCATGATATTTAGCAAGGGTCTGTGCATCTTTTAGGGTTAAAAATTTCAGAAGTTGTTGTGAAGGTAAAGTAGCATAAAGATGAGTTTCTGATGGGAATTTTACATGATCAATTGCCCTACATATACCTACAAAAGTAAAGGAGTATGTGGCATTATAGACTTGAATTTCATTGGAAGGAAGAATGTAATCCTTAATATCAGCAAATGGTAATAGAGGCTTGGCATGACCCCCCAGCATTGTATTAGTATTTGATATATTGGATGTATTGAAATGGAAGTTTGGTCCACAAGGTTTTGTAATTGCATGATATTTTTCAGCATCACTTTCCATCAATACAACTTCATTGAGGAAAGATTTAGGTATCTGACTCAAAACTTGGAGTTGCAAGAAATATAAAACATTTGCAAATGCATATATTCTTATATACCTAAGTTGTTGCATTCTGAATTTGAATTTCAGACATGATTGTGTCATCAAATTTTTGGAAAATCTTTAGCTTTAATAAGTAAACCTGCTTTTGAACAAAAGGTGCTCCAAAATGAACAACAGTTTCTGGCCTGACAATGAAGGTGGTTCTGTTGCAGTCCATGAATAGTTTCACCAATGCATGAACAGGATTAAAAGTCCAAAGATAAGAAGTGATATGTGGATGCAGATAATAATAATACTATGTGAGATAACTCATGCCAGTATGATAGCCTGAAGACACAATATAATGCAAAGTATGAAAGTTTGTCAAGAGATGGTGATTATGATACTTTGGTATGGTAGCACTATGTGTCATTGAGGTAATCTCATTATTGTAACACTTGATTGAAGTAGAGATTATATTGTCACACTTTATTGGAATATAGTCTCCATGGTCAAACTTCATACTAACAAAGTCATCACAGACCTTCTCACTATAACACTTCATTGAAGCAAAGTCATCACTGACTGTTTCACTGTAACACTTCATCGAAGCAGAGTCATCACTGATGATTTTTGTTAAGATCATGTACACCGTGTAACCGTGCCAAGGCCACAGGGTGTCTAAGTGCGGAAGACGAATGGGACAGTAGTGAAGTTATTAACAACACCGCCGTTACGCCGATAGTCCCCGGAGAGCGAGAGTAGAGAGAGAGGAGCTAAGTAGCAGCCAGGTCGGAGCGGCGGTATCGCCGATGACGAGGAGCGGACCAGAGGACGTCAAAGTCCTAAGGTCGAGGAGGACGTACTTCGAGGCGTTGAGCCTGAAGACTTAGAGAAGAGTTAAGTTGAGAAGGGAGATCTAAGTTGATAATTAAACTGAGGAACTACAGTAGCGTACAGGCAGTATTTATATCTTCGGTACGGCGCATCAGTGCGGAGCGTCAGACTAACTACTAGGAGCTATACGAGTAGTACCTGCAGGGTAGAGTAAAAGACAATAAGGAGAGACTAGCACGAAAGGATATGTGTAGCGAGAAAGAACAATAAGAGTGAGATTACAATAACGAGCAGATCTTCGGAGTACCGAGCGGTGGAATGGAGGCCCGCGGCATGGACTTGACAATTTTACTATAACACTTCATCGAAGTAGGTTCACCACTATAAGAAGTGTAGGTCTGATTTTGTTGTAAGTTAGGTGAGGCTGAAGCATCCAGCAGCACCAAAAGCATAGTGGTAATCAAAGGCGATTGAACAATCATATTTTGATGATTTACAGCTGTTGATAAATGAGTAACAGTTATGTGTTGACTTGAATAAGTCACGTACAAGAAACACCTTTTGAAAAATGAAATGCCCTGTAGTACAGGGCAAAAAACATCCAGATTTTTGAGACTTGGGTGAAAAGCATTTCAGATGATGAACGTTGAAGATCAAGAGAAACTCCATCATGTGATTGAAATTTATCTTTGCAGTCGCTTATCAAATGATCATGGATGCAAACGGTTTTGCTGGAACACTACAAGTCTCACTGTCAACATTATGATGAAGCTACCGCCACCGCCACCACCCACCCTTGCCACCCAATCTGTGACCCATACCACTTCTCGCACCCCATCTATCTACAAATCTGTAAGTTGTATTGTAAGTGGTCCTACATACAGCGCCGATTCCACCAAGACCAACAACACTCCCAGCAGCAAATTCAAATCATCCATCTCCTTCCTATACCTCTCGATAAGCACATCGGTGTCGATAACTTCCTTCTTCTGAGCATGCAATTTCACGCCCTTGACGCGTTTTGCGAATAGGAGGGTTGAGGTTGACTCGGCGACTGGCGAGGGGTCTGGGCTAATTGTGCAGATGACACTTATACGGGCGTTCCCTGAGAGAGAGGGCTGGAGAAGCCTGGTGAGTTTGGAGTCGTGGAAGGGAATGTGGTCACTATAGTAATGGTCGGGTTAGCTGAATTAGATAGAGGTAATGTGAAGGGCATACTTCTTCTGTTTAGTGGCATTATCCCAGAGTTTACTGATGACAGTACCAAGGGTAAGAAGACTAACGACGAGTTGTCAATAAAGGTCATGACAAATTGCATCAATACATACCTCTTATTAATATACTTGCCCCCTCGCGTCCGCTCCTTGTGAGACGTAGCCTTTTCGAAGCCCGCAAGATCAATGAGACTCTGAAAATGGAAGTGAGTAGATAATGTAAGGAATCCACCGAGATATGTACCAGCACACCGGTCTGTACGCTCCTACCATCCCGCGATTGCAGTTGTGGACCACCATGATTGCCACCAGGACCAGGAGTTTGTCGACCACCCGGGGTTGTGGGGCCACCGCCCAGTGAAGGGGACCAGCTGGTGGAAGTATCAGTCCGCTCCCGACTCTCAATAAAGAGTAGGAAAACCTAAAGACTTCCACTACTACATTCATTCCAATCCGAACAACGATTTGTTTGAAGTCGAGAGCGAATCCCCAGCTCCCCAGCTTGCATCCCGACCGAACTTCCAACCTCCCAGAGTAAAAGCAATGTCCACCGTAGCACTGCTGAGAGTAAAAGGAAGGACATTTTCAGGGATCGGAGCACCGGTGTGATCGACGACATTGAAATCAGCAATGCACAGGGTAGGCGGGGGGAAGAAGCATTGAGTGTGGACGTGGCAGTCAGGATAGTAATCATTACAATCTTTTATTTCTAGTCAACGTAGTCACATGGCACAAAATGCGCGGCTAATCTCCCGAAATCAAGGCGTCGCACTTTCTTTCTTGTCACCTTCGGCAGGCGTGCCAGTGGTAAGCCAAGCACCAAGACCACGGCATTGTATTGCATCAACCTCTCCACATCACTCGTGAGAGCGGTGAATGGCAGCGGATTTGAAGTCCAGCCACGGTGCCGCTTGCCTTTTCACCGCTCCTCGTGGATGGGACGGAGAGGAAGGTGCGTTGTGTGGCACAGTCGGTCTGATCCCAAGACATAACGCGCTGAGGTCTGCACAGCGCCTGCGGCACCTGCTGTTTGAGGCGTGTCGACGAGGAGGGGGTGCGGGCTATGAACACCGGCATCTATCTGCCGAATTCATGTAACGCGTTGCCTTCGGTTCAGTCACCTTAGCACGCGACACGTTGGCAACGACACCACCGCTCTGACCACCAACCACCATATTGCAGTATGCTCGACGTTGTCCGGCGCTCTTCCCGTCAAGCCATGAATAGGCTCTCAGAACTGTACGCCCGCCTTCTTCTTCATATGTTTCACCACCAACGCCTAACAAACCAAAGCTTTCCAATACTTAAGACTTTGAAGCTGAATCCCGGCGTTATAGACGTCCTTGCACCACGGGAGCTTCAACTGGAATCCATTGGATTTCTGCGCCAGTTTTCAGCGTTCGATGAGCTCAACAATTTGGATCCGGACTTTTTTGCTCTCCAACAGGCTTTTGAAACCGGAGCGGCCTTTTCCAACATGGCCCTTGACGGCAAGCAGGACAACAGAACGTGGAAACCTAACGCCGAAGACGCAATGGGCTTTTCTGAGAGTTTGGGCGAGGGTTCCAATTCTGGGTGAGTTCGTTGCCTCTTCGCCCTTACTTACACCCCTGACTCCCCATAATAGGAAACGTAAGACCTCTTCTGACATCGCGGGCCCCACACCAGCAGAAAAGCAGCGCCGCGTTGGCCCAAACACTTCGTTGCCACGCGAAAGCGAAGACCGCGTCACTACTGTAACAACAAGGTTGGTTATTCTCCTCTCATCAGCTTTCTTCACAGCCCGTACCAACGACCTCTAGCACGTTACGACCAAAAAATGACCACCGCGCAGCGAGGTTCCAACCCATGCGGCCCAGCAACGTCTCTTCCCAAGAATGGAAGCGGATGCGCAAGCATCAGCACCGCCAATGGTCTCTGACCCAAAAAGCAACCAGGTCCACGGAGGTAAAGTCCCCGACCATCGAGTTTGACCTTGCAGAGGATTCCCGTGTTTCAAAACCAGCCTGGATGGGTCTGAACATTTCCTCTGACCTTAGGAAACCCATCCAAGACGCAATTGTTCAACCCAGTTCCGAGGCTGCTAGGCTTTTATTCTCGGGTATCACTACGGTTTCTTACGTTCCGTGAGTAACATCTTTCTCTCTTTCCCGCAGGCTCTCACCCTCTTTTATCAGCCATCTTGCCCTGGCGGTTAGCGACAGCCTAGGCCGCTTGTTCTTGTACCGCTCTCGACTAACCTGTAAAATGATGGAGGAGCTTCTGCCCCAAGTGAACGAAGTTGTACCCACCTTTGTCACATCCATCACAAAGCCATTCACAAATAATGACATGCTGCTGAACTCTCGAGGAGAACACTGGTTTTCAATTGCAGGTCACGACCGGAACAATAAATCGGTAGGTTACTGTTTGCTTATCATCTAGATTGATTTTCAGCTCTTGATTTGCGCTGTGCAGAGGCCCGCTGCAACCAAATTCCAGCAGCAGAACCACGACGCCCTTACAAAGCTCTTCATGCAAGGTACTGTTCTTCAACGGCTTACGTTTGTCTCTTTTCACACCTGGTTAGCCTGCTTAGGTGCTGATCACATCCGTAGTGCTTATGGTTGTGAAATCCTCAAAGCTCATTTCCCTGCCATTGCGAAACGCTACCAGGACTCTATCAACTGCATGAAAAAGGAGTATGGAATTGACGCAATGTTTGGCCTCTTTTTCAACTTCTGCCTCAACGCCCCGCGTGAAGGAGTCCGACGGGTTTTCTGTAAACCTCATGTTGACTGGAAAAACGTGGCTTTTGGAGTGTGTATGATATATATTTACGGTGAGGAATGCACCACTTTCTCAACAGCTATGTCCTTAACTCCCATCAGGGCATTTCAATCATCATGAGAAATGCTGGTTGGTTATATGGGAGGCTGGCATTGCGATTGAGATTCCACCTGGGGTTTTTGTATTCTACCCCTCCTCGCTTTTCCTCCATTTCAACATTGACTTGAGCGGTAAGTCCTGCGTTAAGTTATCCTCTGCTAAATCTGGGTTAATTTTTCGTTCTTGCTTCTCAGATCTACCGGTGGTGACAACCCAGACCAGCGAAAGACCAACCAAGGAAAACACCGCTCCACTTTATTTCTGTAATTGTGACACTCATGAAGGAAACCAAGGATGGGCTGATGCTGACGGCCGCGGGTCCATGGTGTGGTTTAACCAGGCTTCCATGATACAGACCTCTGAACTTGGTGTTCCCACCATTCAACAAGCCAAACAGCAGGGATTGAACACTCATTGTGATTCAGAAGCATGGTTAGCACGAGGAATCTTTCCTTCTACTACTTAGCTAGATTGATTACAAGGCGCATTCTGTACTCCCCACTGGTAACCACATCAGCGCTTTAGTTTCAATACTACAGTGGCTGCACATTAAGTCGGAAATAATTTTAATGAAGAAGAAAACAAAACTTTCTTTCATTGGCAACTCAAAATGCCCAAAGCATAAAAATGTTCTCATTTTAGATACATAGAACGTCCTGGCTTAATTTTTTACAGGCAAAGCCAGCAAAATGACAAAAGCGATGAAAAAATGAGCAGTTGGAAGCTCCGCAATGCTCCAAGCAGTGAGAGTGAAGCCTACAGTCACAACCACATCATCAGGAAGTTCTTTCAGGTAACGTGGAAGAGAGGTTAAGGAATCCCAATCCTTCGGAGCAAATGAGAAACCCTGATACTTGCTTTGGGAACGAGCACATCCATCATATACAGGAACTGAGCCAAGTATAAGAGTCAAAACCCAAACAACAAAAGAAATTGAACCCTACTTTTAGCGTCCCATTCCAGGAAGGGAGAAACAGTCAGGTTCTTGATGGTAAATTGCTCTGAGCCAGTGGTGACAGCAGATTTACGAGGAGACCCAGAGACAAACTTGGAGCGATTGCCTTTAGAAGGACTGCCAGAGAAGGGCCCTGCATAATTTAACAAAGTTAACATAGAAACTTCATCAGTAAGGTGCCCACCTACGAGAAGCTCCACCTTGTTGGTTTTCCTTTTTGGTCTGAAATGTGAGGGTGCCAGAGGACATGGGACCATAGAAGCTATCAGAGTGGTAATAAACTCCTAGTTGACCTTCAGCCAGCTCGTACTCCTGATTAAAAAGTTTCAGGAGCATCTTCTTATTCTTGAAACCAGTAGAACCGGTAGGTTGGTGAAGATGAGAACCAACACAAACACCAGTCAGAACAAGGATAACTATGTAAGACCTGGGTCAAAATAGGTCTTAGGGTAGGTTTTGGTATGTGGAGGTTTGTGTTGTAGCGTGCTAGGAGCAGGCTGGAGCTCGAAGGGAGCTACGAGAACCGCGACCGAGGACGGGAATGACCTAGTAGTGGTTGGAACGACGAGATGGTGACCCTTGAGGGGTTCCTAGGAGGTCCAGGGAGGTCCCTAATGCGTAGGGAGGTTCGGGACGAATGCGGGACCGTAAGATATTGCGTAGTAGGAGTTGTACTCGCTAGAACGTCAATATAGAGTCGAGTAGGTAGTTTATGCAACGGGGTCTCGAGGGTGTAAGCTCCCGAGAAGGGATATGCCAGGGAGGGTAGGTCCCTGGGGACTAGGTTTGAGGATGGTCGTCCTCGAGTGTGGGAGGTGGTAACGGAGAAGCAATACGTAGTTCGACGTGAGGGGTAGCTTCGACGTTACCTAGATCGAAGTCCCGAAGCTTACGAAGTAGCTAGGGAGCTCTGGAAGGTTTGGGGAAGAGTAGCTCACCAAGCGGGTAGGCGTTGGGGAGCTTTAGTAATGTTCGAGGGAGCTCGGGGACTCACTCGGCAGGCTTAGACTTGAAGTAAAAGCGTATATTCGATCGTACAGACGATCAGAGAGACAATAGACAGAAGTAGAGAGGAACAGAGGTAGAGAAACAGAGAGTAAAGAGAAATCCGTATGGTTAGCAGGTACAAAGGGACAGGGACTGGACCTATGCAAAAGGGTGTGTGTTCAAAATATACCAAGCTGGCGCTTGGAGACGTTACGGAGCTACTTAAATAGGTATGGGAAGTGAACAAGGGAACATCGGAACCTAGGGACATGAGGCAGTAGTCGAAGGAGACAGGTGATCGAGATTTGTACTTAATGGGGCTGGTGCTAAGGAGTTTCGTACGCGTGTCGGGAGGTTGTCAGGATAGTCTTGGGGAGGTGCGTATTACCCGTGGTCCTGTCTTGGGGAGGTGCGTAGTACCCGTGGTCCTGTCTTGGGGAGGTCGGATGTCTTGGGGAGGTGTAAGGAAGCATGTGGGATGGTGCTGGGACTGGTTGGTTGTGGTCAGGGCATGACATTACCCCCCTTCTAACCCCTTCGCGCCCTCGCGATGGTTCGTCGCGTTTCCTGTAAGGTCACCTGACATTCACGTGGTACCCGAAAATTTTCTTGTTGAAGTCCGTCAGGTACCTGCTTTTCCCACTTCTTCCACCACGCCAGTTCTACGAGTTAAACTCCTTCAACTGTGATGTCTGCTCCCCTTCGTCGCTCCAGCTCCCGCACTCGCTCCCCTCAATTACCTATCCTTACTACTATTGGAGAGGTACCTTCCCCTGATCTTGAGTCTGATGGGGAGGCCGAACAGGACCAGCTGGCCTTCACCATCGAATTTCCGTCTCGTCCACAGTTGCAGTTGTTCGAGACGGTTTTTAACACTGGTAAGCCGCTATCGGGTTACTGTCAAGACGATCCTTTGTGGCCTCTCTTGGCGGAGGTAGCTTCCCCTTGCTCTAACTGTTCCAAATCTCCGGCTAAGTGCAAGGTTCTGCCAAATTCCCCTCGATGTACGAACTGCTCCGTGAAGAAGACTTGTAGTTTGGGCAAGATCCTTCGTTATCGGTACTTCGCTCGTCGCTGCAACCAGGATCTCGCATATAGTCGTAGGTTCTTGGAACTACACGGGACTCCTGCACACCAATCGACTTGGGGTATTCCTATGGTTACATGGCGTCAATATGACGCTGCCCTTCATGAACGTACTTCTTCGACCTCTACCCTCCTCGAGTTGAACATGCTTGACGATCAGGACGCTGCTGACGTCGACCAGCAGGAGTTGCGGGACTTCCTCGCTTTGCAACAGGAGGAGGCAGCCGTCGCTGCTAAGCGTAAGCGCGACCTTTCCCCTTTGCCTGTGGCTGGTCCCTCCAGCAAAAAGGTTCGGTCGAATGCTTCTAAAAAGCGTCCCCGTCGTAGGTCCCCTGTGCAGGAGACGGCTGAGGAGTCTCCTCGTCGCGTTCGACTGGTGGTCCCTCCAGTCCGTTCGCTGCCAGTTACCACTTCTACTCCCCTCCCTCCTCGCGCCTTTCCCTCCTCAATGGAGGTACCCGATGCTGATCTGTCGGTGCAGGGTCACAGCAATCTGGTTCGCTTGGCGGCTGTTGCTGGGGCTCAGTCCGGTTTGGTTCAGCAACCTGCCGTTTCTTCCTCTATAAAGGGTACAGGACAGGACCTACTTTCTTCCAATATGCCTCCTGTTCCTCGTCCCACCTTAGTACCTCGCGCCCTTGCTACTCATCCTTATCGTGCTGAAAATCAGCGCCTCGCTGCTCGGGTTCGATTGCTGGAGTCCCAATTATCTGACTCTCAGCGGGAGAATTCCTCCCTCACTTCTGCTCTTCGGGATACTTCCCATGCTCTCGAATCTCGGCAGCGGGAGGTAGAGCAGCTACGATCTTCTAGTCGTGAGGTACGCGAGCAACAAGTGGAGTACCGTCGTGTGTTGGACCAATTCCGTGCTTTGGATGAGGCCCTACCTGGACCTCCTGATCGAGTGCGTATTCTGTTTTCCCTCTAATTCCTTCCTTCTCGTTTAATTCTCCATTCAGAGTCTCTTGGAACGTTTTCAGAAGTTACAGGGGGGTCTTGAAGACGCCATTAGAGAGCGGAAGGTCGCCGAGGAAAAGTTGTCCACTTCTACTCGTAGGAACTCGCATTTGACGACCAGCCTGCTGTATCAACAAGGTGTTGTTGACGAGTCCAATGCTTTGGCGACACGTCAACGTCGTCTAGTAGAGGAGTTGCAAGAGGAGGTCCACCGCGCCCGCGGTCGTGCCGCATTTGTCGAACAAATGATCAAGGAGTACCCTGATGAGGGTTACTACGAAGTCGTCTTGCCCCCTCTCTCACAACTTGAAGGGGACCTTCATAAGGCTCGTGAAGACCTCCGTCGTGTCGCCACCTTCGCTCATCGTTTGTACCGCTCCGAACCTGCCACGGTTCTTCATCACCACTATCGTTATCTTGGGGCGATTATTGAAGCCGTGGTGGCCTTCCTTCGTCGCGGTCTCGACTCTGACGATCTCGACACTGTCGTTCACAACTTCCAGTTGGGTCTGGATTACATGCAGGCGGCTCGAGGTGTCCACGGTGACATGTACATGCGGTCCTTAAGCAGTATTCAATGGTTTTTTAACAATGCTGTCGATGAAGATGAGGGTCTTTATCGTATGGTCCTGGAGCATTCCCGATTCGACAACGACGGTCCCTTCCTGACGGCTGCTCAACACGCGGGTTTCGCTCCTCCTCCCGATAGCTCTTTGGAGCCCCCTCTTCACCGACGAATGTTCGCACTGTCGACGGCTCTTCCTCATAGTGATGGCGCTGGAAGGTGGGACGACATTGTTCCTGCCCTTCCCAGTATTGACCAGCTGACTGCTGACTGGGAGCAGTTGATGTTACAATACATCCATCATATCACCGATACCCCGTTGCCTGTTCCTGATCCTCCAGTCCCCATGTCGTCAATGGGGCCAGTTCCCGAGTCGTCAGGCGAGGCAAACGTCGAGCAGTCCCTCGAGGCGCCCATTGTCCAGGTGTCTTCTCCCTCTGCGGGTTCCCATCCCCCAGTCCCTCTGTTCCTGTCGGAGCAGGAGTCGCCGACCTCCCCTTCTCCTCCTCCTTGTTCCCCAGTTCCTCCCCTCCTTTTTGGGTCCGTCGCCAGCCTATCCATCGATCTAACTGGTGATGATGACGAGCTGTATGAGACGGAGGAGTCTTATGCCGGAAGGATTGCTGTGGCGAGGGAAGGTACCGAGTTGGCGGTGGGTCAGGGAATCGTCAAGGAGGAGTCATTGTAGCATTCATTTTGTAGTTTTATTGTCCTCTGTTAAATATTTTGCTTGCCTGTTCTTTTCTTTTTTGTTGAATAATCAAAACCTTCGTCGTATTGTGTGAAATGTGAAAACCAATGAGATTAAAATCGTCGTGCATTCAGGTCTCGTGAGCCCTCCAATGCAGTTGTCGTTAGAAAATCGTGAATATGGGGTTGTGGTCCCCGTCGTGTCCTCATTGTTGTCGTTCCCCCCTCTACTCCCTTCTACCTTCCCGATCCCTCCTCCTCGTCTTCCCGTGCTTCCCGTTCCAACGAGGCCCATTGCAGACGCGATGGCTGGCGTTTCCTCGGGTGGTGTTTGTGCCAGCTACGTAGGAGCTCGATCGAGCCCACCATACCTTCCCATCCTACCCAGGAGTTGAACTCATCATTATACCCTTCCCATTTTACGAGGTATTCCACTTCCTCCGGTCGTCCCTTCTTGGGTTTAGAGTCAAGGATGTCCTCGACGAAATGCTCCGTCTTCCCTTTTATGAAGATTGGGGGGGGCGGGGAGGTCTGGCGTTTGAATTTGTCATGGAAGTGGGGTTTCAGCCTGTCGACATGGAACACATTGTGAATCTTGTGGAGGTCTCCAGGGAGGTCCAGTCGGTAGGCATGACTTCCTACTTTCGACAAAACTGTATAGGGACCTGTCCACTTGTGGTCTAGCTTCTTCATTGGTCGTCTAGTCCTGACGTTCTCCATATTTAGCCAGACTTGATCACCCTCCTTCCAGTCCGGGGCCTCCTGGCGTTTTTGGTTCGCGTACTTCGCATAGACCTTGTTAGCTACCTCGATGCGTTCCTGGAGGTACGCATGTAGCTCCTTGAGGTTGGATGCATACTCATTGACCTCCGCTTCCTGCACCTGTTCCAGCGTAATGGACAACTTTGGATGATAACCCTTGTTGGCGAAGAATGGTGAGACACCTGTAGTCGTGTTTGGGGTATTGTTGTATACGAATTCGGCCATTGGTAGGAGGAGGTCCCAGTCGTCTTGGTCGTAGGAGCAATAGATTCGAAGGTACGCTTCCACG